TGAATTATTAAACATTATTCGTAAAAACGCGGAGCATTATTGTTATGAGACACTTCAGTCAAAAATGTTTTTTTCTTCCACTATGAAATAAACAAAACCAGTGCGTTCACAAAACAAAATGAATTGTTTCAACATTAGAATGCTATTTGTGTACAAAAATATTTTTTGAGTAGGAGAAGAGTTAGCAGCCTTGGAACACCTACGGCACATTAGCACTTAACGATTTGATAAATTGCTGAACATCGATTTGCCAAGTTTTTATTCATTATGTTTGTCCCGTCGAATCCTTGGCGCAAGATGGGGCGTGCGCTTTCTTTACCAGTGTGTGTCTTCTTTCATTCTTTTGGCGTTCTTTCTTGCATTATCCTCTATTGTACTACTAATATCCAATTCGCATGCGAGGATAAAAGAGCTCTTGTTTTGTTATTCACTTCAGGATTTTTTGTGCTTCCTTTTACAAAAATTATTTATGCATTAATTTGAATCGAGTTTTTCGAATACGAATTCATTTAGTTGAAAAAATTACCTTTTATCAATGAGCGTCATGTTTAAACTATTTACGAAAATATCATAGGAAATTTTTCCGCAATTTTAACTATACTTTTCCAATTCTTATAAAGTCTCCGAACTCCATCATACCAACTTCCCTTCTAGATATCCATCTCATATCAAATTACATTGAGACGTTCTCATGAAAATTTTCGCTCAAAACAATCTTTGTGCTACTCGACAAGAGGTTTAATTTCTTCAAAAAATGCATTCATCATATTTGCAAAATTCACTCGGGTAGTTTTTCTTTCTCAACAATAGCCATCAAAGCATTCATTTGCTTTCGTATGCATTCTAATGTTGCTTTTCCGCAAGCATGTTTTTTCGTAACTCCCCATATCCATGTGCACTTTCTCTCGTTTTGAGCTTCAAATATGTTATTTTTTTTCTGGCATGCTGACCGCTAAGCATGCACTGCAAAAGAAAAAATGAGGGCGAGTTGAATCGTATATCATCCTTTGCTTTGGCCTCGCTGACTTCAGTTTCTAATTTCATTCAGAAGGTAAACCAATTTACTTTTGAATAGCCGATGAATATGCTTTTCGGCATCTCCCTTTTTTCGTCATCCTTTCTCTTCACTCTCGGCACTCACTTTTCCTAACCAAATTTGCTTCATTTGTGCATTCTGTTCGTTCCCATTTAGTATGTGCGGTCATTGAGCTTGGGAAAAAAACGGATTTTCAACGTCCCTCGTTGGACTTAAACCGCTTCTGGGCTTTTAAAAGGGTCTCCTCATTAAAATAAATATGAAATTTCAACATTTTAAAGTTTTCTTGAAACTTAACAAAAAGATTTATTTTTATTGCTGAGTAATGCTTTTACACAAACTTAGCAATAATAATCCTTTATTGCCTGAAAATAACTTTTGTTAGGTTCTTTAATTCGAAGGAATAAAGTGGGAGGCCCAGATTTTCATACAAACTCGCCTTCTCATTCCAATTACCTTGCCGCTTTTTTATAGCGTCGTACTCATTTTCTGCGACGCAACGCGTAAAAAACTCTATTAATGGATGATTTTAATTGCGTCTTCCGCAACCATGCGTCTTGAGAGATTGAAAGCTTGAAAAATTGCGCGCGCACTCGTTTTTCTTTGCGGGAATGCTAGTAGTAATGAAGAATTCACAAAAGAAGACCATTTATTGTCGCCGACATGTGTTTTCGAGCTCATTTTGATAGTTTTTTGGATGAAATAAAAACATTCGAACAACACTTGAATCTCATCTTCAGTGTTTTCTTCACTCTTGTTCGCGTTAAACGTTTCGATTGTCGTTTGCTTAATTCATCTTTACCATGAAATTGGATTTTTCCTTTTTCTAAATCCGGGGGACAACAACGCGACAATTCAATTAGTAAATGCAATCTTTGCGATTTCTAATCAAAACCAATGGCTCCGACAGTTTTTGTTTTCAAAACAAAAATCAATTATATTATTCTTCAACCAATTTGTCGGCGTAAGCTGCAAAAAGGAGAAAAGCGGAAACTCGAAAATGAATTCATGTGTTTCGTCCTCCGCCTTTTTTCAATCCTAGCCGAGCTCCGTGGTTTCGAAATCGGGATTTCACACCAAGCGGTCAACACAAAGTTAGTGTGTACGCTAAAAGAACAGGTGTTTGATAGACAGCGCGAAAACCAATAGTTGAGGGAGGGTGCGATGACGCGATCAATTGGTGACTGGTATTGTGCAAGTTTGCGCTCTCGTGTTTCTTTGTAAGGCCGCATGCATGATAGTGTGCTCACTTTTGAACTTTTCCTTATCGCTATTTCTCATTTTTTTAATTTAATTTAATTTTAGTTGCCGTTGCTACCGCGACACCATTTCTTATTCAAAATAGTTTCGCATTTATTAGATGGAACCAGTAAAACTAGAAGTTGTTACCATGTTTTCTTTTCAAAAGTAGTAGTTTTTTTTCATATCTTTTACTATTCATCGCATCCTACCATAAAATTTATTGCGTTTCATCAACAAAATCTTTCGTTTTTAGAACTTTTCGGTTTTTGCCAAAATGCCAAGTTGACAAATTGTTTAGAATTTGTAAATGTTGTAACAATTCTACCGCAAACAATTGTTCAAACAGATGTTATGTGAGCCACCACCACCTCTTCTCCCTCTACCCTTGCAGCCGCAATTTTTCTTTTGCTGCACCCTTCTCTTCACCATCCTCTCCCCCACCACCAACATTCACCCCACCCCTTCAATAGACCTAATGAACGCGCAGGGTGGTGAAACATGGGTCATGCTGGCTTGCCTGGAATAATTACTTAACCCTCTCGCTCGTTGAGGTCCGGATGCATAGCATACGGCGTAGACATGCCAAAATGCGCATTGCTCTTGACAATTATGATGAGAGCAGCAGTTTTAATGATTCATTGAATTGAGCCCAAGCTCAACGATATTTTTATTTCGTTCTTCCTTCTTCTATCCTTTCGAATTTTCGTAATTCGAGATCCTTGACAGAATACCTTACATTGTGTTGTCCATGAATATTTCATTTCAAAAGCTGCAGCTTTGTTCAGCAGAAGAATCGATGCCCTCAATGTGTCCGAGGAGTGAAAGGGATTTTTTCACACCATTACTTGCGCGTACCTCCGCGCAATCAATAATAAATCTCGTTGCTATATGGAAATCCACGCATAGCGGACCATTGTTTATGGCATCTCAGCGGTTTTTTTGCGAAACTCTTTTCGCAAATGTAGTATTCATGCGCCGTTATATCTCCCGCGCGCGCGGCCCTCTGGTTTCCCTCCCATTATAAATTCTTTCTTTCATCTTTCAATGTCTATTTCTGCACCATTATCGCCTTCTCCATCATCCGTCGCTTCTAGATATTTTCTTAGAGTAATTTTGTTTTTAATTATAACTCGTGTTCCCCGACTTTTTTTAATTTATATCCCGAACAAGAATTCGCATTTTTGGGATTCATTCATCATCTAACGATGATTGCTTTTGCAGGCATCGTTTTTGTTTGTGGACATTCGACGACTCAAATTAGATGAAGGCTTCTTTCCGGCTGGCATAAATCATGTTTAACCAACAACACAGTGCCTTTTATCTACAAATCGCTGCATTTCTTCTGGCAACACTCTTATGTCAAAGTGGGTTTAACAATTATCTATTTTTTTCCCAAAACTGGGTTGGTCATTCGGGATTATTGAGATTACATTGGCGTTTTCGCTTTTGTCTTTTCCTCTTAGTGCTTTAAAGAGGTCACCAAAAGTGTTTTGTCAGTTGTGAGGGGAAAGGGGGAGCGCTCGTTTGTGAGCCATTTGCACAAAAAAAGATTCGATTATCGGTTACGCTGCTTCTTCACCAAGGCCATCTGCCCTTTTCATTTGGCATCTTCGGAGCTTAGCCGCCATAGGTTGTAGAAACAATAGGGCAAATGCATTAGCAACATTTTAAAGGGAAGACTAATCAGTTTAAGAATGAATAAGAGTGATTCATAAAAAATATTCATTATTGTTCTGCGTCATGCGAAATGCATGGCATTCTTCACTTTAAATACATAATTGGCACAAGACATTCGTTTGAGCCCATTGCATTATGTTGCTCATTTAACTTGACAAGTGACAAAATAAATTGCAAACCACTTGTGCTCATCTGTTTATTTGTGATCTTGAAACATTATCATAAACACTCATCACATTTCCGATTTGCATAAGGTTGTTGAAATACCCAAAGGAATTGAAATCGCCCCACTTTTTGGTTATTAATGAGCTGTTGGCAAGCCAGCCAGCGTATTTCAACACACTGCGCATGTCATGTTTCATCGGGTTGCAAAAAGTGCCTCGAAGCAAACGACAGAGGAAAGGGACTGCGAAAAACAGCCCACTAATCGCCATAATTACTATGTAAGGAACATCAATGGACCATTGTAGTCGTAGTAGTTGTTGTAAACAGAGGGTGGGCTCTCTATTCTATTATTCTGAAAATCGCATCGAGTGTCCGGAGGCCACTCATCCCGAAATTGGTACTGGAGAGGAGCCGCAAATTAAAAAGATGATGCGCAAATTCATGCAAATTCATTTTGGAACGCGGATTATCCTTCATTTATACATTACACCCGACCCTATGAGAGAATTCCGCTATTCCATAAACGTTGGACGAACATTCTATATAACATATGGCTATATCGAACACCAAATGCACGAGGGTATATAATCTCTATGGAATTTGAGCCGATGAGACTAAAAACTGGAGGTCATCGAGGTTTAAACGGAAGGAGTGAGTGGAAGGGCCACCATGAGGTTGCGTAATATCTCCATTGTCTTAATCCGGGTGGAAATCAGTCAAATCATTTCTCTTCCCCCGTTGATTTATTCGATTTCGCCGTTTTATTGGCACCATCGTCATCAAGGGCACGTTAGGTGTTCTTCTCAGCTGGTGTCGACAAGCGCCGTACAGTGTGAGTGATAGAATGTGGCAGTATGAAAAGGGGGAATTGAATAATTTAATGCGGAGTGTCGTTTCTGACAGTATGTATAAATCGAAGATATGAAGTGGGGCGCACGAATAATGTATTATTTTTATATTACAGGCTCGGCACCAATTATTACGGAGCATCCAATTGATGTTGTGGTATCCCGTGGATCGCCGGCTACTTTAAACTGTGCAGCACAACCACCAGGAGCAAAAATTACATGGTAAACAGAAAAATAGGCTTACATATTTCTGCATTTTCAGCCAAAAATTATGAATCCTTATATAACTAAAATTTCAGGGCGCGAAAATGTATTAAAATCCGAAGAAATACCTGAATTTCCCTGAATCTCGACAATTATTATATTAATATTATAAAGTTGACAAAATAGATTGAAACATTAATTGATATAATCATTCGGTTTTCATAACCGGTTTTTTATTCGCATTAGAGCGTATTTCATATTAATTAGACATCTTTGCATTTTCTTCTGAATTCTTTTTGAGAATTTATACGATTTTAGATTTTCCTGCCTAATTAATGATCTTTTTAAGGTACAAAGATGGAGAACCTGTCACAACCAACAAAGAACAACCAAATAGTCATCGTATCGTCCTTGACACCGGTGCACTTTTTCTATTAAAAGTTAACGGAGGTGATTTCGAAGTTAATGACGCATAATTTTAATATAATCTTAAGGTAAAAATGGGAAAGACAATGATTCCGGTTCATATTACTGCATCGCCGAAAATGAAGATGGCCAAGCAAAATCCAACGAAGGCTCTTTGAAGTTGGCCATGTTACGTGAGGATTTCCGCACGAGGCCCAGAACAATCCAAGCTTTATCTGGAGAGAAAGCGATTCTTGAGTGCAGTCCACCCAAGGGATTTCCTGAGCCTGTTGTTAGTTGGAGGAAAGATGATAAAGAGATCCGCATTCAAGATCTCCCTCGATACAAACTTCATCCAGATGGAAACTTGATCATTGAGCCGGTGGGCCGTCATTAATCAGAAATGGAAATATATGTCTCGCTTTTCAGGTTACCCAAGAGGATTCGGGAACGTATCAATGCGTTGCCAAGAACATGGTCGGAGAAAGAGTTTCCAATCCAGCTCGCCTTAGCGTCTACGAGAAACCGAAGTTTATCCAAGAGCCGAAGGATACCACCGTCGACGCTGGAACTTCAGTGTACTTTGATTGTAAAGTCAGCGGAGAACCTCAGCCACAGATTACATGGAAAAGAAAGAACGATCAGATGCCCGTTGCGAGATCAATGATTGCCAAAGATAATCGCGGACTTCGGATTGAGAAGTGAGTGCGAGTACATAAATTTTGACAATCTCGCGACATGCTAGATGCTATCGACAACTAGATCCAACGGATTAGTAGGTTATCTTTAAAGAAGATGACCGCCAGAGTGTAATAATAAGAATTGGCGTAACATATGAGAAGGGACTAGTTGGAAGGGGAAGAATCAGTACACATAATTTTTCATTATATTTTTTTTTATGAGAATAATGGGAATACTTATTTCAGAGTTCAACCAACCGACGAAGGAGAATATGTGTGCTACGCGAGAAATCCTGCGGGACAAATAGAAGCCTCAGCACAACTTCGTGTACAAGTAAGAATCCATACAAATTTGAAAGTACATATACCCTATGGAATTGAACTTTAAAAAATGTTGTCGCATAAAAATCTTAACAAATTTTCAACACGAAGATTTTTATTGGCTCCGATGTTAACAACTCTTCCATAGAAATGTTTTATTATGAATATTTGGATTTTTAGGCACCTCCATCATTTAAAGTAAAACCGTCTGATCAAGCAATACCCGCTGGAGAAACCGCAACATTTGAATGTGTTCTTGTCGGACAACCTAATCCAGCGTACTTCTGGAGTAAAGAAGGACACCAGGATCTTCTTTTTCCTAGCTACGTATCAGCTGACGGTCGCACAAAAGTTTCCGCTAGCGGAACTTTAACAATCGAAGATGTTCGGCAAGTTGATGAAGGGTCTTACGTTTGCGCTGGAATGAATGCTGCCGGAAGTTCCCTTACAAAAGCTTCTCTGACAATTACTTCAAAATGTGAGTATTTGATTTTTTTCAACCCAATACAAACCAACAAAAGAGGTATTCATTTAATAAAAAAAATTGTGTTAATTTCCTTCAGTGCAAATTACTGAAGAAAGTTAGTCCTTTTCAAAAGTTTTGTTGAATTTCGAATGGAATAGCAACAACCCACAATTAGCATAACTCGTTTTGTCTTGCGGCGCGCATGATGGGTGCAAAAACTCGCGGAAAGAAACCTCATCCTCCCCCAGCGAGCATTTTTCAATCAGAACGCATCGGCCTTGAATAATTTTTTTTGTTATAAAAAAATAATTGATTTTCGAACAATAAGCATTGACCTCGCATTCCGCCCAGTTTAACTCGAAAATGTTAATTTATACACAGCCCGTTTTAAAACCAACTTTTTGATCGACCAATTTGCTCATCCACCATTGTGTATATGTATGTTTGAATTTCTCGTGTAAACCAAAATCTCAAAAGTGTGAAGATATATGTATATTATACGTTTATTCTGCCAGCGTGTTAGCGCCATTCGAGCGCGTTAATCCTTCAGCTACTCGCCGGAGTCGCATTATTTCGAAGCCGCACATTTTTTCGTCTCTTCTTCTTATTCTACTATAACGATCAAACTTGACGTCTGTTTTATCTGTGTAATTCCGGTCTCAAAATTGATATCACTTCCTCACCCGGCTTACATTATTGTGTTACTATGCGGATTTACAGGGTCATAAATTATTCAGTAAACCAATTCTAGATCTTAAAGAAAGCTCTCTTCAGATTAACACAGAAATTGTTTCTTTTTTAATTTTTTTCGTGGCAGGCATATTAAGGAATTATTCGTATTTATTATTCATAAAAAATCTGATTGTTTTCCAACATACTAATTCAATTCGTAAGTTCTCCTTCCTCCCCTTTCTCCATCGCCATTGGCTGAGCAAATATTGAGTGTGTTGATGATAAATTAGGTGTCCGAAGGCATGCGCAAAACTGATGCTCATTAATTACCAAAACTGATTTATAATTCAACTCGATAAAACGAAAACAGTAGTTTCCCACACATCGCCTAAAAGCCAGATGCGGGTCATTTTTCAAACCTTGCCCCATTATTTATTCGTCGATGACCGCACCGTTTTTGGGATTGATCCCCTCATTATTTCACGCCATGATTACTCACCAAAGACGGTGTCCCGTAAAATGCATAATTAGGATGGCATTGCCTTTGTTCGATCCCCGCAACATTATACTTTTTTACTCCACCACCCTTTTTTTGTTATACATACATAGTTATGAATATTCTATGCGGACGCGCTAAACAATTCTTTTTAGTGAAAATTACTTGGCGATTCCTTATGTCCTTTCTTCCATTTTTTAGAAGATAGATATATTCCTTGAAAATGTCGTGCTAAAAAAATAATAGTGAATGTTTTTTCGCTCTATTGTTGCTCACAATGTTTTTTCATTTCTAATACAATCGAACGCGCGCGTCACGCAGAAAGAAAAAAGGAAGAAGCAAAGCAGAATCCGTAAAACAAACAGTTGTCCTGGCCAAGGTCCGTGTAGCGTCATGTTTTTGCCAATTAGGCACCAGCCGCCATTTGCGACCAATTCGCTCCCTTTTTTTTGTGTGCCGCACTGATGTTCGAATACGTATCCAACCAATTATCCCCTCAAATTTCCTTCGATAACTGTCGATAATTATATGGCAATGAGGAGCCGCAGCCGATGACTCTGAGACGATGACTTTCTCCACTTTCTTTCATGAACATGTTTATTCAGAATTTCACCATTTTTATTTGTTTTAACAAAACGATATCACGCGATTCTTGTTATATTTGTATGCATTTAGAATGCCCAATGTGTGTATGCTATTGTACAGTTTGCATCGCGCAAACGCACTTTTCAGACCATTATTATTGATCAAAAATTGTTGAATTCTGCAACTCGTAACCTTGCCATCGACGTAGTTAATTCATTTCAAAACAAGACCGAAATTAATTGGCATGGAAGCCGATCTCGATGATCCAATTTATTGCCTTTGCGCGCTCCGTCCTAGCCACCACCTCCTGATGTTCAATAATAAATGTTGCCTTAGTCATAAATCTGTTTATCTAGCGAGACGGGTTTTCAATTGGCGGCATCATTGTATCGCCGCCATTGGTGAACACTGATTTTTCGAAATTCCACACGGGAAAATCCCACGCTTTTTATTATTACATTCGCCCTCAAGAAGAATTTCCGAATGATGATGCTCGCCTTCAAGTGGTTAAGAGCCCCTCTTTTTGACGATGACAACGCTTTTGCAAAGCAATTGAAAGCCATATTAGTTTCATTTTCATTTTCAGTAAAAGAAAACAATGAAAATAGGATGCTCTTTAAATACTAACAATTAATATTAAAATAAACTCAGTGTCTCTCTAAAGAAGTGCCTTAAAAACTTGATTCCACCATTTATGGTTTCCAGTCCGCGTATTAAACGTTTTCACCCAAACCCCCATCTTTTTACCCCAGCACGCCCCCAACCGATGTAATTCATACACTCGTTTTGCGGCTGTCCTATGTTAAAATATATGTTTGTAGTGCAATGAAGAGCAACTCAAAACCTTTAATATATTGAAGATATTCGCGTTCTTCTCGTTTTTCCTCCCGCCTCGCATTGCTTACATACATTTATCTTTTCGCTCATTTCTCAGCATCTTTTTTTATAACTGAATGTCAACGTTGAAGTTTGTCAAAACTTATCATCAACATATGTCACCACATTTTTGATTGTCACTATTATTATTATACTCAGCCTCTGGTGGTTCTCGTTTTTTTTTTTGCAAGGCGCAAGTCGTTCAAAATTTGTTTACCAAACCTTGTTAACGCTCGGCAATGCCCAGAAAAATACATTATTATTCGTTGCGTTCAAGTTTCTAGTTTGGATTCGGATGGTACACTTTACTGCGAAATAAATCAAAATCTCCTCGTTTAATCAGCTGTAATGGAGCGGAAATTGGCGATCATGAGACAACACATTTGCTCAAAGATTGTGTCTCTTCCATGCGCCGCATTTTACTTCTCTTAATGATGTGAAATTGAGACATTTTTGGCCATACATACACCCTCTCGCCGCAAATCTTTTACTACCACGTATGTACTTCCATCAATTTTAGGGTGTGTACTCGTGCGCGCTATTTTAAATGAATCCCTCCATCCCTTCGCAAATACTTGCTGTATTGCATTTATCTGATAGGTCAATCTTTACCTGCAGTTTCGTTGTGTTTATTATTCAAATCTTGATTTTCAATTAAAATTTGCATGTTTTAAGCAGAATTACATGCGGTACTCATGATTTTTGGCTCAGTGTTCAGTTTAACTTCGGCACTTATGTGCGTTAATGGCACGGATTGCCTATGTAAGTTGAAATGCAAACAAAAACCATGAAGGGTTTGATAAATGGGCCGAGTTAGTTGGTTTCGTTTCACACAAATGAAAAATGACACTTTTGTCGTGTCGCTTTTTTTGAATGAATGAATTACCTCTTTTGCGGTCTTTTTAAAAACAAAAGACGGAATTTTTAATTGTTACAGCCGCCACTGGTAATAGTCCTGCTAAACCGCCACCAATCATTGAATATGGACACCAAAATCAAACGTTAATGATTGGCGCTTCGGCAATTCTTCCATGTCAGGCTATTGGAAAGCCGATTCCACGGATTACATGGCTTAGGGACGGGATTTCGGTAGATACTACAGATAACAGGATTAGTCAACATTCCACCGGGAGTTTGCACATTGCTGACTTAAAGTAATAACCACCCTTAATATCATTGTATAATCCTGATTATTAAAAATTGTAGAAAATCAGATAGTGGCGTGTATACATGTCGCGCGAAGAATGATGATGGCGAATCGAGTTGGTCGGCATCACTAATTGTCGAAGGTTCGTGTGCCCAATTTGCCGCAGTTATAATTAATCCATTGTTGTTACAGATCACACGAGCCATGCAAATTTTGTGCGAATGCCGGAACCTTCCAATTTCCCCACGGCTCCCAGCCAGCCAATTATTTCAAATGTGACTGACACGGAAGTCGAGCTTTATTGGGATCCACCCAAGAGCACGGGAACTGCTCCAATCGCAGGATATATCATTCAATACTACAGCCCAGATCTTGGCCAGACATGGTTCAATATTCCTGATTATGTTTCTACGAGCACATATCGCGTGAAGGATTTGAAACCGTCCCACTCATATATGTTCCTAGTTCGCGCTGAAAATGAGAAAGGAATTGGTCTGCCTAGTGTTCCTTCAGCGGTCGTCACCACCTCAAAAGGTCATCCGGGGAAAATGTACGGCACTGAACAAAGTGCACTTGACATGGAAATTGCCGCCAAACGGCTTACATCTCAACAGCTAATTAAACTGGAAGAGGTAATTATTTTTCAATATCACTTTTTTTTCATCTCTATTTAGGTGAAAACAATTAACTCAACCGCCGTTCGTCTTTTCTGGAAGAGAAAAAAGATTGAAGATCTTGTCGATGGATATTATATTAAATGGAGGGGCCCACCATCGACAGATCGCCAAATTGTGAACGTTTCCGGTGCGAACACAGAAAGCTATGTGGTTTCCGGTCTTTTGCCGTTCACAAACTATGAGTTCTTTGTGATTCCATATCATAAAAATGTTCAAGGCGCTCCGAGCAACTCAATGGACGCGTTGACAGCTGAAGCTCGTAAGACATCAATTCAACTATATTATTCTTGACATCGTTATTACAGCGCCGTCATTACCACCCGAGGATGTGCACATTCGAATGCTTAATTTGACGACGTTGCGAATTTCCTGGAAAGCGCCGAAGCCGGATGGCATTAATGGAATCTTAAAGGGATTTCAGGTACTTTTCAAGACGTTATTTTAAATAATATTTTCTTCTTTTTTCCAGATTGTGATCATTGGTCAAGTTCAGAAGTACAATAGAAATATCACTACTAATGAGAGGGCTGCTAGTGTGACCTTGTTTCATTTAGTCACTGGCATGAATTATAAAATTCGTGTCGCTGCTCGAAGCAATGCCGGGGTCGGTGTTTCTGCTGACGTGCGCGAAGTGACGATGAGTGAGAATTCTAGAATAACAGGCATTACGCAATGATTCATTTATTTTACAGACCAAGAAACTCTTGAGAAGCATCTTGCTGCTCATTCCGAGCATGAGTCATTCCTATACGCATTATTGAATAGGCACAATATTGCACTAGTGATTATCTTCTCAATTTTTATCGCGTTTATCGTTGGAATCTTGGCGTTCTGCTATTGGCAGAGAAGTCGAAATATGGATGGAAAGGATCGCAGCTTTATTAAAATCAATGACGGCAGTGTTCATATGACCCCGAGTAATTTGTGGGACGCTCCACCACACAATCCAAATCCTATGTACAATACAACGGGAAGATTGACCTTGAACAACAGGTTTGCAATCGTTTCATTGGTAAAACGATAAAGTTTAATGATATTTAGGAATGGGCATGCTCTTTACTCATTGACTCCAAATGCTCACGACTTCTTTGGAGGCTGTGAGGATTATAGCGGAACTATGCACCACCCAGCTTCAGAGCATCACTATCATTATGCACAATTGGCTGGAGGTCCGGCAAACCCAATGTCAACGTTCTATGGAAACCATTATCATGATGATCCTTCTCCATATGCCACCACAACTTTGATCTTGTCCAATCAACAGCCCGCTTGGCTCAATGACAAAATGCTACGAGGGCCGATTGTTCCTGCCAATGGGCCACCATCAGTGCCGCCGGCTAAGTACGCAGATCACACAACTGGTAGAAGATCGAGATCAAGTAGAGCTTCTGATGGTAGAGCGACACTAAATGGGCCACTGCATGGCAGCCAGCGATCCGATAGCCCTCCTCACACAGATGTGAGCTATGTTCAGGTATTTTTAGGGTTGAATAGGAAAGAAATACAATTTATTTTTGAGTTTATTTAGGATAGTTAGCTTTTTACAAATTTAGTTAATATTTTTAAATTTGTAATGTGTTTAGCTTCATTCATCCGATGGCACTGGAAGCAGCACAAGAGACCGAACTGGTGAACGCAGAACTCCACCGAATAAGACGTTGATGGACTTCATCCCACCACCACCTACAAATCCACCACCTCCTGGGGGAGTTTATGATGTAGGCTAGAAGAAATAAAGTTAAAATTGTATTTTTATTGTAGTTTCAAACGGCGACTCGAAGACATTTGAATAGAGGAGCTGCTCCACGAGAAGACACTTATGATTCCGTCAGCGATGGGGTTTTTGCGGTGAATGGAAGACCTACCAGTAGGAATCGAAATACCGGTAAGGAAATTCCATGCAAAAAGAGTTTTTATTAATTTTTTTAGGGCTGCGTCCACAGAAAGGGAAACGAGATGATGACAGTCAGAGATCGTCGCTGATGATGGAAGATGAAGGCGGATCTTCAGAAGCGGATGGAGAGAACTCGGAATCCGATGGTCCCAAAGTTCGACAAGTTCCAAGGATGGGGGTCTCAGCAAGCGCTATCGCTCAGAATTGTAAACATTAGAAATTTATTAGTTTTGCATTAATGATTTTTACAGATGAGTCGGGTAGAAATACAAACAGGTTCCGTTCTATGCAGCGTGGTGCCAATGGGGTCCCACACGAACAAATCTGACTGTTTTGAATCAAAATTCTAGTTTATTTGTCAACTTCTTACGAGTACATCCTGCTACTTAATGCTATGCCGTTTTAAAAAATATAAAAAAAATATTCTTCTATGACCTTCACTTTTAATTATACATTTAATTGATCTTTTGTTGTATTTTGATTGCTCAATGTGATCTCAAAGGTGAACATGCGAACAACGCCTCCTTCTATTAACAATAATAATATGAGAATTATTTGTGTTTTCTTATATCGGTGTTGAGCTCAACTGTATTGTATTATGTCTTAACATTTTTTGTACATATTGCAATTATGAGCATTTTACGGTTTATTATTGTACGTCATACATGATCACACCAATTTGTCGCGAAATTACTTTTACATTCGTTCATAAGTCTCAGTATGATCATATTTATATTTATTACTATAATTGAAATAAAATGTTATTTCATTTTTACGGTTATGAATAATAAGACATTAAGAAAGGAAATAATGTTCGAACAAAAATTTCGCATTTTCGTTGGAAATTTTATGGCATTACACTCCTAGCAGAAAATGACCTCATTATGTGTAGATCATAATTTTCAATTATATTCGCTTTCAAGATTTACGATCACTGGTTTGAATTGAAATTTATTCATTTCAAACGAGTCTACTTTCCGCTTTAATGGCTGGTTCTTTTTTCTATATTACCTTTGCAGTTTTTTTTATGAGATAATTCCAATTTTTGACCATCCCGCCGTATGACTATTATCGCAATCTTGTAGGTACTTTCTTCAATTTTCGTTTTTTGTTAAGCATGTTAGTTGTTCATAGCGCCGTCGGCTATTTTCCTAAACTGTTGAAAATAAAATCGTAAAATATGCCCATTAGATCTCTTCCGAGAAATCACATTCAGATTTCCCCTTTCAGATATAAATCAAAAAGCTCTCTTCTTCTTCATTACATTTTTTGTCTTCACCTTCATAAGTTTCGCCTTCTAGAATCAGGATTCCGCATTTCGGACGTGACTTGATACCTGGAATTTGTCAATTTGACAATTCAATTGCCTTTAAAGAGTGACGAGAATGGCTGAAAACGAATATTTTAAGAAAGAATGTTGTATAAAAAGGACACCCAACAACGATGTTCTCGAACTGCCCCATTAGCTGCTACCTTGAAGGTTTTGAATAAGTTTGCGCGTTGATTTTGATTTTTTTGGCTTTTACTGCAAACAGGTTTGCATTTTTTTGCACGTTCGCTTAATATCATAGCGATCTTTCTTGGCCTACCTCATGCTGCCAGGCAGATGAAAAGAAAAATAATAAATATTCTGAACACTTCTTTGCGTATGATTTTCATTTAATCTTCCGTTAACAGTTATATATTATTTCTTATCTTAGCTATTTGCTTTTAATGCTTAAAGATGCTGATGGTATCACGAAATTCTATCAACCATTCATTTGTCTTGATTCTATTTTGCACCAGTGTCACTACACACGTTTTTCCTTTTTTCCTATCGTTAATGCAACCGATATCCAATGATATGATTCGTTGAAAGATCCAGAATACTGAGTTTCTTGTTTCTCTTCATGCTTTTTAATTTTTTTTTGTGACGTGGAAAATTAATGCCTTCTCTGTTTTAATGAATCATATATTTTCAGACAAAAGACGTTTAGATAGCTATACAAACGTTCAAGCTAAAGGTCTAAGCTTTAAGCTCAAATACTGTGTTGTAATGATTTAACAGTTATTCGTTTTTGTCAAGGATACTTTTTGAAGATTTGTAAGACTATAGCTACTTGTTGTTTACTGTGATATCACCTTGTTTCACGTTTTTTGTTTATTCCATTGTTTAGGCATATATATATATATAATTCAAGTAAGATCTGTATGAAGTTCATTGCCGATTTTATCGGCGTGGCATGTTTGTTCTGTTCAAAAACCGATAGTATCATAACGCTAACAACCTCATGAACGGCGAAATAATGCATTTTCCAGCTTCAGACGTTCGCAGCAATTTTTTTGTTTTGTATTGCGCCTTTCGCAATCGAATTTATTGTTGAGATCGAGAGACGGCCAAAGAAGGCGGACGACATCGGTCTGCCAGCGCGCATGAGAGGATGATGAAGCCAAAGCAGAAAAGAGGGGCGAAAAAAAACTTATGTCGATGGTGACATAAAAAATACGCCTTTGCGAAGGCTGGGCAAGTCAAGTTTAGTTGCGAACGGTTCGGTTCAGATCGCAAGTACTTCCTCTACAAACGGTCACCTTGCGCTTCATCACCATCAATTTACCTCTTGAAACTTTCACTAGTTTTCTTTCAGACCGTTTAAATTTCTCACATGGCATATCATTCATTTCTTTCTCTCTGATACTGCTTTAAATTTCGTTTCGTCGGGAAACCCTCTTTCTCTATGGGCCCAATTAAAGTTAATGTGACATTTGAGATCCTGGAAAAGCGAAAATTTTGTTTCCCTATTCATTTTCCTTGTCATGATACTTTCAATTTCAAGCGCTTCTGTGAAACTCGGCGTCTGACTTGTTCAACCATTCAATAACAATAGCCTTCCAACGGTTGTCCATCTTATCATCACAGCTTTTCTTCCGCTATCTAATCCAATTATGATATTACGCAATTATCCCGTTTGCCTATATTTTTTTTTGCTAACAATCACTGTACTTTCAATCTTTTATTAGCCGCTAACAACACATAAATATATCTCATATGTTGAAAGGCATGTAAAAAATCGTATTCGATAACAAAATCAGTTTTCATTCTATGAAATGATAACGGAAAGAGAACTACGTATTGTTTTTGGACCAATTACAAACTGAAATTAATCAGTTTGTTGCTGATTGGACGAAATTTTTGATTTAAGAAGGATTTCATTTCAAATTCTTGATCAATTGCGGAAAATCAAACAAATCGGAATGATTGAGAAGTATTTTATTTTATTGGCGGTTTTCAAGGTGAGCATGTAGTTTTTTTTTCCAATATTTATAGAAAATATCGTTAGGTTGTTCTGGCGGTTCATGAGTCTATGTCTTCACTCGAGTTGAAGCACTTCTTTGGCACTGATGATAAGCACCGAGGTTGGTGGTTTTTCTTTTAACATCGTCTATTATTTTTTGTGAAGCTTACTAGAACAATACTGACCTTGTTCATTTCTTCAGTATCAAGTGTAATATTTAATTTGTGATTATTGAGTCAAAATGACAAAAATTTCAGTTCCGCAGTATTATCTGGATAAGCCAAAAATGTCAATTCGTAATGGCGGCGCATTCGAAATGGAACTACTTGTAGATGGAACAAGGAAAACATTTGTGATGCGTAACAAACCGCATTTGTTTTCTGAAGGTGAAAATTGCAGTTATCTGCCAAAAAATCGTTAAAAAAAGACTACTTAGTTAAAGTGAAAGGAAATGAAAAACAATTGTCTAGTTGAAGAAATCAGAGAAGCTCCAAAATTCTAGAGAAAGGGATAACGCATTCATTGAAATAAAACTTGTCAGAATATCCAATTAAAATAAATGATTCTAAAATCGAATGTCGAATTCACTCATAAAGATCACCAATAGGAAAAAAGTCTTCGATCTTATTAAAAGTTAAAAATTTTTTGAAGCGAAGCTTTATTTAATTTAATTAGAAAATCATGTTTGAAAATTATTTTAGGGTTTCATGCGGTCTCGGACAATTCGGAAACACTAGTAAGCCCGTTGCACTATTGCGTTTTCGAGGGGACAAGCAAGTCTCAAAACGATACCCATATTTCGCTTGTGGGATGTGGAAATAACTATGTAAGTGCTTTGAACTTTTTGCCTTAATTCCAATTTAATCTCGTAAAAGTTAATAACCAATTCGGTATTTCGTTAAAACTTTTACTACTACCGAATTAACTTTCACTTTGCGTAACACTAGAATTTTCTTCGACAAGGAAGTTATTCCAATAAAAATTGAAGGTCAGTGAACCCCTTTTGTTATTTTCAGCACGGAATGATTATTACCGGAAACGGGGAGTACCATTTAATACAGCCACACACACAATCAGGAAACCACATAATTCATAAGAGAAGTATTGACTCGATTGAGCATGAATGTCAATTTGGTACACTTGAAAATTGTAACACCAAAGTTCAAAGCATTTGTAACAGATGAGAATCAGGATCCTTATCCAGAAGATCGGCAGGAAAGTGTGATGCGCAGCGCATTAATGAGACTTGTTAAGGATATAAGAAGATCTGAACACAAGTAAAATCTAAAACTCAAAACAACAATTGAGCATTAAGTTTTAGAAAAGATATACTAACTGTTGAATTAGCAGTATTCGCCGATGACGCCATGTGGGAACATTTCCGCAAAATGTACGGAGTTGCAGCAGAAGAAAACATGCACACTTTCATAATGGCGGTCGTCAATAATGTATGTTTTCTTGTATCAATGGATATAAACGGTATAGTGATATAAGTTTAGATTGATGTATTGTACACTCAACGTCTGATCCAACCAAGAATAAACATAAAAATTGTGCGGTATGAGATTCTTAAAAATATTCCGGTTGGTCGATAAAATGAAGACAAAATGAATGTTGACAGTTATTTTTCAGCAAACTATGAATGTCCGGCAGCACGCCAGTGGAGATGTAGACAAACTATTGGATGCTTTCTGTCAATATCAGAATGAACTCAATCCTAAAAGTGATTCTGATCCCAGACATTGGGATCACGCTCTGCTTTTCTCAGGGTGTTATATCGAAAGTGGTTTGTTTCATTTTAATATTTAATTTACAGTTATGATCTTCATCGTAACGGCGTTAAGACAGTAGCTGGATACGCTCCAGTCAAGGGCATGTGCAGTGGTGTAAGATCTTGTACAATCAATGAGGGTTTGGATTTCGGAAGTGTATTTGTTGTTACACATGAGATGGGTCACAGGTATTACGAATATTAAAATTCACCATCAAATGCTGTTCTTTTAGTCTTGGGATGTATCACGACGGCGATAATGACTGTGATTTACGCTGCTGCATAATGAGCCCTTCTGTTGGAAGCGGTAAAACGCATTGGAGTCGATGTTCGGTTAATGAAATGCAGACATTTGTGGGGGTAAAAAATAGTGTAACGTTGAGAAAACTGCAGTTTAAACAATTTAGCACCTCGGAGAAGACTTTCGGCCGCCAAACTGTCTGCAAGACACACCGAATAGTGAAAATAAGGCATTGCCTTTTAAAGCTTCAGAAGCACCAGGACAACTGTTCACCCTTGATGAGCAATGCGAGATTTTTCATGGAGAGTGTTGGAAGCATGAGTTGAAAGATACTCAGGTCCTTCAAGATGTGTGCTCGATGGTTTGGTGTGGAAATGGAGAAGGAATTATACGTACCGCTCATCCAGCTTTAGAAGGAACCTATTGTGGATTCGGAAAAGTAAACACAAAAAGGATTTAAAAAAAGTTTTTATCATAAAAATTTTAGATTTGCCATCAAGGTCGTTGTATCAGTACTAATCGATTAATGAGGGTTATTCCGGGAGGGTGGTCTGATTGGAACGATCGTCCAGAGCCTGCATGTGGAGGTCGATGCTCACCCTGTGAAATTAGGGGGCAAATTCGAATTTCTCGAAGTATTCGTCAGTGTAACAATCCAAGTCCGAATAATGGCGGAGCTGTTTGCAATGGAGACGAGGCTCGTGGAATCGTTTGTCATAAAGATGTGAGATGATACGTGGAGATAATGTATTCATTATTTCGAACACTAATTTGCAGATCTGCATGGGAGAATCTATTGAGAATTATGCAACTAGGGTGTGCACTAAACTGCGAAATGAGAACGCTATCCCGAATACAATGCTTTCTGGAGAGGGAATGCAGTTTGAGCAGGCAATGTGTAAAATATGGTGTCTCATTTCGGGTTCGACCAATATTCGAACTGTATCAAACTTCCCAGATGGTACCCCATGTGGATATAATCAATATTGCATCAAGGGAGAGTGTCGGGTATAAAACCTTCATCTTATAATTGCACATATGCCAGTAATACAGATGCTGCGATGTGGCGGCGCGGCTCTTGCATACTCTGAGGCAGACTGTCCAATCTTTGCTCCGAAACCAACTAATAATAATAATAACATTAATAAAAACAAAATTAATAATAATAATAACGGAGCTAGCTCAAATAATAACAATGTTCATTCGGTGGATCGTACTACAAAGACAAATCCATACAAGGACCACAAAAAAAGTAATTATTGGAAATTGTTAAGGCATTGTATTTAAAATTTATTTGTTTTTAGTCCCATTCCTTAACGAATGGTCAGGATGGTCCGATTGGTCGGAATGTGTTACCTATGACTGCAGTAAGAAAAATTTTTGCAGTTAGTATCTATAATATTTATTATAAGGAACTCCTGGAGTGAAAGTGAGAGTTAGAAGATGCCTCGCAGGAGTATGTGTCGGGCAACTAAGAGAACGCATTTCTTGCTCTCAGCCATGTACAGGTATATTATGTATTATATTTTAATATTTTTATTAGCCAAATATCTTTAGGCTCCGAATCGCCGACTACCACCGCCGCACCACCACAACAAACATTCAGAAATAAATTTGTTGCTCCATTACCTACAAGTAAATCCCAGTGTTCTAAAAAATTTGAATTCTTTTGAAGAATTATCAATAGAATTAATTTTATTTCAGGGAGTCGATCTGTACAGACAACTACGCGAAAATTAGAAACTCCAATGTAAATTAAAACAGAGGGCGATATATTTGAAAGTAAACTATTTCTAGATGGGGTGTTTGGTCTGATTGTAGCGTCACATGCGGAAATGGGCAAAGAATTCGTAGGCGGATGAACTGCATCGGTTCAGGTGGAAAATACGTTTGTGAATTTGTATAAGTAATATATTCAGATTGTTCTGAAACTGGTTCTTGTACTATGCTAGCTTGTTCTCAAAATACTTGGACTGAATGGTCTAATTGGTCTCAGTGCTCTCTGAGTTGTGGATCTGGATTACAGTTCAGGAAACGTGCCTGCTTTGCTAGCTTCTGTAAAGGACGGGATAGTGATGCGAGAAAATGCAACGAGCAACGATGTGCCGGATCAGAAAATCCAAATGCTCCAGGAAAGTGGACGGAATGGTCTGCTTGGTCTTCATGCAGTACTAAATGCGGAACAGGACATCGTAGTCGTCGTCGAAGATGTTATCAGGGAATTTGCACAGGTGATTTTTCACGATATCATTAAATTTGGCATTTCTCGTTTAGAACGTGATGAGGAAAAGGAGAAATGCTTTGGATCGCAATGCACACACTAATTTGACACCCGTGATTTCAATCATTGTGCTCATTTGATCAAATGCCAGATAGAAAATTAATGTGCGGGTTAACAAATCAAAACTATTTGTTTCAAATTTCATACATGTCATTCCGTGTGTCGTTCAATTGTACAATTTTCATATGGTTTTTTAAATTTTAATAAAATGTACGGTTTAAAGATTTCTTTCCTACTGTTATCTGTGTGGGCTTTGTTTTTTTCAGAACGTGTGCATACATACATATGTTGTCCCGAAATCCGGATCACAGCTTTGCCGAGTAACAGCTGCTTTGCGTCTAATTTTTCTCAGCCAACAATTTTTTTTTCGTCATCTATTTTTCTGTGAAATCGCCCAATTTTCTCAGCAAATTGTGCCATCAGAAACGCGTTGTAGAGCCCCACCAAATGTGTGCTCACTAAGCTTTCTTCATTTCAATCGTCTGTATATTCTCATTATATATAATTTTTTGCACGAACAAGGAATCATATTGCAATTTCGTCATGAAATGGCCATCCAGCGAAGATCATAAAGGTTTGGTGAAGAGTGAGAAATGTTCGGATGGGAGTAATTAAAGTTTTACATCATTAGCTATAACCATAAAACAAGCATATCCTTCACACATGAGTGGAAATAGAAAATTCGTGGCAGTTTTCACAGCCCTAATATGTACCATAAACCAGGAATTATTTATCTGTTGTTGAAGCTTGTTTAAATCCGGATAATGTGAATTTAAAAAAATAAATTTTAGGTCCACGAATATCCTGGCCAAAATCGAAATTTTATCTAGGATAATCATTCTCCCATGCAAGTTCTGCATCACTTTTTCGTATTTACTTTGGGTTTTTTGTGGTAGTAGTGAGAAGTGAGTAGTGAGAAATATTGAAAGGTTTTTCTGTAAATAAGCATGTGAATTTCATGATATCGTGGCTCTATTACTTGAGCGAAAGTAAACGAAAAAATACAGAACATCATTATTTAAATGTTCAATTCAGAAACCAAGATATCGGGAATGGTGGTCTCTACATTTAGCAGAGATGTTGAATCGGTCGCATTCGCAGTTCTAGCATTTCTTCTTGGTGGGGTTATCTTATTCATATCCTGCTTTTTTGTCACAAAGTGCCTTCAATGTTATAAAGCAAGGCAGAGGAGGTAAAAAAATGACTTGATACTTTTGTTGAAAAAAAATATTGTGGACTTTAGACTTCGACGAAAAGCTCTTGGAGACGATGACGACGATGAGGATGGTGGTAACGATGACGAAGATGATGTGATAAGCGAAATCGAGTTTGAAGATGAGCAAACTTGCCAGAATCCTAACACCGCATTGGTTAAAGTGTAATGATGTCAATAAATTCGATATTTCTACCTGATTGATAATTTTGGTAAACACAACTGACCAAGGTCAAAATGTAATTACAGTTATTTTGGGTATCACATTCTCAGAAACATTTTTATGAACGCTACCACGTGATTATAAGGATTTCATGTTTTAACTAGTTTCCGACAAATTTTGAAAATCTGAAAAAAAATGCAAAAAAAAACATAATCTGTACAAATCAACAAGTTTATTCAGAAAATTCATAGTGATAATAAAGGTGATAGGAGAAAAAAACCGGATGAGCGAAAAAGCTGCTTTCAGAAAAAAAAACAAATTGTCGAAATTGTGATGAGACGTCAACAGAATAATTTTTCTATCATATTTAGGAGTAGGGACTTTCGCAAAACTTCTTTAGTTTAAAAATAATAAACCAAGCATATAGAGAAGAATATCACAAATATGCGCATGAAGATTTTCGGAGAGTTGACCAGAATCAATTAGATAATTTTTTAAACAATAATACTAGAAGCACAACAATTTCCAAAACATACTAAAAACAAAATAGAATAAGATGGGAAAGAAAAATAAAATGTCTCAAAAAAATCGAATCAAAAGTTAATTTTAAATATTTCAAGGGGGTGATGAAAAAAAAATGAAAAAAAAACTACATGCAACTTTTGATAAATTGAAATGTTCATTTTTTGGAATATTTTTATAACAAATCTAATTAATACAAACGTGTATTTTTTCATTTAAACGCCGCTCTTTTTTTTTGGAGCATGGCGGTAACTAAATCACTGAATACAGCAAGTCTTTTGTTTTCCATCAATCGAGTAACGAAGTTTGCGAAGCTCGCCCGTTGGTTTGTATTTCTCGAGGAATTGAAGTTGTTTTTGATTAAGCGCACCGCGTCTTTGTCTGAAATTGATGAAATTCTTAAGAAAAATGTAAATATAAAATTATATACGTTCTAATCATTTCCACAGCATCCTCGTACTTCATTCCGGCTTCGATCAAGGCCAATGCCACTAAAACCGGAGCACGTCCGAGTCCGGCAACGCAGTGTACAGCAATGCTCTGCTGCGGATGCTCTTTGAACGACTGTTTAATCAACTGAAGCCATTTGTTGATGATCTAAAATAACACAGTCTTGTTACGAATAATGTAAATTTAGAAACCTCTGGTGGTGGTGGAGATCCATCGCTGAATTGCCAGTCCAGCACCTCAATGCCATTAGCGCGAAGTGGATTAGTCTCATAGGTGGCTTCGCAAACGCGGACTACAGCACGAGCATCATGTTTTTGAAGCTCCTGAAAAATTTTGATTTTTTCTTTTTTTTTTATGAAACAATTAGTAATAGATTCTCCTTTTTTCTATTTGCCCACTTACACTTAATAAAAGTGCTACTTTTTAACGTTTCTGATTAATGTGCTTGATAGTTTTCTAATAATTTCTTCATTTTGTCTAATGTGTTATGAATCACAATGAATTCTCTTAGTCGGAGTTCGGCAAAAGTTTTGAAATTAGCCCAGTCACGATTAATTAATATTTCAGAGAGAGATTTCGAACTTCATCAATTTACATGAATTCAATGAAAATGCTTTTATTATTCTTTTATTATTTTTTTTATTAATCTCTATGTTTATGATATGTTCATAAATTTAAATGCCACTACAAAGAAGCTGAGTAATGCATACACATGCATATGTTTTATGGATTTTTTGACGTCAGCTAAAAAGAGAATCCATCACAAAATGTCATTTGAGCCAGTTTTCTGCGATGTGATAAATTTAGAAGATGAAAATAGCACATATCCGGTGTAAACCTAACCTCGATGTAACTTTGAATCGATGAGTTGCTTGGTCTATCAGTAATGAGAAAGCGCATGCGGCCATAGTTAATTTCCGACGGAGCAGGCTTGAAGTAGGCTGGAACAGAGTTTGACTGCGATCTCTTCTGAGTAGCCGCGCACATTTTGTCAGTTGATTTGAAATCTGGAATAGGATTAAAATTCAAACGAAAAAAAAAAGTTTTTTTTTTCGTTAGTTACCTGAATGCAATTAAGGGGGCTTGAAGTGGATCGCGTCAATGAGCGAAATTTGAGAGTTTACTGGTTTATTTTGGCAGCGTTTTGCTCTAATAGTAGTAATAACCACAGATAGTCAGTGCTGGCCACGGCAGTACTCGCCGATTGGTGCTCGCAACACTTTTGATCGGCTGAAAACAACATTACTGGTTTTTGAATGTCGAAACTTTAAAAAAAAAATGGGGAAATGAAGAAACAATCTATCTGTTGGCGATTAACTGGTTGGACACATCGTCTCAATTTTTTCAATGATCTTGTTGACCGGTTAATACAATTTTGTGAAACGCAACGTTGACATTGTTTATGACCTCCTATAGTCAGGGAAAACGATATACGAACATCGATAAAGCGTAGAAGAAGAAATAAAGAGATGGAGGGTTTTTTGCATATTTTCCATAGTAACGTATGCTATTAGTACGAAATGGAGTATGGCATGTTTCTTTTATCCATTTTCTCATTGACGCAGCCAGGAGATATTTTAAATTAAATTGAAGCAAACAGATCGTCTTTCGAAATATGACATGCCTTTGTTATATTAAAAATGGCTGACTAAGCGGCAAGTTGGTATTATAGTTTTCAATTGTTATTGTTTGCTAAATAAAGTTAAAAATTTCACTTTCTCATATCGTGCAAAAAGAGAAAATCGGAAAAGCTATAAAAAAATTCTGTTTCGACTCCATTGGACGGAGCTTACACAAACTCAAAGGTTCATTTGCGGAATGAATTACCTTGTAGAATGTATAATTATCTAATTGCCATGCTTCCATTAACAGAATATTTTTAAAATATGGATTTGTGTAAATTATTTAATTTCTTAATATTCTTGAATCGCATGTTTCATAACGCAAATATACAACACGCTAAAAGTTATGAAATATCACTACGTTCCTATTCTCCAAATTGGAACAAAAATTATTTTTGATTGCATTTTTTAAGTTACCATCCTGCTTTGTTTAAATTCCATTTTCTGAAAAGTACCTGGAAAGTGTGAAAGTGATTTCGTGGAAACCAATTCTCATAGCACTCTTTCTATCAGTGAAGCGGGTTTTAGCGGACGGGCCACCACAAAAATATTGAATCTGAAATTCAATCAATATAAATCATTAAGACCAAAATTCAGTCTAATGAACTGAGAAGAAGTAGAAAAAAGAAACGAGAATCAACACAAATTTAAAGAACATATGACAAAGTTTTTCGTCGAGAGTTGACTCGGAATAAAATGTCCTATGACTACTAGTGACAACAAAAGTCGCAAAGATATCGAATTTCTGCCAACTATAAATAATCTTTGTGACTTCTGGGTCAATTCTAGAAAAAAGAAGGAAAATAGAATGTAAGCTACTCAATAAATCCATACTACCATATAAATCATATATAAATTTATTATGGTATACAATATAACCGATCGACCAACATCTTGTGTTACGCGAAAAGGAAATGTGTACAACGAAGCTTACTCTCTACATTTTGTCCTATTTTAGCAGGGTGCTAGAGGGAGTGCGTTCGGACAGACAAATAACGCGGTCAGACGTACTAGAAATGCACCATGGGATGAGCGAAACGAGAAAAAAAAATCGAAAAATGAAATTAATTATTCATTCTGTCGTCTTGAGCAAATATTACAACGTCAAAACCATTCGAGAAAATTCTTGGAAGAATACACTTTAATCCGGCTTCTTAACAGATAATCTGGCTTTCTATGTTAAACAAAAATGCACGTAATCATTCGTTTTACGAATGAATGTATGAATATGACAAGTTTGGGCAACTCTAATCAACAACAAAAAGGCGACGTATACAAATATTTTCAATGGTCTCATGAGTCAACCTTGTTTCGTTTTTGTTAAACGCTGGAAAGAACCTAAATTATTAATTTATAGGGAACATGGTCGCGAAAAATAAAGGGAAATTCTCATCAGTCCAAATTGCGATATTCTTAGTAATATGACGTGTTTTTTAAACTAGAATAAATAATAATTTCATATCATTTCATAAACACAAGTCTGAATGTGTTGACGTACTCCAAAAAATAAATTATTCCACAGAAAGAGTAGTCTCCTTTTTTTTCATTTCTTTATTGAAAAAGAAAATGATGTCATTACATGAAATGTTATAAATTATTTCGAACAAAAATGAAATTCGGATAGCACATTATGGATGACGTCTCCCTTTTTATAGTAAAACTAAGAGCCCCAATTGCACATTGCACAAATTATATTATATTTAATTATAATCCGGAAAGTAAAAGAGTTCACAAAATTACATATCATATAGTTTGTTTACCATTTTCATTTTGTTTATTTGGAGAGCATCCAAACAGAAAACGGAGACCCCATAATTTGAGTATACTATACGTAGTATTAAATTAAAATTATAGCATTCTGAATGAAAAATTAACTCACAGACATTTTAGGAAAAAAAATTGATGGATAGGACATCAAGAAAACAAGAAATAACATGGAAATGGAGGCGTGACTATTTCGTGCAATTTGGACTGGACTGGATGGGAGGTTGTGGATGTGGGGAAAAAGGGAATGTAGCGAGCAAAGAGACGGGAAGGAGAAAATTTCGTGGCGACGACGAAAAGCCTTCGACCAGACACTCACTAGTAAAATAATATTGGACAGCGTAGTGAGCAGTGAAATGGAAGTGTATTAGATGAAGCGCAGAGAGAAACGCGGAATGAAATAGAGAGAATCGCTGCGCACGCGTTTCGCGTAGTTTGACCTGTCGGTGGCGACGGTGAAGCTTATAATATCGATCAGCTCCATCGGCAGCTTTCATTGAACAGCAAATAAATGTTATCGTAGAATCAAAATAAATCGAATAAAAATATATAATATATATATATATATATATATATATACTGCAATTTTTTTCAATAAGAGATTAACAAAAAATCTAAAGTTTACTATTTTTTTTTGTTTTGGACAAGTTTGATATTGTTTGATAAAAATTGCTTGGAAAGTTGGACACCAAAAAATTTTTTCAGGTCGATACGGATATTCTATAACAAAAATATAATTTTTTTTGTTAACTGAACTCTGAAGCACGTTTAAATCACGTACACGAAAACAAACATAAGTCACGTTCAAACACGTGATGTTTGCTCATATTTAAAACCCGTTCACCGACCAAAGCAAACTCATCCAAGATATTGTGCCGGCGGAACATTTAAGTGTGTAGAATCATGTTAAATATTCATAGCTAATGAGAGAATAAGTTAGTAACGAAGGCTCAAACTCGTATAAAATAGTAATTATTCACTTAAGTTTTAAGTCAAAACAGGTAATTTTTAATTTCAAATGGGGACGAGAATCAGGTAGATAATCTAAAATTTTTTTGATAAATGTGTAAAATCAATCATAAATAAAAAAAAATATTTGAAAAAAAAACTTATACAAAAAATAATTCCGAATAAATTGGAAGAGCGATCTCTCTTAAAGCCAATATGGAAATGAACTATAGCATTGGTAGGTGTAACTATTGTGTCAGTAATTTTATCATATTGGAATGATTGCGGTTTTAAAAAACTGTAAGATGTGAAAGCGAACCCGTAATGTAACATCAAGAATCTTCCAGAAATAAACAACGAAACGTTTGATGGGCCGTTTAATAGTCATCGCATGAAAGCCGACGTCATTATTTTTAGTTTATTGGAAATTGCGGAACAAAAAAACTGGTGCAAATAGTTACATATTTTGAAATTTCAGCGTATTTAGAAATATTTACTGTTAGAAAAAAACTAGTTTTGATATTTAAGATTTTTGGTTTACAAGATTTTTCTCGCAAGACACTGAAATCAAACAAAGAAACGCATGGTGGTTACACATTTGATTAGAAAGTTGCTACTAGTTTTCAGGCAGTGGAAAGGATTTAATTGAATATCTGCGTGCTAGGTAAAATAACACCTGACAAGTCGACAATTGTAACAAAAGTGTGGGCTCACATTTTTTTATCAACGATTGGCGTCTGACGACACTGATAAATTGCGAGCAGTTTCGTAAGAGATAAAAAAAAACGCCAACTTTTTAATTGTACGACAATGAAAAGTATAACTAAAATTCAGATATTTTATGTGTTTTTTAATAACACAGAAGTTTTTAATTCTCCTAAGAACTTTTTTAACAAAAAAAAAGTATGTTAAAGGACGGACTGTGCTATCTAAAACAATGCGCTTAATTACTCAATGACGTTTTATGTGTACATCTTGATAATGTGACGTAATTACTTTTTTGGTCTCAGCCTACGGCAAGCGTGAACTTGAGGTTGATCAAATGGATCAATTTTAGTGATATTGAAAAAAAAGCGACGATTGAACAACTGCAAAACAAAATAAATTGTTAAATACATTTTGATGCTATTTAATGGCATAATTATTGGCTGTTGACAATTTTGTTGTTAGCTTACTACTTTTATTTTAAGTAATAATTATTGCTAAGCAAAACTGTTTGTATCAATTATATAGGAATAAAAGGAAATATAAAATAAGTCTTGCAACAAATCAAGAAAATATTTTTTCATCTTGTTAGATCAAATTATTAATATAAATTATTATCTCAATTATTAATGTCACTATTCAGATTTTGCAAGAAATTTAATAAACCTGTTAAAAATCATAAAAATCTCGAAAAATCCAATACAATTTCCGCAAAAAGGTATTTTTTGAGTTTCGTGAGCATTTTCTTTCAAAATATGCATAGTATTATAAGAAATCATTATATTTAACCATCTCATTCAAAAAAATTATAGCAATAGACCAGTATTCGCGAGATTTTAACTATATAACTACAACCTCATTCAGTGCAACACTTTATCATCATACGTTTTTTATTTCCACAAGGACGGCGAGTCGCGTTCTTTTCAATTCACGATAAAATATTCAAGTTTCGCCACGTTTTTCGCTGGCGATAAAAGGCAGGTATACTTTTCACACAACACAAATAGTTACCATTCTCGAGTGTTAAAAAAGCATTTACGCCATTATTGTATGTACACAATATGCAGATTTTTTTGGCTTGAAGTTAATCTTTGACAGCATTTTGTTTGATATATTCTTTATTAAATGATGCCCATGAGATTCTACAATATGTTTTCTGACTTGTCAACCAAGGAAATCTTAGTTTTAGCAATGATATTTTCGCTTTAAATTTGGTCCATTGGAAAAACATCATTTTAAAAATCAAATTTCTTAGTTTAGAATAAAGAAACTATAAATAATCTTATCCTGATGACCTCGACGCAAAAAAGAAAAAGAGGAAGAGTCTGACGAAATTATGTTAAAGAGGTGTCAGTTTTGTTCGCCTCGAAAATAGACTTGCCATCATTTTTCATTTGGGTGACCACAGTAGTCCACTGGCGCCGAACACTTTCATTCAACTGTCAACCCTCGCTGGCCACGATTTATGTATATGTTTCGTTCGGCAACCACCATCTGAACCTCGTTACCATATTCCAAAGTCTCTCACCCGGCCATATTTCTGACCCCGGCTGATCCAATTCGTCACCCCTCGTTTATAGTCAATTTTGCGGTTTCCAACATTACAGGCTTGCAAATCACTTTTTTATTTGTTATACTTATTAATATTTAAAACAATGTCGGCTACCCTCGAAAGCCAATTATTATGACTCATGTTGTAATTATGGTTAAACATTGTGGGCGCGCTCGACCATGTCGGCTTAGTGCAAAGAATTATTTCTTAATATTTTACCGCCGCTGACATTTTTGTACTTTACACTCACACATGACGGGTATTATTTTTCATACTAGATCCTCTACTGTTTTTCGAAAATTTTATTTTGAAGATATATCAGTTTTCTCTTTTTTGGATCTTATTAATATTTCATTTATACATTTAGAAAAAAATTTTATGATTATTTTCAGTGATATTGAATTTTTATTTAAAAGAGAGGGACGGTTATAGATTAAAGGAAAATGGGGAAAAACATATTTAGTGTGTATAAATGTTTTATTATTTATATATTCAAATGTTGGACTGATTTTACTTGTGGAATTTATTTTCTGCAGATGTTGCATTTTTCCGTGCAAAAAGTATGAATGTTTAAATGTTGTCACGGGTTTTCGATTTTTTAAATAATATAAACACTTATCGCAAGGTTGTGAAGTCAGTCCTCTTAATTAAATTTGTAAACTTAAATGTGTTTGTACAATTCTCTTTTCCTAACTAAAGTTGTCCTGCGTCCTTATAATATAAACATTTTCATTAAAATTTCGCAGCTCGTGGCTAGTTTCGCTGATCTGCGTCGCGAAGACAATTAATGAATTGATTTATCGGATATCGAAAATGCGTTCCGAATTGAAAGAACAGATATAAAACGAAGAGATGAATCGCGAGGTGAGGTGAAACAAACAAATGATGAAAAGCAATAATTCGATTTGTGTGGTAAAAAAGATTTGGTGGAGTGCTGCTGTGATACGTTTATTTCGTACAATAGGTTCAGCTAGAAGTATCACAATTTTTATAAAATGCTTGCTTTTTCTTTTTCAACTCAACCAATATTATTGATAACGATGTGTCAAATTTAACACTTTTGAAAGAATCAAACGGGCTGTGTGTCGCAGCACTTATCAGTCAGCCAATTTGTCGGCCTCACGTTTCATTTGAAAAGAAAAAAAAAGAAGATGAAGATGAAACAGAGTCGTCTTCTCCTTCAATGCCTTTTCGCAAAACATTAACATAACAAAAAATAGTTTGCGATGGTTATCTTCGATTTTTTTTCGGTTTCCTAAAAAATGCTGCGTTGGTTATCTCGTGTCCTTTGTTTTTTCTTTTTTTCGGCTCCTTCCCAAATAATTGGCCTCAATGACAAATCACTAGTCGAAACCCCTCGTATGTACACAATTATTTTTTGTCATTTTGAACCCAAGGTCCTGTTGCATTGTTTCCCTATGCAACACTCTTTCACTTCTCGCTTCTTGCTTTTATTTTTCTATGCTGCACAAAACTTTGATTTGAAAAATAAAACCGCTATTCAATAATAATGAAGTGATTGAGATGTTTAGACGTTTTTTTTCTGTTTATTGCGGATTCTCGAAAATCGAGAAAAAAAACTGCGCTTAGCTCATTTGCACAGAAAAGCTTGGCTATTTTATGACAAGCAATAAATTCAAACTTTTTGTCACACTTAAAGGTTTTTCTACGAATACACAAACTAGCATATATAACGTAGTGCAATGTGGTCCAGTCAGTTCATTAAATTTTTTGGAAATCATCGAGATATGCTAGGGTTTATAAAAATAAATAAGAATTTCTTTCGAAGAGAGACTTGTATGTGCTTTCGGAAATCTTAGAATTTCCGACAACACGATAATCGGCTTCCGCACAAGTCCCCCCCCCCCAATTGTTGGTGTCTGATGTGTCATTCATGAAAACAAAAACGAGCCAACACATGCTCCGAATATTTCTGATTTTTTTTGTTTCAAGGAGCTCCAAATGTCAAATGTCAATTCATTTTCGAAAGCCTGTCTTCAACTCGAACTTGCCCGAATTGCATCAACGCATTGAGACAGCGAGGCCTGAAAAAAATAGATCGAAGAAAATGAAACGACATACCAATGTGACATGTGCAATGTTTCATAAACCTATGTCATTTATCTGTCAGCAGACAGTTGCCTTCATTTCCATCTTCCTCGATTTTGTGTCGCTTTCTTTTGCGTTGCGGTTCTCGTCACCCCCACCCCTTTAGCTCCACCTCTCCATTCCAAAAAATGACCGAGACGACCCCTTCGCATTTCTTGCAAATTGTTGCCTACCATTATATGATACGTTTTATTGAAATTCACACACCTTTTGTGTTTCACAATTATTATTCCGGCAAGCACGCAATATAAATTATTCTGACAAGCACGCAAATCCTTTAAATAACAACGCATTCCTTATAAGTCGACATTTTCTTTTTCTTTTACTCATAATCACGACTTTTTAGAAGCGTGACAGCTTGCCTCAGATTATGGAGTCAATCTCTCTTGTTTGTAAAAACTTTCCTTTTTGGAGAAAATTTTACTTTGCTCAATGTTTTGGTGTAGTGCAAGAATAATTTCGAAACCTTGAGATTGTGTGAAGAGTGTGCGTATAACTGGTGTATGTGTGTGCCGCGGCGTAAAGATATTGATGACGGCTAATCAACTATTATTTGCAACCCACTTGACTCGTTTTTTTTTGTTGAGAAGATTAATTTTATAATCGGGAGCAAAATTAAACTTATTTAAATGTGATTTTCTTGTTATAGAATTATAACGTTTATTACAAAAAAACACTACATAGCCTTAGAAAAGTTGGACATTTGTCCTTTTCTTTAAATAAACACTAGAAAATCTCGAATTACGTCATGAAAATCATCTTTTTTGTTTAAAATTGGCGAAAACGAGAACAGTAGATTCAAAAAGGCTTCTCCTTAATTCCATTTTCGTTGAGATGGGTGTCATTGTACGTGAGTCGGCTTGCACTAACTCAATTTCAAAACCAAATGCGCTCTACACATTGACAGCCCTTTTTCTACACTTTTTGTTCACAGAGTCTCTCACACCCTCCGCACATCTATTTTCGTAATCCAACTCTTTAAAACGATTTAATCCAATAACGCCGGGTGCCGAGTTGTATCTTTCTTTCAAATTTTTTTCTTTTTTTTTTAAGAATTTTTGGCCTCGAAATATTGAATTTGTGGAAGGACAATTCGTTTCAAAAACGCTCATTTATTCCAGGTTATGTAAAATGAGCCTCAGTCTTGCACTAATCATATGTCTTTTTCAAAATGCACTTGCCAATATAAATATGTTCATAAGTAAAGAGGAGATGAATAGAACGTTGGGTAATCCAATTATTTTGCTAGATGTTCATATAATAAGCGGATTCAGGTGTTAAAGCCGAACTGAATTATATTGAAATGGGTAACATCAACACATATTCAACAAAATTCCATTACCGCGTTGTTGCAAATGTTGATTATGTATCGTTTACTTGGAATTCTGTTGGAAAAGTTGATTACGATGTACGAATTGAATCAGACGACTCGTCAGTTCTCCCAATTATAAGGATTCCTCCGAAGGGAACGGTTCCCAACAACTTGCAAGGTAGTTTCCAATATTGGAAATAGTTTTTCTTTGGTTTATAGAATTCAGCGTGGAGTACCGCTGCGCCGGGCATCGTTCGGGACAATTTACTGTCAACTTATACTTCAACTTTTATTATGACTCAAAAATTCTACCAGTCAAACTGCGCCAAGAAAAAATCTGTCAATCAAGAGACGGAAGACGTGGGCTTACAGGTCTGTTCCATTTTTTTGTTCTCATATTACAACAAAATAACTTTTTTTAAATGGAAGCTATACACTTTTCGTGTTCCCATGACCGGTGTCGTTGATGACATTTCGGGATGACATGACTAATACGAGTGTGACCATTTGTCAAACAACATATTTTTGAAACAAAAATTGAAAGTTTTACTGATGGAATTAAATTCCGTTTTTTTTTGTTCACTGTGATTTGAAATATACCAAATTTTCAATGCAATACTTCGATTAACCTCTTCATCAAGTAAATCGAATCGTAATTCATGCCCAAAATCCGAATTCAATAGACATAATTGAATCTACATCCGCTTTCCAGGAAGCTTTCTTTTGAAATATGGCTCTTCTATTTATTTAATTTTGCAGGAGCTTACGACGGAATCGAATTGGAAGAAGAGGACTCGGTGGATCGGGTGTTTTTCATCATTATTTGCATTGCCACCTCATTTCTACTCATCGTGGCAGCCACGCTAATATGTTATTTCAAACGATCGAAGAAAGATGACTTAATTCAGACAAGAATGCCGTAATTATTACAATACAAACTCTTTACAAAGGCCTGATTTGACAGGTCCTCGTTTCGGAACTCTCTCAAATCAACAAAAAGCGCGCAACCTTTTCTTTTGAATACTTCAAGAGAAGGTACAAATATTTATTTATGTGCATAGAATAAAAGTTTAAGGAGCTCATACATTTTCGGCAGCTTCTAGTGCTCCTTGCTCATTAACTTCAGTCACCTCTATCACACCAGACAAGCCGAGAAATGTGAGCTTGAATTATATACCTAATTTATGCATTTTTCCCAGATTGATGCCCGAAAAGCTCTTATTCAACTTTATCAAGATCGAGAACTGTTCCAGCCTCTTCCTTTCATAGACATTGAAGGTTTTAAATTATATTCAAGCTTTGTTTTCATTATAGTATTCAGGAACATTTGGGGAAGTGAGATTTGCAATTTGGCGTCAGACTGAAGATCAATTGAATGGAGATGTTGACGATGAAGAAGATGCAATTTGCAATCAAGAAGCGGTTTATTTTCTCTTCTTCACCTTATTTTTCCCTCTATTTATTTTCTTTTAGGTTTACACAAAAACACTCAAGAAAAATGCGACCCCAGTGCATTTGGAGAGATTCTTGAATGAAGCGCTTCTTTTCCATAATATCACTCCACATACAAATCTGGCGCAGGTTTCGTGCATCGCGAGTTTCGGAAGATTTGATTGTCCTGAAACAGTTACTGATTTTCCGCTTATATGCTATCGGCATCAAGGGTTCGGAAACTTGAAAAAGTTTCTGCTCAACTGCCGAATGGGTGACAAGTCGAAAGGTCAGGAGACGCCACGCCAGTAAATGTGATTTACGAGCAAATTTCAGGCGCTCAGACTTTACGAACTCATCAATTAGTTAATATGGCAACTCAATTGGCATCAGCGGTTGCTCACTTACATAAATATCGAATTATTCACAATGATATTGCCGCAAGGTTTGGGGATATCGAAATTTGAAAAAGAAAGGCAACATCTTTAGGAATTGCTTGGTTGCTGATGTTCACAATCGTTTACATGTTCAATTATCCGATGCTTCCTTGTCGCGTGACCTATTTCCTTCTGATTATCACTGCTTAGGTGACAATGAGAATCGTCCATTGAAATGGATGGCTCCAGAGGCAATTGCAAGTGGGATTTATTCCTCCGCTTCTGATGTGGTACGTTCAATGTTTTACATTTTTACAAGTTTTAAAATTTTTTTTCAATTTCAGTGGTCCCTTGGAGTTCTCATTTGGGAATTAATGTCGCTTGGTGCTTCTCCGTTCACCGAAATTGAACCCGAGGATATTTATGCAGTAATCGTTAAAGGTGCACGATTGCATCAACCAAGTAACTGTCCAGATCAGCTGTAAGAGTAGTTAAAATAGCCTTAAATTTCCAATTTAATCATCTAGATACAAAGTAATGCTGTGTTGCTGGCGCAACATTTGTGAAGAAAGACCACATAGTGACCAAGTTCTTCAGGGTCTCCGTGATTTCAATATTCAACTCAGTCAATACATTTAATAATCAGTCATCATTTTATTGGGCAGTCAGTTGACAAAAAATTAGCCAAATTATCACGGGTTGTACTTTGTCTTGATTAATAATATTCAAATAAATAAATATATTAGTCATAAATTATATCAATTATAGATTCAGCATTGCTTGAGAATGGTAAGAAGGTTAATTTTGTAGCGTCGCAAGATGTCAGGCAGAATCTTAAAAAAAATAAATTTCTGATTAAGGTTATTTGGAAAGTACCTTCCAACACCACAGTTGTTTGTTCTGTCGCACCATTTTTTGGTACAGCATATGGTTTTGTTGCCACAATTGCTATCGTTTCTGCATTCATTTTTCATAAAGTCTATAATAATCAATATTATGTATGATTAAAATTGCGCCAAAATTCTCTACTCATTGCATTATCCATTTCAATTCGGATTGGTCTATTCTTTCGATTATCCTTTGTATATTCGTTATACAATCTTTTGTCGTCTTCGTAAACAATTGCCTTTGAGGGGGATCGTCTGAAAAATAATTATGAATGGAATTGAGAATAGCGGGAGTTTGCCTCAATTCGCCAGCCACAATTCCTAAATGTGGAATGTCTCCTTTTTTCATTGGGTACCACATTCCTGGAACATGCTGTTCTACCGGAGCTGGAACTGGAGTGATTTCGGGAGGATCATCAGATTCCATATCAGAACTGATATGATGCAGCGGAGATGTCGTTGAAAATGTTCGCTTTTCTATTATGTACGGCTTCTTGTTGTTTTTCAACGGCTCACGATCGATTGTAGGGCCTGAAATATTTATAAAATACTGTTGTGAAATTAAAGTAAAATATACTTTTAGTCGGAATTGTAACCTGAATCTCAAAATCCTCGGTTGTTGTTGTTGAGGGCATTGTTGTCGTCCAATCAAAATGATTGCTGTAAAAAATTTAATGTGAATATAATACTAATGAAATTCACTTTTCATTGCCCTCGTTGAATAATTGAAGTAGAGCCTTGTGATCTGTTAATTCTTCCACCGTAGGTTCTGCGCTCAATGCCTTAGGAATTGGAAACCCGCTTATTTCGATTTTTGAAGAAATTGGAAATTCGATGTGTTTGAATTCTCTGTACAATTCTGAGTATTTGAATATATAATGTATGTATAGCCCACTCTTTATCAAATTCTGGAATTTCCTCGGGAAGTGGTGTTATCGTGATTGTCGTTGGTGTTGGTGTTTTATGCTTTTTTCGATTTTTTTTTGGCTTGACGGTAGGCTGAAATTGAATGTCAAAAACTAAAAGTTAAAAAAAATAAAAACCTCTTCGATAAAAATTTTTTTAATATGAGAAGGTGGAAAAGTGGTTGAGACGTTATCACTGATATCTAATTTAAGGTCGTAATTTTCATCTTTCCTTTAATTTATTAAACATTATTGAATAAAATATATGATATATATATATATATAAACTTAAGCTTCAAGTTTTCAAGTCTGAATTCTTGTGAAATCAGAGATGGGATAGATTCCGAATTTGGTAGAGTAGTTGTTTCAATCATCACAAATTTATCCACTGATATCGGAGGTTCTGAACTTAATTTGAAATTGCGTAATGGAATAACGCACCACTAGAATGTTTTGTAGGTGGAATTACTGTAGTTGTTGGAGGAAACCATTTCCTCACAGATTTTGTTGTTCGTTGAATGTTTTTTGCGTAATCTTCATTAACGAATCTAGACATTCCCCTGAAATACAATACAAAACCTTAATAGATTCAAAGACTTTCGGAACTTTATATTATTTGGTTCTGATTGTTGGTTTATGGGCGTTGCTGGAATATGTTTTACCTTGTCCGTATCAAAGGAAACCTCTTTATCGTCAGGAAAGTTTTCTGAAATTCAATATCTCTTACTGCAATAATTATAAGAATTTGAACCTTGAGCGGGAGGTATTAAAATCTTGTTAACGCTGTAATATCTAAATTTCTTCGACTACTATTCATGGTGTCTTTTAACAAACCTAACGTTTTTTTCGAAGATTTTCATACAAACGCCTGATAGACATAGAAACCCTTTTTCGCACGGTTGGTTTTCATTGCAAATTCCTTGGAATATGTGATTGTTGCAAGTTCATTGGTGGTGTATTGTGATTTCGGTATGCGTTCTTTATTTGTGATATTACGAAATGTGAAAAGAAACGTGCAACTTCAAAAATCTTTATTTCATGCTATTCATTCGCTTATATACAAAAATAAGAACCATGCATCATGCTTTTCATGACGATCTACCTGCAAGACGTCGTTTCCGCCGTATTTCTTGAAGTGATTTGTCTACGCTTGCATCTTTTATTGAATATTCTTAAAAAAAAGATTCGGTGTATATAAGTTATCAGAAAAGATCACCGCCATTTTCTTTTGCTTCTTTGCATACTCCAGAATGTTTCATGTCTTGAATAAATCCTTGTTTGCAATTGCAACGACCAAAGTCGCAATACTGGTTTGAAGAGGGGCACTCCTCATCAGAAGTGCAATCTTCAAAGAATATTATCTTGAATGTAGCTACATAGTTATTAAAGCCAAATTTGCTATCTTATGTAACAAAATCCTTTTCAATTAAAGAAATAAAATATAAATTAGAAAAATTCGTACTTCGCGAAATCCACATGCATTGGCAAGATTGACAACCTTGATTGTCTATAGCTATAAAACAATTACGGCCACAAAGTACTGGCAATGGACAATCTGAACATAGTAGATTAGAACTTGAGGTGTTAAAAAAGCTTCACCCTTCGTGGAATTGTCTTGAGTTGACTCAATTACTGCTTCAACACTAACAGTTTCAACGTTTTCAGGAACTTGACCAGAATAGTTTTGCTTTTCGTCTATTGTTGTGGAAATGTCTGTGTCTAAGCAATTAATTCTTAAAAGAAATTTTTTAAATATTCAAACCTTCCAAAGACAAATCTCCAGACTGAATTTCTGTTTCTCTTTGCACTACATCTGCACTAGCCAACGATTTTTCTTGAACGACATCATTAATTTTATCTTTGTTTGAAAGAATTTCCGCAGACGATACATTTGAGTTCTCAACTGATTCATCTTCACTTTTATAACCAGATCCCTCTAAATATCTTAAATCGAAAATTTGCAGTAATATCTAACCTTCTGCTTTGGTGACAATCGGTTCAAATAGATCTATCGGAATTGCTGGAGGCCCTCTATTCTCAACGGTTTTGTCATTTCTAGTATTCCTTTCGTTTTTCACTTCCTCGTCAAGAGTGAACAAAATTTTCTGAATGAATTATTAAAGCAAGTGAGGTTTGTAGGAGTTACCTCTGTGTCAAAGGGAAAATCATAATCCTGAAGCTGAGGTGCCGCTGCATAAAGCGAAAAAGTTAAAATGAAAGAAAAATAGGCAAAACTGTTCATACTTCACAATGTGCCTATAAATTGAAAATTATATAACCTGGTTCAAGAACGGTAGACCTTGATACTAGAAGGACACTTATTCAATGAAAAGCTGGTTTAATGTACTTGAATAAGAATTACACAAATTTGACAGAAAAATTCTTGAACAAAGTTGAAGTGAACTGATGTTTGATTCAATTCATATTTCAGGAATATAAGAAAAGACAACAAAAAATCGTCTATATAGAAACAACTCGTTAGAACGCGAACAGGTCAATTGTATGGTCGTGCGTTTCTTCTCATATTAATGGGAAGGTTCACTCACTTTCACCTTCGCTTCGCACCGAGACAATTGAGGTTGAATTTTGCGGTAGTAAAATGTATGCATGTTTTATAACCGAGAACGGTTTCAAGCTGAACACTATGCGTATATGTCTGTGTGTACTTGAGGACGGAATGCCTATTAATATGAGTGGAAACGGAAATCGTTATTGAAAAGAGAATCGAATAGATTAAACGCGGATTGCCGTTTTTCCGAAATAATTATGGAATTGGATTGCCTTAATAGGATTGAAAAACACTTAACATTGCATATACAATTCGTATAATACTGTACCAAGTTTTAAATGCTCGTGTCTCTAGAGCAATATTATTTTAACGTTTTAACACCTCGCTAACAAATCGATTATAATAAAATGAAATGCCATAATGAAGAATAGAGGGATAACAGTTGAACAAGAAGAGTTGAAAGATTATTGAACTTTCCTATATAAATACTCGATAACCAAAAGAGTATTTGAAGTAAAATATATAAATTGAACGTTAAAATTTATTAACTCACCCTATTACCTATTAACTTAAGACATTATTCTATAGTTTCCATTCTAAAGGAAAAACCATAGAAGATCAATGAAAAGCTGAACAAAATGAAAAACGGGATTAAGTAATTAAAACTTTCAAATACCGCAACATTCTTTTTGTTTCCGCTTCAATAAAAAGTATACTTCTGTTATATTATTTTTAGTTTTTCTTGGTTCCATGTCGCGATAAAAAAGAAATAGTTTGATGGAATTTCATTGTGGAAAAAATAAAATTTTCACGATCTTCAACGAAAATCTTGCGAAATTTACCGTCTTTTTGAACTAAAATTCAACAAGATTCATTAAAAAAAATAAGACGTATGAAAAAAGAAATCTGTATATTGTGTTAAGAATTCAATAATTTTTTAAAATGTTTATGAGGATATTAATAAGTTTTTGAACAATATTTACATAGAATTGTTCGTGTGTTGAACAGGAATCTTTAAGTTGCTATCATGATGATCAGAGACTAGATTTGTAAACGTAATTAGACATTATCTCTTTAAAAATTTGTTAAATAACACAAAAATTCGTGTCCGGCATTTTTTATTGCATGGCACATAGGGAACCCCGTGTCAGTTCCCACTTTTCAATTATTTATCCAATTTCGATATATGTATCTACCAAGAATGAACATCGTGTCCTGACTACTACATTATCAAGTTTTTGTAAACCATGTTATTACATTTTATTGTCCAAATGGATATTGCTATTACAAACGGAATGTGTTCTGCCGAGCTTGATTATTTCGCAAGTTGGATTTACGTGTTACAACGCTGGCTGCTTAACTCATTTTTTCATATTGGTTTTCTTGGAATAGAACGTGTGTTATATCAAGCGTATTTCGATATTCTATTTTTAAACAAGTGGCGTATGTTAAACGCCATCTGAAATTTGCTCCGCAATAGAATCAAAAGTTATTTGTGACAAGAAAAAATTGAATACTCACGCCAACAAGTATTTATATTCTATGTACTATTAAGCTTTTTCATCCAGTTTTTGTTTTACTTTTTTTCATAGATACCGAAAAACTCTTGTAATCATTATTTGATATAATTTTGGTTTCATTTTTAGTGTTGCCATAAGTCCATTACTTTCAGTGTAATATAGCATTTGTTGTATTTTCAATTACATTTTCCACGATATATAGAAAAATATTTGTATCTATCTTTCCAAATTAGAATTGATTACACGATGTGGAAATAATTCGGACATTCATAGAAACTTTTGCTAACCACTGTTTTACGAGCATATTTTGTATTCTTGATTTCAGGAAGTAGATTAGAAATGGAGAGCAACAAACGGATGAATTATAATGAACTTGTCAAAAAATCTATTGATCTGCATAATGAGTAAACTAGAAAAATCGTAATTTTTAAAGTATTAATTGTAAGTTTTCAGAAATGAGCAGCTTAAAAATGACAAAATGACAATTTCTGAAAAGCTTAGAGCTGCAAAAGAGGTTAAAGATCAAGCTTTGTTTGCTCTCAGAACATTGCTCGAAGCGTTTGAAAGTAAGGTGGAGCAACTTAACTGTAAAGAGCAGCAATTGCAATCTGCCGTTAATTTGTTGCGTATCAATCAAATGGCTCAAAACGATGCCGCTGAAAAGATTGCAATGATGGAATTTCAATTGAAGCATTTTCAAAAAAAATCGTATAAATTTGAATCAGCCAATAAGAAACTGGCTGAAAAATTGCGAAAAAAAAAGAAGCTCACTATACAAAGAAGAAAAACGAGAAAAGAAGCATGCGATATAATTCCAGCTCCGAAGACGTAGGATAATGAAAATTTTAAATAATAGTGATCGATTTAGGAAACGAAGGAACATACAGCAATTGGATTAAATTTGATGAACAGCACGATCTTAAAATATATATATATATATATTTATTTATTTATCCAATCTAACTCCGTTTTGAATCACCGTTTTTCACACTTTAGAAAATAATTCTAGTATTTATAAAATGAAATAGATTTTTTTATTAGATTTTTCATTATTTCATTTTTTTTTTTGAGATAATTATAAATTTAATATATATTTTAATAAACTTGATTTATTTTAATTCATTAATCTTTTAAATAGTTTTTTCCATAAATATGTATTTCTAACTATTAGTTGGCAATTTGCCACGCCAAGTTGCACCTAATTACATCATCGGCACATAAACATTGATATTGTAGAACAAACGATTCAATTAAATTTTATGGAATAAGGGTAAATTACGAATTTATTTTTATTGTGCAATGCAATCAATTTGTCAGGCACTCCTGATAAAAATGGTTTTTTTGAATCATCTGAAATTATTTAATTATTTAATTTTTTTTGAAATACCAGTGACTACTGAAAGCGCAACAAATAATGATAATAACGATCCAAGTGCCAGAAACAAATTGGTTTGCATCGTTTCTGAAGGAAAATGATAAAAATCATTTCGTATATTTTTTTTAATATTGACTTTAAGAATCGCTTATAACATTCCTTGCAAACTTGATAAACAAAAAAGGCTTTAAACATTTTATTAAATGCATTGCCTAATACAAGAAAAATGTTGAATAATTATCTTATCTTCATTGTAAAAAATGTCAAATATACAATCGTATATTCGACACGCCTCCATTACATTCGTATATATCGCTCGAGTACACTATTTCCTGACGTCTTATCACGTTTTGTGGACAGCACTTCGTCATTTTATTTCTGGTGGTGAATGAAACAGTTCTCAATACTTGTATTTATTTATCAAAATAATAGCTATACACAGATAAAATTAGTATTGACGTGGGTATCCTGGGTAGTTTCCTGGGGGTGGCGGTGGAACGAATGGACTTGGTGTTGGATTGGAGTTCATTGGATTTACATACGGCATTGGCTGTCCTGGGACGGGCAAAGGTTGCGGGAACTGTCCCGGATTTGATGGATATGACGAGTTTTGGTACGGCGAGTATCCTTGATTTGGCAAAGGGGGCGCTTGATTTGGCGGAAAATAACCAGTTTGAACATAGTTGGGTGTAGCACCAGCTCCAATTGGTGGCGCGCCGTATGGTCGCGGTTGTCCTGGTACCGGTGGTGGATAGTATGGAGAATTTGGTTGCATGCCGATTCCTGCAGTACGTACAATATTACCACGCGAACGTGAAGAGCAAGAAGAGGAGGAAGATGATGATGAACATGATGATCTTCTCCGGTAACGCATCTAGAAGATAGATCTATATGAAGGACGAGAAAGTTTACATTGTAAAAAAAGAGGAAATCGTCGGACCGAATGAAGAATGATAAGACTGTCTCATGTTAAATAGGCAAATTCACAAAAAAGACGAGAAATCGATGGGCCGCGTGATGCGATGTGCAAACATTGATATGAGTAATTCGAAAAGTTCAATTTCATCACACATATAATATTTATCAATATTTAATTTTGATACCGAAGGTATAGCAAGAAATACTTTCTCTAGTTCGAAATAATTTTCAGACAATTTTCCTGGAGATACTCAAATACTTTTTAAAACAATATTTTATTGCAAACGTTACAAAAAATTAAATTTTCCACAGTCATCAAGAATGGCGAAAACTTGAAACTTCACAGCTTCGGTTGTCACAGACAATGCAGCCGCCTTATTTCTTTCTTTGTTCAAGAACTTCATCATTTGAATTAGTTCTCCAGGGCTGAAAAAATAAATTATTAAAAACTTGGGACAGTAACTTACTATTCCAATGTTCCAAAATCATCTAATTGCTGTTCAATAATATTGTGGTATATGACATCCACATTAAACTCGCAATCGATTTCAATATGCAAAGTTTCGAAATCATGGTGAAGTTCGCCCTTAATCCACTTCTGTAATTCAATATTTAATATCCACATAAGATTCGGCAGAATGTACATGAGCAACTTGATTTATCAAACACTCCGTTATAAAATTTGTCTTGAAATACAAAAAGCGATATTTCATGTTGAGAAGCCATTCATCCGTTATTATGCAATCAGCTCTCAGACTGACATATTTAGCATTTCGGAACTGAAATATTTTTTTATCTCAAAATGTAATTAAATAATTATTATAATTACGGCCGGCAGTTCCAAAATTTCGGGTAAAATTGTCACAGTGTCGACATCATAATCATCCGGCTCGATAGAAATTAATATTTCCGGTACTCCTGTTTTCACCATCGTCATCACATCCTTTAACTTCAAAGAGTTGCAGAAAACCAGCTCTACCTTATTATAATTTAGTTTCGAAAGCGACCATTCATCAAATGGAACGTTATTCTGAATTTTGAAGATTTTGCTAAAATGGCAGCTTGTTATCATACGGCATAGAACTTGAAGTCCTCAACCCAATACTTGGATTTCCCAAGGATGAATGTATAAAATTTTTTGGCAGCTGTATAGTATCCAACATTCCTCAAGGTCCATTTGTTCTTAGTGCACACATTTGCCTGGCAACATTGTCTAAAATGCATGTTAATCATCTTAAAATTTCCTGTGATAACCCTTCAATTATCGTATTCTTTCCACGATAGTGAAATATAATTCGATGTACCGTATCGTGAACCCTTCCCGGGTTACGATATTTCGTGAAAATCTCAACGGATTCCTGAAAAAAGGTTGTTCTTCTAGGATGAATTTTAAAAAAATCATATCCGACACTGGCTGAACTTTTTCGAACCCAATGTTGGCAAACAGGAAGAGGTGTGAATAAATCAAGACGCCTCATTCGTTTGGAACATAGCGATAACGATACTCTATAGTTAAACATTACGAGTTTTCTTATTATCTGTGCAAACCTTGAATGGAACGGAAGAAAATTGTAGATGTTATGAATGACTTCGTCGGGAAGATCATTCAAGTCTGGGAAACCTCCAATGTATTGGATAATTTTGAATTCTTTACGGGTGCATTGCTCAACAGTCAAGGCCATCTTTAGATCTCTGAAAGCTACTAGAAGCTTTACCTGTGAGAGAGAAATCGACAATCAGAGACGAAACAAAAATGGAAATGAAATAATTTTATTATATGTTAGCTAAAAAAAATATGAGATCTCAATTTATGTATTATGCATGATAACACATGTCTTCGATTACAACTAGCCGTCTGTGTAAAGGGAATTTTTGGAATAAATTTATGGAAAAAAGCTATTCAGCGTTTTAGTGTGACGTTTGTGCGAAAAGAAAGAAGATTTTTCATTACTCGAGCCCTGTGTTGCGCAGGCAGCGTGCGAGAGTGCGAAGCGCTTTCAAAAAAGGCAAGATGTTCGCATTACACACTATGCTTATCTGTCTATGGCAATTATTCTACCTTACTCAGCATAATATTGATTTAACACAAGAAAAAATCGAAAACGAAGACATCGACAATTCACCTTTTCGGCGAAGGGTCTCAAAAATGTAAATTTTTGTCGCGTTGCTTAGCGCTTTTGATGCTTGTGCAGAATTTCCAAAAGGCAAAAAAAAAAATTGAAATGTGAAACAAAGCAAGAGACTAAAAAATGTGATGCGTTTATCACTCTTTGACAATTTTTAATTTGGGAATCGCAAAATACATGCAGCCAACTGCCACAAAACAAAATAAAAAATATTTACAAAGAATATGTTTTTTGAAATGTCCTGAAACATTATATAACCTTTCATAATTTTCAAGAATTTAAATATTTTTAAAAGTTTAATAAAAACGTTCACAAATCGTATAATAAGTTCTCAAATCGGTTAATAAATTTTTTAGTGCTGGAGTATTAATAGCCAGACACTACATGAGCATATCCAATAAAAATGTTTTACAAAGATTTGAAACAGTGCAGATTAAAACCTAACCAATACATATTTAAATAGACACACATAAATTAATAATGGATATGAAATATAGAAAAGAACGAAATTCGAAAAATTATATTTTCTATATTTAAAATAATTAAAGATATTGTTAACTACAGACACTTCCACAGAAGTATAGCCTCATCCATATTTTTTTCAAAAAATGACGTTTTCACGAATTTTCAAAAATCACGTGTATTATAAAAATATAGCTCGGTGGGTGTTTTTTTTAGTATTCCATATTAGATTTACATTTACTGAGTCATTAAATAAAATATGCTTTTTTATTCTGAAAATTGCGTTTGGCGATCAACAAAAAAGTAGCTTCACTAGCAAAAAAAACACTTTAAAACAGAAAATAACAACAGTAACATAACAGAAAATTGGTTTAATAGTCGAATGGTTTTTCCTGATTGGGTGCCACTTGGCAGAGTCGAGTGTCTATCGATAAATAGGGAATGCCAATCGGTTTGGTCGACTTTCTTCCAAGTCTTGATAATCGCCAGTTTCAGCTGTTTTAAATTATCGTACGACTTATTTCCTTTGCAAATCTTGTTGGCCATGTATCCTTATACGTTTTCGATGGTATTCAAGTCCGGGGAGCAAAAAAGCCGATCGAGAACTGGAATATTCCTCGCTTGTATCTACGCGAAGTCCCATTTCTGATTTGATTTTGGTGCACGTAGTGAAAGTATTTGATTATTTTCGGAGGATTATTCTTCTTTCTCGGCTAAAAATTACGGCTGAACATTCAAGTCGTGTCGTAGTAGCATATTCTGATGGATTTTTCAGATAATTAATGATCTCGTTTGGGCTGCGCTCCAAGCTCGAGCGATATGTCGATTCGAAAGACCCCGATCATGTTTGGCAATAACTTGGCCTTGCTCAAACGCCGAAAATGGTTCACATGCTAGTATTACTTGAAACACCCATAATTCTAACAGAAAAGTTTTAAAAAATTGCAAAATCAAGAAAAATAAAAGTAAAGCAAAAAAAAAAAACGGTTAAAAACATAGGTGAGGCTATACTTTTATAGCTCGCCAAACCCCAATTTTCGGAATATAAAGCAAATTTTGGATACAACAATACACCTGATTTTTGAAAATTCGTGAAAATGTCATTTTTTGAAAAAATATGGATGAGGCTAAACTTTTGTGAAGCAGCGTATGTCTGATTTTTCTGTGTTCAACAACTTAAATTTCATTAAAATTGAACTTTTTCTTTATTCCATCCTAAATGCATAGTCGGCTAATACTGCATAATTACATAAGTGCGAGTTGGATCATGCGTACAATTGTGTCACCATAAAGAGGAGAGAGAATGGGTAAGACACGAATTATGTCGGACAGGCCCATTGTGCCAATGAGCACCTCTTTTAAGCACGCCGCCACGGTAAACCAAATCGGTACGCACACACATTCCGTTGCCAAACATATGGAGACCGACGCCGTCGTAAAATCTATATTCCTTTTTTTCTTATTCTTTACAGTCGTAAAATTATTTTATGGGTTTTAAGTATTGAATTACCGATATATCGTGTTTTCTTTTACATCGTATTATATCTATATATTGTACTTTCTTATTTTCCACACTCTGTCTCATAATGATTCAGGACGTTTCAGAATTTGAATCTTCATTTTTGATCGTATTCCTTATAGCTGATAAAAAAAGAGAACAAATTTGAAGAGCAATAGAATCAAATTTACTTGAGGAAATAAAAAAATATTTTTCAAAAGTTTTGCTAAAAAAAATTTGTTTTTGTTATTTCTTTTTAAGTTTTGCTCTCAATTTGAGGTTTCTCAATTCATTTGTTACAGCTTCAGAAAAAAATTCATATTAGTTTCATTAATTTCATGTTCGTGTTGTAGTTAATTTATTTTTTTAACTTCTTCTTTATTATAATTATATCTAACGTAGAATAACTATATTTTACCGACATGTCTATCTTACTCATAAATCAGCATTGTTATGCATTAACACGTTATGTTTTTGTCACATTGGTCAATCGGGATAATCTACTATTCTTTTAGATCAGCGATCTTGTTAAGTATCAACTGATTTTTGGAGAGAATTATTTTTGTGTGACAACGTTTACTCACCATGGGCAAAAAAATGGAGTTGGTCATGTTTGCAAATTTTCATCCTCGCTTGTGTTGTACAATTAATGATTATTTGATCAGATTTTTTTGATATTTAACAAAATCAAATAATTTTTTAAGAAACATATATCATATTCGGCTTGATTTCTATTTGTAGAAGCAAGTGTTTTATTTATTTCGACCATTAAACAAAAATATTTTTATAATATCCACAAATATTTTTTCTTTAGCACCTCCAAAACAGGGAAAAACAAACGTTTTCCCATGTGTCCCTTATACAAAAGCCTCTTCCATACCTCCCAATTCAACACTTGTCACATCACCAGCAGGTTCCCACGAGACATGGATTTCACCGGGTCGACTCGACATTAATCGCCGCTTGCCCGCCCACTTTGATCACTTCTGATGCTCGAGTTTTCCGTTCATTTTTTTTGCCTGCTGCAGTGTTCGATACACCACATTTTTTGTTTCTGCCGGATGTAATAACTTTGTTCTTGTATTAATTTTTCTGCTGATCATTATATTAAATCACTTTTTTATATTAAATTTACGATCGCTTCTATTTAAGACCGTTATCGTGTACATTTCTAAAATTGCTCTCCTTATTTATTGCTCGTCCCTAACCTTAGCTGATAATAGAACCCTCATCATTTCTTATCAAAAACCATCTCTTTTTTTTAACACATAATGTTAATAACAACCAATTTTCCTATTATAGAATGCGGTGTAGTTTGCTCATATGGCTCTTTATTGTTTCCCTCGTTCAATGCAAGTCAAATGTGGAATCAAAAAGTGTAACTGTGGTTACCTATAATGTAACCACTGAAGAGGTTAGTTTTTCTACCTTTCTAATATGAGGTCAACAAGAAACAAAAAATGTTGGGAAGAAAGAAGCTATCAGTGAGACAAAACACAAGCATAAATCTTGTGCAATTGCCTAACATATATCGCAAAAGTTTATCTTGCCGCGGGTTTATATCCGTTGATTCATCATTTACAATTTGAAAGAAAGAACGTGAGACAAAAAATTGTTTTATTTCCTCCCGCGTATTACGTATTAAAATTTTTTTCATTCAAATCAAAATGATTTATATAAGCGAAAAGGAATTATTATATCAATTGGCTTCTGATGTTCATTGATACTATTTTCGAATTGCTGCGATTTTTTGTGTCGACAGTTGTAGGAAATAAATATTGGATCCATTATTAATATTATTATTGTTATTAATATTATTAATATATGATTATTATTATTATTAATATATGATTATTAATGTCCATCAGGTACTCTTCGCACCTAATTTGGCACCTGATCTATTTACAGGTCAAAATGGGCATATTTTGACTGTTATATTGGGCAATTTAGATGATACTTCATTTTATTTTTTAGCCCGACTACTTCGATGTGACTGAGCGAGTGCTAACTGCATACGCCGTCATTCAAAAAGAAACGAGTTACGCAGTCCGAAGATTGATTCATCCTGTAAGAAGTGGAATATCTCACATAGAAAGTAAGTGTTGTATTAAGTTTTCAAAAATGATCCGGAATTCAGGCGAAAAAGATCAACTGCTGAATATTGTTCGCTATTTCACCATCTCTGAAATTCATAGAAAATATTCAAACTTGGTCGATTTTTCAACTTTCGTCTCAGAATTTGACAAATTTTTGAATATTGTGGGAGATATGATGAAAAATGACGAGGTAAGCTTTTAAAAAATGTCTTATATTGCTTTTAAAAAATGTCTTATATTTCAAATAACTTCAGATTGTTTCTCGCGCCGGCGTTCGATATGAGGTCACCAAAGCTTTAAACCATTTTCTTGTGGAAATGATCCCTCCAACCTTCTTATGTGAAACATTGGGAAAATGCAGAACCGTTCCTATTGAGTATCAAAAATGCATGTTGAACGAAGCCAATGACTGGCAAATATTTCTTGGTGACAGTCCGACAAAAATGGTTAACTCGTAGGTTTTTGTGAATTGATACAAAGAAATCTATTAGCTTATTTGCACTTCAAGTTATTTAGCTAAATGCCAATTTCCGCCAAAATTAATAAAAATGCAATTATTACGTGTGTTAGTTATTACATCATTTTCCAGAATTTCTGAAACAATATACCGATATCGCAAAACAGAGTACTTGCTAATTGACCTTTACGAGCAACTCCGACACACTTTCAATAGGACAATTACTAAAGAATGTGTGCGATCTTTTGCAACAATGATGGCTCCGAAATGTAATTCAACCGAAATCACGTAAGCTTTTCACGAACTTTATTACCCAATTCATTTTTTTGCTCATAGGAATCGATGCCCGGCGACAAATGAGATTTGTTACGGCAATTTCACACGAGATTGGGGTGCGAAACTCGAATTGATGAAAAACATGACAAGCGGATTCCCGGATACAGGATTTTTGCATCAATTCACCAAGGTATCTATTCTGAACAAAAAAATCATTGCAGCAGAGCTTAAGAAAACCTGATATTTTTTATTTCAGATTCGTAAAAGCATAGTTGATGCTATTCGGGTCTTCACCGAACGGAAATCGCCAATCTATGCAGAGCGTGTGGCATCCAATTGCGGAACATTGGGCAAAATGTGGATCCATCCACAAAAACAAAATATTACGCTCAAAAGGCCGTTGAAGTTTCGCTCGCGTGCCGAACAGACTGTTAAAGAGGTCAGTTGCGGAATCTTTGAATTGCATAATGTTTTCGCGTGTATGGCAGTACTATGTCCGACAGACAATACATTTATTTGCAGCGATTTTTTTACAAAGGGGAGTAGAAAAACATCTAATGTCAATTGAAAAAAATGAACCTAAGGTTTTAAGCTGAAAACGCAATTTTCAGCTTCAACTATCGGTGTACGCCTGGGATCTGCTTTCACAAGATCTTTGCGAGAAGTACCCTCCCCCCGCTCACCCGTCAATTTGTTGGAATGGAACCGAAGTTGTTTTGTAAGTCGAAACAGATGTTAGAAAACTGTTCCGAAGAACCACCTGCCAGTGTCTACAAAAAGGAACATCTCTTATTAAGCAGCAGGGAATAATGGATGTATTGCCAAATTATACGTAGTGGGTGAGACATGGTGTGTGAGTGTCCCATTATTTAAAGTAGGTGTGCTAATAAGAATGACTCAACAATAAAACAACACAACTTTTTAAAAATTGAGATTTTCGACAGTATGTAATATCATAATTTTAAAATAAATAAACGGCTCACAAACTTGCAAACTTTCGTAGTTCATTTTATTTCATTTCCAAAAAAGCGTAGTTCATTCTCTTTCATTCCGCGTAAGCTCTCTCCAACAATAATTAACGTTTGTTTCGAAATTTCATCGCTCTTCAAAACGCACCAAGAAACATAATTGGCTCCAACATTTGTCTCTCTCCCTTCCATCGATATTGCATTTCTTCAATTGAAAAGCAATTTAGAAAATGGCCCGAGTTTTAATAAACATTTGGCTAAAAAAAAATCTATCAATAATTTTTAATGAAATCTCAACAAAATATTGAGGGTTTTCACGGACAAACATGTTTTGTTTTTTTGATCAGGTGACTAAAATCCGCAACCAAAAAGTATTTCTATCAGAGTGGAACTTTGCTTATTTTAAAATTTTATAGTCTTCAAGAATTTCAAATATTTTAATATAACGTCAGTTGCATTATATAAGCTTTGCTGTCATTTACATTCTTTTTCAAACGATAAGACCCTTGTAACCCGATGATATGAGTCTCATTATCAGGAGTTGCAGGCTGTATGACAGGAAATTTCAGAGCTTTTGTATTTTTATTGAAACACGATAAACAACAAAAATATTTTTTTTTAAACGCATGGATGAATCGTGCGAAATTCCCTGTGACGCGAACACGCGAGCCTTTTTTGTGAGCGAGTGGCCGCAAGAATGTGAGATGCGCAGAGACACGCGCGAGTGCTCGGGACAGCCGCCGCGTGAAAGGGGCGGAGTAGCTGGCAGCATTGACGAAGTCGCCGCTGCCAGCGGTCAGTCTTCATCGTCTCAGGCTGCGGTGAAGTCGTCGGCAATGCTGCCAGACATAACCACAATAATCCTATTGGTGATTATTGGAACCAATATTGTATTCGGTGATTATTTCAGCGTCTCTCATGACGGAGTCCCAGTGTTCAAGGATGTGAGACCAAGAGAAATGGTGAGTCGTTTTCTTTCTTTTTTTTATGCGTTCTCCTCCTTTGGCAGTTAAGCAGGTGTCACATAAAAACAATGTTTGCTTTCGTACACAATTATACTTTTTTTTGAAATGTGACCATATGTCTTCGGGGAGCAACATTTGAATGTGCAGTAAACACGTGGTAACGTGAAATAAAAGGAGGAACTTGTTTGTGTCAACAGTTTTATCATAATTGATTTTTACACTTTGTCGGGTCCCCTTTTCATGATCAAAAGCCGTAATGAGTCATGTGCCAGCATCGACCATTTATTTGCACCACCTGCAGTTTATTGAACTAATAAATTGAAAAACCCCAATTAGTCGGTATTGTTTGCTGTATTCGCAGCCAATTTCGATGAGAACGATTAATAAGCTTCGCGTTTATTTGCTAAAAATGTACAACGAGCAATCTTCAATACGATAAGATTGACTTTATTTATGTGAGACCGATGCCCGCAGGCGTGCAATGCAAAAGTTTGCATTTCTTTGTGTTGGTAGTTTTTGCTTTTTTGTTTCACCCAACACTTTCAGCAAATGTAATTAGATGCAACTAATAAGAAAAAAATAAGGGGAATGTTGAAGAGAACGATGCATAAATCAAGCCCATTTTAACACATAGTTCACCTTGAAATTCAACCTTGCTCAACCCATTTCCTCCGTATGGTTTATTTTGAGATTCCCATCTAAAATGGGCATGTATTGCTTCGCTGTTGATATGCAAATTTAAACGGGCGACAATGTGTGGGCATCCACTTCTCTCTCCTCATAAACCAGTGAGTGTAGTTGCGTATGCGTTGCACGTTTTTAGTAAATTATGCCAACCGACACTACATGAAAGACGCGGTTAGTGATGTTAATACGATACACATGGGATTTGCGCGAAACAAATGCCACCGTTGTTTTACGAGTGCACGCAACATGGTATTAAAGAAAATGACCACACGTTTTCTAAAAAATGAATGAAAAGAGTTTTTTCGTTCTTTTTCTTTTTCTCATGGAGTAGTCCCTTTCCCTAAAAACAATTTCTGATTAGATTTTTCTTTCACAACTTTCATTCTTTTTGTGTGGCGACCAAAAGCTCTAGTGTTTCTCCATGTTTTTTCCTTTCTCAAAGAAGATGCAGCATGGCAGTTTTTCCCTTTTTAAGAACGACTTGAACGCCATTTGGGGAACATTTTTCTTTTTTATCCTTCTTTTAAACGCGCCCAACGTATTTTGGCGTATTTTTAGTCATTGCTCGTTGACGGACATTTTTTTCAAAGAATCAATAATTGACATACATTCTAAAAATTTTTTTGTAGCGCTTTGAGATGCGCAAGTTTCTCTCTCTCTCTCAGTCATCAAAAAATGGATCAAGAAGCGTAAAATTGGAAGAGATGTCTTGTTTGAGGCTTTGACAAGTGTGAAGTCAAGAAAATTTGGTAGACTCGTTTTTTACGTTTAAATTATTTCTATTATTGAATAAATAAGTTAAGAATGAAACGGAAATATTTTAAATACTGAAATGACTCTTTCTGCTTTTTTTTGTTTTCACATGTAAACGACAGAATAATTAATTATTCTTTGCTTTACAGAAAGAATGGCAATTGAAAAAGGCTGAGAAGGAATCCTCAGGAAGTCCACTATTCGATGATGAGGATGGCATTGAATTAGAAGAGGGATCGGGAAGCGGAATGCCACCCACGATCGACAAGCTCCCGAAAAGCACTATTGTTAGAGAGCACCCAAAACAAATCGGTAAGAGTTTTACAATAACATTGAATTGTATTTTCAAATGATGAATCATTTCTTCTTTGTCGGTGTTTTATCAATAACTACATCAGATTTTCACCTTACAGACATGAGCAATCACAACGACGACCCAACCATTGTGATTAAAGAATCGGAACCGGACGCAGCATGGACCCAAAACGCAATTAGCATCATTGCTGCCTCAGTTTTTTTTTTCATTTTATTCTAATATTGAAAAGAATATCCTAATAGGTTATCGTCCATTTCCCGGTTCATTTATAGTTTCGAAATTAATTATGGGTCATGCCATCTGTCTTGTCGTTGTCCACTGCTTGAGATTTTCAGGTTTTGTTGATCCCCCTCATTGTAAAAACGTTAATATTCGTTTAAGTCTAACCGGGTGTACATCACTTTGTCTTTGTCTATTTTATATATGTATTTATTACGCTCTCCCCGTTCTGCGGAGCCATAGATGTTAATCTGTTGAAATTTCTTCTCACTCAAGAAAAATATTCTGCTATATTTTTATTGCAATGTTTCACGCGAATAATAACAACAAATAAACGTTTCAATATCTCTCAATTGTTATAGCGAAAGTGCGAATTTCGCCAGGCCTCATTGCGCCATTGCGATGTGTCTCATCTAAAAAACAATGCCATACATATGCATCACATATGGTTTTTATTACTTGTTGACGCGTTGCGATTTGCGCCGAGCAATAGCTCGTGATAATCGACAATTTTGAAACTTTTGAATAGCTCCTGGGGACGAAACTTAATTAAGAGTATAGTTGATGACATCTTACTTTCACGTCGCGTTCAAAATCCAGCATCACTTCATCATCGTCATACAACAAGTTCTCGAAGCGTATAAGGCCATTATTATTCTTTGCCCATTTTTCAAGAGTGAGCAAATGGATGGATGGCGGAAACTCGGAAACAATTCCAGAGTACTAAAGTAAAATATCTGAGATATATTTCTAAAACATATTTCAATATTTTTACAACCTCAAGGTTTCTAGCATATTTAAACTTTGTTGGGTTCCTGGATGTCGCGAAAGCGAGAACTGGCTTATGAAAAGTATCTGCAGCAATCACTCTTGTGCGTGATGGTCCATTCTTAGAAAATTTATCTGATTGGTTATTTTTTTTTCAAACCTTAACGTCTGAGAAAAAGACACGATGTTTTCCCATGGCTACTAAACCTTTACCATCAATTCCAGGTTCATCCAAAGCTTCTTCAACTCCAAAATGATCGTCATAAAAGCAGCGACGATGAAGCTTAACGTTCTATAATTAATTATTCTATGCTAATCTGCCACCATAATTTCCATCTCTCCATTATTCGATGTGCATCCTTGAGATCTGTCAGTCACCAATGAAAATTGTACTTTCTCCCATTTCATGTAAGCAAAACTAGTAATTGGATAATAATTACCAGCAACAGGTTCTGTGTCTTCGTATTCGAATGAGGATGCCGAACGAAATCTACGAAAATTAAAGTTTTATGGACCCTGCAAAATTCATTAAACCTTCGTTTCATTGCCTGACGGCCATTCGAATCAGTATAGAAGTAATCATCGGTCTTTAGTTCAGTTATATAGCGTGTAACAACTTCTTTCGAAACGAAGTTCCTAAAAATTATGATTTAGATAATTAACAAATTTTTATTTAGTTTGATACTTTTCTTCTTTTGGAATTGGACCAACAATCCATTCAAATTCGACATAATCGGCATTTCTTGAAAGTCTAATAGTTTGTGAAATATAGGCACTAAAAATTTGGCGTACTTCCGACACCAAGCTTGTCTGAAATTAGTTTTGAATCCTTTGCCTATCAAAAAATCAAAACCTCAATGATTTGGACGGAGTCTAAACTATCAAACATTTTAGGTTTTTGGGATTTCGGGCGGAAAATATAAGCCCCCGATGGCTGGGTATCATTTGAATCTGTGCCTTCGTAGTAAAAAAATGCCTGGCGAAAAGCATTGGACTGCAATGTAGATTTATCAGTGTATCTATTCAAAAATCCATCTGCATCGAAAGAAAGACGTATAAACTGAAAATGAGCACTATTTTATTAACCTTTTTCGGGAATTCAAACTTCATTTTCAATCGAAAATGGCTTATCGAAACCGAATGTTGTCTCTGCGGCTACTATTTGCCGACTACTGAAATCACGAAATAAGTTGACCTGAAGTTCGAAGAATTCAACCACCTAGGAATGTCAGAACGAGCAAATATTGTAGTGTACCCTACTGGCGGAACATTGACAAATACATGAATTTCATATGGCGCCCTGTTTGGATTCTTTAATTGTCCAGTTTTGAAAGTCGGGACAAGCTTTAAATATTAAGAAATAGTGGTTATCATCATTTTCGCACCTCGTGGTCAATCTTGCTTCCATTTACATTGGTAACGACAACTGAGTTCTCGTAATATGGAATTCTAACTACTCCTTTGTATGTTCTCGTATTGGAGTTGAAGAGAACAATGACGGCATTTTTTACATTCCTGTAAATAATTTATAGATTTACACTGTCAGAAGATCAGTGAAACTTCATTTCATTGCAAATGGTCTCATTTATCAGTGGGCAGAGAACCACATTTGCATCCAAAGCACCTGGACTTAATTTCTTGAGGTATTCGTTCATAACAACCTGAAACATTAAAAATTTCGGTTATTACTTTCCCGAACGAGCGCCACCTGGATTTGATGCATTCCTTCAGCTAGCTGTTTTTCGTAATCCCGTGTCACATTCTCCTTGGCGGTTCCTCTGTAAAAAATCATATTATGCCTTCGCGTGTTCCGGCTGATAAATTCAATTATCATTGCATTATTTCTTACGTGACAGCATCATGATGTTGAGTGAGTGCGGAAGCTTCACGCAGAACATCTATGTCCGAATCATCTTCTGGTCCCAAATTTGCAATCATATCCATCTGTTTTCCGAGCTATAAAAAGAAATGACTAACTTTTTTTTTCAAATTAACAAAAACCTGAAGCAAAGCGCTTGCCTCACGAATCATCCCTTTAAATGTTGGACGACTCGTAAAGAACCCGGTCCAATAGGAATGATTTCCAGACGCATACGGATATAAGTCATCGCGTTTAATACTTAAATGAGGTTTCTGGCTTAAAACTGCTTGGGTATAACAAGATGGTGTCGAATAGATCACCTTCACTTTTTTTGCAGTCTGTAATTTTCAGTTTTTATTTTTTCATATTTTGTAAAATACTCTGGCGTTCACATGTTTTATGAGTTTGTCAAGGTTGATATACCATGTGTTAGCATTTGTGTATTGGAAGTCACTACCCATTAAAAGCATGATCTGGTTGGTTTCTTGAACAGCGGCCTGTAGTATTTATCTAATTGAGAGTATTTTTTTTATATACCTGTTTGCGAACATGCTCAACAAATGCGTCAACTTTTTCATCAACATTATATTCCTCCAAATTTGGAATATCCATGATAGGATCGTCTCCGCAAAGTGTATCCCAACAAAATCCGTCTGGTGGCCCATAATTGTCTTGAAAAAAGGCGCCGGTAAAAATTTTTGAGTTTTGATAGTTTGAAGAATCCCAAATAAACTCTAACGTCCTATTTTTTAAGCGCAATTTTTTTTCGAGATAGTGCATTCTGGCAAAGTAAATTGCATCGTAACCCATCTAAAGTCAAATACTTATGTTGTAACTGCAATTTAAAGATTTAGACACCTGAGAATAAATATTAGCCATTTCCCGTGAATGCCCAAATGGATCGATTTGCCATCCCACTTTAGGTTTTCCGCATTCACCAAATAGCTGATACAATCTCTATAATTAGAAAACTATATGACGCCTCCTCTGTGGGAAATTCACTGTAAAATGCAAATACCTGCAATCCAAGAGTCATTTGGTCAATAATATCAACATAGTGTGATGTAGCCTCATCATTTTGAACCCACCCTCCGCCAATTAACTCAATTTGACCTGCATTAAACGTTAATCTTTTCTTCGGATTTTCTCTGTACCGTTTTTGACTAGTTTCTGCAATTGGTGTTTTTCTGAGTGCCCATTGCTAGTATACCACCTCCACAAAAATCCCGTTTCAGCGAATGAGAATCTGAGAGTACAAATTTCTATTGAATAAACATTCCAAATAAATTTAAAAGCTTGTAACGTTGAAACATGATATGTAATTTTGCTCAAGTTTTTTACATTACCTTCTGTCGGGATTTTTTAGCAATTCTTCGATTACTGTGTTGTAAATGTACTGAACACCAACAGGTACCAAATCGGGACGTGCTGTAATTTTTTTATTCAAACTTTTTTTTGTGAAAATGATTGTACCTCCATAGTAGTATTGATCAACGGTTTTAATCCAGCCCAGATCGTCATGAGTATGAGCAATTAAGTGAACTGTTATGACGTCGTTTTCAGAGGCAATTGGATGACAAACCTTAAACCATAAGTAAAATCTGAGTAATATTTTAAAAGCCTCTTACGTTCCATGAACAGTCCTGTAAAGAGGTACCGAGAATACAGTATAATATAGGAAAAAATGTTACTAAGCGAACCATCGGACGCACTGACATTGTAATGATATAGAAATTACTTAGCAGTGTTCCGTAAGGTCACGATTGATAAACGATACAATTGTTTATGCTCGACCTTATATAGCGTTTCGATTTTCATATCAGGTTACCGTATTCAAAAATTTCGCACAAGAATGAAATCAGAGAACCCTGTTTATATGAATGTAAACATTTCAACTGAAAAAATCGAACATTGAAAATGGCAACGTTATGGAAAAAAAAATGAAAATCAACACATCTTAAAAACGAGAGCAACTCTATGAACGGAACTGGCGTTCTACGTCAATTTATAAAGCTGAAGAAGGGAAAAAAATTGAGAATGGGTTTTTCTAGGATTAGAGTTGTAGAAGAACCCCTGCCATTTTTTCTGAAAGCATAACCCATCAGGGTGCCACCATTGAAACCTTTTCCTTATGCCTGTTTCCAAAATTATTATTCCTGTCCCTAATATTTCTAATTGTAATTGGCTGATCTCATCTAATCACATGGAAATATGTACACCTACGCTCACTGGGCCTCGTGAAGTCGAAAAATAACTAATTTTCGATAAAACCTTGCAATACTATAGTTCATATATCATGCAACAGCGGTGTTCGCAATCGCAAATTAATTGATTGATTTGAAGACGAGTGCAGGCAACACACTCAGCCTCATCTCAAAAATCACTGCAAGTTTAAAGAAAGATTCCTTTCACTGATTGTGATTCTTTTCCTAGGATTCAATAAATAGTCAAACAGATTCTTATTTATGTGTTTTCCGATGCTACATATATTAATATTTTATTAAAACCTAATAACTATTATGAAATTCGAGATTAGTTGAGTTCCTTTTTTAACATGTATTATTAATAAAATCCTTTTTTCAAAAAAAAAAAACAAGTAATCCATTGCATTGAGTCAAGTTGGACACTTGTTCGTTTTTCAAGTATTCACCCTCTCCTGATTTTAATCATGCTGCCTTACGACGCCGACGCGTTTTCACCAAAGCCTTGAAATGCAATACGACACTTTTACTATGCTGATTACGCATTCTATGTGACGCTTCTCTGACCCTTTAATTGCATAAAAAGCGTTTCGATTAAAATATCTGAATGCACTCTATGAGGATTAATAATAGGTCGAGCTCTAGCGCATATTATTCGCATCCGGGTAAGCAATTTAACCTGAATCATGTAGAGAAGCATGAACAACTATTCGTCGCCATGCTTCCCGTAATCAAAAAATAATGCTTTTGTTGTCCAAATGGTCAAAACGCGAATAGTTTCCCGGAAATTTTTGCGAAAATAAAAAACGCGTGATCACCCCCAGAAAATACACCTTATTTGGCATCACGTTTCCTTTCATTTCGGTCCGCTCGTTTTTCATTACGCTCGTTATTTTAGGTGTGCCGCCGGGCCTCGTATATTCTTTGTTTTCTACATTCCTTCATAGCATCATCCGTAGGAAAACATGATTATATATATATATACGTGTATATAGAAGTTGTGCCTCATACTTCACTTATTTCAGATGAGAAGGAGTGGCGAGCTTTAAATTGTCGTGCCGAAAAGATATATAAGAAAACATCGGTCCAAGGATATGAAATCTCAATTGCTTCTACAATTTTTGCTATGTGTATTCCAAGCCTTTGAAAAGCTGCGCACACACTTTCTGCGCTTACAGTTGTATAGTTTGTTTAATTGAACTAAAAATGTGTACATATACGGAAGCTTTCTTACCAATGAGAATTTTGGCAGCTCTGGACAATTTAGAAAATTTCCTTCAATTATTTGCCCATTTACGAAAAATACAAGCCAACCACTAACTGCACTATACATACATATAATATTTTAATTTTGTTTTAATCCCATTATTTGATTAAAGTAACCTGATATATGTCTCATTTTATTTTTTTGAGTTTATGTCACACATTCCATTGAACTCCCTCACCTCACCGCTACTTCAATTTGACACCTATTGCTTTTCGGTCGTTAGTTGTTTTGCAATCATTATTTGCCGGTGTCCGCACCCCTATGTTAAACTGCCACAAATCAAACGAAATGATCATTGGGCAATTAGTTCTTATCTCGTGAGTATATCATAACTGCTCATCGCCGAATCTCTACGATTTTTCTCATTTTATGAAAGTTTTTGGGTTGCCGAAAAAAAAGACTCAGCCTGCGATAAGTTAATGTCCATCCACTGAAGGCGGCGGCAAAATTTTTGTGAATTATTTCTCAATGAATGATTTCAACGGGTTGCTCTACGCCGAATTTTCGCGGAATTTTACATTTTACAATTTTTGATGAGGTCGGCACAACGCGCGGAAGGAAATGAAAATTTAAAAAGTGTGTTTCAACAATGGGAAAATTGCCACAAGTAATAATTATTTCACTCCATTATTGGTTTACGCTTTTATTCAAAAAAACATTTAAGTTTCAACTTCTTCTCCAAACTCAATATTTTGGTTGTGAGCTTCCAAAACTCAAAAATGTTCAAAACTCACGTTATGGCTTGCTATAATCATTTCCCTCTGACTTTCTCTTCTGAACAAAAGTTTTTAAGATAGATTATAGATTGCATTTTAGGTTGGCCAAATTCTAAAACGTTTCCCACAACAACCGATATTCAGGTATGAGTTTTATTCGTATGTCTGACGCTAATTAAATATTTTAAAAAAATATATGTATATATAATTAGGCTCATAAAATTCTTTTTACAGACATCAAAAGTGTTATAGGTAATATATATTTCACGTATAAATAATAAAAAAATATTAATGAAAATAATAGAATTGCGGCGATTAGAAAATAAATAATAAGAATTTTTTGGTTATTATTGTTTGATCAATTGTACTTCTTCATTTCTGACCTCGTAGCATGAGAGAGAATAGAAGAATTCAAGCTGTTCAAGTAACATGGCACGCTGCTTTTGAAAAAGTAACGACGGAATTTTGAAGATTATCAAAATTTTTTAGGGAAATTATTATTTAAATAATCAATTTTCAGAATTCCCTCGGATGTATTTGAATGACTCGAATGCTGTACATTCTCACATTTCTATTACAATCAACGATTTATAATTGCGAACCATTTACGAATTATCCGGTGCCGCCAACTGAGTCATCGCTTGAGGTTCGAACGATGCGGTTTGCTGAAACTTGATGATTTCAGAGCTATTACTGGAAACTTTATGTTCAAAATAATTTGATACTCAACGAGTTGAGAGAGCGGTATAAAGAGGTGTCAATTAAGAATTTTATATTGCATATTCCTTTACAGAAAAAAATCTACAGTGCCCCAAATAATTATATACCCACCCCAATTTTGTCGAACATCTCGAAAACACAAATACATACAGAAATGATTTAAATTAGATAAATGCGCATTTATTTTTAGTTTTATGTTACATTCACAAAATTCAACAAAAAATAACAATTAAAAAAAATTCGACATTTTTACGAAAAAGTGAACAAATTTTTCCACAAAACTGTACCCACTTCATTTTTTAGTGTTTTTTGTCGATTTTTTTTTGACAATTTTGTATTTTTATTTTTTTTTGCAATTTTACTGTTCTTTAGGACATGCTTTGTGGAAAGCCGCTCACCGACATTTAAAAAGGTGAAATTGAAGCAAAGCTTGGTCAAGTTCTCTCTTATCGACATAATTGGGAATGATCTGGGACGCACTCAATGTATTATATATATATATATATGCTAAGAAATCAGCCGTTTATGGTCAAAAAACGCCGACAGACCGTCCTTCACTGCTTTCGGATCGTGATAAGCGCAACATTTTTTTGGCGTGAAACTACATCAAGCACAGGAAAATGAGAAACTCACCAGTGTTGGCTCGAATACATAGTGAAAAACGACTGGAGTTTGCTAAAAAGAATTAACTATCTGACTGGAGACAAATAAGAATAACTGCAATTCATTGAATTTCAAAAGAGGTGGCGTCATGATGTGGGCGACAATCAGCTCGAATGGGAGAGTTAAGTTGTGCTTCGTTATCCAAAGATAAGTGGTTCTGACTACCGATGTCATAAGACGTGGTCTTCTGCCGTTTTGGTAGAGAAATCGGCAAAAAATTACTCTTTCATGCAATATGGAGTCCCTTGTCATCGTGCTCGCCGCACCATTCAGTAGATACGCAACCATAGAATACCAGTTCTCTACTGGCCAGCCCACATAAATCCCATCGAAAATATCTGGGAATTTATGGTTGATAAAATTTACAATGGCAACAAGTATTTTCATTCGATTTCGGATCTCAAAAAGACCATCGTGGAAACCTGGAAATTTGTCGATCAGTATATAATTATGTGGAAAAATTTGTTCCACATTTTCGTGAAAATGAATAAATGTTTTTTATTGTTTGTTTTTGTTGAATTTTGTGAATGTAACATGAAACCAATAATAAATGTGCACATTTCTCTAATTAAAGTCATTTCTGGATGTTCTTCACGTTTTCGAGTTATTCGAAAAAATTCGGGTGGGTATTGAATTATGTGGAGCACTGTACCTAGTTCTAATAAGAAACAAACCAATTCTAACTATAGCATGATTAATTCATTCTCCTTTCCCTCTTTAAAATGTTAATTTCTAAACGTGTATTTTCAATCTGCATGTATCTTTTCCCACAGAATGTAATACCATAATAGATGTTGAAAACATTAACTGAATGATATACGTAGAACATTAAAACACCATTAAAATACATGCTAATTTCAGGAAAACAAATACTTCCCTTTACCGCTAACAACCATACCACCAGCAAATCCGGTAAGAGGGCAAACATCGAATCATTTTTATTCCGCAAATATTTTTGTTTAAGATTGAAGCTGATGAGAACCCTGAACAATGTACATCTGATAAAACAATCATCGAGAAGTTGTTATTGAACTACAAATCATTTCGGACTCCATCAGAAGCCGGAGTCATTGTTTGGATTGAGGTACATGTATAGTTGGAAGTAATCATTTTTACTTAAAATCGAAACAGCGCGTAAATCATACCTTAAAGAAGGAAAAGCGTGAATTTTTCTATTTATTCGTATAAATATATTACTGTAGAGATCTCAAACACAATTCGCGTATTAAATATTAATAGACATATTGCCTCTTCATGTAATTATGAAAAAGTTGCAGAAAACGTTTATAATAAGTTTAAAGCACCACAAAACAAATAATTTCTTTTTAGGTATGGGTTCAAGAAGTCAATTCCGTCAATGAAATAACCAGCGATTTCGACATGGATATCTACATCACCGAACTTTGGATGGACGCTGCTTTGCGATACGAGCATTTGAATCCTTGCAAATACAATCTATCTCTAAATTCCGAAGTTTAGTAGTTATTTTTTTAAATTGATTTCAATTTAATTGAAGATTCTTGATCAAATTTGGAAGCCGAATACTGTTTTCATCAATAGCAAGTCGGCCAATATTCACAAGTCCCCATTCAAGAATGTTTTTCTCATGATATATCCGAATGGAACGGTTTGGGTGAATTATAGAGTTCAAGTGAAAGGACCATGCTCAATGGATTTCAGGTATATAAAATAATCTCTAAAAATCTTTTCACGAAGTTTCCAGTGCTTTTCCAATGGATCAACAGTCTTGTCACCTGACTTTAGAATCCTTCAGTTATAATAATCAGGAAGTGGATATGCAATGGATGAATTGGACGGTTCCTTTGTCGCTTCTCAAAAAGGAAATTGTGCTTCCTGACTTTATTCTTTCTAATTATTCTACATCCTTGAAGCATGAAGTAGTAAAATTAAGTATTAAGTGAAATTCAGCTAACTTTTTGCAGATTTATCCTGCTGGTGTTTGGAATGAGCTCACAATGACCTTTGTATTTAGCCGACGTTATGGATGGTACATTTTTCAAGCATATATTCCCACATATCTAACTATTTTCATAAGGTATATTAAGTTTGGAAACAAAAATAACGAATTATATTTCAGTTGGATCAGTTTTTGCTTGGGACCAAAAATGATACCGGCCAGAACAATGTTGGGGGTAAATTCATTGTTAGCATTAACATTTCAATTCGGAAACATCATGAGAAATCTTCCACGTGTTAGCTATGTGAAAGCATTAGGTACGCTCAATTTAAAATAGAACAATTTTTTGAGGAACGCATAAATTATTTAAGATGTCTGGATGCTTGTCTGTCTAACCTTCGTATTTTGTTCCTTATTAGAGCTCGCTATTATTGGTTCAATGGGAGCGAGATCGGAAAAAAATCAGGTATTTTTAGATAATTTTATGTAAAACTGAGAAGAAAATGATCATAGCAAGGTGAAGAGAGCCCTAAGCCTCCGACAGCAGGAAATGACAATCACACCTGCACAGCACACTCGCTTACCCCATTATCGTGCCCTAATTCACCTCGCATATGCAGAAACCATGTTCCTAACGAATTGCCCCATGTCTATAAAAGCTATGGCTCAACAGGTTTCATATAATTTACATAATTAAAAAATGCTCATTTTAGATCCAAGAATGAGAAAAAGATTAGTAATTGCTTCGGGAAACTCAATTACTCATGCGCCAAGTAATAGGTAATTGTTACTTTAAAATGTTCTAAATTATCGATATGTTTGAAGAGGAGAGAAAATTCTTTTACTTGACGGATTAGAGGAGACTCAGTTTTCTCAAGTTGAAACAAAGTTCAACTCTTTTACTTCTATAAAACCGAAAAAGGTATAATTATTAGAACTTCTAATAGGAATATAATGTAACTCAGGTGTGGACCATGGACGAAATCGACAGACTTTCGATGATAGTGTTTCCTGGATTATTCACGATGTTTAATATAGTCTATTGGAGTTACTACCTCACGATAAATACTTGAAAACATACCACATCAAACTTTTCAACGAATGACATATGTGTATTTTTCAAATCGATGTGCCTCATGACCCTTTTTTGTCATTACCCAAAAAAGGTATGTCGTTTAAATTGACTTTCAATTTTATATCCATTTTCAAACAACTGCTCAATTACTACATTTATGTTTCTGTTTCTGTATGCATTTTAAAATAAAGTTTTTTAAGACAATTGTTCAAATAATCAGATCAAGATAACTTCATAGTAGTGGTGGCGACGTTCAGTAATCTTCTTCTACATCTTCTTTCTGATTGAATCCTTGTGGGCAAGATGTGCTTTTTGAAAGCATTTCATTTATGTAATTTGAATCGGACTTGGAGCTGCAAAGTTGCAGCATGCAGATTGCCTGGTCACGAAGTTGAGGCAAGAAAAAGTAATCCGCCTGAAAGCAATAAGCGTAAAAAAATTTTTATTTTAAACTACAAAGTGTTGTTTTTTTTTTCAACATTAGAATATCCATAAAAATAATTTTTATTCCCAAAAAATGTTTATATTAATTCCATATGAGTGAAATTCCATTTCTCGTTGTGCAGTTCTACACGAACATTGAATAATTATAGATTTAGAAGGCATACAATCTACATGCCTATTTACCTCTTGCGTCAGCATAGCAAGTCTGTCAGGATCTTTCGGTAGGCAAGCCTCCCATAATTGTCCAGCTTTGACAAGACGAAAATAGTTCAAAATGATTCCAAAGCTGCAAAAAATGAATGAAACACTTGTTGCTAACGAAAAAGCTTACGAAATGGGGTCTCGATCCACAAAATAAGCGCCATCTCGATCAATTGTAAATGGGACTGCCTTTGAACGAGAAACGAACCATTTATGAAATACAGAATCCATTGGAAAAACAGTTTTCAATGTGGCATATGAAGTACCACCAACATTGAAGCGAATGATAAGGTTTTCCGACATGTCCTGAAATAAATGACTGGACTAGTAACAACGAAAAACAGAGAAAAAAGGGCACGAATGAATTAAAAAGGCAAGTGTCCGAAACTAAACAGAAAACGAAAAAGGAAGAATTGTTTGATCGAGTGGGGCACTTTGCGGTGTCAAAGCCATCTAAAGAACAAAGTGGCGTTTTCATCAAGAAAGAGACAAAAATGGTGTTTTTTTTGCGTTTTTTAGATATGAGATTCATAACGTTGGTGGCAACGTTTGCCAAAAAAGCAAGCAAGCAAGAAAATATAAATGAGGGCCTCAGACAGGAGAGAAATTCGAACGTGCGCAACACTCCTATTATTTCAAGCTATTTCTGCTCTTTTTGGTCGATATATTCATATGGGACGTTGAAAACAATAGACATATTTTTAAAATTTTCTCATCAAAAATATTTTGAATGGCAAAACCATGAAGATCTCTTGCAACTTCATTTTTATTTTGGACGAAACTAATTGTATGTCAATAGCTTAAAAAAATATCGATTACGAAATAAATTCAAAGTAACCTATTTTTTAACAAAAATTATTAGTATTCCTCGTTCCTTTAAAAATTTCCAATTCAATAGCGAAATAAAATCTGGAATAATTTTTAAACATTAACTTTATGTGGAATATTTTTCTCACAATGAAAAACAGAATAACTGAGTAAATAGCGGAAAATATCGAGTGAAGAGAATTTGAACAAACAATTTACTATTATATGGAAAATAGAATTGAAAACGAAACAAATTGGAGGCTGGCTGACTGGCTGGTGGCCGAAATGAACCGGCTTTATTTATTTGAATGGGATGACCTTATGAACTAATTGTCTCTGCGAAATCCCAAAGGCGCATTGCATTGACGGAATCAAATTAAAACACGAAACAACACATACATATATATGTATAGAAAAAGAAGGAAAAGTGAAATATTGGCAGAAATCGGGGATGAAATCTCAATATGCTTTTGCGAAAAGCATGCACACAACAAAAGAAATTTGATAGAGAATACTGCTCTCCGGGAAAAATCGTTGAAAGTGCGAATAATGCATTATTTTCTAGCACCTTTCCCCCACGATAACTGGTTATTCGCAATGCATTAAAAACTTTTGTGACCTTTATTACATGTAATTTTTGCTAAAAAAAAGAGTTGTTCTGAGAAATTTGTAAGGTAATCGAGATGAATGTTACGCGAATTTGATAACACTACATGACAATCATAAAGTGATAATAATTCTTCTTATAGGATGTATTAGTATTCTTTTTCATGACGACGACAATTTTTTACCACAATTTTGGAAAATGCATTTACTTTCAAAAACTTGAATCAAATGAAAAATTGTGAAGAATATCCAGAGATTAACACAATATTTGTTATGTACCCTCTTCACAATTAAGCGTCTCTTTAAAAAAATGTAATTAAGACCAATTTTGAAGCACAATTATAGGGACTCAAGTAAGCTTAAAACACAGATTAAGTAGAGATTATCGTTGAAAATAGTCAGGTATTGAAACCACCTTTCTACTAGTTACGCGTTCATACAAATGCGTCTGAGTGTATTCAGCTGTTCATTGCTACCAATATTTGTTATTTTTCTAAGTTTCTATTTTCTTATACAAATCTTGAATATTATTCAAGAAATTGTGAATTTAGAACGGCTTGTTATTGAAGAAATTTCGAATTTTACGGTAAAAATTGTTCGAAATTGATTTGACATAAAACTTCTAGTCAGAAAGCAATTCGGCATGGGACGAACTAATTGTGATTAATCAAAAGTTTGTTGCAAATGAAAAAACTGCCAAAAGACATTCGTCTGGATCATCCAGTTTTTTGAAGCGAATCCTGAAGGAAACTAGTCCATTCTCTCGTCTTCCTGAGTGGTGTCAATGTACACCAACTGTACCAAAATGTCCTCCAGGTTCTAGAGGATCTCCTGGCAGACCTGGAAACCCAGGACCACCAGGGCGCCGAGGAAAATCAGGAAAAGATAACTTTGAAATGATCCCTGTAGAAAAATGCCTGCGCGAACTATTAGCTTGCATTCAATGTCCAATGGGACCACGCGGCTTGCGTGGGAAACCAGGACCTCGTGGAAACAAAGGCTCTGATGGGAAAAATGGTATGCCAGGCCAATTGAGCTTTTCTAGACCAAGAATAGGGCCACCTGGGCCTCAAGGCGATCGTGGAAAACCCGGTAATACCGTTTAATTGCATTATATAAATATTTGATTCAGGTCAACCTGGTGATGACGGTCCACCTGGAATACTAGGAAAAACTGGATACATTTATTACCGTATAAAAGCACTACCCGGTCCGCAAGGACGATCAGGACAACCTGGTAGAGTTTATGTTTGCAGGAAAGTTTCATTAATAATTTTATAGGACCTCCAGGCTTGATAGGATCTACGGGCAGTCCAGGTATTCCAGGTGCAATGGGACAAATTGGTAATCGTGGAAGGCCTGGTGCTCAAGGGAGAAACGGTGACCCTGGGATATCTGGAAGACATGGGCCACATGGAAGAGACGCTTCATATTGTCCATGCCCTCCCAGATCAGTGTTTATCGAAAAATTATAAAAAATCATAATGTCTTCATACCGATATCTATAATCATGTATTTCCCTATTGTATGGTTTCAACTTTTTACTTTATATGAAAAGAGAACCCTTTCAATATCGCGCATCATTATGTGGCATTGAACTTATATTAAATTGAGTTTTGACTAACACCGTATTCCGTTGGGACCGCCAAATTGGTGTCATACCCATTGTATAGTTACAGTATGTCCATAATAAAATTTGTCAATATCCAATCAGCTAATTTTTGGATTCGATTGTAGCGTTTTTTTTAACTCAATTTTTATAAAATTCATGGAGAATAAGTTAAGAGTCTGTGTAAATAAATACATATTACGTATAATTAAAAAATATAAAAGTAGGAAAATTAAGATGCCATTAACTTGACAATTTTCTGATATTTTCAAATATGGACGACGGCTGTGACCTAAACATGACATAATGAATTTTACAACCGGAACCTAAACACTGCAGAGCCAGAAAATGATAATTATAAACTGCATAATAAATGTATTAAGTTGAGAAAAAAACCATTTTTTGTCACATACGTAGTTGTTTTTTAAATATTAAACACCAGAACTTCATAAATCATTATCAAAGTTGAAAATTATTTAAATGATATATAAATTGTGTTTTTTTTTTGTAATAAAAGCTTCAAAAATCTGTATTAACACCTCGGCTATTTTTCGTATTTGTTTGAAAACTTGACAATAGAATGGGTTCTCAAATGACAATTCCTGACGTCATTTGAACCCCAAAAAAGAAGTCTTTCTTCAATTAGTTTTGCGTTTGTTTATGAGGCAGATTCTTCGAATTGCAACTTGTCATTCGAAGAATCTGCCCTATAAACGATTTTATTCCATTTTCGTTTTCTAAACACTTACCATTTTTGCACAAGTTCAAACCACGTGTTTGCGTATATTGCAATGTTTATTCTGATAAAGAATAGGGATGAATCTTGTCGGTATTCTTTTCGATGCGTGTTCAATTTGCTTATGATACAGTCATTCTTATAATCCCCGTTTTCCGGTGTCGCATTGTTTGCAATCCTGACTCGTGCGCCGCTCGCACACCATGCCCATTGTTGCCATATTTTTCAAAACTTGTCAATCAGAAGAGAGGGCTAAACTGGAAACAATAGGTGTTCGCACATTCTTGTTGCCACGTTTTGACATGCATCTCGACTGTTAATGAGAAGTTGCGTTCGTATATACGTACAATTCTTTCCTACACAATTCAACATATTTGAAAAATGTTAAATTTAAGATTACGCAATATTGTACATCATTTGTTAAGAAACAATTTGAACTATTGTTTCTAAACAATATATTGTAAAATTGTTATATTTAAAATAGATTTATAAAAGACAGCTTAAATAAAACCTGTTGTTTATATAGATTTTGGATAAAATACTTTTCTAAAAACGTGTTTAAACCTTTTTATCATTAATTCCTGAAGATTCCGAAACCTACTACATAATTATCATAACTATGCTAGTTTTATCGTCTCATTCTCTCATTACGAGCAGTGTCACATTAATAGCTAACTAACTCGTTACAACCAGCGTTTACATCTTAGTGTTAATACCATAATTGGTGCTATTGGATTGTATCTCGATGGGTACATATGCTCAATTTGGAGCATATCTGATGAGCTGCATTGGGAATTGTACAAGTTATTAATTCGGCAACATGATTATGAATAACACGAAGGGCCTGCATCTTGCGGTTTTCGCCACCACTCACTTGAGGAAAACCAAATTACCGGGTCCAGAAAATGTGTTGATTGGTAACCCATTTTCACGGCGTTTTTCCTTTCCACTCCTCTTTCTTTATCTTCACCATCCCCGTAACAAAACCTTCTTTGCCTTGTTCACAATATCCAATTAGTTCGAGCATTCTTCTCTATATTATTTAAAGGCGAGAGTGCGACAACGGCAAAGATTCAACAAGTATGCCTGTATGTTCGAGAAGATGTGGGGTAGAGCAGGACGAGAAAATTGCGCGAGAATTTGGTTACCGCCCAATTTGCATTGTATTACGAAGAATAGAACAATTCATTGACGATTCAATCTATGCTCTTTGTATTTACGGAAACAAAAAAAAGAGTTTATTCATTCACAACCAGAATTTTGTTTTGAATTGTTTCATTTTTTGGATGGTCCTTCTTTTGTCATTTCTTTTACGTGACACAATAACTAACATAGTCATAGTCAATCGTTCGTATTTTTATACATTTGTCAAAAAAACAAAATTAAATGAGCTCTTATTTATTTTATCTTCGATGACGTGTTTTTTTCGCATACAATTTTCGATATATTTTAATGAAAAACAGTATAGTATCGATTCAAGTAAATTTATTTGTAAGCCGGGATTTCAACCCTAGATTTCTTATACCAAAAAGGGGAACATGGTACAAAAAAAAACAAAATCGCATTCTTAAAAAAAAACAAACAAAATCGCATTCTTTCCATTCTTCAAAACTATTTTAATTTATAAATTCTGACTCATTTACTTAAACAATTGTTTCGGTGAAAAAAAAACAAATAAAGGAAGAAAAAGAACTGAATTCGAAAAAGTATGTAAACAATTTTACCTTGTTTTTCTTTTTCGTGGAAATGCATTCTTGCGCGATGAACAACCCAACCAGTATGTCAAGTTTTGCGCGTGCTCACATTACCAAAAAGTTTTCATTACTCCAATGCTCTATTTACAATAATAAACAACCTTTTCATTGAGTACCAGTCAGCAAGCACGTGTACATGGACCGGTCATCTAGCGCAACTTCACTATAAATATTACGAGTATTGTAGTGGGCAGCCTTTTTGGAGCCGCCACTTCTCTCATTCCGCTCTTACTACCGTAGTCGGGCAACGCGCGCCTCTCCGACCCCGCCCATTTCGTCTCTATTTGCGCACCGCCTCCTAGCTATTGAGGCAAGACACAATGAAACATTCATCTTCGGTCGTACGCCTGTTACTTTTTTTATACTTGTTCAGTTATCGTTATCATGCCAACAGAATTCGAAGAATTCCAATTCATATACCGTATCTGTTTATCATTGCAGTAAATCATGAATGAGATTTCTCTATTGTATCCAACCCTTCTCACCGCTTCCACAGAAACTAGCTCAAAAGTGATTGATGACGAAGATCTAGCTTCTGTTTCATCAGGGCTTAGTCCCACAGGTTCGCCTGGTCCTGATTCTAAGTCTCCCTCGGACTCACATGTCAAACGTCCAATGAACGCTTTCATGGTGTGGAGTCGCGGACAGAGAAGAAAAATGGCACAGGTTTGCATGTCTGAAGTTCGTTTCCTTTTTTCAAACAGCGTTTATATAGGATAATCCAAAAATGCATAACTCGGAAATTAGTAAGAGACTCGGCGCTGAGTGGAAACAGTTGTCGGAGCAAGAAAAGCGTCCGTTTATTGATGAAGCTAAACGCTTGCGTGCACTTCATATGAAGGTTTGAACTTGGTTTTAAAACTATAAATGGTAAATATTATTTAGGAACATCCGGATTATAAGTATCGACCACGTAGAAAACCAAAGGCAACCCTCAAGGGTCAAAACCGTATCTCTATTGGCCTCCCAATGGCACCATTCTCAGCGCCAACAATCTTTAGCTACTCTTCGACATTAGACACCTTGAAGACCCCGGACCTTTCTCAATACTACTCAACCTTTTTCCCAAATCCAGTACTATCAGCTGCTGCTTCCTATTCACCGTACAACATGATGGCCGCATACGCACGACAAGCGGCAGCTGTAGCAGCCGCCACCCAAGCAAGCGCCACACCAACCGCAGCACCAGCAGTCTAGGACGCACATAAAAATCGCTTTTTGATTTCAATTTAACGACGAGAAATTAATGTGAGTCTTCGTTTTTTATCCTCTTATCCAATTGAAGCAGGTGGGTGAGAGAGGGTTGCGATATTTGACGCGAAGGCTATTCTCCGCCGAATATGCAAATTTTCTTCATTGTTTGCCGATTGGGATGTCTTTAAAATGTGTTAGAATTGAATACATTTGTACATCTAAAGAAATCAAATGGGTTGCTGTGTTTTTCTGACTCTTCTCTTTTCTTCATGATGACTCATTCAAACTGCATCGCCCACAACAGTCATTAAAAAATTGAAATAGTAATGATGATGGTTAGCGAGATTGAGAACATTATATATTTCTTCAATTTTTGCGCGTAGTTATGGGTGTGTGTCAATTCGTTGTTCTTCGCCACATATATACAAGGAAACAGTGGCGTAATGGCAATTGAATTCGAAGAAGTGGGCTGGTTTCACATAGACCGCAGAGTTGAAAAAAACGTAAACAGTGAATTTCATTGTTATTTTAACTCAATTGTATTGAGGTAAACTAAAATTATTGAAAAGAAATTCCTTCTCCTTTCGCTCCCAAATCTGGACGCATATTCTCCAAAACACCGTGCTTCCTGTCAGTTTCCCCCTCGAGTGTTTATTAAACCCGAAATAATTTGTATTAATTGACATGCATGCGGCACTCGGCAGCAACCAACAAGACACATATATCCTCAATTTGTGCTCGGCAATTTTTTTGATTGTTCGATTCAAATAGACACACACAACACACTGTCAAAAAAACCCAAGTTCCCCCTTCCTATTGTCCAATCGATACGATTATTTACGCAATGAGAGAGAACGAGGCAAAAGAAATACATATGAAAACCGTGCTCCGACTTTCCAGCGGCTGCACAACACCTTACGTGAAACAACTGCGCTGCCTTTGCGTGGAACGGGTTGCATTGGGATTGTATGTATGCCTTTTGTATTGTCTGCCGAATCGTTTTTCAACATTGTTAAGGGCCTCTGGCTGTCTCCCAAGACAATGCAAATTGTGTGTATGTGTTGCAATTGTGTGAAGGGCGTCGCATTTCGTTTTACTCACAATTTGACAGTTTCAAAAGAGGGAGAATGGGTGGGAGGCAAAAGGTCTGTTGTGGGCAGGGAAAAATGAATGATGGAGAGGAAGACGAAAAAGAATGGCAGAAGGAAATTGAATAAGAATAAGAAAAACCAATTGAGGTTGAGGGTAGCTGCGGCAAATTGAAACGAAAATTGATACAATTTCACACTTTCTTCTGTTTACCTATCATAATCGAATTCATAATAATGGTTTTTTCTTGCAGATTTCCAAAACAATTTACCATACGGTGTCGAGGTTCGTGTCAACACGTGGGACATCAGCGAACCCATACTTGATCTTCTTTTTAAATAATTATTAAATCTTCCTGCGAGGGCAATTCTAGCTTTGCTCAATATTGTATTCTTATTATGTCATTTGATTCTCGCTGTTAATTTCAAAATCACCAAAATTTAAACCAATGCCCTTCTTTGTAATCCCAACCAAACGTTTCTTTATTTCTCGCATCGGGTAATTTTGTAACAAATTTCTAGACTTCTCCACTCTATCATTTTACTAATATTTTGTTTTTGTTTTATTGATAAAACAATAGGTTAAGGGATTGCCAACAGGAAACCAACAAAAAGCGACGTTAATCCGAATTTTCGCGCCTTTAAAATGTGTGCAAGTGTATTTAAATATTTGAAAACAAATAAGAATGCATCATCAATTTCATCATTGACGGCTGAGTGAAGGTTTTGATCCGTTGAAATTTTGTGCGCGGGACAAGGCATTCCACAAAAACGATTATTTACAATTGTCCACCGTTCTTTTATATTCAAATAAAACAGTTATTGTTGCCTACAAATAACGTCTCCACCACATTGAATCGAATTGGTCGTCGAAAAGAACTGTTTGAAATCAAAAGGATGTCTGGCGCCAGAATTCCTACTAGGAACGCATCATACAACGGATATCGGCTGTGAGAATGAATTTAACTATCGCACTTCGCTTCAACCCCCTTATTGAAATTAAATCTGAACAGAAACTGCGGAATTGATGAAGCGGGGAGATTTGAGCTGCCGATTAAATAAACAATGAGATGTGATTGGAAATGGCGCACCTCAAGGCTTCGGCAGCTTGTAAACATCTGTCTTCACAGAGAGTACGGTAGCTGTCAATGTACTCACATTTACTACGATCAAACTTTTAAGATAATATTTCTCCTTCGTATAATATTCATTATCATTCTTTTTCTCTTAATAATAATAGTATCCTCTTTATTCCTTACTCTCGGGTGGTTTTCATAAATTTTGCTTGAAATCGTCCATGACACGAAATGTCGCACCGTGAAACGAGTTTTATTTCGATTTTCTGTCAAAATTTTGGCCAATTTCTTTCACAATCGACAACTTACCAATGTTGCTTCCAATCTGGGCGCAAATATTTGACAACATCGATACATTTATTGCAAAATTTCGTTGCTTTCTTTCTTTTCAACAATTCCTACAATCCATTTATTCATTGATAAGATACCGTAATACCACGGTGGATGACTTGTAACGAAGTTCGGGAAATGATGGCCCACTTGAAGGGAACACCAAACAGAAGCAGTAAAAAAAGTCGACCGGTTGGTTGCGTATTGTTTTTCTTGCACAGTTGGATGCCAGAGAGTAGCGAACGATCAAAACTTGCAAAAAACATCATGAATGCCGAATCCCGAATATGCACTTGTGATTACGCATGCGAACGACCGACAAAAAAGTCTTGGTACATAATGTTTGGTTTTTGGATCAAAGAGGTGTTGACTTGATTCATGGTAAATATAGTATGTTTTCTCTTATTTATGCATAATTTATGCAAATTTTGTTATTGAAAATGGCATTTGAATGAAAATGTCTCGGATAAAGTTTTAAGCTAATTGTATCGTTTTTTGAAATATAAGTTATTTACTTCGTTCAATATCATGAAAATCTTTATGCAGCGCTGAATGGTTAACACATTGTCTAGAAAATTTGAACACGGCTGATTTGCCTCTTTTATTGTTGGAAACACCTTTTCGGTGTGGTTTCTTCTCTTTCCGAGCTACACATATAAACACAAACGGAATCCGCATCACATTAATGCGCTTCGTCAAACAAATTTGGCGTGGTTGCCGTCTAAAAACATTCATGTGCTCACTTCACCGTTAAATCTATTAACCCTGCACCTATGTTTGGCGACACGCCTTTTTAATGTTTGGTGCTGCCTTTCACTTTTTCACAAAATTTAAAACTTTTACATGTGAGTACGGTATCTCATTAAGGTGCATCATTAGCAGACGGTCAGGTTTCCATATTGAGATACAGGTGTGCATTCGGCTGGAAGATCAATGTGTCAATAATGGTACGGTATAATTGTGGAAGAAGGATGCGTGTTTAAGTGTTTCATGCAAAACTTTCGTTTAAACAAGTGCAGATTGAGGTTACGAGGATATCTAAACAAAGAATAAGAATAGTTGAGGGATTCATGTCCTTCACATATATTTAAATGAATAGACAATTAGTTGCCTAGTGTGTATCAATATTTGAGACAAGAAGATCATCATCATCTACCCGATTTCCTGCTCAAGCCGCTTCTGCAACCAAAACAAACGAATCCGGTGCTTTCATCATGCCGAGGTCATCAGAAGCACTTCATTAACGTTCGAATGTCGTATATATAAACATAGGAAAGATTAATCGACCACCACTCAACATACAGTATTCATTTTGGATCGCCATGTTAAACAATCTTAGCTAATCTTCCCGAAAGTATCAAATTCCGTAGGACAGAAGGGGTAAATAATTTATGTGTCTTTTGACGCCAGAAAAAGAACAAAGGATAAGATATTATTATATGCAGGTGACGTTGACGTTGACGGGATATAAATAATCATCAAACAATTTTCTACGGAGCATATGTTGTTGGAAAGAGAAATAGATTTTTCATTTATTTTTGAATTATTCTACAATAGGAAGCTGAAAACATCTGTATCATTAGTTTTGAAAAAATGAAGAAGGGTATCATTTTTGTGTTTATAGCTTTTTGCAAACCTTTATGAGTTTTAAAATTGTTGTTAATTTTTGTATTGTCTAATTTTATCTAGTTACTACTTCTTACTGTTGAAGTACTTAGCAGGTTCTTATATTTTTGGTAAATCCTTGTTATCAAGTATACTAAAGAATTGCACATTGAATTGTTATCATATTTGTTTTGTAAATTAAACTGGCATTGCGTAATGGGTAGTATCTTTAATTTGATTATCCACACTCGAAGTATGCTGCTGTGTTATCGCAAACTTTGAATTGGTGTTCTCCCAGGAGGTAATAGAAAGTAATGGATAATACGGTCAAATATGGACGCTATAAATTACGCAACAGCGGCACAACCGAGAAACAGCCAGTGCCTGCTGATTACGGTAGTCGGGCACTTGAGGGATGTAAAGAGGTGTGCCTTTTTATTGGGTTTACTATAATTGTTTGTTTGTCAATTATATATCTTATAAATAAAGAGAAAGAAAGAAAAAATAAGAAGGTAGATTTCAAGAAGTCAAAATTATTATCGTACACAAATTGCATAAAGTTATCAGATCTTATCTTTTGATTTTAAACTTGAATTTTCTTGATCAAAATCTATTCTTATCTTGGCATCTCGGCGATTCTAACTGTAAATAATTTCAAACATCCTCGGAGGTCATCCATCATTTTTTGTGTTGTTTGATTTTATCTCAAAGTCGCCACACCTTTCAGTTCTAAACATATTACCATCACAGCAATACCGACCGCCATTGCCACAAATTGATTGATGACTTGCTTTCGTATTTGTCATCAGTCTCTTGTTAATCGAGGCGCCGCCGTTCAACGGTAAGAGAAAGTAAATTAGCAGAAACTAATATAGTTGTTCGGATACGTCAAAGGGAATTGAACGAAAATTTGAATAATTTCTTGCATTTTTCAAAAAATGTTGATCTTTCAGTATTCCGTTAATTCGAATTAGAAAACTATTCATTGCGATTACTAAAACAATTAATGCGAATTTATAAATATTTTATGTATTAATTATAACTGTAATATAATTAAAGAACCCTATATGCAGGACCACTGTGCAATTTGATGTATACTTTCATACCAAACTCAATAAGTTACACGAGTTCCTATTGTAGTATCTCTAGAAATTTTTCCATGGTAATATACATATTTAGATAATTCACAAACATTGGGTTTTGAATACCACATTTTCCAAATGTAAATCTTTCCGCTACTCGGCAAGTGTCACAAAACGACAACGACAAAAATTGGCGAAGGACAAGTCAATTAAGTTGAAATGTTTCAATTTCCGACTTGTTTCGCATCTAATAATCGCCATCTTCTTTGATGTAACGGAACGAACGGATCGAGTTAATTGTCGGCGATGTGTCCCCCTTTGTGTAAAATGCGCAGAAATGTTTCTATTTCTGTGCAGCGATCATTACCATATTGCTACATGTGTAGGCCTTCCTGACGACAATTAACCATTCAAGAACTGCGATACCTTTTTATTTGGGAAAAGGAAAACCGGGATCTTTAAGAAAATACAATGGAATATTAATGTTAAAAATCGCGTTTGAAAAATAAAAATACTCTTCTGATACCTCATATTTTTTTAAATGTTGTTAAGGCAGAATTTATTTTCATCGATATAAATAATGAAAATTAATTTTTCAATCCATAATGACAATCTTTATGGACAAGGTCCTTGCAAACAGCTGATGGATCCTGATTGGTGTCGTCAATTACAACCTAGAAAATTGGATTTTTTAAAGTTTTGGCTCCACGGGGATTTTACATGAGCAACATCATTGACCATTAAGAGGCAAGCCTGTTGAGAAATTTTATTGGAATATTTTGCCTTGCAATATTTATCTAAACGATGTTGAACAGTAGCCTACAATAATATTAAAAAAATAAAATTTTTTCAAATATGTACTTCTTCACATTCAGCATATGTTTCAGCAATTAGAACTAAGTCAAGGCAGATTTCACAGGTAACTCCAGCATTCGCTTTAACAAAAAATATTGAAGCACATAAAGAAATACTGAAATAACTTACACGGCGGAACATATCCTTTTGAAGCAACCACATTTTTAAGATCGACTGCTCCACACTCATCTGATTCATCCCGATGGGACGGAGCACAGAAAGATGAAACAACGAGGAAACCTACTTATGTAATTATAAAATTATCGTTATTAAATTTTGTAAAATTACCTGCAAAAAGCAAAAACTTCATGTTTGGAAGAAAACGATAACGTTGCATTTTATGACAATTTTTTATAGCCTTATCGGTTATGTGCTATGCTGGAATTCTAATCATCACGTGACTTCTATCTCCGGTTGATTATCTAATATCAAACAATGATAAACAAATGAACGAAACTACCAGATATTGCCCATGTCGATAGTAAAGGAAATCTCCAGGAATATTTATTCGAAAATTAATCTTTCATACTGATTTATATAAAACTCTCAATGACCAATAAAGATGTGCAAAACTGACTAGATAAAAGCTGGAGTAATACAATTATAATTTAGCACACACTAAGTGAGGGTATAAATATATCGGATTAAAACGCTACGGAATGGGTACATTTACAGTAGATCATTTTTGCGTCAATGAATAAAAAAAAATATATAAATTATGCAATATAACTCATTCTCCTAGAAGTAACAAATGAAATATTTTGATTGGATAATGAGGCACAAAACCATTGTAATTTAAGCGAAGTCTATAAAAATAAGTGAAAACTTTTAGTTAATGTATAGCAGCCTTAGAAAATATAAATATTGGTCACAGTGAATTAAAGAAACACAGAAAAACATGTCGACTAGAACTCGAAAAATAGAATAGAATAGAAATCTCACAAATCATTTCGGCAAGAAGTAATGAAATAAAATTGCAGCGCAATGAGCAAAAAACTATACTAAGTTTGTCATGTTGAAGATTGATGGTAAAGTTCGGAATTTTAAAGAAGCATCCGCTCCACAAGAGAATAGATGCATTTGTTGATCGATAAATAATTGCTGAACACCTTGCACAGTTGTTTGTCCCACTGAAGCAATAATATATAGGATTTGCCGAATCATTACAAAACCATACCTTGACGGAAAGAAAATCCACTTTTTGTCGCATGTTCCCCGATCAATGAATACATCAATTGAGGATTAAAATCAGCTGACCATATTTTTATATCGCCATCACTAGATCCCGCGACTATCAGATCTTGAGAAACGTCGGTGACTAAAGCTTTGACCATTTGAGTCGGCTCAAAAGCCTTAATAGTTGCTCTTAGTTGCCGTTGGCGAATATCCCACAAACAAATTTCACCATGGCGACCACCAGAAACAATGGTCTGAAATTTTATTATTGGTTTTTGTACGTTCAAATATGCTTATGAAATACCTGCTGGCATGGTAAATACATGGCACAAGTTGCACCTTCTGTATGAGCAACCCAGGAATGTACAAGGGCACGATTCTGGGGTAGCAGAGTATCCCATAATCCGAGATTGTAATCAAGCGATGAAGATCCGGCAGTGACGAGAACGGAAGATGAGTGTCCGAGGAAACGAACGTCAGATGCTGATTTGTTGTGGCATCGTTGGCTCTATAGAACTTTTTTAGAATTTGAATCATAAATTTTAAAGCTTACAAAGAATGGTTTCCTTTGTTCTGTGGACTGACTAGCCTGCCAAAGGCAGAGCATTCCGTCACCGTCAACGGCAGCGAACTTATTGCCATTACACGAGAATGAAATTTTAGAGACTTTTGCATGCTGGCCAGCTACTCGCGCAGTATAAACGACCTCTCGTCCGCCCCATTTCCAAACACGTATAGATCCATCGGAAGAGCCAGTGACGTCTGTATAATAAAAACATAATGCACCAATTATGGAAAGAGAGGTCTTACAGAATGGTGCAGTTGGATGAGAATCTATTCTGCGAACTCCAGCAACGTTGCGCTTGAGAATCTGTAACATAATATCGAAACTGAGTTAATGAATGTTGTTATTAATATATATGTATATATTAACTATTCACGGTAGGCACTTGGCAAGACAACACAATATTTACTATGAACGGAAGCACAACATCCTTATATACGTTAAACCTTTGTAAGTCCACGTCTGCTTCTATCAAGAATCCAGGGGGTAAGCTTAATGGTAAATTCATGAAGGACAATTTAAATTTGACAATTACAATTTCTATCTAAAATTTGAATAATACTTACTACATTTGTATTTCTTGGATTTGTTGACGGTATCGTTTCTGTGAAAAGTTGATAATCATCATTATCTCGAATTGGATCCCGTTTTCGATGAATATTGTTCATCTAATATTATATTTAACTAATTTTGGTTATTAATTAATTTACATCAAGCTCAGCTCTATTCCACATCCAAGAAGTTTTATCCAACTGATCCTCGAAAATGTCTGATATATCCATTTCTTGCAATTCCCTTCCATTAGAAACGACGATGTATCCACCGGGGCTTTCTTGATTGCATCCGAACGCTACAATCGGTTCGTTGTCTTTTTGAATTATCTTGAACGCTTCGGGAAGAGTTTGATGTTGATCAACTCCAGTGAGTATGTCAATACGATTAGTTGCGTTTTCCTGGGCACAATTTTATAATAAATAAGTTGTCAGTTTTTGAATTTCTACCATTTGACATTGCTGTGCAAAAATGTATTTGATGAAGATTTCCTGTAGGTGATCCTCTCGTACCAGAAATGCCCAAAGCCGTTGAATAGGCTGCACTTTTTTATCATCACTTTCGAATGGTGTATTATTTGGCTTGACTATGACCGAATATTTCCTGACAAATAAAAAATACATCGCTATATCAATGTTAGCTTGATACTTCATAGTCGCAGCAAGGTGTTGATCGGATAAGTCAAGTGTCATATCGGGAAGAAGATCACTAGGTATACCACCAGGGAATTCCTTTAGGCGTTGTTCTTGTTGTTCACTCCAATTTTCAAGCTGACGAAGAACTGCTTCGATGCGTGGAGCTATAGCGGGAATTTCTAAAAATATTTAGTGAGCTATTTTTGACGTATATTTCAAACCATTTGGATCATATCCTGCAAGGATCAAAAACTGACGAAGACGGTACAGGTGTTGTTGAATCAATGCCAATCGCAACAATTGCCAAGCAAATGAGTTCGGATCGGCGTTTTCGCACTTCATGGTATCCTCACCATCATCACTGCGTGTGTTCTCATCATCCTCCTCATCATCAGAATCATAGTTTATTCCGAGGTCTTCCGTTCCAGCAATTATTGGTCGATCGGCATATAATTGTACAATGTTTTTCTGTGGCGGAATCCATTTCGAAATGATTTGCTCGTTCACAGGCGAATGTTGTACATGGGCAGGACTTGAATCCGGTCCAAACACTCTCAAATTCAGCCGTGATCTCAAAGTACTTCCATCGATTGATTCGCTTTCTGAAGGTTTTTTGATCCTTGGAGATGTCGGCCCTAAGAAGTCAAAATTTTATATTGATTTACAAATATAGTTACTTGGGGGTCTTGCAGGTGGGATTGTCTTTAGTCGCTTTTCTCCACCTCCGCCAAAGATCAACCCAAATTTGCTAGGATCGATTTCATGAGCACTGAGACGATACAACCATCTTGAATCATATGCAGCAATAGCAAAACAGAACAATGACCTGCAAGAAAGTTATATGATTTTAATGGCGCGATAATATTTACATTGTTATTGCAACAAAAGATTCTACAAGAAGAAGGCGTAGATGTGGAGCCTCGTCATCTTTCTCTCGTCCTAGAAGCGCGATCAGACATTCCACACCAGGCCATTTCACTGGCGCAGTGGTTACACGCATGTCTTCAGTTGACATTGATACAGCTCTTGTTCTCTTAGTTAGAATTCCCGGTTTTCCGTCAAAGCGAAATTGATCACCGCTGAGTTGGTCTACGTCACTTAGTGATTGGTAAAGGCAAGATGACAATCCTTGACACAAATTATAAAGCATATAACACTGAAAAAACGTGTTAAGAATAAGATTTGAATATAAGAAATGGTTACTTTTTGCAGTCCTTTATTCATATCGGGTACGTCGTGCATTTCGCAGACTGTCGTGAGAAGGTCGGAACATTGGTTTTCGATGAATGCTAGTGGGGATGATACAAACATTTTTGCCGATGAAACAGACGCTTCAATCAATGGTAATGAATTCATATCCGGAATTGGTTCTGTATGAATATTATTAAATTATTTAATATAATGAAATAAACCATTCAAGTGCTGGACGCCAGTATCTTTCTGTACTTCTAAGAGCAGTAGAAGTAGTTCCATCAGAGCTGAAGTCAAACGGTGATTTTGAGCCGAATGAAGGGCACAGAATGATGTAAACGATCTAAGAAGTTTTTGGTTCGCCGTGAGCCATTTTCTTCTCCTTGAGCAAATTTTGATTCTTGCAATCATTTCTGATCGATCCATCTTTAATGCTTCATGAAGCGCAACTGGGCTACTGAAATTTTAAAGTTAAATATTTTAATTAGTAAATTGCCAATATACTTTTCATTATAGCCTTCAACAAATGACTCCTCCTCGTCAAATCCAGCTGAGTCATCCAAATCGACGTTAACACGATAATCACAACTGTGCTTGAGAACTTCAACTTCTTTTTCAATCCAATTAAATAGTTGAAATCTCAGCTGTCCGCCGTCCACTTCAAAGCCACTAGCAAGAGTTGAAAGCTCTTCTGTGAGAATCCGTAGTGAAGCAACAAATTTCAAATGCTGTGCGAAAATATCCATAGTTCCAATGAGATGATTGCTCGTAAGACCAGACGTGTCCTTCAAATTTAAACGTAAAAATTGTATATCACAAAAAAATTGAATTACAATATCCAAGGCTGTGTCAAATGTCAGTTGTTTTGTTTCATTGGTAGATTCTGGTTCGTGAGCTTCTTCGTCAATTTTTTGGATTTCTTCTTCCTCATCATCACTCCATTTAAGATCCAGTTCGTCATCTTTCACAACATTTGTTGGTGCACTCCAATCAACATTTTCCACCGTTTCGAGATCTGGTTCGTTTGTCTGTGCGTTTCCGCCGCCAAGGAATGCCTTTAACGCATCGTTATAATCTTGAACCATACTGATTTTTCTTGGCAATCTACTTAAAACATCTAATGCTAGCATCGGACATCCTCGAGCCATATGTTCGGCAGCTGTTCGGAAGAATAACCGCCTTTCCGGCGGAATTACTATACTTTCGAGCTGTTTTCCAATTGATAAAAACTTCTCAGTTGATCCAACTTGTACTCCTGCATCGGTTAATCGCTGTCGAACAACTAAAGGATGTTTGCGAAGGAATGAGTAGAAGTTGAATATATCCGAAAGGCTTGTATGATTTCGATTCGAATGTGCCTCTTGTACCAACGTATGTGCCGCTCTGCTATAATCTTTCAACATCCAGAACGCCATTGATCTCACAAATGGCTCCCTTGAAGCATGAATTCCAAGAGTAGCGTCGTCATCAGTTTTTCCACGTTGGGCTTCAAATTCATCAGGTGACATTCCTAATACCTCTCGGCAAAGGATTTCTTTGATCATGGTTTGTTGCACGTCGATATCTTGCTCATAAAGACGAATAACAACTAAAGCTAGTTGAAGATCGTTGCATTTGGCAAGAATTGTTTGAATGGCATCTTTTAAGCTTCCGCTGAGAAGGAAAAATGCGGCGGCATGGTGAAAACGTTGCTTTGACATTAAAACGAACGCGTTTTTAGCAGCAACCTAAAATATTATGTTTTTTTTAGAGAGAGGGAGAGCAAATATACCTTCTTCCAATGTTCACTATTGAAATCATTCATAAAGAAATCCGTCATCATTTGATTTCTAGTGGTTTTGAAGAGATGTGTCATTACATTTTTCTTTTTTAATGCCAAATAGTAGAGAGAAGCATCCATAGGGTCCTGGTTCAATTGGAAAGCAGCCTTGGCCAGCTGAAAGTTTAATAAAAAAAAAACTGGAACAATTTTCAAATCACTTACCTTCTCGACACAGATTCTTAAGCTAGCAGTGTTTTTAAGCCACCACGCAATCCCCAATGCACGAAGTTCTTCCCAAGTTGCTGCCGCTTTCTGCATTCCGGGAACTGCGTTTAATAGTTCAGTTTCGGTCTCAGAATGCTGCGCCCAGATAATATGAGCTGGGGCAAGTCCAGTTTTCTACAAATCTCATATATTTTTTCTGATTTTCATTAAAAAAGTACCTTAAGTTCCATTCGTTGCTTGTACGGAAGACAAACAAGGAGGTATTCATGTTGTTTCATTGCCATTAGGTAACGAAGACCACATTCATCGACAGTTTCCATTCCTCCTGCGGCAGTAGCGTACCCTCCGGCAGCTGAATCTCCAAGAACGGATTGGATGACTGGTTGCATCGCAGCATTAGCTTGAGTAAGTTTGTCAATAACATCACTTGTGAAATGACTCAATGTGTCAGCAATGGCTAGAAGATGCATTTGATCGACACTGGATAATCCAGGAAGATGTGTATGTGTTAACAATTCTGTCAGCTTCCGATAGTGCTTTGCAGTAAACACTGTGGATACTAGTTTCTCCTGCTTAATGTCACCACTTCCACAAGACTGTAAGCGGGATCGAGAAGTGGATCCATCATTATCTTTCAGCATATCATCGAGGTCATCTGGAACCGTTTCATCTTCAAACAAATCGTCATATTCATTTTCATCCTGTAAGACAAGACATTTGGCTGGAAAGCTTTAAGAAAATACCTTAGTCATAACACTTTCCGCTTTTTCGCCGATTTGCTCATTATCATGATCGGCAGCCAACAAAGCATACAATGGGAGAGGAGGAATATCATCAATCTCATCATATTCCAAGGAATCTTCATCGAACTTTGGAATAATGGTATCTCTGTTCGCCTGCTCTTCAACTCCATCAACAGTAGACATTCTTCGCAACGATGCTGCTCTCGAAAGAGGATTGTGAACCGAAACTTGTCTCTGCTAAAACGAAAAAAATACTTTTCCACTTTTCACATTAAATCCTGACCTTTAAACTGGTAAGAACATGCAAAAGGATGGCTTTGACGCGTTTTGTTTTTCCAGCGTTTAGAAGCACAATCAACTGTTTTGGATGATATTGTGGAAGAATTGGAGAACATAAGTGAGCAGCTTCGAAAGCTCCTTCCGTTGCAATAATTTCCATAACAAGTTGGGAATCACCATCTTTCATGTGACTTCTGAAGATTACATATAATTTTAATTGTGTCATTAACAAGGAATAAATTTTACCTGTGCATATTGGAAACAAGATCAAGGAAAACTCGGCTCCTACTAGAAGCAAGAGCTTCTTTCTTTTTGTTAACTTGGTCCAACATGGAATGTGAGGTAGAAACTGGAAGGCTGACAATATGCGGATTTGTTGAGCGACGACTGGAAATTGAATATGCCAACTCAAAGTTTTCATAATTAATTATACTTCACTGCACTGTTTTCATTTGGAGTTTCAAAATTCCATTGATTGTACACCCTCATCTCACTCTCCATTCCTACGATCAATATTCCGTCTCTCGCCCAGCTCAGTGATGTAGGAATTGGAGGAAGACCATCAGCAGAGTCCAAACTCAATACGCGGCAACAAATCCACTTAGTCTGAAATTAATTAATCATTTAGAGGAAACACTATTATCTTTTTAAATACCAAGCGGCTGTGAGGCTGCATATTAGGAAGAAGAGATGAAGCTTTTCTCAATGATGGACGGCGCATGCTTGTTTCGCTCTCCTTCATCAAGGTAACATTTTGTTGAGCAGGATCATGAGACACCTTCAAAAATCACGTAAAAAAATAAAACATTATCATTACCTGAGTATATATGTAAACTTTAGCTCCAAATCCAACTGTCAGCATATGTCCACCATCTTCTGTCGACACCCAATCCAACTTAACCATTGTGTTGACATCAACTTAACAAAAATAATTGTTATTAATATTTCGAATTCGTAGGACAGAAAAAAACAGCAGACTACCAAAATGTTACAACAGACAATCAAACAAACTTTGAACATCACGTGTAGCAGGTGCAATTCCAGATTCAATAACACGTTTCAAATCAGGCGAGGGTCCCTTAACTGGTCCAGTGTTCAGTCCTGAGAAGATTGGATTAATACCCAATAGTGAGTGCAGTAGCAAAGACAAGCAATTCATTATTTTCACAATTGTTACAATTTGTTAATCGTGCCCAACAACACCATAAAACGTAAGCTATGCACTCTACAAGCTCGTGCTATTAGACTAAAAAACTTACGTTGTTGCATGGCTTGGAGAAGTTCACTTTGTCGTTCTGGATGATTATACATGGAAAGTTCAACCTGATGTCTGCAATTTTCTGTGTCACGTGCTTATAATTTTCTACTCAAACTAACGCTCTGGGCATTGTTAAAAATTTGCTTTGTTTGATCTCAAATGAATCTTCTCTTAGCCATTCAACTCCACCTGATGATTCACATTCAAATACCGCTACTTCAATACAATTCATGTCATTAGTAATGGCGCCGGAGTTTTCATAAGCCAATGCAATTCTCCCGCTGTGTGCAGCTGTGATATCATAAACCGCTCCCTCCATTCCAAGTTCACTTGGTCGATTCTCGCTGATCATGTTCCATTCACACCACTCATAAATATCTGTCGAATCAATGTTATCCTGGTTCTTAACGCATTTCCAGAATCGAACGGAGTCATCCGTATCGGAAGTAATGAGAACATATGGCGTCTCACATGCCGGATACAAAGACGATGATGATAGATGTCCAGCCGCCGGTGTTACGTTTTTAATGCGAGTTCCACTTGCTAATGGGAATTTTTGGCGGCAAACAAGTTTGGTCTCAAATTTCAGTTTTGCCATGGAGGGAGCCATAGGACTAGCAGGTCGTAAAAGTCCCTTCTCATCGGGCAAAATTTCGGTGTCAAAATTAGGAATTGGCTGCGGTTGCTGGGACGATATAGTGAGTGAATACATCAAAATTCTGCAAGCCCTTTTGCTTTCATTACAATTCAAATTTGCGCAAGTCTTACGTGTCTTCATGATCAACCATTACGATGAAATATTCATCTTTGAATGCTGTCGTTTTGCTGCGATCGATGACACTTCCCAATGGAACGGTGCCATCAGGGTTCGTCCACTCTTCCTCATTTCTTATGACTAATCTCGCTTGAAAAACGTGCAGGAATGTCAAATTAACATTCTTCTGAATTATAGAAGATTTTTCCGATTATACATATCTATAATTTGTTACCAAGAAGTTATCTTCAATGAGCCCAACTTCAAGCACGCAACCCGGCTTGGCTGTCGATTGCGTAGAAACCACATTGAATTCACGAATAAACGATGGAGCAAATGATCGTCGTGGTGAAGGTGTTCTCAGCATTCTATCGCTATCATCATCGTCAAGGAACTTATTCTTGTTGTATGCCGCATCGGCGTTGGAAAGTTCGGCGAGAAGACCCCGTGCATCAATTACAGCCTTGAATACTTGACATGATTTGTGAAAAATGCGCTCATTCACCTGATATATTACAAGTTTCTCGCCATCGCTAGCAATAAAACAGGACGACGGTGAATTGCAAACAGTTCCTAATGTGCAGCTTGGCAAAATTGCCGGAACCCATCCTAGCGTCGAAAATCCCTCTGCAAGCGGACTAGCAACCCTCGCCAATTCTTTTACACCACCGCTTTTGCATAAAGGCCCTACGGGGGCAATTTTCCAAAGAATAACTTCTGATGTATAATCCATCTAAAACAATATATAGTTATTGACACTAATAAATAACCCCACCGCCGAATTTTTAGACTCGAAGTTGGATGTTGTGAGAAGGAGTGGAAGAACAGGATGAGCTACGACCTGCTGGATTTTGAACCGATGACCACACATTCGAGATATGTGGGTCATGTTCAGTACTTGGGAGAAACAGCTCTTGTCGTCAACCGACATATGCCAAAGATTCAACGTTCCATTTTCATGAGATGTTAGAATGTGAATGGTGTTAGAAACATGTTGTTCAAGAAGTTTCTCATGAACTACATCTAAAATAAACCAGAATAACGTAACTTATATTTTAAATGATACCATTCTCTTTCTCATCAACATTCCGCCGAAGAACATTGATATATATTGGTTCATGAGGATTGAAAGTGCTCAAATTTGAGTGAAGAGATACTGCATCACTATGAGGAAGAGCATTTGGAAGACGTGAACTATACGAGATCACTGGCTGGCGATAATGATCATCAAGCCATTCCACAGTCCATGTGAGAAGACTTCCGTCAATTGGGTGAATTGTGAATAGAACATCGTTTGTCTTGGTCCACTGCCGAAGCAATATTTCAAATTTCACATCAAGAATATCTTTGTTTGACGGAGTATCCTGAAACATAATCCAAATTTCAATGCAATATTCAAACGTGTGGTAGAAAATATTTCCTTGATAAAACACCCATAATAGAATTTTCCGGTGATTAAAATCGATGGGTACTTTTCCAATGAAAATAATCTTATCGTTTAAGTGACATTGAACTCACAGAGCAAACACTGCCACAAAATGCGCTTCCCGGCCGATCATTTCCAATGTGACCGTTAGCAATTTGTTGAGTCATCTCGCGGTCCGGAGATGATTCCATTGATATTGGCTGAGAGCCTGTACGAGAGGACTCATTCTCCATAAGAACAGCTTCCGCAAGAAGTTTTTCAGCACCAACGCTGAAAACAAGTTCTTTATTGTTCAGCCAATGAACACATAGTGGTTTTCGGTGCGTAGAGTCCATTGATGGAACAAGTAGACAATCTGAATAAAGACTGTGATGAACAATTGACACTTTTCCAAAAATACCTGTTTCCGCATTCACCGTTGCGGCAAGATGAAACTGAACATCAATGTGCTCCATATTGAGATTGTGCAATTCACTGAAGGATGTACTTTTCCCGATCTGAGCTCGCAACCCAATTGCATTATCCTCCATTTTTTGCTTTTTTTCAGGTCTGGAATACTTGCTATTCCGCGAAAGGCAAACCATTTATGCTCACAATATATTCTTCAGCTTGCTCAATATCTTATTTTTCGTTTTCTTCACTCTAATTGGTTTCCCAAACAACTTTCGAGATTTCTGTTTTTCCCATAACGGCTCGCCTAATAATAATAATATGTGATGTATGCAGAAGGAAAATGGACTACCTCCTCCTTCTCCTGTCAAATCTATCATCGACATTTCAACCGGCGGGGTTTCTTTCCAAATGCGTGACGTATTATCCGTACACCATGAAATAAGGGCAGCTTGAATGAACTTTTTTGGCATATATCGTCCAGTTTTTCGCCATTCAAATCCGCAAACTGTTGTTGGGTGGGATAATGTAAGATATGTGAAACTTATGGAATGACGCGTATCTAGAAAAAATACAATTTTATGTTGCATTTAGAGCAATTGGTTTCTACCTGAACTATTCTGATAGAATACTTTTATTGTGGCATCATCGGTTCCACAAATGGCAAGGTATGCACCATCGGGAGAATATCGAATATATTTTGGTTTATTTGACATTTCAAATGACCATATGGTTTCCCACGACTGAGACTCTTTTACATCCTGAATTAATATAACTAAGAGAATAGCAATTTGTGGTGGCATGCATAATTAAGAATAAGACCAAGTGAAAATACTTATTCGCGAGAAAACCATAAATTAATGCTTCCATTGAGATAATGGTGCACTATTACAAGTTAATTGGTAAGTGACTTGTCGACTAAGGTAATGGAAAATGGGAAAAAAAAAACCTCTTCGGCGATGGAAAACATAACAGTTGCACTCGAACCACCACAATTTACGTTACTCACGCTTCGATGTTGATAGAGCACCAATTCATTTTTAATGACGAACAGCATCCGCATACCTTAATACAAACTAAGTGATTAAAATTGAATGATTTTCTACCTTCCATGGTCCATAATACTGACGTAATATGATCTTTAACACAAAAACAATGTGTCTCAACCCATAGAAATTGAAAAATTGCGCTTTTCAATCTGGATTTGTCCACACCACCGCTAATTGCTTCCAGGATTCGAACAACATTGCCATAGGTGACTGCTATCTAATAATTATTAATTTAATACCTTTACATATTTTTTCACAACCCAGTAGAAAATTTTGAAAACCAAATTCAGATTGCACAAAAACTAGTTTTAACGGTTTTTGTTTTCAAAATTATCACTGTACCATAGCATATATTTTAATAAATTATTTTAATTTATTAAAAGCTACTCACTTTACCAGTTTCCTGACAACAACTTATACTGGTTACTAAGCAGTTCTTCTCAACTTCGGGAATTATTTGTACACGATTGAAGTCAGAATCCAATATGACAACATCTGAACCGACAGCACATGCCTAAAACAATTAAAACATCATTATAAAACAGCGTTGTAACGCATACTGTGAAAATCAAGCCTTCGATGTATCCTATTGCATATACATGTTCACCCTCATTTAAAGCTCCTGTTATTATTTGATGAGCATTCATTGAGGCGAATGGCCTGAAAATATCAACATTAATCATTAGAGCTGGCACAATATGACTAATAAACATGTTTAGTTGCCAGGAAAGGAAACAAAAAATCACAAATGCGAAAGAGCGCGTTTGCAACATGTGCCAACATTGATTCTTGGACAATCGAACTAACTGGAACAATGTATCACGTGCGTAGAATTATATTATCTAATTACAAAAAGAAAATGTTGCGAATTTGGTTTTTTTGAGAAGATAGTATGAAACCACAATGTACGCAACAAAAAGAGGAACGATGCCTTGGTTGCAATGATGATTGATTGCTAGCAAAAAATACAATGTATATTGATTTTTTTTTGTTGATAAAATTCCAGAACAGAGAAACACTATGTCATTGTTATGCTAATCGCTTTTTTGTTAAAACTTTCATGCAAATTTGTTGTTAGCCAGGCCAATGTTGGAAGAAAACGATAACGGAGAAATGAAAAGGTTGCAAATCAAACAACAATTGGTTCGCTACCATGTGACAATGCAGCAAACGAAATTAAATACTCGCATGAATTCAGTTTTGCGTGTACTCTAAGAATTATATCTCGCACTAAACAATTTTTCGATTGGTGACAAAGAAACACTTTTCTGACTACTTGGTGATGTCACTGGATATAATAATTATTCACGTTTTCATAATATATACGTAATGACAAACACGTTAAGCACAATAGAAGTGACATTATTCTGTGTTAAAAAATTATTTTAAAAATGCATTTTTTGCGTTATAGACTACTTTCCTCTAAGAAACTATTGATTTTATTGAATTCAGCAGAAATAGCAAAAAAAAAACGAAGTTCATCGTTAAAACTTGAGTAGCAAAAAATCCGATATTTTCATAGCGAAGGCTTCTAACCAGATTGCGTTTATTGACATGGGGAGGGGGGTAAACGTTTCTGGCACTAGGTCGTTGCGAGACCAACACATGCACATTTCTCCTTCTTTTCACATGAACACTACTTCTTCTTTAGCGTATCGACATTTTTTGCGCACTGGACAGCACACACTTAACACAACGCTTTCATCTCCAAGCATTTATTCCCTACCAAAAATATACTTTCTTGGTTTCGTACACAACAACATACAAGTTTTTCAAGTGACTAATAAGTCGATGTCATTGATATTACGAAGAGGAGGTGAACAAGCGAACCATTGATAGTGTTTTGTGGGATAATTTTCACTCTTGCAACAAGATTGTGAAAAATGGGAATCATCAGTAAACGAAAAAAAAAACAATCAGTGGGAGAAAATCAGTACAATAAAAACAAAGTCCATTATTGTCAAATATTATTATCAACATATTAAACTGTCAGAAAAAGTTTATTTGTCTAGTAACTTTGGCAACGGTAATGTTATTTATATCAATATAACCGAGAGGAAACACAATAATTTGATATAGACGGGTCGAAATTTTGAGAAGACCAGAAATGTTTCTTGTACACTACATAAAATTGATGATACGGAAATATTTATAACCATCCAAGAAATAATTAAATTTTTGATTTTGAACAGCTTGCGGAAATAGCTTCACCATTTCTCCATTCCAGGGAAACTTCCCGATCGATCATTCATAGGATTCATCTGTTCGCCCATCAGATTGAACGGACTGCGTTCCATTACTGACACAAGCGAATTTGACATGTAGCCGGGAGCGGCACCTGGAGGTGCGCTCATACGCATATGATGAAGTCGTTTTTTGTAATACTCCCGGATTTTCTCGATAATTCCCTCGTCGTTCGACAAAACTTGATAGTGAATCTTGTGATCGCGGCAGTAATCAGAGATCAATTCGCTCGTTTTCCCAAATTCCATTCCAAGTTTCTTAGCGATAACGCCAACTAGAGACTGGAACTGTTGATGAGATTGCTGCAAATTAAACTTTGTTTTGTTTAACATCAATTTGAATAAACTTACGGTGATCATGTAAGATCTCTGATTGTCGTTAAGTTCAGCCCATTGAGCAGCAGTGATTCCATAAATCGGAGACGGCTGGAGAACTGGTTGTTGGACATGCTGCGGTTGAGGCCCAAGAAGTCCTGATCCCAAGCCTGAGAGGTTCAGATGTTGCAAGAACTGTTGGTGTTGCTGCTGTTGCTGCTGATGTTGTTGTTGCTGTTGATTTTGTTGCTGCTGCTGCTGATGTTGCTGTTGCTGTTGCTGTTGCTGTTGCTGTTGCTGTTGTTGCTGCTGATTTTGCTGCTGCTGCTGCTGCTGCTGCTGTTGTTGTTGTTGTTGCTGCTGCTGCTGCTGCTGTTGCAAATGTTGCTTTTGCTGTTTGAACTGGTTCTGCTGATGTTGTCTCTGTTGTTCTCTTTGCTGCTCCTGTTGCTGTTGCTGCTCGCTTTGACGGCTGTTTTGGGGCAATTGCGAAGAGGATACTTGAATATTTAGCGGGTTCAAGAAGCTTGATGTTGTTGAGTTCAAGTTCAACGTCAAATTATTGATGGTGGTATTCCACTGATCATCATTTGCCCACGGTGAGCTGAGACTTGAAAGACTGGTGAAAAGATCATTGCCTGCAATGCTCAAATATTGATGTGTTTTTCAATTTATAGATTTTACTGAAGAAGTTTGATCGATCTTCGTTTCCAAAACGCTTGCTTGGATTAATAGACTCAGTTATAGTAGACAATGAATCCGACCATGTCCACTGAAAATAATAATAATTTCTGTTAAAGACATTTAATTTTTTGGCTTACCGGGTTGTTAGTTGAAGTGATGGTATTCGATTCTGCACTACACCCAGCAACAACTGTTCCGTTTGGACGTGTTCCGATAGGCGCGTGACGAGCTGGTGAACTTGAAGTAGACGGTTTATTGTTTCCATTAATTGGAGATCCAGGTGCACGGCTTCCGGGAGAGATTGGGCGTGAAGCAGTAGACGACTGGGGAGCTGTCGTCGCAGACGAAGAAACCTGACCGATATGGCTTTGAGGACGTGATCCAATTACACCTGGGGTTGGCTTCGTTGGCTCAACTGGAGCTATTGGAGCAATTTTTACAATTTGCGGTGGTGGTGGCGGCTTTGGAACAACCAAAGTCGGAAGTGAGACCATGGATTTGCCGTTTCTAATTAATTCGATATGTGCTTCGTGTTCGGCTTTTGTTTTTTCAATAGACTTCGTAATAGTATCAATAATCTGTGACCATTCGTCGCGAGATTGAAGACAAATGCTGACTTCGTTGGCCGAACGAGCCCTGAAACATATATAATACTGAGGGTACTAAAATATCGCAATTACCTGTTGCTAGCAGCGTCATCCATTTCTTTCATTTTCTTACGAGCATCCAAAAGAGCGCGATCAAGAATAGCCAATCCAGATTCCAGCTGATGTTGAAGAAGAGAAATTTCTGCCCTCTTTGCGCGTTCTTGATGTTCTTGAGAAACTTTGTTGATTTGGTTTACTTTGTTCTTTTCTGTGGCAAGCTCTTCCTTTAGTTTCTTTATTTCTTTGATTCTATCATCCAGCTGATTATGCATCTGCTTGTTTTCCGTTGAAATTGAAGACATGTCAGATTGCAGGTGTTTCTTTTGATCAGTGAGTTGATGAACTTCCCGCTTGTATTTCTGAGCGTCATCACTGGCACGTTTCTGGACTCCTTGAAGCTCTTTTTGCAGCTGTTTCTGCTTTTCAACAACGTCTTCCTTCTCGGACCTTAAAAATACAAGTTACACTGTTTTTTTGCAAATTCGCTACTCACTGAAGAGAATTGACTTTGTTTTCCAAGTTTTTAACAAGCTTGTTCTTCTCTTTGAGCTCCTTGTTTAATTGGTTGTTTCTATCGCGCTCAGAATTATGTTGAGACTTTGCTTGCTTCACCTCATCCTTTAAGGTTTTCTCAGCCTTCCTATGTCTCGCATCTAGCTCATCATTAACTCTTTGAAATTCTTTCATCTTCTTCTCGTAGTCTACCATTTTTTGGTGAATAATTTGAGCTCCACGAATAAGCCGTTCACAATCGTCGCGATCAAGAAACACACAGTTCAAGAACTTATTCCTATAAGTCTCAAGCTTCTGAATCTGTGCGGTCATAATCTTTTTTTCCTTGTGGTGGCCACTAAGCACTTTGTTATTAAGATATGAACAGTCCTCATCAGTAAATGGCTCGAAAAGCACTGGGCTAACTGGACGATATTTTTCCTCGTTTTCGATATAAGCGATTCCGGCCAATTTTGAAATGTCACGCAACGCTTTTCTCAACGGATCGTCCGGTTGATTATGAGCGAGAACCATCAAAATTTCCTCGGCTTTGTTAATAACCTGACGAGTGCTTGTAATATTTAATGCCAAAAGGTTAAGAGCGCCCATCGCTTGTTCCGACGTTGGTTCACCATTTGCTTCTTTAATGGTGAAAGGGTGAATAAGCTCCATGATACTAGAATTATTTATCTGAAAAACTGTCTATAATATATTCTAAATTGAAACTATTTACATCCGGAAGGTTTGGCGAATCAAGGGCAGTATGGTTCTCGTTCTTAATTTCGACTATTTTTTGCGCTGGTTTTTCTTTTGTCTTGATGATAATCTTTGGTGTTTTAGACATCTGATTTTCAATCTCTCCATCGCAGTCTAGCAAAAAGTCAGTTTGCGCCTCATTGTCCACCATTTTTCGCGATTCCTAAAAACATGAATAAAATATTCAAATTCCAACGTAATTGACTAGTACATAGATGCAATACTCGCATTCCAAAGACAAATCAACTTTTGAGCGTTTTGGTTTTGGGCACCCGTCATGCTGTCGTTCGTCATTTTCCGATGAAGTCGATGCCGCTTCTTCTGCCTCGCATTCAATTTTCATAAGCTAAAAATCGATATATTTATCACCATTTTTTTTAGGTAAATAACCGTTTTTTGCATTCCACCCAATGCATCCCAGAACAATCGAATTCTGCCATCCAAAAAGGTCGACTCGCGTTCAATGATGTCTCTTCGATAGATAATCTTTTCGTCCGAAAAGAGCAGGCCTACGTCCCAATCGGTTGAATCTCCCTCGATAGTTAGCTTTCTGTAGCCTCGGTTGGATCGCCTCATATATTCTTTGGCGTTGGAAATGGCCTTTCTAATCGTAGCCTGTCTCTGAAGTTCAATATCGAACGCACTATCAGCGAAATGATGCAGTTGTTGAATGTTGTGTAAAATAATGGAGTGCTTAACATTCTTCAAATGTCCAGCAAGAGATCCCAACGTACGCATTTGCTCTGCCATGTATTTAAAAATTCTGAAAAACCTTTTTCATAGGTTAATTTGATGTTGTCAAGTTAATTAATTACCTATTCACATAGTGCTCCCTGCTTCGTGGAGAATCTTCAAAATCACTGAACTGAAAAGCTACTTCGGTGAATAATTCATCTTCAGCTTTCGATCGCTTTGCCCACGACATAGGATTGGTTCCATTAAAAAGTAGCTGAAAATACCAACAGAACGCTTTCAGAATAACGAAAAGCTAAAATCTAACCGGATTGAAACAGCCTTGCTGAACAACTTCATTTGCTTTCCTGTCGGGTTTCTTCTGATTCTTGTCGATTAACGGTTTCGTAATTGGAATGGGCTTTTCGACAAATTTCGCTTTATCGACTTTAGGCTTTTCTTCCGATTTAGGTGCGTTTCCTCGGTTCTCTGCGATCGCTTTTTTCTCTTCTACTGGTTTTTTTTCTTCAACATTCTCCGCAGATCTCTGTGATTCGGTTTGTGCCTTTTCCACCGATATTTGAGATTCGGCATTCGACTTTTCCTCAGATTTCTCAGAATCGCTATTCTTCCTCTCCAAGGATTTCTGTGACTCTGTTTTTACATTATCCGATGGTTTTGTAGCTTCTCTCTTTTCCTTTTCTGTGGTTTTCGGCGTTTCTGTCTTCAATTGGTCTGTAGTTTTCTTTATTTCGGCATTCGCCTTCTCGGCGGTTTTTGTTTTATCAGCCTTCTTTTCATCCTTCTTTATTGGACGGCTTTCAATTACATTTCCCTTGATTTCAGGGATATCTTTTCGTGCAAACTCAATCCGCTTGACGAGTTCAACTTTTTTCAGCGGCGCTACAACTCGAACTGTTGCAGTCCTCTTATCTTCGACCAATTCTTTCTTTTCAGACATTTTCTTCTTTTCGTCAAGTTTCAGTTTTTGAGCTTCGTCTGTGTTCTTTTGCGGATTTTCCTGCTTCTTTTGAGTTTGTGACTTCGGCTGAGTTTTTGGTTGAGCCTGCTTCGTCTGCTTCTGTTGCACTGCTTCCTGCTTTTGTTGAACAGTCTTAGCGTTTTCCGCTTTAACTACAGTATTTGTTGTTACTTTTGACTGTGTATTTGGAGTTGGTGCACGTGGTCGCATATTCTTCAGGAACTGCAATTAATAGTGTAAATGTGTGAATAAGAGATATTATTGCTAAACCTTCTTGTTTTTATTTTTGTTCCTGTTGTTAGAAGTCAATGCCATCCGAAGAGCAGTTTGATTACTGATAGAGTCTCCATCGGTTTTCATATCACTTGGATGTCTTTTGGCTGCACCTGAAGAAATCGAAAAACGGTAAGGTGGCATATTTCTTCAAACGCACTTTCAATTCTTTGAATAGATTCGACCAATTTCATTTCAATAAAATACGTCTTCTGGTCATCCAACTTCCGACGACATTCTGGATCCTTGTCTTTGCAATATTTTAAACCTTGCGCATTCGCTTCAATGGCCAAATCGATTTTTCCGCGGGAATACTGAAGTTCGGCAAGATCGTACCAACTGTTAACCGTCTTGCGAAACTCTTCAAGGCCACTGAAACTATTTATTTGCATTCGTAAATGAAGTTTCCATCATACACAATGTTCTTTGGCGGTTCTGCTTTGACTTGAACTTCGAGAACGACACGATCATCCTTAAGGTATCCCTGTGCCTCATCCAAAATGTCTGTCCATGTCATAAAGCACGAATATCCCCAATCATTTTCCTTCGCAGTGTATACGTGATTTGTTTTACGCGTAAAGTGTGGGACTCCAGGTTTTTGCGACATCAAACGCAATTCTGCTGCTGCTTGGCATGACCAGGTGCTACAGATTAGTATATATTAGATTTTCAGTTGAGTTTTCCTCATACTCTGAATATGCGTCAGGAACACATTGAAGGAAAAATCCAAGACATTTCTGAGTTCCCTTTTTTTGTACTACGTGCTGACGTGGCATCACCATTATTCGCCATGCAACATTCTGAATTCTTTTTGTCGGACCGCGAACAGTATCACCCATATTTCGGAAATTCTGAATCATTAATCGAAGAGAGCCTTCCGAACTTGATGGATCATCAGCTAAAAAATACAAATTAAAAATTTCCTTTTCAGTATTCAAATTACGGTCAAGAACAAGAGGCCCATACTCTGCGGTTTCATCCGTTTGAATTGATACGGTGTTCATGATTCGTCGGCGTGTTCCCACTTTGTGCTGATGACGAGGGCAAAGTTTGCGAGCGCGTGAATAATTTATACGAGTATGCATTGTTATATCTGCTGTAAAATTGTTTCATTGAATAATAATTGGATTAAGTTAGTTCTATTCGGAATTTCATGCAAACAATATTTAATGCTGTGTAATTCTGTGTAATGTATGCATGGAGATATTTTTGGTAAGAAAAAATAAATTCGAGACCTAACTGATGCTAGAAACTGAAATGATTTTTGATTCTTTGGTGTGTGTAAGGAATATCTTGGTTGTCAGAACGGATAAAAAGCCATGGGGGATTTTCGTCATTTGCTGCCGTTTAGTTTTTTCCGAATTCCTTGGTTATAGCAGTGCCATCGGCATTATTATCCTGCGCATAAAATAATTAGTTGGAAAAAATAAAAGAATGGCGGAAGAAAAAAAAGTAGTGGGTGGCAAATGAATTCCGCAATAATTTCAATGGTTGGCGTGGAACTAATGATACTTTTTTCACTCTGTCGCCTCCGCCATTTTAGAAAATTTGCAAAGTCCTTATTAACATCAAAGTATTAAAATAAAAAATTATATAACATTTGAGTCGCAATAATCAGAAAAATATAATAATGAATTGCAACTGAATTTCGCTCAAGAAAATATTTTGTTTTGATATGTGTTACAAAAACTAACTGTCAATGTCCAAATCGATATCTCCCGACTGCCCTTCACCATTGACAACACCAGAGTGTCCTCCACCTTCTCCTTCTACTATTCCTGATGTTCCTCCTCCCTCTTCGTCATGTCCTGATGCTTCACCAACTTCTCCTGTACATGCTAGTGCGCAGCTAGGCTCATCATCAAGTCCGCATACATCTATGATGTCGCTTGAATCATCTGCTATATCTCCCGTTGATGTCGCTGCGTTTCTAACTTCGGTGTGTGATTGCTCATCTTGACAAATAGTAGTGTTCGCGTCTTGCTCAATAATAATTGGTGGGTTCAATGCTGTTAAAGTTGTCTCGGACGATTCCCGAACGCTCTTTTGAATAGTAGCAACATCAGCATCGTTGTCAACAACAGCAGGAATATTAGCAGATGACGGATCAGGATCAACCATACCCTTTTGTCCTAAAAAATAATAAATAAAAGCGTTGATAGTTAAATAGAAGCGTTATCATTAGATTAAATTTAACCGGGTGGTCCTTTAGTTTGATATGAACTTGTCCCAAAAAAATTTCATCGAATACCCGCTTAATCATTAACTACAACACAGTACGATAAAAAATGGACAGTGGAACGCTGACGACAGCGCCGTTGTTGCGGTCTCGCAGATGATGAGAGGAAAGAAGAAGGAAAATGTAAAACGATGGGCCAAAACAGCGCATCGATTACTAATCGGACGGCGAGGAACGTGGCAGCCAGTTGAAAAAAAGTAGGATACGCCGCGAATTGAGAGAAATGCCGGGGAATTATTGAGAGAACAATAGCAAGTCGCTACGACAAAGTCGTCGCCCACCATTGCCAGTCGAAAACAATTGGACACAGGTTGGCTTGTTAGCGGGAACAATTGACATTATTGTTGTCATTTTTACTTAATTTTTTGATATATGTCGACATTTATTATTGATTTTACTTTTATCTATGGAGATATTTAGTTGATTTCAATATTTTTGATAAGATGATTTCAATTAAAACCATCAATCGCAAAAATTAACCAGAGAAAATTTGGCAATAGCGGAACGAGGTGCTTTCTTTCCTGCCGGCAAAGATCACCCTCATATAACAAACACTCACGAACTCACTCAATCGAAACTCACACAACTCACGCCTGCAATCGATAGAAAAGGGTTCGATAGGCGAATTGCGAGAGAGTGCCTCGAAGGTTGAGACGCATAAACGCGAAACAGAAGAGCGTGTCTCCTCTTGCCACGAAAACTAAATGCATACACATTGGTGTCCAGCAGAATGCTGAAGACAAAATGGAAGATGGCGGCAAACCTTAGCGAGACGTGGAGAAAAGAAGATCAGAGGAGTTAACGCTCAAACCGGGCGGTCATACATCTGTACTACTACTCTGTCTCTCTGGGCGCACTGGTCCAAACCATCGCGCATCCTCTTACACTCTTCAAATAAATATCAAAGCAACAAAACGATGTGATGGTTTTTGAAACAAATTAAAATTCACGCCCTTACGATAGACTTTTTAGAAAAATTAAGACGGATGAACTTAAAAGATTGCGCCGATTGGCTTCTAATATTATGAGATGAAAATCCTGAGTGGAAAAAATTTCGACTTTTATCACTTTCCGCTATTGAACAATAACAATATGAATTTTTAGTATATGCAAAGCAGAGACTGGGCGCAGCAAACATGTTTAGGCAAATTTCGTGTAGGAGAAAAGAATGGTATTTTCAAAGTAAAATGTGTACCCACGAATTAATAAACCTCCTTAAATTTGACGCTTTGAATTAATTGAGCGATTATGACACTCGTTTTGTATTCCGTGATGTAAATAATTTTGTAACGGGCGACAAAATAAATTTCTATGACATCATCTCGTTTCACTTTAATTTAAGAAAAACGTTCTAATGCATTGCAATAACACAATTGGAACATGTAAAAACGTTATGAATTAATAAGTAAGAAATGAGTAATGAGAAAAATGCAGAGATAAACATAACGACACTAGACAGGCAATTAATGATTTGTCTCGATTTCTAATGACGAATATGAAACTAAGAAATGTCGTGTTTCCAGACGGCTTTACGAAATGTTAGTTAAAATCTGTATTAACAATGTTCTAGCCTAAAACTATTAATTATGGGTAATATTTTATATTTACTCGCAAACTTAGAAATATTAGTCACTAATTGTATGTTATTCACAAGTTTTAAGCACAATTTCACAAAAAAAAAACATTTTTGGTATATGGAAAAACAAAAAAATGAATTTCCAACAGTTGTCTTGGGATTTGGCTTGCTTTGCCACATTGGAGCGCGTTTACAACGTATTCCCTTTGAGTGAAAGAAATGAGTTGGCCGCGTTGCATGATAAGTAAATAACCTTTGCAATTTTAATTAAGACAAAATGGCCAAACTGCGTTTGGAAAATGTATTAAAATGAAAATAAATTACATATCCAATTAGAAAGTATTGTGATCTATTGAGTTTTAGAAATATCTGAAATCCTTGAGAACAAATATATGTAATAATTTTATCACCAAAAGCGGCAAACTCTTTTAAGTTTCAGTTGATAACAATGGAATTTAATATTAGGAGATTTATTTTGTTTAGAGTTGCGTGGGAAAGTTATAAATGTCGGCAATTGTTGTCATAGGCAACACCATTGACATACGCAGTAACAAAGCACTTACGGAAGTTTCGGGAACGTTGGGCGATACATCTGCCATTCACTCCAATGACGTACTGCTTTGTCTTATCACCTTCTTTGACAACACGCTGAAACGAATTTTTATGACAAATTTCACATTTAGCTTCTACCACTTTCATCACGTTTTTTGTCGAGGTCGAACATGAATTGATGGAACACTCCGGGACCGTTGATCCTTCCTTTTGGGATACCACCACTTTCAATCTCAACGGTGGTATTCGCGGTTGCTTTTCCAAATCATTTGTCGAAACCTCCAAAGAATTTGAGCAGCTGGCTGCTTCATTTTTCGAACTACTACTTGGTTGAAGCATTGATGGAATATTGTTTTCCATAGTAATTTTTCCACATTCTTCTAAGAACTGACTCAATGCTTCAGGCGTGAATTCGGAGAAATCTCTTTTGCCTTCCGCATTAAATGCTTTGTCATCGTCGGCGACAGGGTCTCCAAACTGTTCCATGAACTTTTTCAGTACTTCTGCAGCGAAGAAGTTGTTCGACGTTTCTGGCTCATCTTGGTTATCTTCTGGATCGGTAGTCGATGAATCATCATCGTCTGAGATGGGACAACCACATTCTTCCAAGTACTTCCTCAGACAATCAGTTGTGAAAATGCTGCTGCTTGACGCAATTGCTTCATCGTTATTTTTCTTCTCTCCTTCAGGTGAAGCTGATTGCTCATCATCCGTCGAAGGGCAACCGCATTCTTTCATCAGTTTCTTTATAACATCAGCTGAGAAAAAGTTATCCGATGTTCCTGTTTCATCTTGATTAATATCTTCTGCTTCAGGCGATGAATCCTCATCATCTGTAGCAGGACAACCGCATTCTGCTAGCAATTTCTGAAGCACCTCAGATGTGAAAGAGCTGTTTGAAGCTTTTTCCTCAATTTGATTGCTCTCGTCTGGTTCCGGTGTTGAGGATTCTTCATCTTCTGAGGTACGACGACCGAATTCTTCCAAGTACTCTCTCAGCATTTCAGCAATAAAAATATTTTCTGCTTGCGGTATATCATTTTTCTTTGCCTCCGCAAGATTCTCGGACTCTTCGGTTGCTTTCACCGATGAGCTTGAGTCTAAGCATTCATTAGTTGATTCAATGATATCACGGTCAGAATTCTCTGTTTGTGGTGTTGTTGTCTTCTCGATTGTTTCACCAACACATTCCGATGAGCCCACACTAGAAGAATTGCTTGCTTGCTGTGCATTAATAATTAATCTTGTTGTTGGACTACAGTTCGCAGTTTCTGACTCATCATCTTTGTTTTTCTCAGTTTCATCACCTCGAGGGATGTTTTCTTCTAGGGCGTTAAATGATTTAGACGACAAAGGACTGTCGGTATCGCCAGACATCATGGTGGCATCATCATCCACTTTTGAATCTTTTGAAGGCTCGTTTTCCATCTGTAAAAATCAATAAATACATTGAGGAAACAAAACGTGTCAAAACATAAGCAGGCAAGTAAAGAGTAGTGATAATGAGATAACAGAGAGAATGCGATATTCGAATCCGCCAGAAAATGTGGTTGCTGCGGGACGTATGAGAGAAGTACTCTACTTGTCTGCGCCGTTGACAACGCTTTTTCGTCTGTGGGTCGACGGCGCGCATACTATTTCGTTAGCTCTTTTTTTAATAGCGGAACAGCGTTGTTTGACCCGCAGTCTGGCTACGACGACGATGATTCAGGTCGACAATGAAAAGAAAAAAAATGGATGAGAGAAAAAGATGAAAAATAAATCGATGATTTTTCAGCGATAAATCATATTTGTGATCTTTAAGATAATTGAAGAAAAAAAAAATTAAAAACTGCAGTACATCATCGGCAATCATCGAATGCGTTTATGATGTTCTGTTTCGCATATGCTGCTTCGATCAGTATGTTCTCGCGAAATGAGATGAATTTTCGCTAAGGCACGTGGCGAGTAATGAAGATATTATCGATTGAGTTCTTTAAGAAGATAAATTGGCTTTGTAAATGTTGGAGATATGTATGAGAAGATAGGAATTTTTCTCATAAGAATTTGAAGATAGGAATTTTTCTCGGCCAAAAAATATCTTAGTTTCTTGATGTAATATCGCAAGAAGTTATTTTGTATTTCAAAATAGATTGCATTATTGCGTAATATTAATTTTAATCTTTGTATAAGATTTTGAGCGATCTTTTGAATATTAAAAAAATCTCAATTTTTGAAGCGCTATTTCGCCGAAAGAAAGAGTATCGCAAATCTTTGAAATTAAATGCAATCGCTGAGAACCGCGACGCGAACCGCCTCGCTTACACGAAAGCGTGTTTACGACATCTGGCAATGTTTGAAACGGCTAACTTCTATAATTAACTAGAATTTTAAATAATATCTAAAATAGAAAGTACAAGTATAAGTGAGAAGTCATTTAAATAATAAATAAACATTAATAATTCCCTTTTACAATTTGATCAAAATAAATAAATATTTATTAAATGTTGGTTTTGTTTATATATTTTATTCCAATATTCAAAAAACTGCAAACTTTTATAAACTAAATCGTAATGCGGGGCAAAGAGCAAAATAAGTCTTGTACTTTGTTTGCACTTTCGGCTCTGAAGACGGCGCATTCAATAAAACACAATTTCATCTTACGAAATTGAAAAAATTTAATTATATATGTTTGTTGGAAACTTCATTACTAGTCCGCATTGTTTCAAAATAATTCCAATTATTCATTTCCGGAAGAGATCAAGAAAACAGAAATAGTAAGGCAAAAAGGAAAGGAACAATGCTGGGTCAAACTGTTTAGATACACAAGGTAAAGTAAACACTTGTCACTATTTGATTATGAATGAGAAGTTATTAAGAAATCTTAAACTTTTGATTAAGGCGAGCTACGCTGTTGAAAGATTCATTATATATCCGAGAGAAAAAATTTGCAATAAAAATGTAATCTATATAATTTGGCTTTAAATTAAAGTGTAGGAATAAAAAAGTGAAAGCTCGTAGAGGAATAGTACCATTAGAAAAACTACATATCGAATCGATTTATGAAATTTAAATTGCTAATTGCCGGTCAGAACAATTAACAAAATAAGTGCTAATTTTCAAAGCTTTCAGGTTACCGGTAATGCGTTAAAGGAATAATTTTTTGCTAGGGTTTTGTATAAGAAATAAAAATACAAGATAACACATATAATGTACAGGGTGATGAATATGACAAAAATGATGACACTTCACGGATAATCCATTTTGATTCTCTTGAACATATCAGTTATATCGTTGACAATCCCACAAATCCAAGTTCGATCCTTCTTAACCATATCAACAATCTTCTCAGGAGCTTGCTCAATAAATTCGGTTCCAACAAATTCCAGCTAAATATGGAAAACTTTTTTATATATCTAAAATAGTCGATTACCTTTTCTTCGCAGGTTCGAAGAAGATTGTACTTCAAATGGATGACTTTATGTAGCAATTCACCGGCAATTGTGCATTTCTCGCAAGTAAAAATGTCCTGAAAACAGCAGCTATTAGAGAGATGAGACTTTTTTTTTACCACTGCTGGCAACGGAGTCGTCATGGAGATACTATCGCTTATACTATCGCTTATAGACTCATCATAATCATCGAACGGAGTATATTGAAGAGTTAAAGTGTTATATGACTTTCGATTGTAAAGCTGCAGTAATCCTATGACGTTATGACGATGGCAGATCTGAAAATTTCATATTGTACCGAGAATATTCGCGTTGTAAAATTTACCTGACAGCGACAATTTTTGTAATATTCTGATTTTATAACATGACAACGTGTGTAATTTTTCATATGATCGATATAGCGATCATTAATGCGCAAGTGATTTTTTAATTTGACTTCAGCATCCGAACTGACCTCATCTATTTCGGTAATGGAACGCAATAAAGACCAATCTAGAAATTTTCATAGTGAATATGTAACTGAATTAGTTAATACCATTTTTTTCTTGCATTTCTTGCAAATGAGTCATTGTTAATGCGTGAGTGAGAAGGTTGCTTAGAAGCGTGTTAATCGCTATTCGCAAATTGTCCTTGGAGAGATACTGATCGTCGTAACTTCGCCCTTTTTTCACTGAAATGCTCAAATGGGCTAAAAATAAATTGAGATATACCAACATGGCGAAATAAATATAGATCGCGGTGTTTTGAATATCTCTTCTGTCATTGCTGGAAACAATTCAGAAATCGGAATTTCCGGTTCAATAGTTGTTTCGGAACGGTTTTGCTTCAACACATTTACGGCTATGCGATAATATTGATGGGAAATCTGTTCGCACCATCCGGAATACTTAAAACAGAATAGTTGGTGCTTAAATAAACGCAGTTTCTATCTTACCGTGCTACTGCTTTTATAAATTATGCGATTGCCTCCTACAGGCAACGGTGGAAATTTCTGAAGAAGATTTTGATTGTCTACTCTCCAAAGCGCGCAATCATCTCTCAAAATATCAGCCTTGCAAACTACATAAGTTCCTTTCTGAAATTTCAAGAATTTGAGGTTTTTGAAAAATTCTGATTTACAGGTAAAATTCCTTCAGCAGATCCAAATTTACTTAAGCGATATTTCACTGACTCTATATCGTTTAAGTTTTTTGGTGGGCGCTTTTGCGTTTGACCATTCAACGAATTATTTTGCACGAATTCCACACGTGGTCGTTGATGTTTTTCTTTTCCCGGTTCAACCAAGCATAATTCGTAGCTGAAATGGAAATTACTGTTTCCTTTAGGTCTCTTTTGGTACATACATTGTTTTAGAAATACTCCGTATCTTCTTATGTCCTGTGTAACCATCCCAGTCGCTATCTTCTTCATCATCATCCATCAACTTTCTCCTTTTCTTTTTGCGCTTTCCCGGTGTTTCTGACGGTTCAACAACGTTGGAAATTCGAATGAAATATTTCGGCAATGGTGGACGGTCGGGACTACAAATTTAGACTTATTTCATATTGTTTTTAAGATATTTTCTTACTCTTTGGTTGTTCTTCTAATATTCCGAGTACACTCCGTATCATTACTCATAGAAATTTTAAGAAAATTGCATGTCATTTGCTGATTTCGTCGAAGTCGAATGGAATCGCCAAGATTGACAATGCGTGAATCGGCAAGTTGAGGTGTAAGTTCTTAAATTCAAGTGAATATATATTATTTCCGTAACCCTATGAAAATTACTTACTAAAGGTGTGCCCATCACGAGTAGCAGCAGAATGGTTGTTTGTTCTCGAAAGACCCGGTTTTCCTGGTTCCCCAATAGCTTTAGTTTTTGGCATTGCATTTTTAAAGTTTTCTTGGTCCTGCAGAAATTTCTATTATCATTAGCTAAATTTCATTTAGTATTACCGGTTGAACTTCTGTTGTAATAGCGAAGCCAATTCCTGGAACGTAAACGTTTTTACTTTTCGAATCACACTGCGCCAGAATCTAAATATATATTGAATAATTTTTAACCTACAGAAAATGAGATATCTCACGTCTGTTTCTTTATCCTTCAACACTTCTGGCTTCATGGTTTCATTCTCGTCATCCTCATCAAATTCAAAAGCATCATAATTTTTATCGTTTTCTTTTCTGATTGCATCCAGATTATCAAGCTTATTAATTTTCATTTTATACACAGGAATCTGAAATGTTCACAATTGGGACAATATTCTTCATTTGATTTCTAACCTTATTACTCTTAATAAAGGGTCTAGTATACACGGTCTCTTTCGGTATGGGGCTTGATTTTTGAGCTGGGCTCGGTGTTGATGGTCCAGGAATAGATGATGTTGATGGTCCAGAAATAGATGATTTATGCGGCGTTGACGGATTTGTTCTAGGAACTGTTGAATCGTTAGTATTTGACAGCTGCGGCATTTTTAAAGCTAATGGCGTTATGATCGAAATTCCTGAAGTAGATGGACCTCCGTTGTGGATATTTGGATTGTTTTTGTTGGTCAATTGATCCGTAGATATTAGTGATGGTAGTTCAGGAGCCTTAAAGGCAACAGATACTGTTGGAGTGGGACGTATGACATCTGCGAACTTTATCGTTTATTTTTCATGTTTTCCTGCAAATATACCTTCGCGAGCAACGTTAGTGAATGCAGAATTTTCAGATAATAGATTGTTCGCTGGAGCAGAGGGTTCTTCTGTGCTTGGTCCAAGTCCGAATAAAAAGTCTGTGGTCATTGCTTCAGTAGGCGAATCGGGAGGAGTAAACTAAAATACTACGTTTCTCTTATAAATTTATTTTTAATTCACCTGAACTGGACTCAATCCCATATTCACCGCCGTTTCCGGCTCATGAACTACAGGATCATCGTCCAGATTTGAGAGCCCAAACATTTCCATCACATCATCTTGCTGTTGCTCTTTTGTCCTGAAATATATTGATTAGTGGTCAGATGAAATATATTGATTAGTTGTCAGATGAATATTGATTAGTGGTCAGATGAAACGTTAATTAACTTTAAGAACTTACAATGCTTTATCGATTTTTTCATGAAATGCATTCATGTCTTGACTTGAGCAGGGAATATTTATTTAGTTTAAAATAGTTCTGTCAACATTTTTCTTTTTTTTTCAATATATAAAAGGTGTCGGCATGCACAGCACTTTGGCACCGAGGTGTATTATAAAAACAACGTGCTTGGAAGCCAATGTGTTTTGAAAGGGATATTCCGTTGATCTTTAGTATATCACAGTGTTTCTTTACGAAAAACTCACTCTTCTTCCGGTTCAGGTGCCACGATTACATCAGCTGTCGATGTTGCAGGCGCAGGAATATCCGTCATGGTCGCCGGTGTAGCAATCGCTATTGATGTTGAGATCATTTTCGCTGCTTCTAGAGATTTTGAAAGCCCGCTGTTCTTCATCCACTCTTCGTTCAGAATGTTTACCTATTAAAGTTTATATTCGTGAGAAGTTCAAAATTTTTTTCTCGTTACCGCTTGCAGATCCAACCCATGAACAGCTTTTGGGTGATGAATTGTGTTCGGCATACTTACAGTAGGGACATCCATTGAATGATTTGTTCCAACATCAATTTCGTGCGGAGTTGATGATGATGGATGTGACGAAGACGATCCACTTGTTGGTGAGTCCTAAATAAGTTTGAATAAAAAAAATTACATTAAATAATATTGCTGTTGATAAAAAAAAAAAGATTTAGAAGCAAAATTTCGGTAAAATAATGCTTCATAGGATGAAATATTTTTTGCCTCCATCCACGTCAATAATAAAATTTTTAATGTATATACAGCATTCACTTTAACACCCGTTATATAAAATAAACACGACAACCCTTTTATATTGTGTTCCGTTCTATGCAATAAAGTAGCACATTACTGATATATTTTAAACAAATATTTTGTATTTAAAGTATTTTAGCTTCTTTAGTTCAATTTCTATAAAATCATTATTGCAAAATGTAAATCATATGAAACATCTGTTACCCTGAAAACATTGTTTCACGCGCGCACAGGCAAACAAATGGCAAGAAAAATTTTCTAAATTTTTTAAATGATGCATCAAAGTTTATGGCGCCAAAAAGGTTTAAATTTTCAAATTAAGAATTGTGCATTCGATTTTATTTCAAATTTGTTGATTTCAAATATAGCTAACATTGCCACAAGTAATGTTTTTACAGGCTAAAAAAAAATTCTCTAATATTAAGGAAAGGGAAACATGCGTATGGTTTTGTTTAATATACGATAAAATATATTTTTAAAATTTCTTTCATACAATTTATCAGCAGACAACTTTTAAAATTAACTTACAATATTATTGAAAATTAACGCCCCAGTAAAGGCATGATACGTAATCTTCATTGTAGTGCTATATGAAATCGACTGGTCAGTTATAAATTTAAAAAAAAAACAGCGTAATAGACTTTGATAAAGAGCGGGTAAAAATTTGTCTAATAAATTGTAGCTATCTCTATAGCGACACTGCCCGCGATGTCGTCTCTTTATATCATATCTTATTAAAAACATAACGTCTTTGTTCGTTTTTCAAACAAATTTTTCTTTGCAATATATTGAATCTCTTTTCGCTCTAGTTACATTCGTGTTTTGGCGATGAAATAAGACAGGCATTCATATGTTTCCACGGTTTTTTTCTTTGAATACTCACGCTTGAAATCACTTTCGTCCTGTCAATTAACGCCGTCGATGATTGGAAAGGTAGGTCTCCAGCGAGAAATGCAGAGTTTGGGAATATGGTATTGGCAAACTTTGCCGCATTGCTATTTGCTAATGACAGCGCTGCTGCCTGAGCTGCTGCATTTGTTAAATCTTGAGCACTATTTCTGTAATTATCACAATCAATATATGCAATTTTTAAATTTGCGCTAACACAGCCTTCACTCCCGTGAAAGAATTATACATATCTTGAACCGCTTTCATTTGCTCTAATAAGACACGTTGTGAAAACTCAGCGGATGTGATGTTTGCTGGCGGTAGAATTGCATTTCCCAAACTTTGCATTTGTAGTGTTTGTAAGGTTGACATCAAGGCGTTTGCACTATTATTTGGTATTCCTGAAACGAAATTTTTTAGTTTTCTAACCGATTCTCTAACTAATTTTCTTGCATTTTTATTAGCAAAATCAAGTGCCTGATTTAAATTTAAAAAAAATAATTATGGGCCAAATCTCCCGAGGCGCAGAGATTTGCGCGTAAATTTGTATTTGCATTTTAACCAATTTTTTTATTTTTCTGTATAAAAATAACAGAAAAATGAACTTTTTTCATTATAAAAATGAAATTTTTTTGAAAAATCAAAAGACCCGAATCTGATCAATTCTCATTAATTGACGAATTCTCTAAAAATTTTCGGAAAAATATCAGCCATTATATTTGAAACAATAGACAAATCTTTTCTATTTAATTATTAAAAAAATATATAATTTTATTACAGTCTTATATTAATAGTTAAAATTATGAGGAGTGTTGTCTGAAAGATATGAGAAATAAATAAATTTTAAATATGTATTATTATTCATTCAAAAACGTTTGCTAATTAAAACTATGTAGTAGTTCAATTCAAAGCATAAATTATCCTAGTTTTTTTTAATTTAGCTTGCAGTTTTTTTATTCTAATCCTTTCATAATGTTTCATTTTTAACTTTGCTCAAAGTTTCTCAATACGAAACAAGAGAAAACAGAGTAAAATTTTCCGCGGGGATAAAGCAAAACAGGAAGAACAAAGGTGAAGAAAGGGAAATATGCATTAGAACACTAATTTATCTCGAATGATTTTGAATTGCGTAAACAGCATAAATTTTTTGAATGAAAACTAAAATTTCTGAATGCATAGTTAAAGGAGCATTAAATACCATTTGGTTAGCTGTGAACGCGATAGTTTGTTTGATTGATCTTGCGCGCGTTGCCACTATCAAGGTGTGTGAAAAGAGGAAAGAACTGTTCAGACAAAAAGTCGCAACAAATTGTTTCAATTCCAAAATCAAACCTGCAAATTGGGCTGGAAATCCTCCAGGCGGAAACGCCGGTAGTATGGTTTTCTTATTTTGCTCCATTCCATATCACTGAACCATTCAAAAAGCAATCTGTAATAAATTATATTAGTAGTTTAATAATAATAATATAAATGGGATTCCAATTAACAATAATTGTCAAGAAAAACCACGAAAATGGCTAATTTACAAAATTGGAAAAATGTTAACCCCTCAAAATAAAAAATGTGAGGCTCATGTTATACGTTTGCTTGGCGTCCGCCGTTGAGTGTGATGCGTGAGTGTATGTGAGCGAGTGAGTGAGGTGTCTGACTTCTCGGGTCTCTCTCAACCGCTTTACCACTCTCAACCGAACAATCGATTTTTGTCGTGTGCCTATCGGTCCATCATATGGGAATACCAGTAAATATGAATTACTTGTTAGCTATATGCTCCGTCTGTTTTTGTTGAGTAGGAGTTCGGAAAAACTGATGCAGATACTTTAATGCTTGATATTAATACGCGTTCTTCTTCAATTGTTACGATTATTGTAACATTTTTGCAAAGTTTTGAAAATTTCCGTAATACGTTTTTGACAGTAATTTTTATCACTATCAAAAACAGAAAAAAATAGATTTGATCCTAAAAAGAAGAATATATTCGATCAAAAAGGAAAAATCGATTCGATCTTATCACAATAATCATAAAAAATCAAGTCAATGAAAATAAGCAAGAAAAATTACGTTAATTTTAAATAGCGTAATTTTTCATCATCCGAATTACAAATTTTTATTTTATTTCTGGTAGTTTTCTGACATTGTGCAATTCAAGAAATATCACTCACTGAATTACTATTATTCCTGTTTATTTAAAACTGAGATTTTCCTCTGCCACATGTCTTTGTCTTCTTACAGAGCAAATTTCGATTTATTGGGGCCAAACAACATAATGTATTTGGATAATCATAAAATTCTGCCAGGATTAACAGCTAATTAACACCTGCGCAACTGCATATTCACACGAAACGTTAGGTGGCATAACATAACACTTTAACAAGGATTAGTTTTAATGGATTTGTGATATTTTTCGAAATACGTGGAACATGTATAATTCGAAATAAAAAATACAACAATAAATGAAATCACTAAAATTGCGACATATATAAGTCATTTTGTCGTAAACACTTTATTTCTTTCCATTTTAATAATCTTGAAAATATCCGCTAATTAATCACATATCTGAAAACAACAAAATTTGAAATTTAAAAAAATTAAAATAAAAAAAAAACACCTCAAATAAAATAATGAATTTTAAGTCATAAATTGCGTTTTTTTCAGTCCAATTTTCTATTGTTATAAAACTATCATGTTTATAATATTACGATTATTCAAAAGTTTTGAAGTCTTTGGACAACATTGGGAGCTCCAACGAGCCAATTCATTTGCTCACAGAAATAATAGTATAGGCCAATTTTTTTCTTAATAGTATAGGCCAATTTTTCTTCGTCAAGATATCAGAACGACCAGCGTCTCTGCCAGAAGTGTCGATAATTTAAAGAATGATTTGGCTGGCTAGCGGAATAAGCTTCAGAACAATGCGAACGTATTGCCATCAAAAATCCGTAGCGTCTTGGGCTGCCGTCACCGAGAAACACTGTCACATCGAACCAAGAACAGAAAATATTAGTTGTTGAATCAAACGTATTGTTTAATTCTGATTATTAATTTGTTGTACAACTAATAAGAAAATTCAAGAACGCTAAATATTACATATAAATTGGCACATACATGTACTAATGTTAAAGATGAAGATTTATATATATTGAACAATTGATTGAACGAAGAAACAGAGAAAAACGAAGAACAGAGCAAATTTGCGAAATGTGTTAAAAATTCAAATGGAGCCATCGTAACCATGGTTTATTCCTTACACATTTTATGCTTTTTTTTCAATGAAATCACATTTCTTCAGAGTACACATCTCCGTGTTTATAAATTGCGACACCTTTAAAAATTGAATATACAGGGTGTCATTTAAATTCCCGCACAAAAGTTTGACGTTATGAAGAGCTTCGCTAACGCACTTTTCGTGCACCAATATAATTTATTTTTGTTAAATAAGGTATATTCTACTTACTTTCCAAGTTTCACCTCAATCGGATGTGTTTCCGAGAAATGGCGAAGGCTAACATCCATCGCGCTTCCATTATCGAACTTCATAAGCAAAATGTGAGCCCGAGAGACATAATTCAACGCCTCAGTGTGCCTCGTAGAACGGTTTGCGACACCACCAAAAGTTTCAAAGAGCTAAATACGACCAGTGACCGTCCCAGATAAGGAAGACTCGTCTCGGTAACCACTCGTCAGAAGATCAACGCTGCTAAATCGAGGATCAGGCGAAACCCGTACAGGAACATGAAAAAGATGACGTCAGATATGGGAATGAGCATCTACGCTATGGAACAAATCCTCAAAACGAAGCTTGGACTGACCCCATATCGTGTCCAAAAAGCGGCAATTCTATCTGCCGTCAGCAAGCAGAGACGCTTCAAAAAAGCAAAACGACTTCTTGCTCGCACGCGGTCTGGAGAACATCTCGTCACTGTCTTCTCCGACGAGAAGCTGTTCACTGTGGAGGCGGCATTCAACTCACAAAACAATCGAGTACTTGCCCAGACATCCCAGTAAGCTTCTGAGAAAGGCAGAACAATTCATCGAGCCTCACATCCTGCCAGTGTGATGATTTTCGGTGCCATCTGCTCAACCGGGAAGTGGCCCCTGGTTGTCGTGGATCCGGGGGTGAAAGTGAACAAAGAAGTCTACGTTCGGGACATTTTGGAGAAGCATGTGATGCTTTGGGCCCAAACGCATTTCGGTGGGCAGAAATGGGTCTTTCAACAGGACGGAGCACCCGACCACACTGCCAAAACTACTCAGGAGTGGTGCCAGACCCATTTTCCCGACTTCATCAAGTCATCCGAATGGCCTGCTTGCTCCCCAGACCTGAACCCGCTTGACTTCTCCGTGTGGGGTCTTGCAGGAGAAGGTCAACGCAAAACCCCACTCAAATGTAGAGTCTCTGAAGAAAACATTACTGGCGGAATGAGACAATCTTTCCATCGAATACCTGCGTACCACAGTCGCATCATACCCGAAGCGTCTCCGTGAAGTCATAGCTGCGAAAGGAGGCCGAATCGAAAAGAGTTAATAGATAATTATTTGTTATACTATACATAAAAAATATTTTGAGTCTCGTTTGATTTGGACTTTTAGTCTCAGAAATATACGTCTTAAAAGTTGTGCGGGAACTTAAATGACACCCTGTAAATAGACATATATTGAAGTTCTAAAATTCACTTTTTAGATACTCGGACACATCATCAATTCTCATACGGAATTCCTAAAAAAAAACCAAAGCTAATTATTTGCAATCATGCAATATTTTAGTTTTGCACCATTAATATGCTATTCATTGTGATAAATTCAAGTGTGCACCCAATTCTAATAATGTAATTTTTCAGACCTAAATTACTTTTTAATTAAATGATTTTCACAAAATTTTCTAGTTTTTTAAAATTTGGTGCAAGACATTTTAGCTCATCCGATTTCGTTGATTTCCTTTTTTTCTTTTTTGCTCAAACAAAAAATTAAAACACTTACTAACTAGCACCATGAGTACTACTATTTTCCAGATTAAGTCTAAGATTCTAATTCTTCAATTTGCATATGCTGCCCAAACTACGCTCGTTCTCTTGTTGTGATGAATAGCCTTTTACGGCTCTGCATTTGTTTTTTGCTCTTTTTTTTTGCTTGCACAAAACAATAATCTACTATCAACTATGCAAATCTCCCAGGAATAATTCGCTGACTTTATTTCTCTATTTTAAAACTTATGATTGTGCTTTTACTCATCCGTCATTTTTCTGTGGCCTCTTATGCTTTTTATCATATACAATAATTCTCGCTTCTGAGTTCAAATTCTTTCAATTGTGCTGTTATTGAATTTTTATTCACCTACAATATGATCTTGGTTGTTCAAAAAGATTGATTTTTTTCGGGTTCTCAAATTGCCCAAAAAATAGTTGCTTTGTAGTCAATATTGTTAAACTTACACTAATTGGGTAAGAACATACGATAAGCCAACTCAACAAACGCTACCTTTTTATCATGTTTCAAAATCATCTGCATCGTTTACTGGAAAGGGGGATACGCGGAAATAAAATGTAAACTTTTATAAAATACTGCCTTTTATAGGTACATTTTTATTAATATACACATGGAAATGCTGGTAGCATTCATTCGTCACAAAAATCTTTAATGTAAAAGTTTCGAAACTTTTCCAATTGTTCTCTTTAAAACATTGAGCGTTTTAAATATATTTCATTGAATCTCAATGTAACTATAATTATTTACTCACATTCCAATTCACATATTTAAACTTCCATTATGTTTCATTATTATTTTTTCTTTATTTATTTTCTTCCAAAGTCTCAATTCATTTCCCATCAATTCTAACGCTCGCATATGTAAGAATCGTAGCAAACAATTGCGGTTTATATACATATGTACAAGGAATGTCTAGACACTAATTTTTTCTTACTCTTTTTTCTTATTACTTTCTTAATTTTTGCTTTTAGTGTCTTTGCAGATTACAATGTATCTCATTTCGAATTATTATATATGAGAAGCCAAAATGATTCTTGAACCCCTTTTTCACAATAAAATGTCATATCATTGCAAACTGAATAAACTTTAAATAAGATATTGATTTATATTTAGCATTCTATAAATAATCAGTAAAGATGTATCTCCTTACAGGTTGTTAGGTTAAATAATTTACGATTTTTTGCTCATTAAAGGGACAAAAATCAGGGCTGAATATTTTTTTGTTTTTCTAATTTTTCGAAAACAAATAAATAGATAATTTTAACTATTTTGTTATGCATTATGCCAAAATTGTTTAAAAAACCACTTTTTCTAAGTTTTCGAATAAAAATTGTCAAAAAAACATAATCGAATTTTGTTTCGAATTTTATTTTTTCAAACAGTTTTAAGTTATAATGGGATGCCAAGAACTTGTTATTCCAGTTGTTAGTTGTAAGTTTTTTTTATAAGAAAGAGTACATAAAGGCTGAAACAATTAAGCAAAAAACGTTTCAGTGAATTAAATATTGGGTTCATAATACGGTACTCTAATTCCCACTGTTTAAATCTAAAATTACTGCCACGAAACATAGATGATGCCCCACAATTGTTGGATGTACTCGTTTTTTGCGGTTGTATTACCTAAAATAATGACTATAAACATTTTTCCTTTGAACAAGAAAAAGATCCGAATTGAATTTGACATTTAAACACCCGAGAGGATAGCAAGTTTCGTGCCGCATTCAAATCTTTTTTGAAGCTGTCGGCTAATTATATGCACTGATAGGTCATCTAAAAATCATAAATTATCTGTGGATGAATCATATTGAAAAATTCAATTTCTCATAGCTGCATCAAAAACCATCAGAACAACGCTTCTTTAATTTAATTATAGGCAAATTCCGCGAAAATGCGCACCAGAAAATCAGCCTTTTCTTATATTTCCTCATTTCCTATATTTTTTCTTTTTTTTTTCATAGCATACTATTTTCTGCATTATTCGTAATATTTATTTTTTCTAAAACAAATTCTTTTGCAATAACGAAAAAATGTCCAAACACGAGAAAAGCTATTTCCAAAGGAAATATTTTACCCATCGTTAAAACAGCCTTCCAATTCATCATGTGCATGTTGTTGTTTTTTTTTTTTGAAATTTTTTTTTGTTGGTTCGTCTTATTTTCTGCAATTCTAGCCTAAAAGCAGACTAGGACTAAGCTTTATTGATGCTTTCTGTTCAATAAGAAACTATTGTGTACGTTTAATAAGTATCATTCTTAGAACACATATCACATGTATTTCAAACATACGTGAAAAAAACATCATCGAACAAAGCAAAATTTTCATTCAACATGCACTTTTTTAGGTCATGAGGGAAAAACTCAAATGTAAAAGAAAAGAATAACAAATGAAGTATCTCTTACGGAAATCCTCAAAAAAAATGTGAAATGTACTTAGGCTTTTCTCATTTACATGTTGCTTTTGAAATTGTTTAAGAAATGTGAGGCAAGACAAAATAGATTTAGCAAGTAACAAGAAATTGTGAACAGTTTTTTTGAGTAATACTTCCCATGGGACATATCAGATCCATCTTTTCGCAAGAAAAAACATTTCCCGATATTGCATAAAATTAAAGAGAAAAAAATTTTGCAATCTTTGCAATATCTACACGAAATAATCTTCTATATTACTGTTTCTTTTACATTTTTCTTATTTCAACAAAATTTTCACAATTTTCAGTATGAGTCACGAACCAATTTGTGACCCAAATCAGTCGCAAAATCAAACGGTACGCGCCTTTCAAGGCACAGGAAGCCAAGGAGGAAGAGACTTCGAAATTACGCTCATGGATAAAAAGGTAATTTGTCAATTTTAATATCTTCAGGATTATTATAAATTACAGTTAATTGGAAATGGAAGCTTTGGAATGGTATATCGTGCTTGTTTGGCAGAGAATGGAACGATGGTCGCAGTGAAGACTGCGTTCCAGGACAGACGTTTCAAGGTAGCGTATGTGTTTCAAATCTATGCATTTTTAATTTAATTGTTTAGTGCCGCGAAGTAAACGTCATGAAGGATCTAGATCATCCAAATATTGTTCGGCTCTATTACTATTTTATGACTGAGGAGAATCAAGGGTCCGACGTGATATCTTGCGTTAACTTGGTTTTAGAGTTGATGCCTCAGGACTTACATAATTTTCAAAAACAATACGCTATCAAAAGAACGATTATGCCACAACTGCTCATACGTGTAAGAAATATACTGCTCCACAAGGGTTTAGCCTCACTCATATTTTTTCAAAAAATGACATTTTCACAAAATTTCAAAAAACGCTTGTATTGTTAAAATATGGTTTAAAAGGTTTCTTTTTAGTATCCCATATTAGATTTACACTTACTGAGTCATTAAACAAAATTTTCTTTATTTTCCGAAAATTGAAAATTTTTTCGATCCACAAAAGTATAGCTTCACTAGCAAAAAAAACGCTTAAAAAAAAACAGAAAATAACATAAGTAACATAATAGAAAATAACATAAGTGACATAAAATTGGTTTAATATGTCGATGGCATTTCCTGATTACTTGCCGCTTGGAATTGTCGAGTGTCGATTGATAAATATGAATTGTCATTCAGTTGTTGGTCGACTTTCTTCCAAGTCTCGAGAATCGCCAGTTTCTGCTGCTACTTATTCCTTACTACTTATTTCCTTCGTAAATCTTGTTGGCCATAAGTCCGGGGAGCAAGAAGGCTAGTAGAGAACTGGAATTCCTCGCTTGTATCCACGCGGTTGTACGGCGGGCCCGATGAAATTGGGCACCATCCTGCGATACACTTTCATTCTGTGACTGTGTCGACACCAGAAGGGCAGAAACTCACGGCGCAATAAATATCGATAGTAAGAACCGCTCATGTTCTTTGCAAATTCAAGAAAAATAAAGCGAAAATACGGTTAAAAACATCGGTGAGGCTATACTTTTGTGGATCGAAAAAATTTTCGGAAAATAAAGCAAATTTTGTTTAATGACTCAGTAAGTGTAAATCTAATATGGGATACTAAAAAGAACCCTTTTTAGTCATATTTTAATAATACAAGCGTTTTTTGAAATTTCGTGAAAATGTCATTTTTTGAAAAAATATGGGTAAGGCTAAACTTTTGTGGAGCAGTGTAAATGAATTAATTATACAATTTACTAGTTTATATTTTTAATTTTACAATTTACTATTTATTTAATAGCTTTTCTCTTATCAACTTCTACGCGGGCTTGGATTTTTGCACATGAACAACATTGTCCACCGTGATATTAAGCCTCAAAATTTGCTCGTGGATGCCAAGAAAGGTCTTTTAAAAATATGCGACTTTGGTTCGGCTAAGTTTATCAATTACAACGAGCCTAGCGTCTCGTACATTTGCTCACGCTACTACCGCGCGCCCGAAGTTCTCATGGGATCAACTAAGTATGGTTCTGCAATCGGTAATCTACGAAAAAGAGTTTCTCAATAGTTATTTTTTTTAGATTGCTGGTCAGCTGGTTGTGTCATTGGCGAAATGATGAGCTTTAAACCACTTTTCATTGGCGACAGCGGTACTGATGTTCTCACTAAGATAATTAAGGTAAACAATATCAAATAGATTTGCTTCAATCGTAAAACTTAAAGGTTTTGGGTACTCCGACAGATGAAGATATTGCGAGCATGCAAATTGATAATCATGTCTCCTATTTAATGAACAAGTCCGAGGGAGAAGGACTTCAGAGCGTATAATTTACATTACAGATAAAATGAAATAGAAAATACAATAAAAAATATTTTGACAAATAATGATTATTATAACTTCAGATAATTCATGTCCAAATGAAGAAAGACGTTATGCAGCTCGTCACTTCGCTTCTTCACTTCAACGTTTACTCCCGCATTCATCCGATGGCCGCACTTCATATGGATTACTTTAATTCCATCCGTGCTGAAACCATTCGCGTAATGGTAATTTACAATAAAATATTAAAAAATGTTTATTTCAGAAGAACTCGGCAATTTTGGATGAGATTCCACCTCTGACTGATTTTTTGCAAGATGAGTACCTTTTCCTTCAGAACACGATTTCCTACCAAAACCATATGCATTGATATCGTACATTCCTATCATTACTTATCACATTTTCTTTTTGGTTGTAATGTTTATGATGCCATAAGCAAAATCTGGAAACGTTTCTCTTTTGCATGGATTCATACTGCTTCTCCGCTAATTTTTTTAGAAAAGCTTTTATTGAGAATTTGTTGTTGATTTTTAGTAAAGCATTTATTAAGTATCTGTAGTAAAACTCGTAACAAAAAAAATTTAAATGGTTGATAATGACAGAAAAATGTGAACCTATGCGTCAGATTTGTAACATTCAAGTAACAAAAAACCCGAAAACAATTACATTTAGGAATGGTTGGACATCAGGGATGTGCGGGAAAAACCCCTCGGCAAATGTTTTGAATTTTTTCCCGTTCAAAAACCAGGGAAATTCGGGGAATGTGTGTTTCGTCAGATGTTTGACAGTTTCGTTTAATTTGTTTGCCATAAATATGAACACTTTACTCAACTAAAGCAGAAGTATGAGAGATGAGAATACCAAATAAATGAACGAAACCGATCTTAAATGTTGAAAAAAATAATGTTTTGTTTTCCTATATGTTTCTTCTAACATATACAGCGATCGTTTCTTTAAAAACCTTCCCGATTTCCCAGATAGTTTATTTTGATCCGATATTCCAAAAAATATTTTAAACGTCTTCGCCACATATTTTAATTTTACAAAATTGTGAAAATGTGCCTCCCTGGGAACTTTGATGTACATCCCTGTTGGTCATTGTTCTAAAAGCAAAATATATCCAAAAATTGAAGAAAATCATAAATCGAAATATTGTAGGAAAATTGATGAACTCAGGCGGCAGCCCATAACCCCCCAGAAAATCCTGCTCCCCACTTGCGTTCACGTCCTTTTACAGCACTGGACGTTTGACCCTTGTTTCTGAAACCAAGATGATTATTTATTTAACTAAAAACACTATGATTTACCTAATAGGAGTTGCTCGTTTTGTAATATAGTTTCCTAGAAAAAATGCGAGAAGTGAGAGAATTATGCACACTACAACAACCACTAGAGCCCATGTTGGCCAATGGCTCTTGATATCCTAAAAAAATTATCGTAGTGTAAAGATTAATAATAATGTATTTTTACGAACATTATGCTTATCGAGCATTTCTTCAGTTGCATGGCTTTGAATGACACGGTTAGCTTCTTCCATTTTTAATAATGCAATTTCCGTAATTTCATCCAGTAGTGACAAATTGTAACTTGGTTCAAGCTGAAAGAAAAATGTGCTTGACAAAAGATTAAGAAATTCTAGTGATTGTGGAAGATTATGACTTGACGAATTACAATAACACGTTGAAGACAATGATGGAGGATAAAAAGATATTGTAAATTGAAAATTTTCAAAAATGAGTTTCTTGAGCGTTGCTAGTGCCAATTGTTCAAAGCAAGCAAAAAATCTGAGTATTTGTGGACCATCGCATACTTCGGGTGGCAATTAGCATACCGTTCTACGAATAACCTTTGAATCAATCTGACCGTAAACACGATGCTCGTTCTTTTTACAATTGTAATATATGATTCAATTATGAGGGGAGCTTCTTTGGGCAGACCATTAGTGGGTATCCGGGGGGGTAAAAGTGTATAAACAGAGGAAACACTTTTAAAATCGCTTCCTGAAATACTACAAGCCAAAAATGATGAAGAATGCATGAAATTGAGACAACACGAAAATGCCATAAAAGCTCCAAAAAGCAGCGACCCGCAACGTTTCACAAAATATTAGTTATGAATTATAACAATAGAAAAAAGTCGGGACAAACAATGCAATTTTCGTATTCGAAATTGACGAAAATGTAATTATTCAGCAGCAAAATTTATTCAGAAATAAAACAGACACATATTGAACTATTCAAAAAAAAGATGAGATGCGATGTACATATCCACGTGGAGAAAAAAATGGAGACGAAAAAACCGAACTGACTAGGAACCGGAAGAAATGGGAATATCAAATAACTGCACTTTCGTGAGCATTAGATTTCCTGTTGACTCAATATTTCGCTTGTGCGACTTGAATAAAATTAAGTAAATGTCTGGAACACTTCATAAACGAGAAAATAAAGCGGGCCACATGGCATCGAATAGCAATTTTTCATTCATTTTTTCAATAACTAAATTGCTAACATAAACAAATTTTGACTGACTGCACGCTAAATTTTAAACAACTCGTCCAAAGCCTCTGTGTATTTTGTAGATCATAAATTATTAAACCACTTTACTACCTAGTTTTTCACGCATTATTAGTATTCGGTGAGGATAATAAACGACACTAAATAGCAACGAATAAACATGGTAAATAATGGTCTTGTGGATTAAAACGATTTCTACGGATTGAAGTAGGCGAGACAAAATTTTATGGAAATTTGATTTGAAAAACTCTTGCGATATTTTCTAAATACGCTGCCTTCTGAATGAGTCACGAGAGTACTCGAATGGCTAATGACACTTTGCGGTGCCAAATATCTTGCTATAAATAGTTCTAGGAAAACGCGAATGATTTATTGGCCAACATAATTGTAAAAAACATCATCATACACATATGTTTGTATCACATTTGAAGGCAGGATGCCTGCAGAACCCATGTTTTGCAAGGCATTGTTTTAAGTGCAGTCGTAGACTCGTCAGTTTTATGTTGGTCGTAGAGGTCATACACAAACAAGTCATTACAAAAATTGATATGTACATTTCATGAATTAAATATAGATGTATCCCATTTGTTTACAAAAAAAACGAAAATAAGAACGCGTTTCCGTCTTCGGAGAGCCGTAAATGACAAATCGGTTTCTTGAATGACCTTTCTTTCAATATTAGCGATGCAAAAAAGATTGATTTCATACATTTAAATTTTCAGAAAGCTAAAAAATAAAAATAAAAAATCCATATCAGTATGATTAAAAGCTATAGAAATTAAATTTTGCGTAAGATAAAACTCGAGTGATTAAAAAGAAGTTGGAATTTTAATTATGTATCGAAAAATTAAAAACATGTATTATCGATATCAATAACATGAACTTAACGCTTAACAAATATCAAAAAATAGTGCAGAGGATCAGAAATTTAAATTTTCAGATGTTGAATTTGATTCAATAGTAAAAAAAATATGAATTGCTAGCAGAACAAGGTGGACCGCCGCCCGCCTTGCCTTGGATTGATTGAGAGAGAAACTCATAGCCAGCATTTCAAAAAAGTGACATACCCTTGTTATATCCATTTGACCACTTGTCAAGCATCGGCAATCGTATTATGTAGGAAAAGACTCGTTTTTTTTCTCAAACCTAGAATTATGTGCGGAAGGATGAACAAATGCGAATGTAGTGATGAACATAACTTGGAAAATGAGAAAAATGGCAACATTCTCTTTGAAAACTCTTGACAGCCATCATAAAGTAGCTCTATGCAAACACTATAAAGGGCAAGATATGTATGAACCATAGGTTGGTGAAGAAATGCACTCTAGTTTTGACATTTCAGCGTCATGTTCTCACCAAATTTCATGTTTAAAACACTGTAATTGTTCAAAAGAAGGCATGACGAGTTATAATTTCAATAAAAGCACCACTCAGCGACTCGCCATGAAGTCTATTTTGTTTTGTTTGTCAAATGCCGCAAAAATGAATTTCATTTCACATTTGATGGGCTGTTTTCTGAAGCATGTGAAATCAATTTAATACTCTAAATAACATTTTCTTTGCGAAGATTTGATTGCAACGCGAGGCCGTCGCGTTTTCGATGAAATTTCGGAGCGTGTTGTTTCATGCGAATGCAATTCTATTTTGCTGAAGGCAACCAACCTCAAAGCTGTGGAGTGGATTTCTTCGAATTGACAAGCTGGGGATTATTGTGTCATTGTGCACTATTAATAATAAATAACTATCGACATGGCAATCTATGGTAAAACTTCATTTTTTGAATGCGTTAGCAGTTTAACCTACCAGAACTTGACCAAATTTTCTGGTTGATTCGAACTGCCTCTTCTAAATCAACATGGTACGGACATTCAGCAAGCGTGATTCCTAGAGAAGGACGGAAGTTACTGAAAAATAACTTTTTTTTATACATATTTTTACATTTAAATAAAAACTGAATGCAAAAATTTCTAAAAGACTAACTCTTGTTAGAGTCATTTGACACAAAAAAGGAAGTAAATTTTTTCGCAAACTTTTTTCGGCATTTTTTCTCATTGCCATTTTTTATTTGCCCGCACCCAGTTTTATTGGATCTTATCAAAATAGAAAATCGCGAGAAATTTCCCAAACACCTACCCGATTTATAGTATTAATCATATCAATCATACTTTAATTGCATGAAAAATGATTTGAAGATCCTCTAACCTGTTTTTAAAACTTGCATCTTCTTGCACCACTTTGAAAGTCTTTCCTTCTTCCGGATCATAGTGACAAATGCTAAATAATAAATGAGCAAGATTCTCAACTGTACTGATAAATGAGGGTGTTATCAAGTGTTCTCCAGCGCATAGATGATCCTTGACTTTCTTGCATTGTATTTGGCAAGCATATGAGATGTAGAAAGTTATCGATAGGAAAACTATTATTTTTTCATAATGCATTCTGAAATCAAAAAGTAGGTAGGCAACAATTCAAATAAGAATAAAAGTAAAAACGGAAAAATCATAACTATACATATTCTTGCCTAACTAAAATACATGATCAAAATATTGAAAACCAATTGCGATGTTTTTCGACAAGAAAATGGGGGTAATTGAAAGATAAAGTAGAGACCAAGGCTTGAGAAGAACATATGTTCAGTGTTAATTTATATCACGACAAGTGTTTTCCGCTTCCCATGAGCATCAAATAACAATGAAAATTAAAATTATAGCTGCAACCATTTGCCAATAAGCAAAAGAAAAATTTAATTATCGGGATGCATCATATGTGCTACTAGGCACACGATGTGTGAAACTTGTGGGAAGGCAGTAACACAAAAAGGGCAACTGCGCCCTCAATTAAAGCTAATTTCCAGACATCTGGCTGAAGTATCATTTTAGAGAAACAGAAAAAAAAAACGGAAATGAGTGTTGAAGTACGGCAATACCAGAGCAGCTTGGCAATTTCTTTGTTCCTCTTTTTGTGGAAGGATATTCTATCTTTTTGTTTTTCGGTTCATCTATTTAAATGTGTTGCCAAATTCACTCGTTCATAATGAAGTTAACACAATCCCTTCAATTTTTCAATCAGAACAAAACATTCAATTAAAGCGGTATTTTTACACGTAACAGAAAGTTGGAAAAATGAATAAAACCTTCCAAGCAGATAGAAACCGTGTCAGAAATTATGATGAATGTTGTCAAAGCGGTGAAATATGAGATTCAACGTGTGAAAACCCCCTTCTAGAACAAATAAATGAAAAAAAAAACTGGATTCGCTTTAATTTTTCATCGGACCTTTGCATTTCGAATATAGTTACATGTTACATGATGAGCAAAATAGAAATAGTAGAGGAATGCACATTTATACAAAGTGTCTAATGCGAGACAACAAGCATAGAACATACATATACTGAGTTGAGTCATTTGTGGATAAGTGAGCGGGCAATATATCCCGGCGATTCAACAACTTTTACGGGTGAAAATGCTAACAGTTTTATATAAATTTGAACTACAGTACCGCAGAAAAAGATACGAAATAATTAATTTTCTTCATAACTTTTGAACGAGTTGTCCGATCGGGGTGAAATTTTTACTGAAAGTAAAAAATACAATTTTAAAACAAATTGCAAAGTGAATTACACTGGTTCGCAAAATTACGTGCTAGCGGATATTTTTTTTTTGAAATCTGCAAAAATCGAAAAATCGATAAATTTTAGTTTTTCTATATTTTTTCAATATATTTTTTAGTTTTCAATACTTTGTGATCATATTAGTTATTTTCAACGATGAGTCTACCAAAAGGGTCTAAGACATTATCTAAAGCTGGTCGCATTGAGATTAATAGAGGCCGAGAATGTGGGATGTCGATTTTCGGTCTGGCCAAACAGTTCCCCACGAGTATTTCGACTATCTTGGCTTCAAATAATACTCAAAACCAACCAAAACCAAAAGGAAGACCACCAAAACATCTCCAGCAATTGGTTGTGTCATTATTAGGATGAGCAGAAAAAATTCGAGGCTGGCAAGTACCGACATCACCAGATGACTTATGCAGCATTATGGAGTTGAGGCCACTTTTTCGGTAATTGGAACGATACAACCGATATAAGTTTGCAGTGAGACTGTTAGAAGTTGTTTCCGCCATGTTGGATTGTTTGGTCTTCGTCCGGTGAAAAATCCAATAATCCCGGCCAAATTAATAAAGCACGACGATCCAACATCCTATGAAGTGACGAATCAAAGTATCTGATGGTTGGAACTGGTGGTAAAACTCATTTACAACATCGAAAAGGAAAAATATTTCATCTCAAGTACCAAATTCCAACTGTTAAGCACAAGGGTGGAAGGGTGCTGGTATGGGGATTTTTTTCTTCTATCAGCGTTGGTCCTCGGCGCAGAATAGAAGGTATTATGAATAAGAATTTGTACAAATACATCAGAGAGGACCATATGCTACCATTTGGACGTTCGAAACTAAGACCTGGTTGGATTTTTCAACAGGACAACGATCCAAAACGCTTTTCACACTCTATCAGGAATTGGTTCGCGCAGCTTCGGGTGAACTCTATGACCTGGCCGAGCCAATCTCTCGACACAAATCCTATCGAACACCGTTGAGAAGGGTTCGAATGTTGTTTAAATGAAAAAACTGCTCGAAATTGCAGTGAAAAATTCTCACAATTAAAAAAAAAATTGAAAAAAAGTTATTTGGGGTTTGACGATCTAATTTTGTTTCTACAGCCATTTGAAATTATTCACCGATTTTCATGATTTTTTGAAAATTCAATTTTTTGCGATTTATACTTGAAAAATATTAATTTCCATAATATGAACGTGCTTTTAAACATTTAAATGTATGAAAAATAAGTGCTAAAAATTTCACCCCAATTGGACTACTCGTTCAAAAGTTATGAAGAAAATTAATAATTTCGTATCTTTTTCTGCGGTACTGTATCTTTTTGGAAAATTATTATTAATTATCTCAAAATATTAGGCAAAATTCTTTCGCAGTGGATTGATGAACAAAATCGCAAATGAAAAAGATGCATCATTTGGTGATGATACGAATGAAAAGTTCAGATACCATCGTGATTACATTCCGATGTTTCTGTGACTATTTTATTTGAACTTTTTTTATGGGAGAGTGTCTGAAGCGTTACTAATACAACATGTTCAATATATTTTCATTTCAGAAAATATGAAAAATTAAAAATAAATTTACAATAATTTGCTACCAGTAATTTGGAAAGTACTGAAGTAATTAATCATAGAAAGCTAAAGCTTTCGAATATTTTGGGAAGAAACACAAATTATTTGTGGTTTTTTATTGCCCTCACTAATAGTGAATTCCCTCGAAGAAAATTCTTCGAAAGTTTATATATTCGAATAATGTGGAAAAAATGAAGAATTAATAAGAAATAGAGGATGTCTTAAACATTTTTGAAAAAATGAACAATTCGTCCAAAAATTCTCGAATATTTCTTCGAAGACTTGCACTACACATTTAAAATATTTGTTTAATTTATGCTCGCTCCTCCCAACGGAGTTTCCGATGATTTTTACGAATTATCTCTCATCAGCTTGTTCGTACTGGCAACGTATTTGTTATTGATTTATAATACGCCTAGCAATGCAAACTGACATTCCTAGGTCTGTCACATCTTACTCATCCAAAATAACGCAATGTTGCTTCAAATGCCATGTTTTCGCGGCTTTCTGGTTTTTTGACCTGTAGAAAATTTTTAGCCAAGTTTCAGCTCGATCGGAATATATGAAGTAGAGAAACGCTACTCGCTGGTCAGAAAAAGTCAATAAATTTTAAGCCTTAGCTTATTCAAATAGACGTAATCTTGCTTCAGTTGCCATGTTTTTTTCGGCTTTCTGCTTTTCAGTAAATTTTTCTAAGTAAAAAGAGAAAGTTCAAAAAGCGTAGTTGGCGTTACGACGGTAAATATATAGGCATCCAAAAGTACACAAATCTTATTAATTTTAAAGAATCTTTTTCTAAATTGCAACATTCAAAATTTTCAGACAAAAATTACACGGTTCTGTGTAAAAATTTAGAAAAAATGATAATTTGTTGAAAGTATTTTTAATGAAAAAAAATCTACGGTTTTCCTTTTGAAGATCTGACGTCTAAATATCTTAATCTGACTAAAAATCGGCATTTTATTAATGAATCCCTCGTAGATCAAAGTCAAACAATTAGCACTAAAAAAGATTTTGTTGTTCAATCCCCTTCTTGACCAACATATTGTTTCAACGTTCCCAAAACATTAATAAAAGCTCTCTTCGCTGTTGTGTGGCAGACAAACAAATATTAGACGATCAATTTCCAATTCCAAGACGAAAAATCGGACGATTTTAAATACGAAGTTCAAAGATCAGTATTCGACCGTTATTATTTATTATTGGAAAAACTAGATCGAGCGTTAATTAAATTAACAGTCACTAGTCATTAATCATTAAACTGGCACATAGTAAACAAGAGTGATTAATAATATAGATTATTGTGTGGATTACCATATCCTTCAATTATGATGGATTTAGATGTTTGCCGGATCTTCGTCCTCGCTGACGTCAATGTTCACGTTGTCGTAGTAAGAAACGAGCATGCCGTATGAGCCATTGGACTTAGCCGTAGTTTCTCTGTTAACTAAGCCATCCACCATGGAGCTAAAAAATATCGCATTGTAAGGTATTGTGGCTGCACCAATTTGCATAATTATTACCGTTCGTGTTTCTCTTCACGGTTTTCTCTGAGCTCACGGCGTTCGTGAATAGTCCAGTAGATGAACGCCGCAATTACTGCGAAGAAATTGTTCGACAGGAACATCGATAAGTAGAATGTCCATTGATTGACTTCTGAGGCGATATTTATATCGTGATTGAAGAAGATGCAAAGGAACGTTGACAGCTGTAATACGTAAATCATTTTTATGCTAGTACTAAATGATAAATTGGTTTTTGATAACGAAGGCCAACATAACTGGGTATTCATTTCCTCTCACAGAAACATTAAAATATACGTACACTAGACATGGCGAAGACGAAGCCGAGAAGACAGTAGAGTGGAATCGATGGAAATTGAGCCATTTGTTGATCTCGATTACCTAAAAACAAACAATATTTTAGTAATTCTTATCGTCAATAATAATAAGCTGAGTCTGTGATTGTCGACTGATAATGTCAGAAAATTATAAGCTCTTTCGGTGTACAATTAAAACCCCGAAATAAGTTGTGTTGTTCTGGCAGGAGAATCAATACGAATGGAGAGAACAAAAATTTGGTGAGTCAACCGTAACAACGAAACATAAGACAATTGTCTAGAAGTGCTGGTGGTGTGGGTGGTTTGGTTGCTGGCAGACAGTCAAGATAAAAATAAAAATACATTGTCATCGGTGGCGTGATGAGTTGGCAAAATGCACGACGACTGCGAGCGCCGCTGATCTTTCCTAGGAATTACGACGCAAATGTGCAATTTCAAATAGAACGGCACGATATGGGGCGGGCCGATGCCTGCCTTTCTGCGAGAGTGTTTTTATAGGGAAAAAAAAACAATAAAGCGTGGAAAAAAAGGTGCCAATGTTATTGAACGCGTGATAATTGCGCGGTGATAGAAGGCATAGAAAAAAATAGGATAGGTGAAAGAAAACAATTTGAGACATTTAATGGAGTTGGAGAAAACTTTCAACAAATTGATTGAACTGCAGAATTCCTTCATAAAGCAACAATAATATTCTTCTTTAATCCCATCATGAGTTTTTTTTTTAATTGTAAGCGAAAGAACACGTTCCTTTTATAGAATATTCCCCTATGGTGCAATAATAATCCTTTATTTCCATACAAATAAAAATACTAATAAGAAAATAAAATAGCGGCTTGCTTGGAATATATATGTACGAATATTTCTTTGTCGAGCGGAACCCAATTTCCGTTTTTTTTGGACGATAAACGTGAAGTCTTTATTAGACGAATGTAATCAAAAGTGTCTCTATTCAGTCTCTATTTTTTCCAATGAATCGATTAAGTGAAGAAAATTCTCTAAGGAAAGGTTTTTCAAAACGTACTCATTTCAACAAAAAGTGCGAAATATGATCGATTACGTTAAGCACATATCCTAAAATTTTAAAATATTTTCATTTGCAAAAAAAAAAACAAGCACCCTGCGTAAATTTACGGTGAAATTGATTCTCAGTGTTGTACACTAATTCTTACCGATAAGAAAACTGGAAACACGTTTTACTAGAATTCACTTAATATTTTCCAATTACCTTTATTAAAAAATTCTAAACAGTGTTTAAGCATCAACCTAGAAAACATAAAAAAATACAAAATGAAGTTTGTGAAATTTTAAGCGTTCAATAAAATAATGAAACGGCCTTAATTTTTGATTTGAACATTTATCATTGGATGCTTCAACACAGAAGGTTTTATTGACTTTTAGTTTTATTTTAATTAAGACGAAAGAAATTATTGGCATTGTTCGAAGGCAGAGTGCGTTGCTAATTATATGTATGTATAAAAGACGCGAGCAAGAATTTTGATCTTATTCCCATTGTCATGTTTCACGCGAATTTAAATCATTCAATATGACAACGTGAAAACAAAAAAAAGGACTTAATTGCCTGAGGAATAAATTAGCAGCAAAAAGTGCGCAAAAACATTTTGGCAATTCACCTGAAAGGAGAAAAGAGAATAGGTTGGACGAAATGCACGGTGCAATTTTCTCTATGTTTGAAGAATAAAAACATCGGCCATAACAATGTACACGAGAAAATTTTTCAAAACAGACGTTTTGTCAAAAAATCTGTCAGAACCTTATTCAAAAATATTTAAAGAGATTGGATGAAATTGACAAAAGAACCAGCACAAAATTAGTTTTTCGTTTGATATATAAATTCCGGTTTCCACGCGTTCACAATGCATCGCAAATGCTAAAAGTGATGAAAAATGAAATATTCAGCAAAAAAAAACGCACGTAAATATTGCTTCTGCATTAATCAATAAGGCGAATTTCAAAATGCCAATGATGCGGATATCAATAAATATTCTCGTGATTACTTCTATCAACACAAAATAATGCGTCTCTTGATAATTAGAAAAAAATGTAAGTTCGAGCGTCATAAAACAGAGAATAAGCATCGAGTTTCCTTTTTATTTGAATAAATTTGAGAGCATACGTTTGTCTTGTTTGAAAAATGAAGGAGTTTCGGAATCCCGAGACGAATTTAAAGTCTTGAAAGGATATATTGCCGGATTGGAATGAATGGGCTACCCAAGTATGAATCATATCGTTTCGGTGGGAAAAAATATACGACATTGGGATTTTCAAATTCTTTGTGTATTGGGAATAAATGAATTATGTATTGGCGGAATATGCTCGTCGAGGAAACAACTCTCAAACTGGATTGAAGTTTGAAACCAAAACTGAAACGCGAACGTTTTCTCGGAATTAAAAAAATGAGCGAAATTCTGAATAAAATAAAAAAATGCTGTCAACGTGATGTTTTTCGGTTTGCTCTTTTCTTTTAAATATATGTAATATCTTCAGTGTGGAGAATATTCGTATCACAGATTCAAGACATCACGACAGATGAGCCACATCTACGTTGTAAAGGTAAAAGTAATATGTATTATCTACTAGAACATTATTCAGAGTTGAATGTGACACGCGATGTGTTATAAAAAAGTACAGTGAGCGAAACAAAGAAAGTGTCTTGACCCTTTACACAATTATACGACAGCGTAGAAAACTCAAGAAAATTACGCTACAAGCTCACAAATGAAAAAGTGAGGGTATTGCTCGAAACCTCGCGCTAAAGTCATCAATTATCGCAAGGTGACGACGAAAAACACAACATTGTGGCATGAAATAGATAGGAGAACGAAAGCGGCGAGGGAAAATGAAATAAATGAAGCGGTGGCAATACGAATTGAATGAGAACATCCCGATTGGCCAAACTAATGTATCACTTAACCCATCAATATGGTCGGCAAGCTGTCAGACACACTATTCATTTTGATTTGTAGAGCGTTTTTAATCATATCTTTCTCAAGATGACAAAAAATACACTTGACGCGAACACACGGCCCGAAGAGCGTTGAATCGTTAAATATCTGCTGGCAATTGTTTAAGTCACACAAAATGCGAGATTGAGTTGGGTAATCGATCTTCTTCGCCTCGTCAATGCGGAAAAAACCGCTGGATGGATGTAAATCAACCATTTGCAATGATTTATTTTTTTATTAAAAGACAGACTTGTGCAGGAATTAAAATATTAATAATTCTTATACATAGTAAGGATATATTCGACGCAAACCCCGTATAGAAAATTTCTTCAAACTCAATTTTAATTAAAATTTACATCTGCTTTTTAATGAACTTACGATATAACATAGAGTGAACTTTTTGTAAACACGCATGTTAAAAAACGGAAAAATTCCATATATTTTTCAGAAAACAAAATTTCGCATTAATTGTCTGACGCATAATAAAGTTAAGAAAAAGTGCATACGTGGACACACACGAATTATATTACATTGCAGGAACGTCCTTTAGAAAACATCCTATTTTTTGGACATTTAATAAATCGACATTCAGCAAGAAAAATTATAATTGTGTGGGAAGGGAGTTTCCTGTTTTACCTGGATATCGAATCAAAATTGATTGGATGGAAAATCTTGAAATTTTTCTAGCTTTCGTTTAATTTTGCGTTGTTCTTTTGCAATAACAGCGGTTTTTGTTAGATATTTTTGTTAGATATTGGGCTTCTTGTATTATTTATTTCGCCCATCACTTATCTATATTACTTATTTTATTGAAGATTTTGCATATATTCATGTAATTTTGGTCAATTCTTGTATCGGTGAGCTACAATTATATTTGTGACCGGTTCGACAAATAAATCCTACCCTAGTCACCTTATTAAATTAAGTAAACATGAACGTGAAGCTTGACGCTATTCAGAAGATTCCTTTGGAGGTTCTAAAAAACTACCAGACGGATGAGTTTGCATTGATCCCAGAGATTCACGTCGCTAATATTATCATGGATAAGATGCAAGAAAATGAGCAAAAGTGCATTGTGCAAACGAGGCAAGACACCTTTTTATGTCAGAAGAAATTTGAAAATAGCAAAAGTAAAATTGAGTCACATATTATATCAGAAAATGAAATTACGGTAACATGTGAATTAAAGAACTTAAAAAAACTCTACTAATAATTTTAGGTCATTGAAAGAAAACCTCAAGAAACTCTAAAGCAAGATACTGCGGAGGCTCTTTTTTTGGAACTGGAGAATTTGTCAAACATTGGCAAAACAAAGTCAAGATTTGTGTTAGGAGCACTCGCTTTGCTCGTCTATTGTTTTTACAAAAAGTGGCTGGAATTTGCTATTCTGTTGTATTCATGGATTGAGAAGTCATTCTTGTTTGCTGTCAAATTGCTGTTCCAAGTACTCAATCGCTTTGAAAGAAGGGACAAAAGTACAACTCAATCCTAATTACCACTATCAGTTTTTAAGTATATATTTGTGCATTGCAATAAAGTGTGAGCTTTCCGAGTTGTAAGAAATATCCACATATGGTTTTAATGGTCCATTCAAAACTGATGTACCAGTGCTGCTCATTGTGGAAATTGCAGAATCAGCAGTTTGATTATAATGTTGAGGCGATTGAGGAAATTTAACAAAAACAGCAGTCATTTCCTCTCTTCTATTGCTTATTCCGCTTCCACGTTCTTCTTGAACCTGCAATACCATTTTAATTGTATGTGAAATCTGTGGAAATATTAAGAATTCACCCTTGAGAATGCGTCGCAATGTTTCCTTGAAAACTTGTCGAGTAAACTTTGGGCAGTACTTCGCGGTGAGTTTTCCTCTGACAATCCCGCAACTTCTCTAAATTATACATAACATCATTTTTTATGTTTTCTTTAGCTTACGATAGTATGTCATCGACCCCAGCATCTTTAAGGTTTTGCACGACTCCATCCGATATCAAAACCAAATATTTCCATTCCCTGTCCACCTAAAAATAAAAAAATTTTTTCGTTTTCATCAAGCCAAACCGTATAATAGTAAACATCTGGTGAAGAAATTACTGGAGCAGAAACAGCGTTTTTGAAATCTTCGTTTTCCTCATATAAATGTGCTCTATGCAAATCGCCAATAGCTCTCGTAGGATTAAGAACTCTCTAAAAAAAAACCCATCACTTTCATTTGTCTATAAATATAATTACGGTTGGATCGACATTAATAGATTGGAAGCGCAGAACTTCCTCTTCATCATCATTCTCATGAACTATTGTGTTAAGTTGAATAGCATTGTTTTCGCTTGTAATTGCTATTGCTCTGAAAAGAACTTAATAGTTGGTTTTTCAAACTAAATCGAAAAAGCAAGCTACTGAATCACTATTTATGTAATGAAATCGCTGAAGGAGAATATGACCAGTAAGATATTTTTTCTGTTATTTCAACCGTTGTTGGGATTTTCACGTGTTTGGCCGAAACACGCATATTATTTGCCTCACAGAAAACACAAATGTTTTTTTATTGTAAAATTCAACACAATTTCTCCAGAGTTCCAACACTCTGTCACTAAATTGTTTATTCGAGGCATACGATGTTTTCACAAATTATTTTATTAATAAACGCATTTTATAGCTACTATAGTATTTGTTCTATTTTCTGTTTTTTTTTCTCACAATATACTTTTCACTGCGGAAAATTAAGGTATATCACACTTCGAAACAATATCCTTTCTTGTTCGGAATTTGACAAGCCTGCTCCAATGAACATACTAATAATAATTCCAAATTTGATTTTGTTTGATTTCGACAATTCATAGTATATTTTTTAGCGAAATTTTACTAATTGCTTATATATATATATATATATATATATATATATATATATATATATATATATATATATATATATATATATATATATATATATATATATATATATATATATATATATATATATATATATATAAATAGATATATGTATATACCTGCTACTTCCACAATTCAAGACAAAAACATTCTGATTTAATTGAAGTATAAGCAAAACTGTTGTGCCGGCGCGAATCTGAAACAAATATTTTAAACACAAATTTACTGTTGGCATTACGGAAATAGGTTAAAGGTGCACGTCGCGCGCTACGACATTTTCCTAAATAACTTGGAATATCCACAAAATGCGACGTCGACAACATTTTTTCATGAAAGGCTACTTCAGTAATCGTGACAATCGATTTTAACAAATAATTTTTTTACAGCTAGATTTTTATGTATTAGAGCTAAATTTAAATTAACACACACACACGCCTATCATCGACTTGATTTAAAGTCGTTAAATAAAAATAAAATTGAAAAAAATTACTTTCTTATCGATTTCAGAGATTTTATCTTTGCTATCAGCGTTTTCACTCTGTTTTTCATTCCATCTTGTGTACAAATCCTCGTTCAATGAATCATTATACCGATTCGACACTATTCGAAATTTTTGGGCAAGTTCTTCTTTAATCTGTTAAGAAATAACACAGCTATATATTTTAAGGACAAATATTTACCATATTTGGCGTCATATTAACCGCTATTGGATTATCGAACAAAATCTCGTAAATAAGACGATCTCTAACAAATTCTGCAGTTTTCGATCCTCCATTGAAACCGCATACTAAGCCGAAAAGTTTTTGCTCGTTGACGGCGTCAGAAAAACTGGAAATTAACTTATTTTTGCGTTAAAATTTGAAAAAAAAAACTCACTCAATATTAATTGGGTACCCTTGCGTTTCATTATCAGGTTCAACAGTTTGCTTCTTATAGCGGCATCCAAATACTGAACCTATTCCACTGTTGGCTGCTGGCGGATATTCGTCCACGAAAGCGTTCTCCATTTAATAATGAACACAACTATGTACAATACGAACAAAACCGACAAACAAACCACACTGTGTAAGTGCGCTCTAATGCAAATAGGCGATTTTTCTAATACAGCTGACGCCAGAAAATAATGCTCGTTATCATGATTTGCCGGAGAATTTCAGAATAGTAGTTGGATCTATTATTGGAAAGAACCTTTAATTAAATTGAAAAACAATAGAAAAAATTTTTACGACTACGGTAAACAATATTATTAAATTTGTAAAGAAATTTGATTTATTTAAAAATAATGTCGTAATTATTTCTCAGGTTTCTATAAATTTGCTATTGCTTTCAATCCCCACTAATTTCATGAAGGTGGTTAGAAACGATAAAATATTTTAAAATAATTCCCACAGCTTTTGTAATTTCATCGAAACATTGATGCAAAAAAGTTCGGAAAGTTCTTGTACTATTTTCAATTTTTTTTTACTTGACATGTTTTCACATTTAAATATCATAAAAATTAATGCAAATTCCACATTGAGAAGAAAGATTAAATGCACTGTCCAGTATCCGACGTTCTTTCCAGTTTTGTTCATTAACGAGGTACATCCGCCACATTACAAGTTAGAATATTGTTAGTAATAAACTTGCACAATGTGCGCTCTGTTGCAACGTTTGTCACCCTCAATTCTCTTCCATATGCTATTATTGGGTTTTAATATATGTTAATCAATATACTGCGAGTTGCGAACATTATTTCATTCCAAGTTTTATTTACTTTAATCATGAAGCTTTGTTCTAAAAAAAAAAAGAATGAATATATATTTTTGTTTCTGTTGTAAAATTACTGATATTATCAATTGGAAAATATTCTAATCGTTTTTATTCGAATGAAATTCCAATCAATGGCTTCATGCCAACGACGTACAAACATGGAAAACAGGTTTTTGCATGACTCTCTGCCAAAACTATTTCCTCCTTCGCTTTGCAGGCCGAAGAGATAACTATCTTATCGCAAATTTGTGAACCTCATATATTGACATTTATAAGCTTCACAATTACATTTTTATCGTTTCAGAAAAAGGTAGTTAAAGGTGACGTTCGGAAGATATGGCTGGAATTATCAAAAACCAATTAGTGAAGCATTTATCCAAGTAATATCGGTGTTTTAAGTAAAACACAAACCTCGATTAAATTTTGTTACAGATTTACAAAAAATTTGAAACCTGAACAGATTTCGCTCGATGTCCTAAAAGGAAATACGAAGTTACAATTTATAGAGATTAACGAGCAAATATTGACAGATATTTTAGTAAAATTTGCTACATGTTTTGTACTATTTCATTAATTTTTTAAGGAACTTCCGTCATGGCTTCGTATTAAACGCGCTTATTGCACAGGTGTCACTGTCAGCGTCCCTTGGACTCGATTAAAAACATGCCCAATTAAAATTGTAAGTCAAGTTCAGTATTTCTTTTAGAGCCAAAAAAAAATAGAATTATTGATCGTTTTTTTACACGAAAACTCTTTGTAATATATATAAACATTCGATATCTAAATGACAATGAACTCTTTCTAACAGAAACCTGTTTTATTTGAGGGAAATTATTGACTGATTTGAAGAAAAGGTTAGTTTAAAAAGAAACCATAACTTTTTTCCGGAATGATTAAGTTATAAAATGTTTCTCGTCAAAAGTCGTAAAAACATAAAACGTGTGTGACATTCAATTTTTTCAGTTTATCGATGAGATCAATGTCGAAGTAGAATTATCGAGTAGCAGGGAAACGCGTGGAGAAAATCCTTTGGGGTATGTACTTTTTTTTTAAATGTTTTTCTTTCAATTTTTTCGTGCTATAGAAACATTTCGGATAATTCTTCGTATGGTTTTATCGATAAAATTGTTGAAAACATGTCTCTTTATATCAATACGGTGGAGATTAACTTTGATTCAGACGCTTTTGGAGGTTCTTTCATGGTAGATTTTAATCCGTATAGCGCCCAACAATATATTTTTATTAGCTTCAACGACTATCCGTCGAGAGTAGAAGTCCAGGATGGGCACAAGTTCAAGATTTACGACAAACTCGAATAACTTGTAGTTTGTCACACAGAACACTGATGTTCAAACAAGTAATTTATAATTTCGAACAAAATCAATAATAGCTTTTAGTTGTCATGGCATCTTCTTCGGATTGAAGCATCTGCCAAAACTTTCAAAGATGAGAAACGTTCCAAAATAAATGCTCCGCTGCGATTGATTACAAGTAATGGCAAAATCCGAGTGGCTTTAAAAAAGAATTCGAATGGTATTATCACAATTTTTATATGTACAGTTTTTATATATACATTTATGCAGACGGTTCTGTGATTCATGCTCGTATTCAAACAATTCTAGAAGATATTTTATGGGTTGCAACTCTTCAACAACTTCGTTCAGCCATTTCATTTGCTTCATATATAATGACTTTGGTTAGAGAATCCCAAAAGGATGTGATTGTGGTATGCGACTATTGGGGATTTATAATGTTGGTTTCTATATGTAGGTTCCTGTTCCCGCTGGTCAACCTCATAGACAAGGAAATTTTGAAACACCGTGCGCAGAATCATATTCGACAACATTTAAAACTTTCTATTTTGATCAAACTTCATATCACTTGCATGTCAAAAAAATTGACTTGCATTTGTATGATGACGCAATTGCTAGCGGATGTATTAAAAAAAATAAAACTTGCATTAGCCGAACTTTGTTATTTTTCAGCATATCCTCCTGATTGGAATATCGAGAGTGGGGCAATGCAAGTGACATTACATCAAGTTTCCATTGACGCTTATCCAAAATCATTGGCAACGTCAAATAGGTATTTAGCCGGACATACTGATATTCCGCATTTTTTCAAAATTAATTTTTGTATAGTATTCTTGGAGCATTGAATGTGAGTATTATACGAAGGCATGGAGACGTTTTTACAATATGGAAAAGAATTTTCTATAGTGAATTAACCAAAAACGTTTCTTCATACTGTTTTAATATTTTTTCATTTGTAAAAAATATAATGGCTCTATTCATACCAAAATAATGTACAAAATTAAATTTTTTCAATGCAGGAATTTAAAAAATTGGCATTAAACGTTTTTTTTTAATTTTTTTGTATTATATTTTATTTCATTAATACGCCTATAATAATAATGTCCAAATCAGATTTATTTTCGATCTTTGCAGATCGACATGGCTACGGTACCAATCTCCCAATATTTTTTCTATTTGGATGCATGGGAGATTAGATCAGCAATTTAACGAGCTAATGAAAGAAGCAACTGGTATCCAGTCGCTTCTTTAGCAAATTTAGTGTTACTTGCAGATCAAACTTTAAAAACACGGCTTAACCGCTGTTGGTCGCAATTAATGGGATTTCATATAGTTTTGCGTATGTACGATTTGACTGTTCAATGTGTTTCCGATATGGATACCAAAAAAAACGGTCTCAAAAATCTTTTCGTTAGTGAAAGGTATAAACTCAAATAATTTGGTGATAGAAATCAAATATGTTCAGACATACTCGTTCCTTTCCATTAGATCAACCAATCGTTCATTTCGAATTTGCAACATATTTCCACCCAATGACTGACACACTTCCAGTCCCAAAATCTGCTACGTTTTTGCAACTCGGCCCATTTTCTTTGACATTTGACGAAAGAACCCTTCGCTGGTGTCTTTTTGTCGCCCATTGTCTTCAATCTGCAATTGTAAACAGTTCAATGTTTTTTGAAACTGAGATCTTAAATTTCAGGAAGATGGGCACATTACTGTATCGGGCGATGCAAATATTCATTCTTCAGACATTCGTATTGATCTCATAATGCCCACGGTGAGACGAAAAAATCAAATATTAATATTAGTGTTTTCAGATTGTCATTCCACTACCGAACACATCGAGTGATGCCAGATTACCTAATCGTCTAGTTATTTCCATGTCTACTATTTCATTGTCGTCATGCAGCTACAATGCTCCATCTCAGTTTCGAAACATTCATAACCTTATTGGAAAGTTTGATGTCAAAGAAGGCAACACGAAATTTCAAGAGCATTTAAACTTGATTAAAAATCCGCCTGCAACTTCTAACAAACTTTCTGATGGGGAACTACTTTATTTAAAAACTTCCCCGATTTGGATTGAAACCGATCATGGGCCCAAAACAAAAGGGCTTCCACTTATACATGACGTAAACATAACATACACATCCTGTAATACGTTTTAAAATAAATATATTCAGATTCCATTTTCCGGTGCCGTTGTTCTTACTGCTGACAATATTTCGTTTTATGTCGAACCAACCGAAGAATTGAACGTTATTATCGATCATTTTCAGTTCTTGCAGGTATTTTTTTTGAAAACTTTGTAAAAAATATGGATAAGCACATTTCTAGGTTACACGCTTTTTCTCAAGCTTATCCAAATTTGTCGACTTATTATCTATGGACCAAAAATATTTTTCCGGTTCTAAAGTTTCGACTACACCTGTTGTTTGTTTCCTTGCCGCCGTTGACCGAGTGAGTGTCAAAAAACTCTAAGAAGTTATTTTAAAGAATTACTAGATACGTGTACATATTTTGCTCACGATTGGTCCGATGCCATCCCCCTACGACAAATGTCCAACCGTCAGCGAAATCAACAATAGTTTCATGGAGCGAATGTCAGGTGCGTTAGTTTTTTATACGATTTCTATAAAAAAAATTTATTTTACTTATTAATAATTCAAGAGATAGTTGAAATATATATAGCACAACATTGAGGAGTGAAGTTGCTTGGGAAATAAACAATGGGTGTGGGAACAAAACACGGTGACACGTATGAGATCCTCGGAGAGGAATTTTTTTGACAAAAAACGATGATGAGTTAGAGTTTTCTGGCCGGGAATTCGTCGTGGTTCACGGACTCAACTTTATCGTCCTTGTTAAACTCTTCAGATGCTGCGGTTTGAGCCTTGGATCGCTGGGCAATCCAAGGCGGCATGTTGGCGAGCATTCGCTGACGCTCACGGATGCGAGCTGGAACTTTTTTAGTAGTAGCGACTTCAGTTGCTTTTGTGTCCTCTTCTTCTTCTTCTTCATTATCTTCAACATATTCAGCTTCTTCCTCGTCATCATCATTTTCAGATACTTCCTCGTTGTCCTCCGACGGCATTTCAGTAGTTGTAGTCGTTCTTAGGAACTTTGGTTTGTTTCCTTGTGCATGACGCATGAATGGAGAATTAACGCTTGGTTTTTGAGAGAGCCTCCAGAATCTATCCATGTTCATTCTCTTGTTAGCTGAATTCTTTGATTTGGCTGTGGTGGTGGTAGTTGAAATTTCTTCCTCATCGGCATCTTCTTCATCTTCCCCAACTTCAACTTCCTAAAACAATTTTTTAAATTTTGCAAAATCTAATTCTGTACCTCTTCCTCAATTCCTTCTTCTGCTTCAGTAGTAGTCTTAACTGTATTTTCCGTGGTTGAAGCTTCAGTAGTGGTTGTAGTGGTAGAAGTGGTACTAGTTGTGGTTGTCACTGGACCATTGCAGCATGGCTGTGGGGCTGGCCTTGGAAGAGAGGTTGGGCAAAGGTTGATCGTCTCCTCATGCCAGTTGGTCTTGCAAATCTTGTTGCTTTCAGTGGTAAGGTTGATAGCTTCATTTCCATTCATTACGTGGAATCCATCTTGAGTGCAAACCATTGGGTTTTCTTGAAGTCTAACAGTCAAATGGTCAGCGCCGGTAAGTGCTCCTGCTTCAAGAGTCATGATCTTGTTGCTTGCGAGATCCAAAGTATGAAGATTTGCAAGATGGGCAAATGAGAGAGGTTGAACCGATTTGATGTTGTTGTTCGCGACAGAAACTTGACGCAAGAACAGAGCTCCTTGGAATGTTTGCTGGGTGATCTCAGTCAAGCAATTGTTTGGAAGCCAGAGTAGTAGTAGTGGAGTTCCAGCAAACGCCCCAGCAGTGACAGAGGTTATTGCATTGCTATCAAGGTTGAGATGCTGAATGCTTTCCACACCGTCGAACATGTCCTTGGTGATTTCAGTGATGTTATTGAAGGAAAGATCAATAACTTGAGCTTGCTTGAACTGAGACATTACGCCATTATCGAATGTTTGAATGTAATTCTCATTGAGGTAGACATAACGAAGGTTAGGCGTGTTCATCAAAGCTCCTCCTTTAACAGTTGTGATGTTGTTTCCTGTCAAAGAAAGCATTGAAAGTGATGTCAAGTTGGACAAATCATTTTGCTCAAGGGAAACGATTTGATTGTATTTGATGTGAAGAGCGATGAGATTATCCATGTTGCGAACGGCTTCCGCGGGGAAAGCGGTCATGCAATTGTTGTCCAAAATGAGATTTTGGAGCGTGATGCGGACTGATTGGAATGTAGCTGGAGCCATTTTGCAAATCTGAAAAAATAGTTAGAATTTTTTGTTGTAAAATAGCTACCTTGTTGCAAGCCATATTGACGTCAATAAGTGCTGTCATATTGACGAATGCGGATTCGGTGATGTTCTCAATTTTGTTACACCGGAGATTTAGGACGTTCAACGCTTTCAAACCAGCAAGAGCTTTGGTTGGGACTGATGGAAGGCTGTTCTCAGATATTGACAACTCTTGCATGACATTTTCCAATCCACGGAATGCATCTTTGTGAATTTCCTTAATTCTATTCTTGTCAAGAATTAATTTTTTGATACGAAGATTTTTGAACGCACGCGGACCAATCTGCAATGATATTCGTTTATTAGTTATTCCTAGTTGTTGGGTATTTTACCTCGATTATGTTAGCATTTTCCAAAGAAAGTTCTCTGATTTCCATGTGAGAAGACTTCAATTTCTCAATTACTGGAAGTCCGGCAGGGCCACTACACTTCACAACAGGCCCATCGACAGTGCTGTCGCAAGAACAAGCGGTCTGAAATGAATGAAAATAAATATTTTATTAGAAAGTTAAGTACTTACTTGATTGTTAAATAATTTTGGACAGAATCCTGAAACTAGTGCTGGAAGACATAGAAGCAGAAACGCCGTGTGTAGATACATCCCAAGCAATAATGGGTCGTGCTCTCAGCAAAACGGTCACCACGCGAACACAAAGACGCACTGTATGACGATGTGCGCAGTTGGGGCAAGAGAGGGTGGGATACCAATGGATGCTGCTTGAGTTAGGTCAAGGTCTAATGTCGGGTAATCTGTAAGACGAGATAGAGGAGATCATATTGGGCTGTCCGAGCGAGTGTCTCATTGCGCACAATTGTCTCTAACGCGCGTGCTATTTCGACGTCGTCCCGCTCAATTGACTCGGCTTGACGGTGCCGGGGAAAAGGAAGCATCCAGCAGCGAGTTTGACCCAGTCGCATCTCAACCGATAGAGTACATTCCTCGAGAGAATGTGACAAAAATGAGAGAAATGAATGATACCTGTATGTATCGGTGCTTGTCGCCATCCAAGAAACATAAACGTTTTCATGATTGTGATCTAGTGTCTCATAGTATTTTGCAAAAGGGTATTTGCAAAACTACCAAACATTCTTTCCATTCCCTCTAATTAGGATACTGACCAATTTGGAAATCGTGACCTGAGCTATCCATCAAACTTTTCCAACAATTTAACCCAGTATTGACGATGAGATGATTCCGGGTGCTGCTTTTTGATTTTAAAGAATAGGAAATGAGAGAGAAAAGTGATTGATAAACGTTTTATTGGATCACTAACATACAAAAACAACCGTATTACGACAAAAAGCTACGCTTTTCATAGAGGGAAAGAGAATAAATGTACAATTGGAATGTAGGACAAATGAGAAATGAGCATAAGACGTGTTCACTGGGCGAGTAGCGCAGTGGAAGGGATATGCACAAATAAATCTTACACAAAAGTAGAATGATAATCTGTTGGGAAAGTGAAAAGAAACCTGATAATATTAATTAAAGGGAATTTAAAAGATGAACACACTATTTATAGTAATTACAGTAGTTGGCTCCAGGGTTGTAAATCCAAGCAGGAGATTCTTCAAATCTACCAGTTCTGAAAAAAAAAATTTAATTAATTACACGTAAATATATCAATACCTGGAGTTATGTGTTCCATACATTGAATTCAAATGAGCTTGAGCTGTGACATATTCGCTTGTTCTCGCCACACTAGATTCAGTGTAACTGTTTTCGAAATGCAACTGCCTGTAATTTTTCTTTTTAACTACATAATTAAATACGAGGTTCGTAATTATTAACACCGCGTTGCACAATCTGTCAAGTAATTACCTATGTTTGCTGATGCATAACCCGATAACAACTGCAATCATTACTATTAAAGCTGTTCCGACACAAATCATCACAATTGTAGTAGGGAACATTGATTTATTTGGTGGTCCAGCTCTTCTTTGATCCTCATTCTGCAATACAACTCTACTTATTTTGTAATTCAACCAAATTTGAACCTCAATTTTTGCTGCAGATGATCGTAACGTAAACTCTTCAAATTTCTCAGTGTTGACTCGTGTTTGTTCGGGTGCTTGTGATGTGTTAAATCTTAAAACGCATTTTGTTAGTATAAATATGCGTACTGTCTACCTTGGAGTACTTCCAGGCTCAATGAGAATAGAAGGCGGAAGTGTATGCTGCTCCGGAGCTGGCTCCCGTACTATCGGTTTCTTGACAGCTGTTGCATGATTAATGGTTGGTCCACGCTTGAGGAATGGTACTGGGAATGGATGAATGAGATTTGGGTTATCAGCTATATCTGTGTAGAGTCTTGGCGCACTTGATGTGGTGATTTGAGGTGACTCGGACGGCATATCTTCTCTTGTCTGAAATTTTGTTTTTAAACACTTATAAAAATAGCATTCCTACGGGTAATACTGCCGGCTTCATTATTGGTTCATTTGGTGGAGTATTATCATCAAAAGCAAACTCTGTGGGCATTGGAATTCTTGGCACGTCTTGAGTATTCAATACGAATCTGTAAAAATTTTTTAATAATTTGCTTAATTGAAAGATACTCTAAAAATAACCTAGAGTGGCCATTTGCTAGAGAGTTAATAAGTCCAGCTTGTTGAAAAGCACCAGAGGGAACAACTGTAGACTCTTTCGGATTAAGAGTTGCAAGAAACTTTTTCGGCAATAACCTTGGCATCTAAACGCAACATCCGAAGAAATTCATTAAATTAATATTATATGTTTACCTGAATCAATGCCGGGTGAGAGGTAGTTGTGGTTGGTGACGTTGAGGTTGTATTTGTTTTCCCTTTACAAATCAAATCCTCGCTGTCCTCAATATTGATTCCTGTTCCATCTTGCATCATATGAATCTTTTCGGTGCAAACCAACGGGTTTTCTAATAAGCGAAATTATTAAGCTCAAATTTTGAAATGAACTAAACCTTTTAACAAAACAGTTCCAACACGTCTATTGAAAGCAGCGTATGGAGTTTTTACAAGCTTATTAGCGCTTAAATCAATGAGTAGCAAGTTGAGTTGAGCCAAAAATGTTGATGGTGCAATTTCTGTCAGCTGATTTCCTCCGAGATCAATCATCACCAAAGACGGTTCATTATAAAATGCGTTTTGATGAATTTGCTTTATCTGAAACACACTTTTTAACTTTTTTTCGCTGAACATTGAAATAACACAATCACATTCGATTATTTTTGAAATTTTCGCGCCTACCATCATCCTTTCTTGGAACTTGATAACTATGCGCTGAGGTCATACGCGAAACAAACCATGCATAACAATTATATAAGACAGAAAAAAGTGGGTAGTTTCGCGGCCTTCCTGGATCAAGGTTAGTCACTTATCTTGGCCCCTTCTTTCGCGACTCTTGACCAACATTTACCACGTAAAGTACCAACCTGGTTTGAACGAAATGAGACTTGCTGGAGATTTGGTAGACCGGTGAGAATACCCTCGGGAAGGATTGTCAACTTGTTGTGGGCCAGCACTAATATTACAATCGAGCTGTTTGCGAAGGCGTTGACCCCAATTTTCTCGATTTTATTGTTGCCAATATACAACTGCCGAAGCTCTTTCAAATTAGATAGGCATTCGCTTGGAATTTCTTCTATATTATTGCCAGTCAAATCCAACATTTCGAGTTGTTCGAATGATGCAAACTGATGGCTCATAAGTTTGGCAATCTTGTTATCTGTGAGATACAGATAACGCAAGTTTGGCACATTAAGAAATGCTTGACGATTCAAATCACTAATTTGATTTCCTGCCAGATTTAGAAGATTCAATACTGGCAAATTTAGAAAATTTAGAGCTTCCAGCTGTTTAATCTTGTTGTGATGCAAGTGTAGTGATTGCAACTGCTTCATTCCGCGAATTGCTAAAAAAATTGTACAAAAACTGTTGATAACATGATGGATTACCCGAAGAAGGAACTGTTTTCAACTGATTGTGACCCAGATTAATAGTTTGTAGCGTGTTTTTTACATTTTGGAATGTGCTTGTATGGATAGAAGAGATGTTGTTACTTCCAAGGTTGATATCGTATACCTAGAATATGATTTGTAACGTAACAAATGTATTTGAAATTTCTAATACCTTTGTGAGTGCCGGGAAAATGTCATTTTCGTCAATATCGTTAATTGTATTATTGGAAAGATCAAGCTTGAGAAGCATTGCAAGACTATTCAAAGGTTTAGAAGGAATCTGAAATATAATATGTAGAAAAAAATTAGGTTTGACGTTTTTTCAAATGTTGTGTTCTGTGCAATTAAGTTATGGAAAATATAAAATCCTACCTTCTTAAGTTTGTTGTGATTAAGTACAAGCTCTTGCAACACTGGATTTATTCCATCAAAAGCGTGATCATCAATAGACTTCATTTCATTATACGATAAATCAAGCTTTTTGATGTATAATCCAGAAAAGAAGTTTGGAGGAATCGTTGTTAAATTTCCTTCCTGCATTGTTAGTGATTGTATTAGTCCAACAAGGGCTTGATTTTGTTGAAGCATCTCCATCGTTTTAAATGCATCCGTTTTCGAACAATCAAGAACGACGCCATTGTGAAGTTCGGAACAAACGCATGTTTGCGCAACTATTCCCGGGCAACATGAAGTTTTACATATAAGCACAGAAAATAGTACAAATTTGAATAGTCTTCTTTCGATATTCATCGTTCGTGTAGATGACTGTGACAAATGCGTACGTATCCGTGTTGAAAGGAGAGATGAGGCAAAAGGGAGGGGGGTGGTAGAATTGACGAGGCAGAGAGCGGCTGTAGGTGACCGCCGGTGTTCATGCATCCAGGTCATTCGCGTGGACAAGCCTCATACAGTGTTGCTGTCGGAAATCGGTGTCTCTCTGTCTCCGGGAATGCCCAGTGTATATTCCGAATAAGTTAGTCATGCTTCGCGCCCCAATAAAAAAAACCGCACCAATGATTTTTTGCTTATGTGATAAAATTTATGTGATTCATCAGAAATGAAACATAGATTTTGTTCAAAATATTTGAGCGTTTTTTAAAATGTATATTTTGATTATTTTGACATCAGTAAGAATGATATCACAAGAAATTGATTTTTTTCTGTAGCGACACAACAAACGGATTTTCAACAATCTATTTGATCCCAACAATACTACTATGGAAAATCTTCTTGAATGCATCATTCAGAGTCATACATATGTATTTGTTCTCCGCATTGTTTTCGTGGCGTATTGTTCAGAAATCTATGTTCGAGGCGACCCAATTTCATTTCTAAATTTTTCATTTAATTCCTCAGCATTTGTTTGTTCAGATTGTCGGGATCATTGAGCTTTTAGTATTTTTACGATCGTAACACCCACACCACACACACACACATATACACACAAATGAATATTCTTTTAAACAACGTTGGATGCGAAATCGATTTCGTCGTGTCAAACTATCCTTCTCTTTTTTGCTTTTGTTTCGTTATTGGGGTCAAAGACAGTTCAGTTGATAATAAAATCAAATTGAACGTTTTTATAAAAAAAATTTGAATGGTGCGTGCAATTGAAACGAGCGTGAATAATTTGTCCTTGATCGCATAAACGAAAGAGGTCATATTATATATACTATATATGTATATATAAAAGATGTAGTTGATAATGATAAGTTAGAGATCGGGGAAGTGATGTCTCCTATAATATAGAAAAAGCATGTATACGGTCATGAGAATTTAAATAATGAAATTCAAGACATATTTTCAAAACCACCAATATTTTGGGCGATTAAGATATATGTTATTATTTGTAGCTGATCGATGTCCTCTGTCGTGATTTTCCAAAATGTTGGTTCCACTGTAAGCTGATCCTATATATGTGCAGCCATTTGATCCAATTGATGAGCTAAATGTGCTTGAGTTTGAGTCCTTTGTCGTTTCCTTGTTCATGAAGCGATAAACTACTAGGAGCACTCCTAGACAAACCAAAACCACACCGAAAACAATTGCTGTAAAATCAAGTTAGATTGGCTTTGAAATGTAACAGTACCTAGAACGATTCCTACTACTCCGAGGCCATTAATAATTGTATGCGGTTTTGTTGAATCAAGTTCCTGACGATCTGGTATTAAGAGAGTTTTCGCGGGCTGCAAAATATGAATAATATACTCTCACCACATTCAACCTCACTTTCAAAATTTTCTTCATTTTTTCTTCAATTTTTGGTTTGGATAGTTGCGTAGTTGCAGGATCAGTTTGCCGCAAGTCCAATCCACTCAAGTTGGAAGGAGTCCAGCATCTATAGTTTTAAAAAACAATATAATAATTTGTGACTTCTATACTTGGCTGATAATCCATCCATTCCATTTGAGATCATTACATCTCCATTATTACGCAGCCACTTGCGAAGCCAGGACAAATCTTTGTCACATCGCCATGGATTATCTGAATATGCAATTAAATCTCGTGAGGATTTTCGTGCGTACTGTGTAGCAGAAGTTTTCGGCTTATTGATGGGTTCTTGAAGGTCAATGAGTCATAAATCATATTATTAGGGATGGTCTCGAGACGATTGCTACTTAAATCAAGGTTATTCAGCATGGGAAGTTGGCTAAAAGCGAAATCATCGATTCTATTAATCTAAAAAAACAGTATTGCTAAAAAATATTGCGAATATGAATTACCGCGTTGCTACTCAAATCAATCATAGAAATTTGAGGAAGATTTGAGAAGATATCGTGTGGTATACTGTAAAAAGATTCCAGTCATGATGCACACGAATTTACTTACTGTGTGATTTGATTTCTTGTAAGAATTATGACTTGCAAATTGTGCGTGTGTTTTAAAGCGCCATTCTCTATGTGAGTAATTGAACAATCACTAAGTTCTATTCGTATTAGCTCGGGAACATATTGAAAAGCTAAAAATGAATCAATTTTCTTTGTTTGCTCATTATCCCTTTTACAGTCTTTATGTATCACGGTAATATCTTTGTTGTTACCCATTGAAAGAACTTTTAAATGTTTGATATGATAGAAAATTGACGGATCAATTGAAGTAAGAAGATTATTTCCGAGGTATAAATAGGCTAAGAGTGGAATTGATCTAAAACTATCTAGCGGAATATTTCGTATCTGCAAAAACATTTATATTGCACGTCAAAATATTGAAAACTTACATTATTAACTTCCAAGCTAAGGGATTTCAATAGGGGAAGTGGCAAGGAGTCAGTAGGAACAGTTGAAATTTGATTAACTCCTAAACTTAGATCTTCTAGTGTTTGAACGTTGGCCAAAGCGTCTGTTGGTATTTCATGTAATAGATTTTTGTCCAGTGACAGTTGTGAAAGATTTTCCAAGCCTAGAAAGCCTGTAGGATGAATCGCTGTCAAATTATTGGCGCTCAAGTCTAATTTTTGAATAGTGTCTCGACTGTGATAAGACAAAAATGCATTGTCTGGCACGTATTCAATAAGATTATCTGCAAATTTATAAAAATTTAATTAGTGAAATCTATTTTTATCGTTACCAGGAAGCGAAAGGATCTTTAGTTTTTTGAGAACTGTCAAACCGGCTTGTGGTATTGTGTCGATGTAATTGCCCTTTATCTCCAATTCTTCCAAAGAATCTTCTAAACTTCCACTGAAGGTATTAGGGTGGATTACACGTAGCCCGTTGTTGCGCAATATCAACTTTTTAATGTTGAAACCTTGAAAAGCATATCCTGGCAGCTGTAAAAGAAAAGTTTTCCTTGTTCCCGTGATTTTTTAACCTGATCAATAGGGGTATTGCTGACTACAAGGCTGTCAATTTTAGGAGGAGGGTTGGAGAGTGATACCATTACGGAATTCAAAGATTCACCTTTGTCACATACAATAGATACTGATTCGTATCTTGTTGAAGAACATGAACAAGGTTCCTAAAAATTAGTTTTTACCCATATTTGATTGGGTGGAATTTTTGTTTTCAATTGCACACAGTTTATTTACATAGCAGGGCGGCCACCAGGCAGCAAATCAACCAACCTGGAGTTGAAGTGGACATTTTCCAATAACAAGCGTGACAAATGTAAGAAATACGATTAACGTTCTCATTGCATATCAATATTGATTTCCAAGGATATTCTGAATTAAAATACAATTAAGGAAATATGAATGCCGAGAAAATATAAATCGTTTGTAATAGACGTTAGAAAGTATAAGTGAGTAGTATATAAATTCATATGTTTGCATTTATTAATAGAGAAAAATTTGAAAACCTCAGGCATCCACATCGATTTTTGTTGAATGCCTAAATTGAAATCGAATTCCCATTCCATTCTTAAGATCTGAGCAAATACTCAGGCTGGTCTTCAGCAATCTTCCAACTCGAGCACATTTTAACAAAACAAGTGGCCAAATCTAATTGATACTCTTAGAAAAGGCGGGGGTAACCTCAAAGTTATTTTGAGAATTATCGAAGCTACTTAGTACATAAGAAATAAATACTGAATTAGAAATTCACAACTAAAAAAAAACTTTCGGTTACAGAAAAAAAACTGTCGTAATGTAAACTACAAGTTGATAAAATGCTGTACATAAAATGCATAAATCTCCAGTCATTTCCAGTTTTCTTTCAAAATTTAACGTCTTTTTGCGTGTTTTTTTAAACCTAACATATTAATAGGTTAATGAAAAGAAAATAAAAAAGAAAAATAATATATTTTTTTCTCTACACTGACTTTACTTGAATCGAAAAATCTAAAATTGAAATACTAATTTCCATAATTAAACAAGTTGTGTGTTTCCGCCTTTTTATTTGGCATTACTATTAAACTTGTTTTAAACGTGATCGAGCGTTTTTAAAATATTTGGCTTTTTGAGTTAGTAGAAATAGAAACGTAAAATGAAAAAAAAAATCCCCAAAAATATAAAAGTAAGCTAAATCGATATCATTAGGGCTGTATGCACATACTGATTAAATCGCGACCATTTTTTCTGCAACCACAATGTCTTTTTTTTAAATCCAGTTTCTATTATGCTTTTATGATTCTTGAAATTACTCTCCCTCCCAACAATAAATTATATTTGCCCAAAATTATTATAAATATGTACGACACAGTTGCTAGGGTGTTTGAAAACAAGCGAAAATAATGCACAATGCGAGACAAATGTATTTGAGCGCTAAAAGAGCAAAAAATTGAAATCCCTGCATTGTTTATTCAGTTATCAGACAACAACGGGGCAAGCTCTTCGCACAAACAGGTCAACGTATTTCAAACGCCGCAAAAACATAATGTCGCAGCACAATATACACAGATTTTCGACTTAACGCTCAGCTCCCCATTATGGGAAATTCTATATGAGAAATTGAACTATTTTAGTAAAATTAGTTTCCTGGTATATGTATATATAATTGTATGTATAAAATTACATATTTTGATTATTAAAGGTGTAAGTTAATTGAAAAAAAAAACATTTAATTGTTGCGTATATAAATCCTCTTATCGCAAAAAAAGTAAGATCAGTTAAAAAAAGAAAATACTTCCCAGGAGAAATATTCACGGTATTGCTAAAAATGAAGACTGCACATTGGTTTTCAATGGAAAGAACGTCGTAGACCTTAAGAAAACGAAAATGTAAATGAGAAGTGTTTGGTCAGATATATGGGATGGACTAACAAAACTAAACACGTTAAGTGGGCGATCGGGGGTTGCTCGTGTCCACCTCTTGTTGAACAATTATCACTTAGAATAAGCTATCACGAAACGAAGCAGAAATGCGCAAGTCAAGTACTTTAAAAAATGACTCAAATGGGTTTTTTGCGCATTGTTGGTCGAGGATGATTGATTGAAATTGTGATTCTGAAAAGTAAAAAGTCTCGGCTGAGCAGGGCAACAAATGAATCTGGTTTCTGTATTGTCTCGATGCCGTCGAAATTCAGAAATAAGCTTTTAATCTCGTTGACAAACATGAATTATAACATCGGAAGATGACTATTGAATTCATGGTGGGCGGTGTCATCAGCATGATCAGGGTAAACATAATCTAATGCTTTCGTCAAATGGTGCCAGTGTTGACCACCGTTATTGCAACATCCTGTTATGGCCAACTCGACATGACTAGTGTGGGTTGGGACGGCAGCTCAAAACTCGATTGCGGTTTTATTGGTGCGTATTGACACCAACACCAATTTCGGCCGTTAGTAAACATTGCCGCTATTGTGAATATCGGGTTCTGTGCAGTCAATTAATTGCATACCCGCCATTTAATTGTCCACCTTGAAATAAAAATAAAAATAAAAATATGTAGCGTTTCTGAAAAATATCGTTCCTACCACAATTAGTAGTAAGGTGTGTTACGGTTTACGCGCCATTGAATGTTTACGTTAACATTTTTCGAGCCGTTTTCTTCCATCAATATACAATGATATTTGCTTGTTTCATAGCTGAGATAAAATAGAATTTGAATTCGCGAGTTTACAACAATCCCACTTTTATCGAAGTGGAGAGAAGCCTATACAATACGGCATACGTATTCGGGGCCTTAATTTAAAATTTGCCCACAAATTTCTGGAAAAAAATTTCGGCACTTTACAAAAAGTGTAAATTGCGACATAGCTCATTCTATTCGGAATTAAAAAAAATACAAATGATCAAAAAACATTGATGCGAACGAACACCAGCCATAGCAATTTAAGCAGCCGTTTTTTTTTAAACAAAATTAGACTACACATTTATTCCTGTTTTTTTGCAGATATCACAACAAATAGTCCAAGAAGCAATACGCCAGCATCTACTCGTAAATTTGACCCATCCCAGAACAACGTGTTGACTGTTCCAAAGACGAATATTCCTCGAAACAACTCTATAGAAAATTTCCCAGAGTTTCCAAAGCCTGTGGAATATGGTAAGCTGTTACAAAATTCTTGATTTGTTTTACAAACTGTGTACTTTTTGTGTTTTAAGACGCTAGTTCTTCTTATATCGATGACTCCGCTTCGATAGCTACATCTATAGAGGATGAAGGAAACTTTGATTTCGAAATTGCGGCATCTGATGACCCATTTCCTGGTGAGTTTGCATTTTCTCGTATTCAGCTATATCAATAATTACAAACATTTAAAAAAATGTTGCTCGGCCTGCAAAAAAAACTTTTTTTGCAGATGTTGCCGAAGAGGCAATTGCTTTTGATGAGAATATTATTAATGACAGGATTTATAAAAGTATAATGGCCAAAGTGGTAAGAAACTTCTTCAAATGGGTAAAACGATGCGAATCTTCTTTTTTTAGGGAAATCTGATGATTGCCACAGCTGAAGGTGTTCACGTGATTGGAAATATTGCCAGTGGAAGCACTGTAATAAATGGAGGAATTGAAAGGTTTGTGTTTTAAATATAAAGCTAAAGATTTTAAAGTATTTTAGTGTTCAACTCTCTTATAAAATGTCAATTGCGCGGCAGGATGCTAACGATCTTTTAAAAAAAATTGCCTTGAACTCAAAACCAATGGAATTTATTCCGGCAAAGAATGTGACATTTGAATTATCTGCTCCAGCTGAAACAACAATATCTTTTTTGAATGTAAGATAATTTATACAAACGTATAAATATTTTTTAAATAAAACTTCCTTACCAACTATTCGTTTTAAGATCAACGTGACTGGCATCGTGGCATCTCTGGACGATGAGATAGTTTCCCATCTTGCTCCGTTTACTTTTGATGATCAAGTGAACGATAATAAATTGCGACTAACCGTCAATATGCGAGATTCAAATATAGAGATTGTGGTTAAATAGTTTATCCAAAACTTCAAAGCAATAGATTCCTTACAGGATCGAAAAAGGAAAAAGCCAATGAAACTTAAAATCACGAGATTGGTCATTGAGCAAGATGAAGGTTAATGTTCCATTTTGTTATGCGCTTTCTTCTTTGTCCTCTAAACAAGAATTATAGTGATATATTGGTCATGTGTTTGCTTCAATTTGAATGGGTAGCATTGTAATATTTCAGCTAGTTTCAATGCATTTCGATTACCTTTCTTCGAACAGAACACGCCATTGTCTTTCTATTGTTTTATTTTATTTGTGTTTTCGATTCTGTGAATAAACAAGTCTTACATTTATTTATGTTTTTCAAAGGAATATCAAAATCCAGTAATGAAATTTTATTCAGAAATAAAAGACCAAAATGTACACCAGACAAATAATATTAAATACAAAATATGTATAGACCATGTTACACAAAAATTGAAATTGTTACAGTGTGATTATTTCTGCCCGAAAGTTCTTGCTTGGAAGGTTCTTGATCCAGTAAGGGCGAATCCACGGTTTGGCTGCACGGAAATTTCATCATCGGTGTTGAAAGAGAAAGCTGGAGCAGATTTTTCCATGATGTCCTGCCAGAAGCAAGCTTTCATGTTCTCAAAACGATCATAGCAGGCCAAATAGCTCATATCAAGTTGAGTAATGTTTCCTGGACGCTGATCACAGAAGGTAAAACATTTGTCTCCGGCCAAAGTGGTTCCCACGGAGTTGCGAGCGCAGCATTCTCTATGGTCACGTCCCTGAGCCGCACAATATTGAATATCAGCAGCAGCTTGCATTGGACATTGGTCCTGCTTAAAGTACATAGCTTGAAGGGCAGCCTTGGTGTATGTACGGAAAGTGCACTTTGTAAGGCACGAGTCTGGGAGGTTTCGTTCCTCGCAGCAGCGCATGAACTTCTCATCTGGGGTCATTTCTTTCTGTAAAACCTTTTAAGTAATGAAAAAATTATAATATTCTGTTCTAACCTCATCTTTAATGGTAAGAGTTTTTGAACCACGAGCTCTAGCGCATCCATATCTTCCGCAAGCGTATCCGCCCCCGCATCCTCCCATGCAAACAGGTGGTGGAGGTGGAGGACAACCGCCTCCGCAAATACCAGAAGCAAAACATGCTAATGAGATCTCAATTAAGGCCAATAGAGCAAATGCATATACGGTGAATCGAACAGCTGACATATTCAAAATATGGTAAAGTGAGTGATGTAGACAAGTTGTCGATAGTAAGTAACTTTTTGGAATACGCTTTTGGGTTCATTTCATTTCTATTTATACTCTGAAGACCTGTCGGGTTGGGTGTCATTGTGGCGGGTATGAGTCACAGACAGTAGGTGTAGAAAAAAAGCATTGTTACGATAGGATAATGGCCAGTTAAAGCTTTACACTGTTGTATGCGCGAGACGGCATAAGAAGAAAGTGAGTATCAAACAACGTCGAGGGCACGTCATGCCATTTAGTGAGTCATTATTCGGCTTTTTCATTTATTTTTATTTTCGTTTTTTAATCGAAAGTGAGGTGAATAAGCCATCTGTAACCTTGTATTTTGAATTGACGAGGTCAGGTAGCAAATAATTCCCAACGATTAAAAGATTAGCGTCAAGGTTATAATTTTCATTTCTGGTGGTCTAAACATCCTGTTATGCTCGAGTAGGATATGATAACATAATCATAGTACCATTGTATAATCTTAGAATTTCATTTCAAAGTTAACTCTAATAACTGAAGTGTACTTTGAGCAAAAAAAAATAGTGTGTTGTTTAATATATGTAGGTATTTGCGTATATGGTTCGTATATAAAATAATATGTTTAAACATGGTAACTCCCGCAAAACATTTATTAAACAACATTTTTTCTCACAGATTGCAAAATCAGTAAATTGATGAATTAAAATTTCTCAAAGATTATTTCGTGTTTTTTGTCTTATGGATAACGTTCGGCAATTCACCGTTGTTACGACTTGGTTTATGGAAAACTTAAAAAGATTTTTATCAGTTGCAAAGATAACAAAATTCGCCGATTTGATGAAACACGTTAGTGTATTATTTGATATTTTCTTTAGCTATTAGGTTCATCTTGTTAAAAGACGCAATGGTAATTTCTATAAATATTTGCGAATAATTAATATTTCCCTTCCAAACTTGTTCTATTTTGCGGTTGCGTACTTAGTTCAGCTTTACCAACGAAAGTGTTCATCTCACTTACTAAATCTTTCCGGTTTGCGAATAAACAGCGCATTCATTCAAAAAAGGGATGTGCAGAAAATTCAAAAAACACATTTACAAAATCTAAAAACACATTTACTAAAAAGTGTTTATTTGTGAGAGTTAAAAGATCTATGCTAAAATGGTTAACTATATGACAGCACTAGACGATAATAGTGCACGAAAAAAAATTACGTGAAACAGACAAAATATTTGAAAGATACTCGGCATTGCAGTACTTTTCAAAATTTCAGAAAAATTACAAATCTTTTTTGGATCGTTTTCCCTTGGCTGGTGGTGGCGCTGGCGGTTCTGGCTCGTCATCATCATCTTCTGCAAGATCGCATCTGAGAAAATGCAATTATAAAATTACTTACCATCAAGTGAGATGGATCCAGTGAGAATCTGATCAATCCATGATTGCAGAGCTTCAAAGTTTGAATCAGAGTGCTTTTTTGGATCGTCAAGGTTAACCTGAGATATGTCAAACCAAATTCCCTCTTTCTAAAATGATAGATATTAGTAGTGTCAATACAGGGTGTCATTTAAGTTCCCGCACAACTTTGTAGACGTACATTTCTGAAACTAAAAGTCCAAATCAAACGAGACTCGAAATATTTTTTATCTATAGTATAACAAATATTTATCTATTAACTCTTTTTGATTCGGCCTCTTTTCGCAGCTATGACTTCACGGAGACGCTTCGGGTAGGATGTGACTGTGGTACGCAGGTATTCGATGGAAAGATTGTCCCATTCCGCTAGTAATGTCTTCTTCAGAGCCTCTACACTTGAGTTGGGTTTTGCGTTGACCTTCTCCTGCAAGACCCCATCACGGAAAAGTCAAGCGGGTTCAGGTCTGGGGAGCAATCAGGCCATTCGGATGACTTGATAAAGTCGGGAAAATGGGTCTGGCACCACTCCTGAGTAGTTTTGGCAGTGTATGCGGGTGCTCCGTCCTGTTGAAAGACCCATTTCTGCCCACCGAAATGCGTTTGGGTCCAGGGCATCACATGCTTCTCCAAAATGTCCCGAACGTAGACTTCTTTGTTCATTTTCACCATCTGATCCACGAAAACCAGGTAGCACTTCCCGGTTGAGCAGATGGCACCGAAAGCCATCACACTGGCAGGATGTGAGGCTGGATGATATGTTCTTCCTTTCTCAGAAGCTTGCTGGGATGTTTGGCCAAGTACTCAATGGTTTTGTGAGTTGAATGCCGCCTCCACAGTGAACAGCTTCTCGTCGGAGAAGACAGTGACGAGATGTTCTCCAGACCGCGTGCGAGCAAGAAGTCGTTTTGCTTTTTTGAAGCGTCTCTGCTTGCTGACGGCAGATAGAATTGCCGCTTTTTGGACACGATATGGGGTCAGTCCAAGCTTCGTTTTGAGGATTTGTTCCATAGCGTAGATGCTCATTCCCATATCTGACGTCATCTTTTTCATGTTCCTGTACGGGTTTCGCCTGATCCTCGATTTAGCAGCGTTGATCTTCTGAGGAGTGGTTACTGAGACGAGTCTTCCTTGTCTGGGACGGACACTGGTCGTATTTAGCTACTTGAATCGTTTGATGGTGTCGCAAACCGTTCTACGAAGCACACCGACCCGTTGAATGATGTCTCTCGGGCTCACATTTTGCTTATGAAGTTCGATAATGGAAGCGCGATGGATGTTAGCCTTCGCCATTTCTCGGAAACACATCCGAATGAGGTGAAACTTGGGAAATAAGTAAAATACACCTTATTTAACAAAAATAAATTGTATTGGTGCACAAAAAGTGCGACAGTCTATCTCTTCATGGCGTCAAACTTTTGTGCGGGAACTTAAATGACACCCTGTATATAGTTTCGGTTACTTCGGATATATCGATCAGCCCAATTTGCGGTCCTTCTTCAATATCAATTCCAAACATATCCTCCCAAACATCAACCATAAGAGGGAACTCATCTGAAATAGAATATTTTTCTGTACAATGAAGTATCGTTATATCAAACCAGGGTCAACAAGGATGATCTCGAGGGTTCCAGCGTGTTCGGAGTTCTCATCAGCAACTTTATCAAGCAATTTCTTCATGGCGCGTCCTTCACGAGTCTCTTCATCGACAAAAGCAAGGATCATTTTTTCATCCTCTTCAGGGTCACGCTATAAATAAGCCTTAAATATTACATTTATTTAATATGAGATTTACCCATAGGTTGAAATAGTTTTCCAAAGTGAGCTTCTGCATAACTGGCTCTTTGTTCTTCTCAACCCACTCCTCAAACTCTTCTTCGGTATCAGCGGATGTTGGGGCAAACAATGGATCTTCTTCGAATGGACGTCTCATTTGCACCTCTCCGACTCGCTTGAGTCCTACTTTGCGTGCCCACTTTGAGGTAACTACTGCGAAGAATTCGATTTCCCCCATAAAATCTTCGGCAGCTTCTTCATACTCCTTCAAAGCTGAAGAACAAATGTAATGTGAGAAAATTATTAATAAAAATAATACCGACTGATCCTGGCTCGAAGTATCCAATAATTCTGACGCACTCATCGTCCATGCTTTCAAATTCCTCTAAGTCATGTTCATCGTTGATAATTGTAACCGGGTCGTCTGGGATCTAAAAATTTCGAATATTATTTCATCAACTTGAAAATAATTTTACATCCATGAGCCACGAAACAAAGGTCTCTGGGTCGCGAACTCCATTGTACTCAATCTTATATCCGTCCTTGTAAACATGTATGGTATCCTCTCCCTTGTCAACTTCTGAATTATCAAAATTCAATCTTTGAAATTTTGAATATGTATTGAGAAGAAGAAAACAAATTAAAGGAAAGAACAGTTAATGAAGATATTCCAGAATAGTTAATTAGGGGAATCAATATAAGTGACAAACTACTATATGAACACATCATCACGCTTTAAAGAAAGGACACATTGGTCGGAAAACTAGGCTTATTGTTCCGGCCAGCCGGCCGAAGCTAGCCGCCGCCAAAACAGTCTCAGCAATATGCGCGCTCATTACCAGCAATATAGCGATATATCATGAGCTCTCGAAAATTTGATCGAGCCGGACCGATCTTTTGTCCAAATTAGAGATTTTCCGATACTTTCTTACACAATAAATTTAAATTACTATTTGAAAAAATATTCCCAATAAATCATTTTCCTCTGACAATTAAATAACAATTTCTGACATGCCAAACTGCTAAAATCAAGTTTTGAAATGTTCAAAATTTTCAAATTCGGACTTCTTTCTTTTGTTATGACCCCTTTTCAGCACTTCTCACACGTTTTAGTAATATTTTCTGAATTTTTTTTAGGATCACCTCTAATACGTTTCAAAAATAGATTCTCAAACCAAAAATTGATCGCAAAAGATCAACAAAGATTTGATAAACAGATCGATTAGATTGACTGAGCGCGCAAATTTAATTTTTTCGTTTGTGTTGGCAGCGGCCCGATTCGGCTTCTAAATTATAAGACAGTTGAAAACTATTAAATATTTATAATAAATAATGATGCTGTTTGCTCTATACAGGGTCGGGCATAATTACCGGTAATTTTTTTTTGCGCCATGGTGACTCATGATGTCGCGTTTTTTGAGCGCTCACAATTTTTTTTCCAGTTGTTTAATGTGTTTTCTATTGTTTTTCCAAGTTTCGGACAAAAATACTAATTTTCTGCCAAATGGTAAAGGCTAGTATCCATCGAGTCACTGTTTGCTCGCTATTCGATCAAGGAGTCAAAATTCCCATGATCATCAAGCGCCTCAAACTCCACCCGAACACAGTTTATTCGACGATTCGCCGCTATCAGGAGACTGGAGGACTTGATGACAGGCTTGGGAGAGGAAGAAAAGTTTTTGTTACAACTCCAACTATGGTGAAAGCCGTGAAGGAACGAGTGAGACGAAACGCTCATCGGAGCCTCTCAACGATGGCTCATGAGATGGGAATGTCCCGAAGATCGATGACAAGGATTGTCAAAGATAAATTGGGTCTTATCACTTATCGTGTGCGAAAAGCAGCTATTCTCTCTGCCGCCAATAAGCAAAAAATACTCCAAAAGGGAAAACTTCTTGTGGAGCGCACGCGAGTCGGCGAACATTTGGTTACCGTGTTCTCCGACGAGAATCTTTTCACAGTCGAGCAAGAATTCAACTCCCAAAATCACAGGGTTCTTGCTAAGACCTCCCAAGATGCTTTTGACAACGGCAGAACCATTCACACCACTTCCCATCCCGCCAGTGTGATGGTATTTGGCGCTATATGCTCCGCGGGAAAGTGTCCGCTCGTATTCGTTAAAAATGCGTTAAAATCAACGAGGAAGTCTACGTTGACATTTTGAAGGATCACGTATTGCCTTGGAGCCGAGATAATTTCAAAGGCCAACCGTGGGTGTTCCAACAAGATGGTGCCCCTGCTCACAAAGCTAAATTCACTCAAGAGTGGTGCAAAGCGAATTTTTCGAGTATTATCGCTTCAGACGAGTGGTCAGCTTCTTCGCCGGATTTGAATACGCTGAATTACTATGTCAGGGGAATTTTGCAGAAGAAGGTCTTTGCCACACCCCATTCAAGTGTTGAGGATTTAAAAAAGAAGTTGGTCGAGGAATGGGACAAGATGTCAGTCAAATACTTGCGTGCGGTGGTGGATGCCTTCCCAAAGCGTCTTCGAGCCGTCACCAAGCAGAAAGGTGGCCGAGTTGAACAACTATAGTATTTATATGTTTGTTACTACCCCGATAAACTTTTAGTTGAATCTCAACTTGTTCTGACTTTTACTTTTTGAAATACATCCGTTTGAACTTCTACCGGTAATTATGCCCGACCCTGTATTTTCCTCAGTTAGAATTATTAATGTGTCCTATCTCTATGCACATTACTAATTGTATTGATGGAGGGATTCCTTAAAGAAGAAGTAAAGTATATGATAATGAAATGAGTGAAAATCCAAGTGTAAGCGGACAAAACTGAAACCGTTTGAGGATTTTCTCCTTTGAGCTTCAACTGTTTGACGAATTGTATTTTAGCGAAAGGTCTGCATTTGAAACACTTCAGAAATTAGTGGTGCAACCTTTTATATATCAATTGTCTATACTTTATTAGTTCTTTAATAGGAGAAAAAAGAAAACAAGGAAAAAAGAAAAAGCATTTGTTTTACATTTATTTTTCCTTTATTCGATATCGCTTTTTGTCTTTTTTCATGTTTTCATTTTTTTCCTGCAATGGAATCTCTACATCATATAACTATAATAACTAATTTACGCAACCAGAATTCCCGTTGAGTTTATGTATTCGATCAATTTCTGGAAAGGTAATAATTTTATTTAATATTTATAATAATTATTATGACTTCATCACAATATCTCGTGTAATTCTTTCTAATGATGCATAAATCGATATAGATTTTACTGTTGTGCAAAGATAGTTACGCGAGCACATGATTTGTATCTCCTCCTTAAGATGTGTTTGTACACACCTGCACGTATTTTTGTTACGCACATCGCGATGGTGGCTCAATATCTTATCCTCTCGCTCGAAACTTTTTTTCAATTACACCCAACTCACCTTCCTGCTTTCTCAAACGATGTTCTTTGGTGGTGTTAACGGTGTAGAAGTTGTATCCACGTTTGGTCATTATTTGAGCAGAAAGCTTCAATATTTAATTACGAAAAGGAATTAAGAAGATTGACCCAACCTGGAGGAAGCACTCGTATTGATCCAATTCGGAATCGTCCTCTTCGACGTCATTGAAGAATACAACTGATTTTGTGTCTTCGGCAAAAACGGTCTTGTTAAAGTTTTTCTCAGTAAGAACATGAAAATTAATTTCATTATATTAAAAATTGAAATGAAATTATACCTCAGTACGGTCAAATCCATCATATTCAAGGTCCGGATACCCAAGGAACATGCATTCTAGATCTTCATTTTTGGAAACGCCTGCAGAAGCAATAACAATCACCAGCAAGAAGCTCACAAGTGTGAGCCACGACATTCTGAAATGAAGCCAATATTTGATTTTAATACCTCCGACCCGAGGCAGGGAAGAAAAGCAAAATGGACCAGGAAAAATCGTGAGGAGAGAATTGTGGCAGCTTCGGTGTATGGCAACCTTGGTTTTCATCCTCCGTTCGATCTTTATCTCTACGATCTCTTCGGATCTTCAAAACATTTTCTGATTATCGCCAACACGAGCGCTATTCCTAAACACTCAGCGGGCGTGCTGTGTAAAAACAGCGAACAAGCTCAATTCTGTTCCGTTGAATTTAAGTTTAATGAAGAAGACAAAGCTCAAAGAAATAATTTTTCTCGTTGTTACGAGAAATGAAAAATAACACGCAGATGAAAATATAAGCATATCTTAAATTTCATTCAGCGTTTGTCTAACAGGCTCTCACAATTAAAGAAGTAGAAAAGCTAGGGCATTATTCGAAAGTTTTCTATGATTATATATATATATATATATTTGTATAAATTGTTGTTACATATATTGCCTTTATGTTTATTAATATTTCAACTACCAACTTTTTAATTAATTGTTTTCAAGAAATCATATTAGCCAGTACAAGCATCTCACATCTGTGTAGAAAACTATTGCCCTCGGGCTCAGAAAGAAAAGTTCACATCAAGAAGTGTAAAGTGTGGCAGAATATGCTACCACCCACGACTTTTCTTTTTTGTTGAAATGATGAATATAATTGCGGAATTATTAGCGAATATTTATGATGGGAAAACATAGAGGGAGAAAAAATTCACCGAGAGTTTTGCGGGGGACATATGAAATCCGCAAACAATATGAGATGGAGCCTGTCTTTACACAATTCTGGATTTTTATAAACTTTACAAAAAAACGAGCAGGCAATATGCTAGATCTAATCAAACATTTGCGCCTGCGCGGGTTGGGGTGCACGAGATATTGATACAATGTTTGATTTCACCACCTCATCCGAAATTTGACATAGAAATGATTGTTTTCAAACGCGAAAGTATAATTACGAGATTACCTTAAGTCTTAAACAGTGTGATCGGGATCGATCGATCTTTCTAAAAATCGATCGATCTTGGTCGATCTTTTGTAACTCTCGATCGATCTTTTTGCGCTCGATCGATCTTTTTTTCAAACACATCTCATAAAATGCGTTTCCTAATGTTAAAAAACCTGAAACTTTTTTGGGTAAAAACCCTGCTGAAAATGGACATTAAATTCAGCAGACCCGAATGGAGTAAAATCTGTTTAGAATGTTACCGTAAACGATCTGAAAATAGGCGAAAGAGCCGAAAATTTAAGTTCAATTTAACTTTTGGCATAAACTGATAGGCTCAGAAGATTCCTTGAGTCCGATTACATATACAGACACATTTTCATAAAAATTGTATGATACTCTCAGAGAATTTTTCGCGAGTTCGCCCCTCGACCCGGGCGCGTTTGCCCTTCTTCCCGAGCGAGTTCGCTCCGCACACCGGGCGCGTTCGCCCTTCGCGGATCCCATCCCCCTTTCCCCCTCTTCCTTCCTCCCTTCTCTTTCCCCTTATAAGAGTATACGGCCATATATGGCGAACAAGCATACGTATCGATATATTTGCATTAATCAAAAAATTGTATTAACACACAACAATAAAACAGTAGGAAAAAATATATTTAATTAATTAATTAAGTAAGGAATACAATTTAAAAAGTGTAAAATCTGAAGATAAGTTATTATGTAGCCAATAATAAATTTCTTACCAAATGCAACTCGCTTCCAGTTATCTTCGAGATCGAGTTTAATTATTTTATGTTAGAATTGTTTTGGGTATAGTTTCTTGTTTCAAGCAATGTGACGTCAATTACATCCAATCTACCATTCCTCAAGTTCGCATAACTATGTTCACCTAAAATCATTTCTTTAAAACGCAATTTCTGATGTCTCAGCCTCTTTTTAAAATCAGAAGTCATACCTTTTAGAAGGGTCTTCAAAACGCCTTCATTAATGACGTGGAACGGGTCAAAAACAAATTTTGTTGGCGAAACAAGTGAATATATGAATGATTCACCTGAATGAAATGTAAAAGTTGTGGCGCTAAATCACAATGACACGTACCATGATATCCATTCCGATGATTCTTTGCATCAGATCGACACTCGCTATTAATTCTTCATGGGGAGGTCAAAGATCCATCGAAATACACATGGACTCCTTGACCGTTGCTTCCCTTTGTATAGCACATAGAGCACCCAGTTGGGGAAGACCAATTTGGTAGTCCTGTTAGATTCCGTAACTCCTTAAACGTATTGGTAATTATATATACATATATATATATATATAGGTGTGCAATTTGAAATGTAAATTTGAAAATTTCAATTTGAAAACTTCAAATATATTATTATATGCAAAACTGCAAAAATTTCGAATATTTCATGTAATTGGTACCTTCCCGTCGCCCAGATACATCATTATTTTTAATGAAATGAACCACGAATTACCGCTCAGGTCGTTGCACTTCAATGATATATTGTAGAAAATTTTCGGTCGATCTTAACTCACATTATGTTATAGACTAGTGGTTACGCTGAAATAATTGTTAAGTAAAAACAAAAACGCTGCAAAACGAATTTTTAAGGACGAAATTAATATTCAATGAATGATTTTTTAAACGAAGATTGTGTACTTCAATTTTAAATAAGCCTGTTATGTATTATTTTATCGAAAAAATTAAAACACGAAGTAAAATTGAGAAAAAAAAGAAAAAAATATTTAAATTGCATGAAAAGTAGCAGGTATTCAATGGGGCGCGTTTGCATTTTGGCATGTGTAACCTTGGGGCGAGTTCGCGGTGAGCTCGCGGTGGAGGGGCAAGCTCGGGGCGAAATGGGCGAGCTTGGGGCGAGCTCGCTGTGAAAGGGGCGAGCTTCGGGCGGGCCGCCCTGGGGGGGCGCATTCGCCCCTCGACCCGGCGAATTCGCGAAAAATTCCCTGAGCTTGTCATACGTTTTGTCCTGACTCCGCTTCCTTATTGCAGTCCCTAATTGGCTAAACACAGTGCTCCACATATATGAATACCCACCCAAATTTTGTCGAATAACTCAAAAACGCGAATACCTCCAGAAATGGTTTCAACTAGAAAAATATGCGCATTTATTATTATTCACAAAATTCAACAAAAAATAACAATTTAAAAATCTTCGTCATTTTCACGAAAAAGTGGAAAAATCTTTTCCACAAAAGTATATACCAGGGCTGTGCGGCAATCGGAAATTTCGGCAATTCGGCAATTCGGCAAATTGCCGAAAATCAAAATTTCGGCAATCCGGCAATTCGGCAAATTGCCGAAAATCAAAATTTCGGCAATCCGGCAATTCGGCAAATTGCCGATAATCAAAATTTCGGCAATTCGGCAATTCGGCAATTTGCCGAAAATAAAAATTTCGGCTATTAAATGTTTTCAACGATAATTCGAAATATAAATACCGAATTTTCACGGTATCCCAAATTATTCAATGGACATTGATTTTGGTTTCGCCGATTTTTTTTGATATCAAACTGCCGAAAATCAAAATTTCGGCAATCCGGCAATTCGGCAATTTGCCGATCGAACGTTCTCTTCGGCAATTCGGCAATTCGGCAATTTGAAAAATCGGCAATTTCGGCAATCGGCAATTCCCTTGCCGCACAGCGCTGGTATATACCCACTTGATAAAATCTCAGAAAAAAGCATCGAGAGTTAGAATTTGAAAGGAAGGAGAACTTTTAATAATTAACTGGACCTCCATTGAGCCGTGTTACGTCAAAAATTCGACAGTACATTGATAAACGAGGCATGTTTTAAGGAACAGTAAAATTACAAAAAAAAATTCGAAAATACGAAAAAAAATGCCAAAGGAAATGAAGTGGATATATAGTTTTGTGAATATTTTTCCACTTTTTTGTGAAAATGACGATATTTTTTAAATTGTTATTTTTTGTTGAATTTTGTTAATGTAACATGAAACTAATAATAAATGCGCATATTTTTCTAATTGAAACCATTTCTGGAGCTATTCGCGTTTTCGAGTTATTCGACAAAATTGGTGTGGGGATACATATGTGCTCCATGGAGCACTGTATTTTTTGCGGTCTCGCTGCAAACACGCCCCAATGCACATTGTGAATCGCGAATTTAAAATATTTTTCGAAAACTTTATATTGGAGAAGTCAAACGACTTGACGAAATTTAACGGGTGGAAGTAAATGAATAAATGTATTGAATAAACGTTATTAGCTTTTTACTGAATAGGGCTGGTTCGTAACGAAATTATGGATGCAATTTCTTTAAAATTTTGCAGCCGGTATGAATTAAAAATTTTTTAAAACGTATTCATATTATACGAAAACTTTTTAAAACGTATTCAAGAATAATTTTAATTGTATATAAATTTAAAGATCGATCGAGCGGGATCGATCGATCTCGAGCGCTCGACATGCTCGATCGATCTCGAGTTCGATCGACCTTCAAAATTTCAAGCAAGATCGATTTTTTAACAATTTTGAGATCGAGCTCGCACACTGGTCCTAAAGGACAAATTAATGTTTATAAACACGTCAGATTGTGTTTCATAAAAATATGCGAATTCTATTGGCTTTGTTAAGGAACTCGTGTTTTTTTTTTAATATTCGAAAATAATTAAATTTATTTCTATGCCAAAAGAGTTCCCATTTCATTTTATGTAAAAAAAGTCCTTAAAAATGTGAATCTGATAAGAGGGGCGCAGAATAATTTGAATAAAGTTGTCAAGTGATAAGAATAATAATGCAAAGTAAAGGCGAAAGCATACAGGGTGTCATTTAAGTTCCCGCACAACTTTGAAGACGTATATTTCTGAAACTAAAAGTCCAAATCAAACGAGACTCAAAATATTATTTATCTATAGTACAACAAATAATTATCTATTAACTCTTTTCGATTCGGCCTCCTTTCGCAGCTATGACTTCACGGAGACGCTTCGGGTAGGATGTGACTGTGGTACGCAGGTATTCGATGGAAAGATTGTCCCACTCCGCCAGTAATGTCCTCTTCAGAGCCTCTACACTTGAGTGGGGTTTTGCGTTGACCTTCTCCTGCAAGACCCTATCACGGAAAAGTCAAGCGGTTTCAGATCTGTGGAGCAATCAGGCCATTCGGATGACTTGATGAAGTCGGGAAAATGGGTCTGGCACCACTCCTGAGTAGTTTTGGCAGTGTGGGCGGGTGCTCCGTCCCGCTGAAAGACCCATATCTGCCCACCGAAATGCGTTTGGGTCCAGGGCATCACATGCTTCTCCAAAATGTCCCGAACGTAGACTTCTTTGTTCATTTTCACTCCCTGATCCACGAAATCCTGGGGGCACATCCCGGTTGAGCAGATGGCACCGAAAACCATCACACTGGCAGGATGTGAGGCTCGATTAATTGTTTTTCCTTTCTCAGAAGCTTGCTGGGATGTCTGGGCAGGTTTTGTGAGTAGAATGCCGTCTCCACAGTGAATAGCTTCTCGTCGGAGAAGACAGTGACGAGATCTTGTCCAGACCGCGTGCGAGCAAGAAGTCGTTTTGCTTTTTCGAAGCGTCTCTGCTTGTTGACGGCCGATAGAATTGCCGCTTTTTGGACACGATATGGGGTCAGTACAAGCTTCGTTTTGACGATTTGTTCCATAGCGAAGATGCTCATTCCCATGTCTGACGCTATCTTTCTCATGCTCCTGTGGGGGCTTCGGCTGATCCTCGATTTGACGGCGTTGATCTTCTGAGGAGTGGTTACTGAGACGAGTCTTCCTTGTCTGGGACGGTCACTGGTCGTATTTAGCTCCTTGAATCGTTTGATGGTGTCATAAACCGTTCTACAAGGCACACCGACCCGTTGAATGATGTCTCTCGGGCTCACATTTTGCTTATGAAGTTCGATAATGGAAGCGCGATGGATGTTAGCCTTCGCCGTTTCTCGGAAGCACATCCGAATGAGGTGAAACTTGGAAAGTAAGTAAAATATACCTTGTTCAATAAAAATAAATTGTATTGGTGTACGAAAAGTGCGTTAGCGAAGCTCTACATGGCGTCAAACTTTTGTGCGGGAACTTAAATGACACCCTGTATAATTTAGATTTATGCATAAGCCAATTTCCATTGTTTAGGTTTTATTAACCCTTGGAAAGATTTTTAAGTATTTATGCAATGATTTTCCATATATGCAATTTTATTACATCACTGCCGCCTCAATTGAGTATAAAACCATCAAGCTTTCGGTGCGGCTTCGCTGACGATTAACTCGCGCCACACCGAATATCTCATGCGACTAGTTATTTTCCAATACAAAATTATGCAATTGGTCGTAATTTGTTTATAATAGTGTATTTAATATAGCTTCAAGTCAAAGTCAGTTTGTACTATTATAATACTGCACGGATACGAAATAAATAAACAGTTACGCAATTTTAATTGCTCTTTCGTGACTTGTCGCGATGAAAACAAAAAGCTTCTATAAAAGGCAAGCAGATTGACAAAAATCATTTCATCTTCTTGCTGCATATTTGTCTTCTTATTCATCTTGTCAAGATATTTTAGAAACATATTCATATTGTAAAGCAATTATATCAATCCGATTTAACTGAGTTACTCGGATAACAGCCAAAACAGGCATTTTTGCATTTTTTAAAATTAATATTAGTGAACATGATTCAGAAGCTGAGAAAATGAAGCTGCAATTCAAAATAAAAACAAATTGAACAATAATTTTCAGTTTTGATTATGTTGCATTTTGCGCCCCAAGATATTTATTAAAGTTGAAAATATTGGTTTCATTACACACACGTTCACTGAAAAATATTTACTTGTTAAAGTAAAATACTTTCTCTAAGACCGATCTTTTAAAAGGAAAGGCAATTATTAATTATGAATACATATAAATAGTTACTTCGTACCTTCAAAGTAACATCTCAATGAATAACAAGTATAATGGCCAAAGTCAAGCTTTTCTCAGTAGTTCTTCAACATAGGAGTGAGTGGATGGGGCGCAGGATTCTGGTCCCTCCGGCAAAACAATTGAATCGTGATCGTGTCGGCGGAGTAGGGACAGGACGAGAGATGTCTTATTAGGCCCACTTGTCTTTTCTTTAGTATTTCACAATCTTCCGTATTCAGCATGCTTTTCTCAATCACTCTATTTTTTGCTAGTTCTTTTCTTAATTACTTTTTTTCGACTTGCAAAATGTTCTCGAGGAAAACGTGAAAGCCAATGCTCTTTGTGAGACAGCGGAAATTAAGCGAAAAAAAAATAACAAAACTATAAAAACAATTGAAAATAATATTTCTTAATATTGAAAGACGAACAATTTTTTCACAACTTAAATTGCATTTGACGAAACAATTTATAGCTTCCATAAATTACACCCAAACGGATTTTCAATTAATACCCATCCGCACAATATTAGTTGTATCTTTCTACGAAATCCCTTCGTCTAAAATACGCAAGATTGACATGTTACAAAATGTTAATTATGTTTTCTTTGTCAGCATGCAATATTGAAATCCATTGGCGGCAAGAAACCAAGCAATTTGCTAATTTTCGGTTGATCTCAACATGCTAATTATAATGTCATGAATGCGTTTTTCCGTGTAGCAATTCAGTCATATAACCGTCATTTAACCTGCTTGAACAACCTGTCACTACAGTGCAAACGTTTCCGATTTGTTATATCCACATTTCACTTTTTTGATTGAAATGGATTCCACTGTGTAAAATTCGGTTTGAAATATATTAAAATTTACGCTTATTAGTTTTCTCAAGTTTGTTTCGATATTATATTTGTGAACTTTTTGCGCATGAAGCTACCACACAAAAAGTTAGTTTCTCGTTTCCATCAGACGGTTTTCATTTTTAAGGATGCAATTGTTTTTTTTCGGCTATGATCATTCAAATTTGGTTTTCCCATCCCGACCCCCCACCATGCTTAATTCCAATTTATTTATCTGCTTGAAAGTTTTCAATCAAGAGCAATCGTTCCGTCGTTAGACATGGGAACACCGCAATTGCTTTCGCTTTTCTCCGTTTTCATATGCATGCATGTACACGTATTAATACATCCGCGAGTGTTACGTAATTGAAATTTTGTCGCAATTTCCTAACGTTATTATCACCCATTAGCCTATTCCATTTCGCCGATTCCTTAGCAGACATTTTTGTGGAACATCGCTATAACTTTTTTTTTTGAAGATTTCAACCAAGTCACACCCCAAAGCAGGCATTTTTCGGAGTTTTCCGAAAATGCTTCAACTATTTCTAATTATTGTTGGATTTGCCCAAGCTTCATCGGATTTTGACAATGCTAGAGTTATTGGTAGTGCTTTTTGTTATTGGTAATACTCTAAAAATTTAATATTTTCAGGTTTACCGCAAATCCAATGTTCTCAAAAGTCTATATCGCTTAACTTTGAAACTAATATACCATTTCAAGGAAGAATATCTGTAATACTGTTTCTTTGTTATTTAAAAATTCAAATACGTATAATAATTCACAGGTTCTGAAAAAATTATATATACCAGAATGTAATCAGGACTACAGTTCTAATATTTCGAAGAACGCCACCTTTTATTTAGATATTACAAAATGTGCTGATGTAACATTCTTAAAGGTATGATGATTTAAGTCATTCGTCCTCAGCTTCACTTCTCAAGGAACGGGATATAGAATTATTTCATTTTGTTATATAGAACCTAAAAGATCAATCCAAGATCGATTAACGCATTATTAGATAACAGATATTATCGAACAATGCATTGAAACAAACTATTGAATCAATTGATCAAAATTTCAAATATTGATTTTTGCAGAATGGTTCACGTATTCTAAAAGCTCACGTGGAAATTGGATTCCATCCATTAGTTATCACAAATAACGATCGCATATTTTCGGTCGAGTGCACGGATCCAACTACAAGCCAAGTGGTGAATGTGGCATCGTCTACAGCGTAATCAAACATGTATGATATTAAAATTATAAACAATCCAGAAATTGCACACACTTGGTACGGATGGCGTCACGCTGGGAGAGTACTACAGAGTTCCATGTCGGTGACGCAATAGTGCACGAATGGAACTGTCGTTTGCCAAATAAAGAGCTTGGTAAAACCCAGACTTTCATAACAAATTGCAATGCGTTATCGCAAAATGGTCAAGTGATACATTTGATCGACGAAAATGGGTAAAAATCACTGAAATGTGATTCAGCGTAAATGAATGATTCTTGAAGGTGCATTATTGACTCGGAGTTGATGGGAGAAGTAGTTTACAGTAAATATATGCCGAAATTGTACGCAAGAGCCAAAATTTTCAAACTTCCAACAGATGATAAGTAAATATGTTTCATTGTAATGTTTTTTAGCCTTGACAAATTATTAACAGATATCGTATCGAATGCACCGTAGAATTCTGTCATCGAGATTCGCCTTGTAAAGAACGATCATTTGTAATATTTAAAAAGTATGATTCGAATATACAATTGATTTTTTACAGCCACCAAAATGTGCATTTACCAAAGAAGAAATTATTCGAAGATTTTCCTCTCCTAACAATGACATTGAACAAATGAATGGAATGATTCCGGGAAATACTAACATTGGCTATGATCAGAAAATAAAAATAAGTACAGCATGGTTAACAGTTAAATATAACCAATACACGTCAATAGAATCTCTCCATGAACGTAAGATAATTAGAGTTTAACAGTACTAAACTTGTGCTTAGGATATCGACTAAAAACTACAATGAATCCGACATTTGTTGCGGAAAAGCTAACGACTCCTTCTAATCATCATTTCCTAATGGGAATTTCGTATAGGTTTTCTTGTTTTTTAAAAACATAATCTTTGGCACAAAATGAAAAAAAAGCCAACATGATACGGAATTTTTAAAAATTCATTTTGTGGGTTTTTGAAATGGATGATTTTTAATAGAATTATTTTCATTAAAATTGCATTTTTCAAGACTATTGCAGTTTTAAATATAATATTAAATATTTAAATATATTATTAAATTAGTGAATATTGTTCAGAGAGCCACAGTCTCAAAGGCTAGAGGAAGAAAAACGAAAAATCGATGCAAACCGAATTGAAGCCGCAAGAATTTTGCATCCCAGCGGTTTTAAACCTGTTTTAGGACCAGCAATTGTAAATTCATATTCTGTTCTATACATTGAACCGAAAATTTCAGGATTCTGACGAAGATTTCATTGAGTCGATTACCATAGGTAGTAACAATGTTGGAACGTTTGAAAAACTTAATATTGCAAAACATCTGGATTATAAGCTGTTACGATTATATGAAGAACGTAATAATATAGCTGCATTTTAGATTTTCAAATCCGACATCAACTTTATATCCGATTAAGCCATATACGTCAACAACGGTAAAGGTGGAAACTATTCCAACTCCAGGAGTTTCAACTACCATTTCTCCGACGGATATTACAATACAAAAAACAACGTAAAATAAATAAAACAAATAAATAAATTACGTTTTTGTGCGTTTTATTTAGGAAACAGGTAATAAATGCTGAAATGGGTCACCGTGAAAAAATCAACGGAGCCGAAACAGTACACCAGGAGGAGAACGTAACCAATATTATTACATCAACAAATAGTTCCCTCGTCAAATTCCCGTCAACAAAGTATCCACGTCCGGCCCAATTGAAATTCTATACAGATGTCTCAACAAAGTAAGTCATCACGATTATTATGTAAACAGGCAGACACCGTCAATTCAGATAAATCAGATATTTTCTGTTTTAGAAAACTGACGCCAACTACGCCCTACACCGTCAAGGGATCAACCGTGCCGCCAAGACCGAAAATAGAAAATGTATTGAAAAACATGAATGCGATAAAAACGCAACAGCATTCTTCAAGAAAAACTTGTGGGTGGCCCTTTGTCCGTAATTTTTAATTTCACTATAATTTTGTGTAGACGAGAAGTTTATAAGCAACAACGCTGACTGGAGATTGGATGATCGTGGAATTAACGACAGCGACATTTTCCCTGAAAAACAATCCTCTGCAGCATGCTCGAATGCGACAATTATTTCGGTCAGTTTGAATTTTATTTATGTGTCCATTGAACAACAAAGTATGAGAAACCATACATTTTTCTGTGTTAAGACTCTTTTGCTATGGTTAAAACAACTACTTTTGATCTCAGAACAACACTTCTTCTGATGAAAAAGTAATAATCGGAAACGACTAAAACTCTATAATTTTTATCAATTCTTTTAAAATGATCATTAAATTCTTACGAACAATTTCAATAATTAAGACTCAACAAGCTTGCAAGTGGTCAGGAATTGAGCACCTACTCTTGATTTGGTCCTTTGCTTCTTTAATCGTTTGGATGATAATGATTGCTGTTTGCCTCTATAGGCATTCAAATAGGAAACCTGGATGGATGGCTTTTCGGTGAAACGAATAGTAACTGTACGTTATGAATTACTATTTTTAAGAGAACAAGAACTTCGCCGAGCTACTCAATCACGTGTACTAAGTCAAGATCATCCTTGGATACATTCCGACGCCTTTGAAGAGCGTGTTCGTAGCAAAAACGAAATTGAGATCAATAAATTTTAATTCCTTGTTGATTAATCCAAGTCTTTCTGTATATTTCTTGCTCACCTTAATGTTTCCTACTGATCATTTGTAGTGATATTAAACCATGTGTATTCATTTTTCAGGAGTTTCCATCGCTACCCTTTGTTCATTACGAATTATAATGAAATAAAACTTTCTGAAATTTGTTTTTCATTCATTTCAATATGATATTAAAAAATGAAAGATTATTTCCAAATGATATAATTGGATTTAAATCATTTTTGTTTGTTGTTTTTTTTGTGAGCATCTATTGGTAGTTGGATCATGAAACTATTAAAAGGTGTAAATAGAAATTTGGTACTATGCGGATTTCAAAAAAAACCAGTTTGAAAAACTATCCAAAAACTTTCAAACTCTATGCAGATAAGCCATTATATGACGCATATTTCGGAAATTTGGTTGATTCTGTTAGATTATAGTTTAACAAACCAATTAGCACTTTGTCAAAAATGTTTGCGTGAGAATATCAACCTACAGCTATTATTTTAAGAAAGAACATTTTGCATTCTCTTTGCAATCAGGACTTTGGTCGTTAATCAGTTTGGTTCAGTTAATCAGGAGTTTCCGCTTATAACAAAAGTTGTGTCCAAATCAATGTCAAGATGATGAGACAAATTATTTCTAGAAAGAAAATGTTCCCCGTGTTTGTAGTCACCTGCGGCATGATCGTTTTCAAATGTGGAGATACGACGAGAATAGAACATACCATACATACATACGTACACATACATACCTCGCTGTAGATCCCTGAATTGTTGGTCTCCCGACAACAAAACCTGTCATTTGTATCTTATGACGAAACACGCCAAAATTTTGTTCGCAGAATTGGATTCTGATCTTTAGCGAATTGATTTGCGATAAGGAGGGCATCGGTTTGCAAGAAAGCGCAAAGTACGCGGAAATTGTTTAATGCTGCCAGCGGATGGAATTATTAACATTTCAATTATTGAATTGAAGTGAATTTGTATTGCGATCCATCGAACCATTTAATTTCGTTGTTTTTTGAGACTAATATAGAAACATAATTTCGTCATACATTTTCCACTTTGTTTATAATTTATCCTCTTTGTGTTAGTAAGCCAGTTATATACTGCATTATTTAAACTCTTTCGAAGTTCGTTGACCAAACAGCAATTTTTGAACATTTCACGCATAAATTAGAACATTAGAATGGAAATGATTTCTGGTGAACATTACTCATCACTCCAAAAGGATGCCTCTCATTGGAAAATATGTGGAAATTATCAGTGAACTCCATTTCAATTTAATACTCGAATCACTGATGAAAATAATTCAATGTGACTAGACCAAGATCGAGTCATGTTGCTATTTTTGAATGTGGTCTCATTGGATGAATGAGATGATTCTCATTTCCGCTTATCGGGTTGGATAAAACTAGTTTATTGGTTGGTCAGTGAACAGAAATCAGAGAGCGTTCAACATATAAACTGTCAACCTTTAGAACCTCGTTTTCCGGTGCGTTTATTTCACAATAAGATTTCCGATTTACCACTGAAATACGACAATTTAAAAGATTATAAATGTTAAATAAAATTTATTAGAAATTTGCATGACCTAATGGTTCTTCGGTTTGGGCAATAATATTTGTTTTAACTAATGACTGTGGATTCTAGAAAACGTTGAATTCGGTTTGACGTCAAGTTTAACAACAAGTTGATGATAACGGTTCTTGACAATAACGACCCGCAAAGCACCAACTTAATCTGGTTGATCGTAGAAAGTTCGACCCCTACACAAAAGAGAAAATGGAGAGAAACAATTTTTATTGTCTTTTTAAAATACCGATCGACAAGAAAATTATATGATATATGCCTAAGTAATGCTTTTGTTCGTTCTTATATTGCGAATGTTAATAATATTTAGATAGTCTAGCTTTGAAATGTGGCTATATCATAATCTTATGAAATATTTAATCTACTTTCCATATTATAGAAATGTGAAAATTTATCATAAAAATTAATACTTCCCTTTGCATTAAATCTTCGACGATAAATAATCGTGCGTGCGACTTCTAAAGTTTCCTAAAAACTTGTGAGTGTTAACCACACACCTGAATGACATTTAACACCTATAATTCAGTGGACAGTTAGGGGAACGGCATATGATTGTTTGAAAATGTACATTACATGTCGTTTTACTGCCACTCCCTTTGCGAGGTTAATAGCAAACTAGGTTCCTAATATGCTCATTAGATCATAAAGAAAATTTTAGAGAGATTGAAAGTGTAAGATTATCTTTTGCTCACTCTAAATGAGAATCGTTATTAACGCTACAACAAAACTCGACGCGATGACGCAATTTTTGAACTGGGCATACCCGCATTTCTGACCAAAGAATAAACAGTTAAATGTACTTATTTTCAACATTAGGCAGGTCAAAACGTATTCGATTATAGTCTGTATTTCCGGATTTGTTAAATTATTAAACAGTTCAAAAGATCTCATTTTTTCAGAATCGTAAGCAGAAAGTGAAGAAAGAAATAAACTACTGGCTGTCGCCCATAATGACAAGAGCGTTTGACGAATTTAATTTCGAATAATTCTTTTGAATAGGAAAGCATATCGTTTTTATTCCATCGTATACTACGAAAATTTTTAAATAGTTGGAAACAATTTCAAAAATATTTTTTCAGATTGTTCAGTTCTAGATTCATTCGCTCCCAGAACGGAACTGAATTCCGTTGTACAATTGCGCGTCATTCTTTGAATGAATGAAAACTCTTGCGTACAGTTTGAAGTGAATGAAAACACAAAAAAAACAATAATGTGCTGTTCGACTGGCATTTTTAATATTGGACAGCCAGAAATTACCGAGTTTATGGTTTTTTTTTAGCCTTGTAGGGTATCATTTCAAACATCATCGTCGTTTCAATTTTCTTTTTTTCTAATTATGCACTCATTGGTTTTGCAGCTAGTACGTGTTTTCAATCTTGCATAATGTTCCAATTTTATATGGAATGTAATCCCGAAGAAAAAAATGCATTTTTTTTGTTAAGATTTACAATGTTTATTGGAACATTTGAGCATTCATTAGATACATAAAAAAAAACTATTTTTAAAAATCAAAAACTGCAATATCAATACTCTGTACGTTTTGCATTGTATTGTCATCATACACCATGGTGCTCGATGAAGTGTAAACTTTCGTATCGTATGACTCAATTTTTTCGAATAAAGAAACAAGAAGGAACAAAACATTAAATAAAACATATTCAGAAATACGACGATTCAAATATTCCATACGTCTTCAATTGGTCTCATGCATCGCTATAAACTAAATGGAACACATTTCAGTGAGTTTGTTTGATTATTTACAGATATTTAAAATCATTGCGACATGAAGACCTAGGTCACTCACAAGCTAAGTCGTTAGTATCCACTTGTGAATCTGAGATGACAAATCTTTTGAATCAGTTGATCGAATTCGTCTAAAGGGTAGAACCACCTACAAGTTGTATTATACGTGTTTTTTGAATTGGATTTTTACGAAAGTCATTTTTTACGTATAGGTAAATTTCAAAAGTGCTGAATTTTAACTGAAATATAACTGAAACGAAAACGATTTTCAGTAAAAACAGATATATATATATATATATATATATATATATATATATATATATATATATATATATATATATATATATATATATTTTGTATATATATATATATATTTTGTTAGAATATACTGATTAAAATTCACGGAACACCAATTTCTCGTTATCTGAAGTATATTTGGCTCAAAAATGAGGAAGTTGAGATAAAAGTATAACTTGCAAACGATTTTTTTTCTGTAGGCTGCAATTTTTGTTTCTCTCCATATCTCTCCTAACATGCCCCTTTCTCGCCACTTTTTTGTGTGAGATTCTCGCTGTTTTTAGTAAAGAATCTTTCGCGTGAATTATTACTGTGTTCGCAACTCAATTCTGTCATAAATTATTCAAAGATTAAACGTGACATATTGCGGGTTTTTTAACGACACGATGTGGAAACATTGGAGAAGTAGCGAACTTCAAACCACAAAGGTCACAAATTGCGCAGCTCGTAAAAGTCAATTTTGACGACTCGCCCGAGCATATTTTTATATTCTTTCCAGTAACTAGCTCCATTCGATTTTTGAGCGCTTAGGTCTTTGACTCTTTCCGCTGGCTTTCCTCTTCTACGAAACACCAATGAGCAAATCGAGTATTACAGAAGTTCTCCCTTTGTGTTAATGATTGAATATCCATGGGACAAGCAAAATGGGAGTTTGAAACGAGAATGGGAAGTAAGCTGTTGTTGGTAGATTGGGTTCATCATATTAATGGAAACACGTTTTGCATTCCGCTAATTCCTCATCGTTAAATTCCAACATAATTACAAATTTTTGTAGCCAGTTAGTGTAGTATATAACGCATCATCAAAAGCGCATGCTATCTGTGGCATGTCATCATATCACACATGTTTCTGTCAACCATTGATCGTTGATTTGGTGAACTTTGTTGGCAAACCCTCCCAGTTCCAGTTAAACTTTCTCTCCCACGACTCTCTAAACTGCTCGCAATGATCTTTCCGCTATCAGCAGCATTGAAGCAAAGACGGGAAAAAGAAAGAAGGAGACGAGGTGCATTTCATGTAGTCACATTCCACCCAGGCGAACTCTTACCGTTGCATCAACAACAAAACTAAAAAAAAGGCATGTGTACTTCAACAGGTCATAAACAGTTTATGGTAATTATTTGTGCCCTCTGAAGTGTAGGCAATCAACCATAAAACATAAAACATTTGTTATTGAGAACCTCAGATCTAACACTGAATATTGTAAGAATTACAAACAATATGAAAATTGCAGAATACTCTGCCTGCCAACTTTACCCTTCGCTGACACAAACAAACTTTGCCGTACACTCAACTAGTCTTCCAGTACTACCAATACTGCACTCACGTAAGTCAAAAATGTGGGCACGAATATGCTTGTCGCCTATAATGATGTCATAGTATGAAAGACCCAGAGGTCATAAAACAAGTTTCGTACACTAGATATTAACTCTTGTTTATTTGCGCGGCCGAGATTCGATTTTAGGTTCCCTGTCATTGAACGAACATGCTTTAGTTCGAGTACCAATGGACTTTATTCAAAAATCACCACGTTTTTACAATGTTATCGAAAACAAAATAATCATCGCTGCACTTTTTGTTTGAGTTTAATCTAAATATTTTGTGATTTTTTGTCATTGTGTCAATGCACTTGTAGTATTCCGTGGAGTTTTGTATTGCAAAGCGACTATAAAACCATAAAGTCATAGAGCAAGCAATCTTTCGATCTATACATTTTTGCCTCCCTCGCAGATGCATGATTATTTGTTTAATGGTAATGGGCAGATATGAGTCATTCTTTGAAAAACGAATTTATTTTTTCGCAATTTTCGCAAACAGTATAAAACGTTAGTGCAGATTTCTGATTTTATTCTGTACTCTGCAAAGTTTTCCGTTTTCAGGGTCTTTCTTTTTCCTTTCACATGAATGAAACTGCATAAAATAAAAAAGGGGATTAAAAAAATAAGAATTTGCGGTATTTTAGTTCGAAATTCCAAAAATCTCCCATGAAATTATGTATGTTCTATTTGCGTTTTGTGTGATCAATGTCTAATGATCAATCCACTCGAAGCTACCGTAACAAGTTTTGTAGTGTCTTGTTGCAAAGATTACAACCGACAATCGTGGGACGGGGTATAGTTGAGTTTGAGTAGTCTATATTTAGGTTCAGTAATGTTGTCAATTCTTCATCTTTCTCTCATTCGTCGTTGAACGGAAATGAAATTGATCTCTTGCAATGTTTTTCCACAACATGTGGGGGAGTAGCAATGAGATTTTTCTCGCTCCTTTTCTTCTCCCTTCAACAAATAGATGATCAGTCCAATGTTTATGAGCTTTGCTCTTTGGCGATCACTTGTTGGGACCAATAAAAGATCGGCGATGCGCTACACATGATTTATTCACCGGAAAAAAAAAAGTGAGAGGTCTTCTTTGCATTTTGCGTGATAGATGATCAACGATCGGCAAATAGTTTTGTTGTTTTCGCATCTATAATGAGAAACACACTTTTTTTACTCAACGTCCGATCGGATATCGACAACGTCATTTGCTTTCCGACATACGAGTTTCAATAGTGTTTCCCAAAATTTTGTGTTCACTTCATTCGGCATAGTTTATTCCGTTTCGTAAATGTTTTATTGGGAGAGTTGAGCGAGTTTCGAAATTGGTATGACTCAACAAGTAGGACTTTCCTCCCCACTTATTCAACTTAGTATTACATACAAATATTTTGGTTTCTATGCGTCATCGCGATATGATCAGTAATCTTTATATTATCTTTGACCTCGTAATCGTTCAAGAACTATTTTTGGTGGTGATCATTTCTGCAACACGATGTGATCACGTTTCATCATCATTTCAATCTTCAATTTATATTCAAAGTTCAAGTATTCCCTCTCATCTTCACTTTATATTGTGTTGTGGCGCATCTAATTAATCAGTCAAAAAATAAGGCGCGATATAGTAAAAATTCAAGTACTTGGACACTGCTTCTTTCTAAATATGTTCTTTCATCATCGCTGCTGCTGGTGAAATGACGGAAGAGAATAAAGAGTGGAGAATCGTCAAACATTTGCTAGCGATCACTGCTCATTTTTTCCAAACGAAAAGGTCGTGATTATTGTAGTCGCAGAGACACACATGACGATTATTCGGGAAAAGAGTATATTGGACGAAATGGAGCGGACAGACACGCCCCGTCGCCGCCTGAGGGAGCGGGAGAAGAGGGGGGGGGCCGCCGATCCGCCCATTTTGTGTTCTATTGATCTCTGAACATTAACCACTCGGTTTTAGAGACCTCCCCATAATATACATTCACATTGCGAAGAAGTCTCTTCCATTTTATCTCTACGAATGTGTGTTGGCGTTGTGTTTCCTCCTATCCACTGTCCTCCCTTTTTTCCAAAAGCATATATGGTTCCTCTCTTTAGTCTTTCTTTTTTCACTATGTGCGATAGCGATTACCAATTTCGTTTGTCGATTTGATCATTCTGAATAGGACCATTGGGATCAAAACTGGTTTTGACCGTAACTTTTACTTCATTGTTCTGCTTGTGATTTTTGATCGTTTAATTCTTATTGGTTTTATGTTACGAACATGTGTATAGTTCCCATTACGGATATCATGAAAACATCACAAAAATGTGACTTCTGTCAATTTGTTCATTGATTCTTTGCGAGTGCATAAACCACTCCCCTTTCACCATTTCACTTCTCCTCACCGCACTCCCCCACCACCCCCCCCCCCAAATAATCTTCTCCTCGTTGCCGATCATATTTATCTTACATCCCAATCCTGATAACCTTTCTGCTTTTTATAGCCTTTCTTATTTATTTTTATCATATCAATAACACAAATAATATGGCAACGTTTCCAGAAATGACCGACACACAAGCATCGACAGCCGCGTTTGCTTTTGCAGCCTTGATTGGTTGCGGCTCACCTAACCAAGCGGCATTTTCAATGGAGACATTGCTAAAGCCGGAACTTGGTGAATTTTCACCTTCGGGCGGAAATGCAAGTGGAGGCGAAGAGTCGTCAATTTGGTAAGCAATTACTTTTTTTTTTAATTTCAAAAAATTGAATTCTTATTGGACTTCTAATTTTAGTTCCGTTTGCTGTGATGAAGCTTCTGGAAGGCATTATGGAGTAGTCGCGTGCTTTGGTTGCAAAGGTTTTTTTCGACGAACCGTGCGCGCTGGCAAAAATTACGTTTGTCGCTATGAAAAAAATTGCCAAATTGATAAAGCTGGTAGAAACGTATGCAGATCGTGCAGGTTTCAAAAATGTTTAGAAGTTGGAATGGAACCAGATGGTAAGACGCTTAGCTCAATAAATATATTTTACAGCATTACTAGTTTTCAGCTATTCGCCCAGATAGAGATAAGACAGGAAGACAAAAGAATCCGCGTCGCAATGTACAGTATGACATGACTGGAAAGAAAATGTCTATTTCATCTCTGATAAGTGAACTACCATGCGTTAATAAGTTAAAGGTTTATTGATTTCTTCGGTCACGTATCATTTATTACCGTGTCTACAGGAAGAATGCGATGATACGGCAACCTCGCCGTCATCAAGGTCAGACTCAGCTCCGATTGATCTCCGACCAAGTCCTATTGACGAGTCCGTACTGACAACCTTATGCGAAATCGAGACTATTATAATGCAATTGAGGGATTCACATGAGACTGTGCAAAGAATGAATCCGAATATTAATGATGCTATTTTGAAGCCTTCATTAATAATTAATAGATCATTGGTAATGCATTAAAGCTCTTTTTCTAAAAGGCATATTAATTTTTCAGTTGAACTTCAATGGGCTAAAGGGAGAAGCTAATCTAGGATGTGTTGCTGCAAATTTACGACGGCTTGTTGTACTAGTTGTTGATTATTGTAACACGTTGAAGCCGATAGCCGACATTAATGTTGTTGAGAAGCTTGCTCTTGTTCGCAACTTCGCTGCTCCCTATGCTCTTCTGTTTTGTGGTCACCACTCTGTGACCAATGGTGCGCCGATGGATGATAGCATTTACCTGCCGTCTGGTCACAAACTTTCAGCGAAATCCATTATTTTTGAAAATAAGAGCGACGAGAAAAAGTATATATTACTGGATGCAAAAGCTGAGTGAGTGTCTATGCAAATTGTACGTGCGGAAACACTGCGCGTTATACATTCTATCGTAGAACAAACAAAAATTGTGATCTTGATCTTATGGTTGTTGATCATTCTCTAACTTTAATTATTTGCAGTGTCGTTCGTCGAAATATGATAGAAATGCTGATCAACCAGATTCGAAAACTCACCATCTCTAACACAGAAATGGTTGCACTTAAAGCGATAATGGCACTTGATCCAAATGTGCGAGGTCTCAGCAATGATACCATCAATTTGCTTACGGTTGCGCGAGAATCGGTTCAAAATGCTCTGTTCACCCACCTGATGTCTCGCTACAATAACATTGAGGCAACAACAAGATTCGCATCTCTTCTTCTTCTCATTTCATCTGCAACAGTACAATAATTATTGACAGTTCTCTAGCATTCATTATTTTTTTCAGAAAGTCTCCGCATCGCTTTCGTCGCTTCTACAATTAAGCAAGGATGTTAGCTTCGAAGTAGACCAAATTCTCGAAGATATTTTTCTCAATGAGAATTAAGCAATACCATGATCTGACCCTTTCATTGTGTTTCATTTGTAATCCTGCATTTACGGGTACCCTTAAAATATTTATTTGATTTTTTTGTTGCTACGTCTTTTGTAATCGAATTACGTTCTGTTGTCAACTTGTTTCCTCTTGTTCCCGGTCTCGCTGAAAATTGCCAAACTGTATTTCGTAAAAATACCACCACTCGCCTCATTTAATTATTTTAAGCGTTGTGCTCTTTGACTGAATTCTCACGTCGACAATGTCATATTCTCCACTTTGCACTGATTATTTATTTGTTTAAATTTGATTAAAAAGACATAATGACAATCTGATCAGTTTTGTTGAACGTATTTAATAATAATTTTTGGCATTCACATCCCCTCTCTCATATTTTGCAATAAACAATAATTTTGCATTTTCCTCTTTGCAATAGCAAAATGAGAGAAAAAAAACAAGCGCACACATATACACACATTCTTGCAATTCGTAACCGATTGGCTGTTTTCAAACGAAGCGGTTAAAGTTCAAAAATCGGCGAAATGTTGCATCTCACGTAGACCACTAGCAAATAAGAGAGTACAAGTGGAGGCCCAAGTAGCAGAGCACACGCAGAGTGGAGGCGCAAAGAAAACAGAAGATTGCTTCTGGTCGTCCAAAATATAAATAGAAGAGAAGAAAAGAGAATAGGCAGCAATGCTCTTTCGTCGCGAACTCGCTTCGTTAGATGTTTCCTAATACTCGTTGAACCGTCAGGGAAAAACATATGCGCAGCGAGGTCCATTTCCATTTGATACAGTTGCATGGCTTCATGGACATTTGGTTTCTTGTTGCCGCAGAATGAAATATATTTAGAAATGAGAAACTTGATATCTTGAACATTAGCTTTGACAATGCGAACAGAATGTGTGGTCTGTGATTGACAATTTAAACTCGGAACATTTGATGCAGCTTCCCTCATTGTTTTGCGAATGCCACGTAGGCCAAGCAAAACCATTGTTAAGAAAGTCAATTTACCCTGTTGGAAATCAATCAGTGATCAGTTAAAACCGATTCTCGTTTAATGAAAATTAGCTTGTTTGTTAGACAGGTTTTTAGTGCAGTATGTGTGCGGAATATCATGATTTCATTTATTTTAGTCAAGCGAGATAACTTCTAATTCATGATAGAACATCAATGCACATATGTAAAGTACAAACGGATGTGACAACAAAGTAGGTCAAAAGTCGATTACATTTAATGGGTACCGGTTCCATTGATTTGACTAAATTTATTGCAATTAACAAAAGTTATTAAAGCCAATCACTATTAGAAATGTTCAGAAACATTCAAATTTCGTCACATCGCCAAACGTTTTATTATTTCTCGGGATTCAGAAATTAGGGAGATCACACTATCATATATTCGTTGAAGAAAATTGAACTGGATTTTTTTTACGAACAGAACAATTATCAAATCATCTAATCGTTCGTCACTGATTTCAATGTCGTTGTCTACTCTTAAAAGTGATAGAATAACGTTGAAATGGAATGCGCAATTTTATCTTCTATGATTCTCTTAAATAAACAGACAAAGGTTCATCACAATTATAAGTAATTCTGAAGAATTTTAATGTTATATAAAAAAACTTAAGAGCCAAAAAAAAAAACAAATTTCATTGTTGAGAAATATTTAAACGACTTGAAGTGAGTGAAATTATTCCAGCATAAAACAGGACTCTGAAAACTTTTGACTGGTGAACCCCATCATGTAAAAAATTTTATTCGCTGTTGGAAAGAGACTTCGTGCTTATTAAAATCATCGAATATTGCGCTAGGAGCTTGACAGTCGTTCATTTATTTTTCTTTTTCGGACGACGACTTCTCGGATATTTTTGAAAGATTCTTGTTGCCACAAGGTCTAACCATGTTTCTGAGCAATTTTGAAAAATTATGACATTCTAGAGGCGTTTTACACATTACAATAATCATTAATGGAAAAAAAAAACTGAAAATGCGAAAAAAACAAAAAAATCGTAAAAAAAATTAAATTTAAAAATAATTTGCATAAAAATATGCGAATTATCGAACGAATGATCCGACTATTCTGTAAAAATTTCAGATCAATCAGCTATCTCTGAAAAAAAGTTATGGCTGAAAATGCGGTTCTGGATAGAATTGTAGCCAGCACTGTTTATATATGTATGTATATATACAGGCAAAATGGATTAAGCCTCTTATATTGACTCATAGATGGAAACACGTAGGATTCTTGAGAACAAATTATGTGTCTATCCAACCAATTTTATCTAAGTCAATATATATACATATGAATATACAGTACTGGTCATAATGATGTTCGCATAGTGTTTTTTGAGCATAACTTGGCTCAAACGCAGCCGATCGGGCTGAAATTTTTACCATATCTTCAAAACGCGTTGAAAATGCGTTTGAATGATATCTCATATTACAGGAAAGGTTTTTTTTTCGAAAAATCAGTTTCATAAAAATGCAGAAAATGGAAAAAATGAAACAATGTGATTTGAAAGTCTCAGAAACCCGAAAACATTACAAATGTGTAGAAAACCGATTTTTAATTTATCAATACTTTGTTGCGTATCCCTTGGCATCAATAACCGCTTGGCATCTGCGAGGCATCGATTCCAAGAGGGTGCGTATCACTGCAGCGGAATGGCATTCCATGTGGCTTCGAGTTGAGCGAACTTTTCGTCGGGGTTTGATGCTCGGACTCCTCTAACTCTGCGTTTCAGTTCTTCCCAGAGATGTTCGATCGGATTATGCTCAGGAATCTGTGATGGCCAGGCAAGAACATCAACTCGGCTTCGTTGGAACCAATTCTTCACATGTCCAGACATGTGCTCAGGGTCGTTGTCTTGCTGGATAACGAATGCACGTCCGACGTTTGCCAATGCCCAAGGTCTCATTGTGGTTTCCGGAATATCCTTGTACTGGTACCGATCCATGATTCCATTTACACGTCGGAGCGGTCCCATGGCGGTGTCGGATAAACAGTCCCAGACCCTGCAAGATGCTTCACCGTTTGGAGCTGATACTTTGGTGTGAGTCTGGCTCCAATAGGTCAACGAATCCACTTGATTTTATCACTTCCGAACAAGTTGAACTTCGATTCATCGCTACAGAAGTGTTTGGCCCATTCACATTGTCCCCAGTTCAGATGATCCTTGCCATGCCACCCTCGTCTTTTGGTTCTTCTCACTGATCAATGGTTTTTTCACCGGTCGTCTTCCATGAAGTCTATTCTCTCTCAAACGACGTCTAATTGTTCTTCTGGATGGCATTGAAGCATTTGGCATTGCCACTACAAAAGTTCGAAGCGTCCATATACGTAGCTGAATAAGAGAAGAAGAGCTGAATTTTTTTTTTGTAATTTAAATACTCTGTTATTACCTTCATACACCACGGCATATTTCCACGCGTTGTGGAAAACCATCCTTCAGAACAATTTGATAAGCACACAAACGGCTTTGTTGGGACAGAGAACAATGTTCTCAAACTTGTAGTAGGTACTATCAATGATGAAGAGGTATTCTGATCCGAGAATGTTCGGGTAACCAATGTTGATGTGCTTACTTTTACTATGGCATTCGATTCTGTAGATACAGTCGAATGTGAAATATTCTTTTTGGTGCCTTCAGAAGATGTGGATTCGAAAGTTGTTTGAGAATTCGCGGTTGATGACTTTGTTTCACAAGAGCCTCGCTTTCCACATAAAACTAATTTTACGCTAATCCCATCATCCTGACGGTGCAGATTGCAGGATACCGAAAAGAATCTATTGTGCAAGGAATCATTGTTCGGCTGAATACGCAATGCTGCACAAACTTTTGGTGTAGACATTGAGCTAAAAATAAAGATATCACAGTATTAGAAAAAATCAAAATTACGTGTTTGGTTGACCTGGACCCGCGTAAGCATTGAATGGTTCATTTTCACAGGTCGATTGATCTGTCCAGTAGTATGCCTATAGATTTTTAACCAGATATTTTCTAAAAGAAAAATGACACTAACATTATTTTGATCACACTGGGGCGCTATCATATTTGTTTCACAAAGAGGTTTTCGTTTTGCCCCGATCAACATGTAAACCGAACCCTCTTTATCAACAATTGAAATTATTTCTTCGTCTTCCATTGCATTCTCTGTAAACAGTAGTATTTAGAAAGAAACAACGCAAACTCGCCGTACTAAATGCTTCAATGCGCTCTCCAGTACCTACTCCACCAGAGAGAACTGCATTTTTCGTTTGACAAAATTCTTGGGCATTGTCAAAGGAATTAGCATCAAAGGCAAACGTCTGAAAATTGCAATCGATGTTCAGTTATTTCAAAATTTTACCTTTATGCACCAGACACCCCCTCCTCTTTTTGTCTTGTACCAACCAATAGGGCAATTTCCCTGACAAGTATTAGGAGTTGCAGCGCATCCATCGTGAGAAAACGAAGTTGTCGGTTTAACAGTTGTTTTAAATGGTTCTTCGCTTTGAGATGTTGAGAAGATCAAATCATCTGAAGTAGAGATGCTTCCATCTGTATTGGCTTCAGACGTTGTGACCACTGCTGCTTCAGACGTTGTGGTTTCTACTGTCGTTTCAGAACTAGCAGTTGGTGACGTCGAGTCATCTGATGCGGATGTACTTCCATCTGTGGTAGCTTCAGACGTTGTGGATTCTTCTGTTGTTTCAGAACTAGCAGTTGGTGAAGTCGAGTCATCTGATGCGGATGTACTTCCTTCTGTGGTAGCTTCAGACGTTGTGGTTTCTACTGTCGTTTCAGAACTGGCAGTTGGTGACGTCGAGTCATCTGATGCGGATGTACTTCCATCTGTGGTAGCTTCAGACGTTGTGGTTTCTACTGTCGGTTCAGAACTGGCAGTTGGTGGGGTCGAGTCATCTGATGCGGATGTACTTCCTTTTGTGGTAGCTTCAGACGTTGTGGTTTCTACTGTCGTTTCAGAACTGGCAGTTGGTGGGGTCGAGTCATCTGATGCGGATGTACTTCCTTTTGTGGTAGCTTCAGACGTTGTGGTTTCTACTGTCGTTTCAGAACTAGCAGTTGGTGACGTCGAGTCATCTGATGCGGATGTACTTCCTTCTGTGGTAGCTTCAGACGTTGTGGTTTCTACTGTCGTTTCAGAACAGGCAGTTGGTGACGTCGAGTCATCTGATGCGGATGTACTTCCTTCTGTGGTAGCTTCAGACGTTGTGGTTTCTACTGTCGGTTCAGAACTGGCAGTTGGTGGGGTCGAGTCATCTGATGCGGATGTACTTCCTTTTGTGGTAGCTTCAGACGTTGTGGTTTCTACTGTCGTTTCAGAACTGGCAGTTGGTGACGTCGAGTCATCTGATGCGGATGTACTTCCTTCTGTGGTAGCTTTAGAAGATGTGGATTCGAAAGTTGTTTGAGAATTCGCGGTTGATGACTTTGTTTCACAAGAGCCTCGCTTTCCACATAAAACTAATTTTACGCTAATCCCATCATCCTGACGGTGCAGATTGCAGGATACCGAGAAGAATCTATTGTGCAAGGAATCATTGTTCGGCTGAATACGCAATGCTGCACAAACTTTTGGTGCAGACTTTGAGCTAAAAATAAAGATATCACAGTATTAAAAAAATCAAAATTACGTGTTTGGTTGATCTGGACCGGCGTAAGCATTGAATGGTTCATTTTCACAGGTCGATTGATCTGTCCAGTAGTATGCCTATAGATTTTTAACCAGATATTTTCTAAAAGAAAAATGACACTAACATTATTTTGATCACACTGGGGCGCTATCATATTTGTTTCACAAAGAGGTTTTCGTTTTGCCCCGATCAACATGTAAACCGAACCCTCTTTATCAACAATTGAAATTATTTCTTCGTCTTCCATTGCATTCTCTGTAAACAGTAGTATTTAGAAAGAAACAACGCAAACTCGCCGTACTAAATGCTTCAATGCGCTCTCCAGTACCTACTCCACCAGAGAGAACTGCATTTTTCGTTTGACAAAATTCTTGGGCATTGTCAAAGGAATTAGCATCAAAGGCAAACGTCTGAAAATTGCAATCGATGTTCAGTTATTTCAAAATTTTACCTTTATGCACCAGACACCCCCTCCTCTTTTTGTCTTGTACCAACCAATAGGGCAATTTCCCTGACAAGTATTAGGAGTTGCAGCGCATCCATCGTGAGCAAACGAAGTTGTCGGTTTAACAGTTGTTTTAAATGGTTCTTCGCTTTGAGATGTTGAGAAGATCAAATCATCTGAAGTAGAGATGCTTCCATCTGTATTGGCTTCAGACGTTGTGACCACTGCTGCTTCAGACGTTGTGGATTCTTCTGTTGTTTCAGAACTAGCAGTTGGTAAATTCGAGTCATCTGATGCGGATGTACTTCCTTCTGTGGTAGCTTCAGACGTTGTGGTTTCTACTGTCGTCTCAGAACTGGCAGTTGGTGACGTCGAGTCATCTGATGCGGATGTACTTACTTCTGTGGTAGCTTCAGACGTTGTGGTTTCTACTGTCGGTTCAGAACTGGCAGTTGGTGGGGTCGAGTCATCTGATGCGGATGTACTTCCTTTTGTGGTAGCTTCAGACGTTGTGGTTTCTACTGTCGTTTCAGAACTGGCAGTTGGTGACGTCGAGTCATCTGATGCGGATGTACTTCCTTCTGTGGTAGCTTTAGAAGATGTGGATTCGAAAGTTGTTTGAGAATTCGCGGTTGATGACTTTGTTTCACAAGAGCCTCGCTTTCCACATAAAACTAATTTTACGCTAATCCCATCATCCTGACGGTGCAGATTGCAGGATACCGAGAAGAATCTATTGTGCAAGGAATCATTGTTCGGCTGAATACGCAATGCTGCACAAACTTTTGGTGCAGACTTTGAGCTAAAAATAAAGATATCACAGTATTAAAAAAATCAAAATTACGTGTTTGGTTGACCTGGACCCGCGTAAGCATTGAATGGTTCATTTTCACAGGTCGATTGATCTGTCCAGTAGTATGCCTATAGATTTTTAACCAGATATTTTCTAAAAGAAAAATGACACTAACATTATTTTGATCACACTGGGGCGCTATCATATTTGTTTCACAAAGAGGTTTTCGTTTTGCCCCGATCAACATGTAAACCGAACCCTCTTTATCAACAATTGAAATTATTTCTTCGTCTTCCATTGCATTCTCTGTAAACAGTAGTATTTAGAAAGAAACAACGCAAACTCGCCGTACTAAATGCTTCAATGCGCTCTCCAGTACCTACTCCACCAGAGAGAACTGCATTTTTCGTTTGACAAAATTCTTGGGCATTGTCAAAGGAATTAGCATCAAAGGCAAACGTCTGAAAATTGCAATCGATGTTCAGTTATTTCAAAATTTTACCTTTATGCACCAGACACCCCCTCCTCTTTTTGTCTTGTACCAACCAATAGGGCAATTTCCCTGACAAGTATTAGGAGTTGCAGCGCATCCATCGTGAGCAAACGAAGTTGTCGGTTTAACAGTTGTTTTAAATGGTTCTTCGCTTTGAGATGTTGAGAAGATCAAATCATCTGATGTAGAGATGCTTCCATCTGTATTGGCTTCAGACGTTGTGACCACTGCTGCTTCAGACGTTGTGGATTCTTCTGTTGTTTCAGAACTAGCAGTTGGTAAATTCGAGTCATCTGATGCGGATGTACTTCCTTCTGTGGTAGCTTCAGACGTTGTGGTTTCTACTGTCGTTTCAGAACAGGCACTTGGTGACGTCGAGTCATCTGATGCGGATGTACTTCCTTCTGTGGTAGCTTCAGACGTTGTGGTTTCTACTGTCGGTTCAGAACTGGCAGTTGGTGGGGTCGAGTCATCTGATGCGGATGTACTTCCTTTTGTGGTAGCTTCAGACGTTGTGGTTTCTACTGTCGTTTCAGAACTGGCAGTTGGTGACGTCGAGTCATCTGATGCGGATGTACTTCCTTCTGTGGTAGCTTTAGAAGATGTGGATTCGAAAGTTGTTTGAGAATTCGCGGTTGATGACTTTGTTTCACAAGAGCCTCGCTTTCCACATAAAACTAATTTTACGCTAATCCCATCATCCTGACGGTGCAGATTGCAGGATACCGAAAAGAATCTATTGTGCAAGGAATCATTGTTCGGCTGAATACGCAATGCTGCACAAACTTTTGGTGTAGACATTGAGCTAAAAATAAAGATATCACAGTATTAGAAAAAATCAAAATTACGTGTTTGGTTGACCTGGACCCGCGTAAGCATTGAATGGTTCATTTTCACAGGTCGATTGATCTGTCCAGTAGTATGCCTATAGATTTTTAACCAGATATTTTCTAAAAGAAAAATGACACTAACATTATTTTGATCACACTGGGGCGCTATCATATTTGTTTCACAAAGAGGTTTTCGTTTTGCCCCGATCAACATGTAAACCGAACCCTCTTTATCAACAATTGAAATTATTTCTTCGTCTTCCATTGCATTCTCTGTAAACAGTAGTATTTAGAAAGAAACAACGCAAACTCGCCGTACTAAATGCTTCAATGCGCTCTCCAGTACCTACTCCACCAGAGAGAACTGCATTTTTCGTTTGACAAAATTCTTGGGCATTGTCAAAGGAATTAGCATCAAAGGCAAACGTCTGAAAATTGCAATCGATGTTCAGTTATTTCAAAATTTTACCTTTATGCACCAGACACCCCCTCCTCTTTTTGTCTTGTACCAACCAATAGGGCAATTTCCCTGACAAGTATTAGGAGTTGCAGCGCATCCATCGTGAGAAAACGAAGTTGTCGGTTTAACAGTTGTTTTAAATGGTTCTTCGCTTTGAGATGTTGAGAAGATCAAATCATCTGAAGTAGAGATGCTTCCATCTGTATTGGCTTCAGACGTTGTGACCACTGCTGCTTCAGACGTTGTGGTTTCTACTGTCGTTTCAGAACTGGCAGTTGGTGACGTCGAGTCATCTGATGCGGATGTACTTCCTTCTGTGGTAGCTTCAGACGTTGTGGATTCTTCTGTTGTTTCAGAACTAGCAGTTGGTGAAGTCGAGTCATCTGATGCGGATGTACTTCCTTCTGTGGTAGCTTCAGACGTTGTGGTTTCTACTGTCGTTTCAGAACTGGCAGTTGGTGACGTCGAGTCATCTGATGCGGATGTACTTCCATCTGTGGTAGCTTCAGACGTTGTGGTTTCTACTGTCGGTTCAGAACTGGCAGTTGGTGGGGTCGAGTCATCTGATGCGGATGTACTTCCTTTTGTGGTAGCTTCAGACGTTGTGGTTTCTACTGTCGTTTCAGAACTGGCAGTTGGTGGGGTCGAGTCATCTGATGCGGATGTACTTCCTTTTGTGGTAGCTTCAGACGTTGTGGTTTCTACTGTCGTTTCAGAACTAGCAGTTGGTGACGTCGAGTCATCTGATGCGGATGTACTTCCTTCTGTGGTAGCTTCAGACGTTGTGGTTTCTACTGTCGTTTCAGAACAGGCAGTTGGTGACGTCGAGTCATCTGATGCGGATGTACTTCCTTCTGTGGTAGCTTCAGACGTTGTGGTTTCTACTGTCAGTTCAGAACTGGCAGTTGGTGGGGTCGAGTCATCTGATGCGGATGTACTTCCTTTTGTGGTAGCTTCAGACGTTGTGGTTTCTACTGTCGTTTCAGAACTGGCAGTTGGTGACGTCGAGTCATCTGATGCGGATGTACTTCCTTCTGTGGTAGCTTTAGAAGATGTGGATTCGAAAGTTGTTTGAGAATTCGCGGTTGATGACTTTGTTTCACAAGAGCCTCGCTTTCCACATAAAACTAATTTTACGCTAATCCCATCATCCTGACGGTGCAGATTGCAGGATACCGAGAAGAATCTATTGTGCAAGGAATCATTGTTCGGCTGAATACGCAATGCTGCACAAACTTTTGGTGCAGACTTTGAGCTAAAAATAAAGATATCACAGTATTAAAAAAATCAAAATTACGTGTTTGGTTGATCTGGACCGGCGTAAGCATTGAATGGTTCATTTTCACAGGTCGATTGATCTGTCCAGTAGTATGCCTATAGATTTTTAACCAGATATTTTCTAAAAGAAAAATGACACTAACATTATTTTGATCACACTGGGGCGCTATCATATTTGTTTCACAAAGAGGTTTTCGTTTTGCCCCCGATCAACATGTAAACCGAACCCTCTTTATCAACAATTGAAATTATTTCTTCGTCTTCCATTGCATTCTCTGTAAACAGTAGTATTTAGAAAGAAACAACGCAAACTCGCCGTACTAAATGCTTCAATGCGCTCTCCAGTACCTACTCCACCAGAGAGAACTGCATTTTTCGTTTGACAAAATTCTTGGGCATTGTCAAAGGAATTAGCATCAAAGGCAAACGTCTGAAAATTGCAATCGATGTTCAGTTATTTCAAAATTTTACCTTTATGCACCAGACACCCCTCCTCTTTTTGTCTTGTACCAACCAATAGGGCAATTTCCCTGACAAGTATTAGGAGTTGCAGCGCATCCATCGTGAGCAAACGAAGTTGTCGGTTTAACAGTTGTTTTAAATGGTTCTTCGCTTTGAGATGTTGAGAAGATCAAATCATCTGAAGTAGAGATGCTTCCATCTGTATTGGCTTCAGACGTTGTGACCACTGCTGCTTCAGACGTTGTGGATTCTTCTGTTGTTTCAGAACTAGCAGTTGGTAAATTCGAGTCATCTGATGCGGATGTACTTCCTTCTGTGGTAGCTTCAGACGTTGTGGTTTCTACTGTCGTTTCAGAACTGGCAGTTGGTGACGTCGAGTCATCTGATGCGGATGTACTTCCTTCTGTGGTAGCTTCAGACGTTGTGGTTTCTACTGTCGGTTCAGAACTGGCAGTTGGTGGGGTCGAGTCATCTGATGCGGATGTACTTCCTTTTGTGGTAGCTTCAGACGTTGTGGTTTCTACTGTCGTTTCAGAACTGGCAGTTGGTGACGTCGAGTCATCTGATGCGGATGTACTTCCTTCTGTGGTAGCTTTAGAAGATGTGGATTCGAAAGTTGTTTGAGAATTCGCGGTTGATGACTTTGTTTCACAAGAGCCTCGCTTTCCACATAAAACTAATTTTACGCTAATCCCATCATCCTGACGGTGCAGATTGCAGGATACCGAGAAGAATCTATTGTGCAAGGAATCATTGTTCGGCTGAATACGCAATGCTGCACAAACTTTTGGTGCAGACTTTGAGCTAAAAATAAAGATATCACAGTATTAAAAAAATCAAAATTACGTGTTTGGTTGACCTGGACCGGCGTAAGCATTGAATGGTTCATTTTCACAGGTCGATTGATCTGTCCAGTAGTATGCCTATAGATTTTTAACCAGATATTTTCTAAAAGAAAAATGACACTAACATTATTTTGATCACACTGGGGCGCTATCATATTTGTTTCACAAAGAGGTTTTCGTTTTGCCCCGATCAACATGTAAACCGAACCCTCTTTATCAACAATTGAAATTATTTCTTCGTCTTCCATTGCATTCTCTGTAAACAGTAGTATTTAGAAAGAAACAACGCAAACTCGCCGTACTAAATGCTTCAATGCGCTCTCCAGTACCTACTCCACCAGAGAGAACTGCATTTTTCGTTTGACAAAATTCTTGGGCATTGTCAAAGGAATTAGCATCAAAGGCAAACGTCTGAAAATTGCAATCGATGTTCAGTTATTTCAAAATTTTACCTTTATGCACCAGACACCCCCTCCTCTTTTTGTCTTGTACCAACCAATAGGGCAATTTCCCTGACAAGTATTAGGAGTTGCAGCGCATCCATCGTGAGCAAACGAAGTTGTCGGTTTAACAGTTGTTTTAAATGGTTCTTCGCTTTGAGATGTTGAGAAGATCAAATCATCTGAAGTAGAGATGCTTCCATCTGTATTGGCTTCAGACGTTGTGACCACTGCTGCTTCAGACGTTGTGGATTCTTCTGTTGTTTCAGAACTAGCAGTTGGTAAATTCGAGTCATCTGATGCGGATGTACTTCCTTCTGTGGTAGCTTCAGACGTTGTGGTTTCTACTGTCGTTTCAGAACTGGCAGTTGGTGACGTCGAGTCATCTGATGCGGATGTACTTCCTTCTGTGGTAGCTTCAGACGTTGTGGTTTCTACTGTCGTTTCAGAACTGGCAGTTGGTGACGTCGAGTCATCTGATGCGGATGTACTTCCTTCTGTGGTAGCTTCAGACGTTGTGGTTTCTACTGTCGGTTCAGAACTGGCAGTTGGTGGGGTCGAGTCATCTGATGCGGATGTACTTCCTTCTTTGGTAGCTTCAGACGTTGTGGTTTCTACTGTCGTTTCAGAACTAGCAGTTGGTGACGTCGAGCCATCTGATGCGGATGTACTTCCTTTTGTGGCAGCTTCAGACGTTGTGGTTTCTACTGTCGTTTCAGAACTAGCAGTTGGTGACGTCGAGTCATCTGATGCGGATGTACTTCCTTTTGTGGTAGCTTCAGACGTTGTGGTTTCTACAGTCGTTTCAGAACTGGCAGTTGGTGACGTCGAGTCATCTGATGCGGATGTACTTCCTTCTGTGGTAGCTTCAGACGTTGTGGTTTCTACAGTCGTTTCAGAACTGGCAGTTGGTGACGTCGAGTCATCTGATGCGGATGTACTTCCTTCTGTGGTAGCTTCAGACGTTGTGGTTTCTACTGTCGGTTCAGAACTGGCAGTTGGTGGGGTCGAGTCATCTGATGCGGATGTACTTCCTTTTGTGGTAGCTTCAGACGTTGTGGTTTCTACAGTCGTTTCAGAACTGGCAGTTGGTGACGTCGAGTCATCTGATGCGGATGTACTTCCTTCTGTGGTAGCTTCAGACGTTGTGGTTTCTACTGTCGGTTCAGAACTGGCAGTTGGTGACGTCGAGCCATCTGATACGGATGTACTTCCTTCTGTGGTAGCTTCAGACGTTGTGGATTCTGCTGCTTCGGAAGATGTGAATTCTACTGTCGTTTCAGAACTGGCAGTTGGTGACGTCGAGCCATCTGATGCGGATGTACTTCCTTTTGTGGTAGCTTCAGACGTTGTGGATTCTGCTGTCGTTTCAGAACTGGCAGTTGGTGACGTCGAGCCATCTGATGCGGATGTACTTTTTTCTGTGGTGGCTTCAGACGTTGTGGATTCTACTGTCGTTTCAGAACTGGCAGTTGGTGACGTCGAGTCATCTGATGCGGATGTACTTCCATCTGTGGTAGCTTCAGACGTTGTGGATTCTGCTGTCGTTTCAGCACTGGCAGTTGGTGACGTCGAGCCATCTGATGCGGATGTACTTTTTTCTGTGGTGGCTTCAGACGTTGTGGATTCTACTGTCGTTTCAGAACTGGCAGTTGGTGACGTCGAGTCATCTGATGCGGATGTACTTCCATCTGTGGTAGCTTCAGACGTTGTGGATTCTGCTGTCGTTTCAGCACTGGCAGGTGGTGACGTCGAGTCATCTGATGCGGATGTACTTCCATCTGTGGTAGCTTCAGACGTTGTGGATTCTGCTGTCGTTTCAGAACTGGCAGTTGGTGACGTCGAGTCATCTGATGCGGATGTACTTCCTTCTGTGGTAGCTTCAGACGTTGTGGTTTCTACTGTCGTTTCAGAACTAGCAGTTGGTGACGTCGAGTCATCTGATGCGGATGTACTTCCATCTGTGGTAGCTTCAGACGTTGTGGATTCTACTGTCGTTTCAGAACTGGCAGTTGGTGACGTCGAGTCATCTGATGCGGATGTACTTTCTTCTGTGGTAGCTTCAGACGTTGTGGATTCTACTGTCGTTTCAGAACTGGCAGTTGGTGACGTCGAGCCATCTGATGCGGATGTACTTCCTTCTGTGGTAGCTTCAGAAGATGTGGATTCGAAAGTTGTTTGAGAATTCGCGGTTGATGACTTTGTTTCACAAGAGCCTCGCTTTCCACATAAAACTAATTTTACGCTAATCCCATCATCCTGACGGTGCAGATTGCAGGATACCGAGAAGAATCTATTGTGCAAAGAATCATTGTTCGGCTGAATACGCAATGCTGCACAAACTTTTGGTGCAGACTTTGAGCTAAAAATAAAGATATCACAGTATTAAAAAAAATCGAAATTACGTGTTTGGTTGACCTGGACCCGCGTAAGCATTGAATGGTTCATTTTCACAGGTCGATTGATCTGTCCAGTAGTATGCCTATAGATTTTTAACCAGATATTTTCTAAAAGAAAAATGACACTAACATTATTTTGATCACACTGGGGCGCTATCATATTTGTTTCACAAAGAGGTTTTCGTTTTGCCCCGATCAACATGTAAACCGAACCCTCTTTATCAACAATTGAAATTATTTCTTCGTCAGGCTTAGGCTTAGGCTTAGGCTTAGGCTTAGGCTTAGGCTTAGGCTTAGGCTTAGG